CCAAATGCACGTCCATCCCCCTTGAGCTTCGCTTCTTCTTCTACTCCTCGTCTACTGGCCCAGAGGCTTCGTCAAGCCCGCTCCCACCTCGGCAGCCGCATTCGTACCCGTCACAGCAGGCAACGGCATCGCAACTGCCTCGTTTTGAGCAACCAGGGCTACCTCCAGACCTTTACCCGCAAAGAATCTCACATCTGCATCTGAATCCTCCTTGAGCTTCTCCAGTGCAGGAATGATCTTGCTGCTGATCACACCTCGTCCTTGAGGCTCCTGGCTCAACACAGAGGCCAATACCTCGAATGCTCGAGCCACATTGAAGCGAATGTTGGGAATGGGGTCCTCCACCAGCGAAAGCACCGTAGCCAGCACAGAGTCTGTAATCGCCGACGTGTTCAGCGAAGGAGCCATGGTGGTAATGGCAAAGATCGTAGTCATCCGGTACAGATAGTTGGGGTGCACGCCCATCTGCAACACCTTGGGAATGATCGTCTGTCGAGCCCACTGAATACCAAAGACGTCCGTCAGCTTCTTGAGGTTGATCGTGGCAGCCTCACGGATAGAGAAGACTGTGTCGCCCAGCCACGACATGCACAGATTGCTCAACTGCTCGTCGAAGAACTCCACGCCCAGCTGATTTGCCAGGAGAGGAATGTACTCGATGATCGCCTGACGCACTCGCCACTGCTTATCCTCGGCAAGCTCCACAATGGCAGGGAGAAGTGATTGTGAGAGGAGGTCGATGCCGATGACTGTTGAGAGGGAAAGCAGACCGAGGTCGTCAGAAGATGCTCATTCATATGCCGGAGGGCAGTGACGGCCGCTCTTCCACGTCTGTGAGCGCTACTTACTCTCGTTGACCTGCTCGAGCTTGGAAATGATGTTGAGCCTCACGTCTGGGAAGTCGTCCTTCAGCAATTGCAGGAACAAGGGCAAGAGGTGCTCAATTGTAGCGTCCTTGCCGAGGAGGGGAGCGAGACCGCTGATCTGGGTACCGAGGGCGGCTCGTACGTGTTGCGAGTTGTCTGTAGAGAGCTCACGCACGCAAGGCATCAGGCGAGCCAGGATGATGTCCTGGTCCACCAGCTTTGCAAAGCCTGGAATCTGACCCGCTCCTGCTGTTCGCACCTCGGCTTCGTTGTCCTTAAGCAGTGCAACAAAGGCAGGGACCAGGTCATCTCGAACCACATCCTCGCCTACAGCAGAAGCCAGCTTGACAAAGTGGTCCGCTACCATGTACCTCACTCTCCAGCTCTTGTCCCAGACTGCTCCTCGGATCGAAGCCAGAAGATAGGTCTTTGTCTCTGCGTGATCTAGGACCTCGGCAATTGCGATCAGGTCCTGTACCGTCAGAAGTCTCACCGAGTCCTGGTCATCAGTGGAGAGCTTGCGATAAAGGGGGATCACATCTGAGACGACGAGCTCCTTCGAGAGATTCTTGGCGAAGGCCTATGTGTCGCAACAGGGTAGGGCATGTCAGCTTTCGTTTCCTCGTGACGTTGACGTCCTCGACACTACTACGCCAACTTACCCCAAGATCCCTGGCTGCTGCCCTCCTGACCATGGGCGTGTCATCATTACAAAGGGCGCCGAACATCTTCCTCAGATCCTCCTGTGTCTTCTGTCCCACTTTTCCGTACACGGCAGCGAACAGAGAAGCTGCGCTTGTCCTCGATGTGAACCAATCGCCGCCAGAGAGCCTCTTGAGGAGGGGGATATAATGCTCCTCGATTTGTGACTCTGAGATGACTTCTGCTACTTTCGTGATGGACTCTGATGCCTGTGGAGAAGAAGTAGAATCAAAAGATGATACAAGAAGAGTCAGCGAGTGAGTCCTATGACGGCGATTTCGCGACATGCCCTATCGCCTTGCTTACCTTCTCTCGAACCACCGTCTCCTCTACTGCAGCTAGGTTCTCAAGGGGTCCCAGCAAGAGGTGGGCATATTGAGGTCCTCCCAGGTACTCTACGAAGCCAGATCCGAGCTCCTGTGCGAGGGCGAGCAGAACTTCATCTTCATCATCCAGGGAGTCCTGCAAGAAAGGAATGAGCTCGTCCCTAGCCCTCTCCGGACCCAGAGCGAGGGCAATGGTGGAGATCCTGTGAATGGCATTTAGACGCAGAGTGACATCGTCCGACTTGAGCTCATCGATGAGGATGGCAATGGGGTACAGTTGGTCGTCCTGATCCATGTTCGTGCACGTAGTAGGCGTTGACCCTTGGTATACGGAAACGTTGTTCTAGAGGTGGAGCGCGTTCGAGCGAGTCCGGCTGCCCCAGAAGAGAGAGGACAAGGCAAGGTGCTGTAGTGAAGTCGTGAAAGCGAGCGCCAGGTCTTGCTGATCAGAAGAGGAGAGCAACAAGCACAGTCGTAAGGGGTCTGGTGGAGTTGGCGGTGAGGACGAGAAGGATTAACGATGAAGGGGATGGTAGATGAGTGTGTATCCTGCCTGTGTGCGTGTGTGTGTGTGTGTACGCTCGCCGGGATGAGTGAATGGCTGGCGTGAGCGAGGCCCAGGCGGATAAGCACCGCGCGACGTCCAGTGGAGCTAAGAGACATATTCAAGCCCCGACGCGGCCTGACAGTTCCCACACGGAAGTGGGGAGGCACGGATACTCGGCCGCGATGACTACATCCTACCACGGCTCACCTCTCGTGGTACTCAATAGCAGCCAGCATGCACAATGAGAAGCTATAGCCGCGCTGGTCATGCCCTCCTCGGCTACCGAGACCTTACCCAGAAACAGTGGCGGCAGCAGTGCAACCACGTCAAAGGCAAACCCTTCAGCATCTGCCTCGTCTTCCACATCTTCCGCACAGCGGCCGCCGACTGGTGAGACACGCAATGGCGGCGTCCACAATGAGACCGGAGATACCTCGGCGTATCTGCCACCCAACCCTCCGCTGATACGCGTGCGTCTGATCAATATCGATCACGTACTCTGCAGACCCGGGCCTCATGACCGCACAGACTGTGCCTTCTTGCCGCCAGGCGAGTCGCTACGCAAAGTACCGGTCCTCAGGATCTTCGGTGCAACGCCAGCTGGACAGAGAGTATGTCTGCACCTCCACGGAGTATTTCCCTACTGCTATGTACCATACGAGGGCAGTCTGGATCCAGATCAAGTCCTCTTCTACATCTCTCGACTTGGAGCAGAGCTCAATGGCGCCATCACAGCTTCTCTGCGCGGTAACCCAGCAACACCCGAGAGCCGCCAGCACATTGCTGCCATTCATCTTGTCAAAGGTACGCCCTTCTACGGCTACCATGTTGGCTGGCGGTACTTTCTGAAGATATCTTTCGTCGATCCGAGTCACAATTTCCGGCTGGCCACGATCCTTCAGAGCGGGAGAGTGATGAGAACCGAATTTCAGCCCCATGAAGTTCACATCAGATACCAGCTGCAATTCATGTTGGACTACAATGTCTTCGGCTGTGACTACATAGATCTTCAAGACGCATCATTTCGGTTGCCCGTGCCCGAGGCCAATGGCAGGGACTATGAGGGTTGGAGATGGGATACGGACACAGTGCCAAAGTCTCTCGTACAACCAGAGGGAGTCCACCGAACCTCCTTCTGCGCATTAGAGATCGACTCGGCTGCCAAGTACGTGCTGAATCGCCGCAACATTCATGCCCGACCCATTCATCACGACTTTGATGAGGATGACCATGCAGACTTGGGGGCAAATGAAACGCTCGTGCCAAGTCTGAGCGGTTTGTGGGAAGAAGAGGGCAAAAGAAGGATCAAGGCCGGCTTGCCTGCCACGCCACCTCCTCCTGACCCTTCCAAAGACCAAAGGGTGCTGGGTGAAGGAGAGGCGCCCCAGTGGATGGCAGAAGAGCGATTGAGAGCGCTCCTGGACGCTAGGATCACATTAGACCAGAGGGCAGGCGGTAAGAAGAAGCCGAGAGACTTCACAAAGCCTCATCCTCTCGATCGTCACATCGCTACAACATTCGACAGCGTAGAGATCTTTCACCGAAAAGCTCACGAGGTGCCAGATAGCGAGAGCTCGGCAGACTCCAAGGGTCGCAGACCCACACAACCACCGCCAAGCACGCTCTTTGATCTAGAGCACTTTGTTTCTCAAGGCTCTCAGGCTCGATCGCAGTCAGACAACATAAAGGAAGAGCTGGACGCAGAGTTTTTCGGCACTCAGGCCTTTCAGAGTGATATTCTCGAAATGGAGGCGCAGTTGGGTGGTCAAGACTCTGACGACGAATTTGACGAGGACTTCGATGGAGCTGAGCATAACGGTGCGGATGACACTTCTTCAGAGCCTCGCACACCTCGCAAAGATCGCAGTTTTCGATCTTCGACCCCAAGAACACCGGTCACGCCGCATAGGCAGACGCCTGCGAACGTCAGTAATGCCAAGTCTGCATTGCGTACTCCATCGAAGGCTCTTGCATCAACGAATACTGTCCGCTTCCACTCTCCGCTTCGACAAGGATCCACTTCGCGGCCTCCTTCTCCTGACAGTCCGGCAGACGTTGTCGACGCATCCTCGCCCCTCTTTCATAGCAGTCTCCCTACTCAGAGATCTGGCGGTCTGCCTGCCGCTACGATGGGGACGTCTGAATGGTGGCAAGCTCATCTGACTGCACAAATGAAATGGAGGGAGACTGCACAGACACAAGCTGCTCACAGAGTGACGGCAACTCAAAGCAAGGGCGGTATGACTGGCAAGACGACGATGGCCACACCTCCCCGCAGCACAGTGCCTGCACTTACCCAATTGGTGGCGTCTCAGACTTCGACGTCGACGCGCAGCAGCAATAGTGCGACGGCAAGGTCAGATATGCCCGGTCCGTCTGCCGCTTCTGCCGCTCCGCGCTCTGGTCTGTGGACCTACGCCGTACCTGCGCCAACAAAGCTCGAGGTGACTGCCTCCATGTCTCTCTTCGGGGTCCCTGCCATCGACTATCAGGATCCGTATTATAGCAACCCCGTCGATGTACCGGCCTACTCTCGCGAGTATGCAGGGAGAAGCTGGCGCTTTGCCTCGAAGACTATTCGCTACTTACCGGACTTCCCTGTCATGCAATGGGCTCAAGACGAGGAGAAGGGGTTTGACGTCACTCCACCGGGAGGCTCAAAGTCTTTGGCTCGCAATATGTCCGCTCGTGCCCGCAGGGAGGACATGGCTTCGCCTTTCATATCTCCGCCTAAGCCATCGGAGGGTCCCAAGTGGTGGCAGTACGGTCCGCCCCCACCAAGCCGCGGCAAGGTGCTGAGCTGGTCACGTACACAACGCCGTAAGCAGCGCAAGCTCGTGAGGGCTCGCCAACGAAGAGCTGCGGCTGCCACGCAGGCGAAAGTCTCACAGCCCTCGGGAGGCTCCTTTGGCTTCAAGCTGAGTCAGCGAAAGCCGGCTCGAAATGTAGTGCGGGAGAAGCAGCACATGACTATCCTAGCACTGGAGGTGCATGCCAACACCCGCGGGACATTGCTGCCGGACCCAACAAAAGACCCCATCGAGGCTATAGTCTACTCCTTTCAGAATGAAGACGAGGGCCTCGACGACACAGGGTCGAGACCCGGTCTGAGGACAGGGATGATTATCCTCAGCCCTGATATCGCTCGACCAATCATCGGCGACCGTCTCGGCCTCTCGCACCTTCCAATCGTTGTCGTTGAGAGCGAGCTGGAGATGTTCAACGCTCTGGTCGACTTGGTGCGAGAACTCGATCCCGAGATTCTCGTGGGCTTTGAGATTCACAATGGATCCTGGGGCTACGTCATCGATCGAGCCAGGCATACGCTGGAATTCGACCTTGTCCCAGAGCTGAGCAGGGTGAACAACCAGTCGACGGGCACTGCCGGCGGCAAGGCCGACAATTGGGGCTGGACGCAGACTTCTGCCCTGAAGATCACTGGGAGACATATCCTGAACATCTGGCGGCTGATGAGGGGAGAGCTCAATCTCAACGTCTACACGTACGAAAACATCGTCTTTCACCTCTTGCACTCTAGAGTGCCCAAATTTCCGCACACGGCAATGACAGAGTGGTACTCCTCTGGCAGACCATATCACATGGGCAAAGTCTTGAAGTATTGGGTGGAGAGAGTGGAGACCGATCTATTGATCATTGAGACTTCCGAACTGGTCTTCAGAACAGCCGAATTCGCTCGCATCTATGGCATCGACTTCTTCTCGGTCATCTCGAGAGGATCGCAGTTCAAGGTCGAGTCGGTCATGTTCCGTATCGCGAAGCCGGAGTGCTTCCTCTTGCCCTCTCCCAACACCAAGCAAGTGGCTGAGCAGAATGCTGCCGAGTGTCTGCCACTCATCATGGAGCCTCAGTCGGCATTCTACAAGGGTCCACTGCTCGTGCTGGACTTTCAATCCCTATACCCGTCAGTCATGATCGCACACAACCTTTGCTACTCGACTTGCCTTGGCAGAGTAAGCAAGTTCCAGGGGACAGACAAATTCGGTATAGTCAATCTCGAGCTGCCCAGTGGGTTGCTCAACCTGCTCAAGGACGATATCAACATCTCCGCGAACGGGCTCGTCTATGTGAAGCCTCACATACGTAAGAGCTTGTTGGCAAAGATGCTGACCGAAATCTTGGATACGAGAGTGATGATCAAGGGCAGCACCAAGGGAATGAAGAGCGACAAGGCCTTCATGCGACTCCAGAATGCACGCCAGCTCTCTTTGAAGCTGCTGGCCAATGTCACGTACGGCTACACGTCTGCCACGTTCTCGGGACGCATGCCCTGTGTTGAGATTGCAGACTCCATTGTGCAAACAGGCCGAGAGACACTTGAAAAGGCGATTGAGCTCATTCATGCGACCGGAAAGTGGGGAGCTCAAGTTGTGTATGGAGATACTGACTCTCTATTTATCTACCTGCCGGATCGCAGCAAGGACGATGCATTCCGCATTGGCAATGAGATTGCAGACGCCGTCACACATCAGAATCCCAAACCGATAAAGCTCAAATTCGAAAAGGTGTACTTGCCCAGCGTGCTGCTTGCGAAGAAGAGGTACGTCGGCTTCAAATACGAAGCGTTGGACGAGGAAGTGCCGGAGTTCAATGCCAAAGGTATCGAGACGGTCAGGCGAGATGGATTCCCTGCCTTGCAGAAGATGCTCGAGGCATGCATCAGGCTCCTCTTCACGACTCAGGATCTGAGTCTGGTCAAGTCGTATTGCCAAAAGCAGTGGAGGGCAATCCTTCAAGGTGCAGTCGCTGCTCAGAACTTCACGATCGCAAAGGAAGTCAGGCTCGGCAGTTACAGTGAGAATGGCGTGCCACCTCCCGGCGCAGCCGTCTCGACGCGAAAGATGCTGAGGGATAGGCGGAGCGAACCTCAGCATGCTGAAAGGGTGCCATACTTCATCACACAAGGAGAGCCAAAAGCCAAGCTCAACGATCTCGCAGTCTCTCCTGATGAGCTGATCGCGAATCCTCAGTTGCAGCTCAACGCCCTGTACTATATCCAGCGCGGAATCATCCCACCTCTGCAGCGCGTCTTCAATCTGCTCGGAGCCGATGTCGAAGCCTGGTTCAAGGAGATGCCCCGTCCAGTCTCGAACTCGAGTCATGCATCGGCAACAAACGACATGCGCCTGACGTTGATCGACCACTACAAACGCGACGTCTGTTTGAACTGCGCTCGACCTACAGAGCGAGATTTGTGCCTGGACTGTCGGCAAGATGCTTCTGCGACGATGTACTCTGTTCTTGCTGAGCACTCCGCCAGCACAAAGAAGGTGCAGGGCATCGAAAGTGTCTGTCGCCATTGTTCCGGCTTGACTGGGGTGGAGTTGAGTCCATGCGTCAGCTTAGACTGTCCTGTGCTGTACGAGAGGGAGGTGGTGCGGAGGAAGGAACGCTCGGCGAGGGAAAAGTTGGCCAGGGTAGAAGTGCTTCTCGAGGAATGAAGTGTGGACAGACAGGGCGGATAGTCCCGAGTGAAGGACAGCCACAGCGCATGGACGTGAGTCATGTGGATACCCAATACCAATACCTGCTTTGTCTCGTCACGTCACTTGCTCGCCCGCATGACTCTTTCGACCTTGACCGTCGGCGGTATCGGTGATGAAGCCGGCTTTGGCCTGGGCGCGACGAGGCTGTGCTTGGCTTGGCCCGCGCAAAGTGTTGCTCTCGGCGCGGAGCTTCAATTTCACGGCCGGTGTTGGTGTCCATTTGCATCCGCGGCCCCTGTTCACAATTCTACATCGCGATTGCCAGTGTCTCCTCCTGCTCTTCCGACTACTGATCATCCTCACGAACACTACGCATACACGATACCCCTGACACCACTCGCATACTATTCGCAATCACGATTAGAGGAGTCTGCGCTGCTCCCTACCGATAGCACTCTTCTGCTTGTATACCCGGCTCCAATATAGTCCGACAGCACTCAGAGCTACATCAGCAGACGAATGGGTCTCAAGGGGCTGGTTTCCAAATACTTGTGGTTGGGAGAAGGGTCAACTGGAAATGGTGATGAAGCCGTCGAGACGAAATACTCTCAAGGGATAGGAAACAATGGTGCCACTGTTACAAGCAATGGCAGAGGAGCAGCAAGGGACGTGAGTAGCGGGTGGAGAGAAGTGAAACAAAGTGGGGTGAAGTGTCGCGACCTTGGTCTTGAGGAGTGCTGACATTCGTTCACTCGCCGTGACTGCCACTTTGCCATGTTCTGCAGGCTCGCTTGACAGCTGTCACGTTCTACACTCGCCTCTTTGCACTCTTCTCCTTTTTCATCGCCCTCTGCCTAGCCATCGCTCTTACAGTGTTCCAGGAGAAGTGGGTTGGCAAGCCCTCTGGTCTCTCTGGCTTTCTCCTCTTCTGCATCTCTTCCCTCCTGCTGGTCATGATCATCTTGACAGCAGCACCTCTGGCGGCGGCAAGGACGCAGGGGAAGAAGGTGGCGCAGTTTGACAGGGCGTTGAGGGAAGATCGAGTGGGCTTTGTGCTGATGGGGTGGTGCTTGTCCGTGGGCTTCCTCATCTCGTGAGTCAAGAGCAAAAGGACATCAGAGAGACGCTGTGCAGCTGAGTGTACGTAAGACGCTGACACCTGCCCTCCTTTCCGCTTGCTCCTCAGTCTGACCCAGCTCATCTCGTCACTGGTCTCCAAAGCCTGCAAGGATCCATCAAAAGACCCTCATGCAACCACATCGCTGGGGAACGACGATGACTACCAGAAGGCTCTGGGCAGCTTCTGTGGCACAAAAAGGGCAACTACTGCTTTCCTTTTGATGGGCTGGCTAGCATGCGTTGGCCTCAGTGTTGTCTTCTTGCTCAACTTCAGGCAATCGCGCAAGGCAGGGCCTCGAATTCCGCCCTTTGTGCATCCTGGAGGAGCTTCGGAGGGACCTTTCCACGCAGTCGAGGGAGAGGACCCTGACGATGACGCGTACGGCAAGGGAGCGCAAGATGAGGACTATGCTGCCAGGTATCGCGGCTACGATGACCAGTACAACTACACGGCAGCAGTTCCAGGCACACCCGCTCCACCGGGCTCGTACGTGAACCCGCTGGCCGACGTGCAAGCAAAGTACGGAATGACACAGCCTCTGGCCATCTCGCGCCCGTCGTACGACCCGCCTCAGCCCAGTCAGCCCAATCCAGGGCCGCCCTCAAATCCTTTTGCAGAGGCCTTGGCCAATGCTCAGCCGCTGATGAGCCGGCCACCTCCGGCTCCGGCATATGAGCAGCATCCAGAGCCCATCAATGTTTACCAAGCCTATGGAGGGTACGAGGGAGCGGGAGACTCTGGGCACGGTGATGTACGTGTATACCAGCAAGAGTATGTAGAGCATCCATATCAGAATCAGGGAGGGTATGCAGAGCAAGGCTACTATGCCCAGCAGCAGCAGCAGCAGTATGCGCCTGTAGATTACCAGCCGCATCCGAGGTAGCGGCCAGGATGGATATACCCACTAGAGCGGGACACCACCATTTCCATATATACCTGCCACAAGCGCTCTTGTACATAGACATCCATCCTTGTTGCCCCGCTCTGAACAATGGCTGATGTGACGAGGTGTGCAGAGAGGGGCTGCGACGATACATGTGCGCCAGGCGGAGTCTCTTTCCGCCCGACGCGCTCGCGTAGACGAGGTGGAGTCGACCTTTTTCCGTCGACCCTTCTCATCTTGGTAGGCGACCCTCATCACCCATCTCCTCCGCTGAGCGCTCCTCCCTTGCAGACGCTGACACCTCTCACGATGCGCTGCTAAGCGTCAAGGTACCGTCGCCAGCCAAGAAGCGCTCCTCCCCAAGCAGGAGAGACGTCAAGGTGTCTCGCGAAGAAGGGCGCGGGCGCGGGCGCGAGGGCGAGATGGATGGGTATGATGGCGCGAGGGACGCCGGCGCCGTATTTGCCACTCCCTCGCATCATGCCTTTGCCGTACCCAGCATACCACCGCCACCGCCTGCTCACACTCATCGCATGCCATACGAGCCGCCACCCACGCCCAGCGGTCTCTCCCAGCTGGCCCACCTGCTTGCTCCTGCGCCTCCGCTTCCCCTCTCTACCAGCGGCGCGTCTCCATCCACCTCTCGCAAAGCGTCGGCGCTGAGTCCGTACGACGTCGCGGGACCTGTCTCTTCCTCGGCCTCTCGTCAGCGAAGCTTTCATCCCGCGTCTAGTCCAAGGGCACCCAGCAAGTCTCCAAGACCGAATACCTCGCAGGGCAGACCAGTAGAAGAACGCAACTCAGCATCCGCGTCACAGTCCGACTCTGGCTCCAACGCTGGCTCCAGAGTGGAAGCTAGCTCGCCCTTTGATGACGATGAGGACGACGAAGACGAGGACGAGGATGGGGATGAAGACCTCGTGGAGGAGGACGCGCCCATAGATTGGTCGGCCATTGATGCCAATGCCTTCTTCCAGAATTGGCTCCTACCGGGAGGAATAGGGGAGCAGCAAGAAGCGCCACCTTCCCAACGGCAGGTGGAGCCTGCCAACTTTGGGACGTCCATGCTGCCACAGCAGGTGTACACGCCCAACGGGTCTGTAGCGCCTGTGAACCACAGCCTCTATGGTCATCAGCAACAATCACACCAGCAGGACCAGCAACAACAGCAACAACAGGATCATTCTGTCCCAGCTGCCTCGCCAAATCTTTCAGCCGCAATTGAGATTTTGACAAAGGTCCTCGGTGAAGGACAAGAGGTACCTTCGCAGGTCCTTGAGATGCTGCTACAGTCCGTCGCGCCCACACTGGGCTATCAGCCACCCACGCCTAGTCAAGAGCCGGGCATCGACAGTCTCGTGCCTATTCTGAAGGATCTCATCAAGAAGCAGCAACAGCAGGAGCAGCAGCAGATGCAGAATGAGAGTGTCCAGGCGGGCAACGGCTTATCAGACGGTGTCCAGCAGCCTTGGTCAGGAGTCATCCCTCAACCGCGGAGGTCTGCCGCTGGACCATCCCCAATGCCAAACGTCTCATACAGCTCCATGACGCCGCATCATCAGCCCTTCAATTGGATACCCCTAGCAACCCCGGCAGACGATGACGAAGAGGATGACGAGGACAAGGACCCGTCGTACAATCCCACGACTCTCACAGGCGCACTGGGAATTCAGGATGCCCTGCAAGAGCAGATGAGCCAATTCCTCAATTCTCCCTTTGCTGTAACTCCGGCGGGACCAAGCAGCAATCGTCCGTCGCCTCTGCCTCAAGCGGTATCTCACCAACCTATCCAGTCTGCTGCAGCTACGGCATCTGTTCGCTCTTCACCTCGCAAGGCCCAAACGCTTCAGAGGAGACTCTCAACGGGATCTGCTTCTGAGAAGCAGTCTTCTGCCACCACTGCGCGTACTGGCATTAATGCAGCTGGACCCGTCTCTCCCTCACCAGCCAGCGAGAGCAGACTGGGACCTCGAGCAGAAGCGAGGAAGAAGGCGTCAGAAAATTTGCGTTTTGGAGACGAAGCAGGGCCTTCTTGGGATGCTCGGGGAGGAGGTGCGGCAGCCGGAAGGAAGAGCAAGAAGAGGGGCAGGGCCGACACATACGACAGCGAGGACGAGAGCAGACAATCTGCGCGAGATCTCTCACGTAGTCTCCCAGAAGATGCATCGACGCGGCGTGCTACGGCTCGACGACGTGACAAGGGTCGTCACTCGAACGCTAGCTCTAGAAGGAATGCAGGAGGTCGCGCTGGAGACGAGCAAGACAGGCTCGATCTCACTCCTTCACGCTCTCCTTCTCCGTCTCGCTCCTCACCCAATGGGAGAACCGAGTCGCCTACTCCTTCGCCTGTCAAGAAGCAATCCAACGCTGGCCGCAAGCCCATCTTTGATACCGAAGAGGAGCGCAAGGCCAAGCGTGCACAGCAGAATCGTCTCTACCAGCAAGAGTACCGTGCTCGGAAAAGGGCTGAGAAAGATGTTCAGGTGGATCGTTCGACAAGGGCTCCTGCTGCAGCAGCAGCAGCAACGGGCAAGGGCAAGGGCAACGCGTCTGCAGCGACTTCGACTGCAGGACAGGGCAGAGGTCAAAACAACAACAGGTCCGCTCAAAAGTTCACATCCTCAGCAGCAGGCCAAGAGGACGCCGCCCGGCTGCGCGAGGATTACGAGGAGATGCGCGAGGAGAATGCAGAACTCAAGGCGGAGCAGCGTCTCTTGCGTGCGGAGATGGAGCGGCTGCGCAGGGAGAACGTCGAGTTGCGAGTCGAGGTTGAGGTTTCGAGACGTCTCGCCATGGGAGGAGGTGGTGGAGGAGGAGGCAGCCACAGCAGCAAGGGTAGCGCTGCGCAGGGAGGAGGGGCTAGAGTCGTCTCACGCAGTAGAGGCAACGCCGGCAGCACTGCAAGGCGGGGTAAACGTCGCTCTGACCTAGAGCAACAGGACGAAGGAGAGGATGCTTACTCTTCAGATCAGGAGGGCTCCGCAGCGTCTGAAGGGTTCTCGGACAGCGAGCACGAGGATCGTGAGCCCAGCGGCGCCTTCCGGCGAAGAGGTGATAGTCGGCCCTCATCAAAGACTACTGAGAGAAGGGCAGGCGGCAATAGTCACAATGCTCGGCCGAGAGACCGCGAGCGAGATCGCGGGTCAGGCAGGCCTCATCCTCACTCGAGAGGATATCGTTGAGTGCGGCACAGCGTAGTGCTCGGCAACTCCACAAGGACGCGACAGGCGGTATTATGCGATGCCTTCTGGACGCTTGCCTTTTGGTCAGTGATTTCATTGTACATGTACACCTATGCTTCTCGACCGCCTCTGTATCATCCACATTAGAGACTGCTGCATCACTCAGCAGTCGCTTCAGATCAATTACACATACCCCATTTTGCCTGAACTTCTCAATATAAGATCATTTGCTCGCGGTGCTGCTCTACGTTCCTCATCCAAAGCTCTTCAAAGCAATGCTAGCCCCGGGCGTTCCACTCCCTGACGCGCCCGCTGACCTCGGAGGGCCATCTGCAGCGCTCCCTCCTCCTGCACGCCCTGCTCCGCCGCCTCTGGCAGCCTCGACAGCGTTGCGAATGCTGGTCTCTAGTGTCTCTCGCTCTGCACCTCCAATCCTGCCAGTAGCCTCCTTGAATGCCACAGGGTGGTGTGAGGCAAGAGAAAGCAGCGTCTGGACTGCCAGTGTGTGCAGGGGGGGCACTGCAGGTTGGGCGTTGGGGTCGAGACTGAGGATGAGCGTGGGCAGCAGGACAGTGAGGAGTCTGCCGCGATGCGAGTCAGGGAGAACACTGCAGAGCCCCTCGAAAGCCTTGAATGCTTCAGCTGTGACACCCAGGCTGGCGGTGGTGAGCTTGCCTTGTGATCCCACGTTTGCTGCGTACTCGACCATACTCGGAAGCAGCTGGCCAACGCAATACTGCAGCGCTGGACTCCCTTTGCCCGAGCTGAGAAGGAGCGAGCGTCCACACTGCGCAGCGGTCATTGCCACCTGCTGTTGCTCTTCATCACTCGTGTGAACCGCGGCCATCTTTGAGGTGATGTGATAACATGCATGCTCGAGCGCGGCTTGACTCAGCTTCACTGAGGCGGAAAGACTGGTGAGGACAATCGTCGTCGTCATCAGGCAATTCTTCGTCTTGTTGATGACAATCTGTCCTGCTCTGCCCCGAGTCTCGTCCATTGCGTTGAGAGCGGAGGACAGGAAGCCGTGCAGAGCTCGAGGAACAACGTCGCTCGATGGTCGCATCGTCGCCGTTGAGCGCTCACATATGTCCTTGAGGGTGGATAGCGTCGGACTGACCAAGTCAACCTCGACGTGCTCGTCGCGGAGCATATCGGAGTAGAGGTAGAGAGCGATGGACATGAGGTCCTCCTGTAGCGTGGGACCAAATGTGTCTGCAACGGTGAAGTATGCAGAGAAGGCAGCACGTACGAGCACAACCTTGTCGTCTGCCAATCCCGGCTGAAGGCGAGAGCGGGTGATGACAGAGACGATGATGCGGAGAAGCTGCGTCAGCTTGGCGCTGGAAGGGAGAGTGGAGGGGCCAGCCGGAGAGACGGCCGACGTGGGCGTCCCATCTCCATCCAGCAGACGCTCCTTGTAGCCTGTGGTCAAAGCCACAATCAGCTCTACCACTTTTAGCTGGATCTTCATGCTTTCCGTCATAACGATGCGATAACACAGATTGCAGAGCTCCGCAAACTGCCCTTCTTGCAAGAGCGCTGTGCCCGCATAGACTGGGTTTGCCAAGCAGCACATCGAATCGAGCGCAGCTTGCATGATCCGCACCTGTCGAGCAGCCTCGATGGCGTTGCTAGAAGTAGAGCCAACGTGGGAGGCGAGTGACTCAAAAGCCAGACCATAGAGTACAAAGAAGAAGATGGTCGGCTCGCTACGGAAGGCGGAGGGCGTCGGAGGTGGAGAGGTAGCGCTCACGACCTCGCCATCCATGGCCTGCGCGACGATTGGATCGTTTTGCTTCATCAACACACTGATGGCCTGTAGCATCTTGAACCAAGACTGTTGGTAATGAGGGTACAAGACATCCCGGGCAAGACCAGCGTACTGTGAGTCGAGGCTGGGATTGACCACGACTGCCCCCGCGCTGCCGCTCATGAAGTCCATGCCCATACCGCCAGCAGAGCTATCTGGATCGATCTTAATCTTGGCATACTCCCGGAGACTGCCGATCCAGTATGGGGCCAGGGAGGGCAAATGCGGTCGCACTACTTGTACTAGGTACTCCTGCGTGACGCTCGCCACCTCGAGCTCACTCCAAGCTGTGAAGACGGCGACCTTGAGCATAGCGGCAGCGTTCGGTGAGAGGTCCTTGACATCGCCCAGGGACTGCATTTCGGGGTCCATGCATGATGTTAGGGCGGCCACGAGCTGCTTGAGGATCCTGCCCATCCTGTCCACCTCTCGCACCACGCCGGATCCGACGAAGACGGCGCAGACTCGCACGGCAGCTGCAAGTACCTCGGGTGTGCTATCTGCGAGGAATGCAGGTGTAAGAGCCGCCGCAATAGGGGCCTGGTGCTGCTCGAGCAGCAGCGCTTCCTCAAAGTCGGGATCTCTGGCTAGCTTGAAGCACTCAATGACGTCTTGCAACACCACCAATCCTTCGAGGCGAATCTCTGCATTGGCGGCTGTACTAGCAGTGAAGGCCATTCGGATGAGGTCAGTGACACGACTGCTCATCAGGGCGCGAGTTTGTTGAGGCGATAGATTGGGAGGAGGAGCTGCAAAGTGCTCGAGTCGACCCGAGCGGCGGACGACGGCGAACACTTCGTGCAGGCATTGAAGGGCGAAGAGCTGTGTCCTCCACCGACTGCCCTGCAAAGCAGCTGCGTCATTACCAGCTCCTCCATCTCCCAGGTCGATGGCAGCAGCTTCCTCATCTTGCAGCATGCCAGGCGGCGGAGCGGCTGCGGTCGTTGCCGCTGGCTTGGGACCCTTGGCGACTCTGCTCATGATACGCTGACACAAGTCGATCCAGCTGCCTGGACTTAGGTCGGCTGTTTGACGCAACCAGCTGAGAAGCACCTCTCGGACTCCGTCCATGCTAGGCTCCAGATCGAGCTGGGCGAAGAGGTCAGCCACCAAGGCATCGCCCCCAACTTTGCTGACCAACAGCGCTTGACGTTGGACAAGCTGATAGAAGCCGTGAATGGCGGCGAGCTTGCGAGGTCGCTTTCTTGATCGTAAATGGTCTGTCAGCTGGCCGATGTAAGCTTCGACATCGAGCTGATCGGCTGCAAAGAGGCAGAAGTGTTGGGTAGCTTTAGTCGCCTCCACGACGGCTCCGTCATCCTTTTCTTTCGAGAATTCGCGCAGCAGAGCGTGGATGAGGGCTGTGACTTTGGAGGGTTCCTGCAGGTCGGGACCCAATACGCCGATTAGGGCACTGATCACCCGACAAATGGCCTGGTGAGCGGGCAATTCAGCTCGAAGGTTGACGGAACCAGCGCTACCGCCCTCTGGCTCATGTGTGTCTAGCATGTAGAGTTTGACGAGCATGCCCAGTGTTGATGTGACGTAAGCACTATAGCTCAAGCTGGCCGCTTCGATGACGTATCGCAGGGCTTCTAGAGCAGAGTAGTGGACGGTAGGATGTGGGTCGCTAGACAGGGACATGAGGACATTGACAATGGTCTTCGTCAGCGGTCCTGCTGAAAGACCGCCTACCTCACTGTAGATGGCTCCGAATGCAAGAGCGCAGCCCGCTCTCGCATCCGGATCTCGGTTGCTGACGACCTGGTCGACGAGGAATTGCACTTGACTCGACATGGCATGAGAGCCAGCCACTGCCGCAAGACGCCCATACGTCTGGCTACTGACGGAGCGCAGGACAGCATCGCCGTGCAGAAGGGCATCTTTTAGTACCTCGCGTAGGGCCGTCGTCAAACGGTCATTGTTAAAGCCAGCCGGCCGCTTCCCTGCGATGCCAATTCCACCTTGCATGGCTACCCTCAATGCACCCAATGTGGCAACGCATGCGTTGATCTGTATGGCAGCGCGCCTGCCAGGGTTTCTGTCCAGCTTCGAAGAGCGGCTGTAGGCGAGCATCGTCTCAAAGGCGGAGATCTGAACATCGCGAGCCTGAAAGGGTAGCAGGATGGCGAAGAGCTCCAACGCAGCATCTACCATTGCCGTTGCAGGAGGCGGGGGCAGGGGAGGCTGACTGCGTGAATTTTCATCGTAGCGGGCAAAGAGGACGAGAGGATCGTGCTCCGCTGCTCCCAGCACAGGCCGCCTCTGCAAAGCGTCAATTTGAGCCTCGATAGAGTCACGATTGAGAAGGTCGGGGCGAGTTGTAGCACTGGTGGATCGGTAGCGCTCAGAACCAGATGCCTCGGCTATGAAAGTCTCCTCGTCTCGCTGCAGACTTGTCACTCCAAAGCCGTAGCCATCCTGCATGGCCCACAGTGTGGTGAAGGTACCCGCGCTAGCAGCAATGGCTGCCTGAGCAGCCGTGCCAACGTACCGGTCTGGCTCGGCAAACGCTTGGAGAGCGACGGGGATGAGCGCGTCCTGCAGGGGTTCCATGGCGGTGTTGGTGGAGAGGGAAGAGAAGCACTGGAACAGGCGGCGACGAAGCATGTGCTCGCGGTCCAGCAGCGTCAGGGAGCTGCGTTCAGCGCCTGGGATCTCCTCTTGAGCGAGGTGAGGATGCTGAGAGGAGAAGCCGTCTACGAATGCAAGTGTGTTGCTTAGCAGGGCTACAATGCGTCGAGCAGTGTCCAAGGTGAGAAGGCTGCGGCTGTTGTGATTGAGAAAGGCAAGGATGCAGCCGAGGGTGTTCTCTCGTACATGGAGCAGGAAGGCCCATTCGGCATCAGAACGGGTAGATGGGCCAGGCGTCGTGTCTTTGGCCGTAGGCTTCGGCAAGGCATTCCTCCAGAGGAGCAGAAGCTGGGGCAGGTGGGAGCGAACAAAGTTGGGTCCTAGCGACATGAGAGCACCGAGCAAAGTCCAAGCAACTTGAATCTCGACGCCAGAGATTGGCAAGGAGTGGTTGCCGCAATTCTTGAGGAGCTCTACGGCTAGGGTGAGGACTTGTGAGCTGACATCAAAGGAGGTGTAGAGAGGACGCGAGGGGATGATGGCAACGAGAGCAGCAAGGCCTCGGGCGTGGCCGACGGCTCTGCGTGTCAGCTCAGCACCTCCGCGTTCTCCTGCGGTATCGAGTGACACGAGGTCTTTCTTGACGGTGTCGATCAGAGCAGCGACGGTGGTTGGTAGCTGATTGGGGTTGATAGTGCAGAGGACGCGCAGACACCAGGCTGCGCTAATTTGAACAGAGTGGCTGGGATGTCCAAGACAGCGCAGCAGGGGTTCATAAAGGGCGTCGAGGATCTGCGGTGGAGCTGTGCCCAGTTGGGACAGCAGTCCTGCGACTTCGTTGAGGGCCATCACGAGGGTATACTTTGAAGGTGGTGCTGGCTGGCCTGGCATCACTACCGGCCATCGCTTGATGAAGCTCTCACAGATTTCTTGCACTGCCAGGACCTGTGCAGGCTCCCCCAACATGCGCTCCCCGATAATTCGGCGTAAGATGAGCTGAATGCCTGTTCGTAAGCTCAAGACCTCTGCGCGATTGGCAGTGGAGCGGAAGTGGTTTGGAAGTTCGTCAATCAGATGACGCGCGATGAGGGCGTAGTTGGCTTGCGTCCAAGTAATGCCTAGTGTTGTCATGAGGGTCGCGTAGACGTCTAGGAGGGCAACGCGAGTTCGCTTGGAGCTCGATGATCTCTGAAAGGGCTGGGCAATCTGGTCGAGGACTTCTGCTGGGGAGAAGAGTGTCCGCGAAGCTCCCCCCGCTGCCGCTGAAGCAGCTTGCTGCGCTGCTGCCTCTTCTTCCTCTGAGTCGGCGCCATCAGCGCCTTCCTTTTTCTTCTTGGCTGACCGCTTTGCAGAAGTCGGGGGTGGGGGAGCAGAATTCTCCGCCTGTGTAGAAGCTAGCAGGCCAGCACAGAGGCGAGATAAGCTGCGTTTCGTCACGTAGTCGGCGGTCTCCAGGGCTTTGAATGCTGGCGAGATGACGGCTTCGATTTCGCTCCGACTGGCGAGGTAGTCGGTCTGGTCGGCTAATGACAAGATGCACTGGCGAGGGGCAGGGGAGGGAGTGGTCAGGGAGAAGGGGAGAGGATGTCAGCTAGGTAGCCTTTGCAAGGTGGTCTCCACTGATCCTGCTCACCTCTGTACAGCCTCGGACAATGGCTCCAGCTTTGTCCGCCAAGCCCAAGCGCAGATTCTTGACAATCTCCTTGGCCGGCTGATCGTTGAGACTCTTGGCTCCCACGAGCAGAGCCTTTTGCAGACATGTGAGCGCATGGTAGCGCAATATGACTGGGGATGCGCTGCTTCTGAAGAGCTTCTGTGTGAGGGCCGTAATCTCCAGAAAGAGGGACATGACATTTTGGCCCTGCACTGCGAAGATCTCCCCGAGGATGTAGAGGGCCGCGACCTTGGCTTCCTTTTCGGCCACGTTTGGCTTGATCTTTGTCGGCTCCTCCCCGGCGATGCGTAAGAGGGAGTGGGAGGTCTCGAAGAGGGATCGCGATTCTGCTCTTTGCAGCAGCAGGATGAGACAGCGAGCGATGAGTTGTCTTGCTGGGCGGCCAGGCTTGGGCATCTGAGCTGCAGGAGTACGGCCCTTGGAGGAGGAGGAAGGCAAGGGGGAAGGCGAGGAGGTTCCATCGCTTTCGCCGGCGGCAGAGGAAGAAGGTGAGACGATGCGGAGGAGCGTCTTCTCCAGCTCCCTTTGTTGAGCCAGCAACGTGGACTGCAGGAGGGGTGGAGGGAGTATGAGCGGAGGAAGCCGAGTGCAAGGAGAGCTCCGCCGTGGCTGCTGGCTACTCACTACGTCTGCCTTTGTGAGCGCCGTCTCTACCTTTGCGAGCCATTGTAAAAGAAAGACTTCGCCTTGTTCCGAGGTAGCAGCTGCTGTGAGTTTCGCCTGGTACGCCCGAGGTGGGAGGGAGTTGGGAGACGCAGAGCGCGCTAAGCTATGCTGCATAGTAGACCACCATCACCGGTGCTCTCGGCCCACTCACCTCGTCTAGCTGTAGATCATCAGCATAGCGCCTCTGCCTCTCGGCGTCGCTGTCCGAGGTGCTCATGGCAGAGGGATCTGATGGGGAGGAGAAGAGAAGAAGGGGTATATATGCGGTTCAATGGCAGTGGAGTAGGAAGGAGTCGTCTGATGGTGTTGGACGCAGCGGGGCGCGTGGCTGGCTGTGGCTGCTCGACTCGCTCCCTTTCCGCAATTGCAGCTGTTTCTTCCTCCACGGCCATCATCCATTCCACCTTTGGCCTCGTACGGAGGCGTAGATAGAGGTGACGAGTGAATCGAAGGTATCATCGTCGGGTGACTCTTGGTTCATCTCGGCGTCTCACTATGCCTGTTGATCCCACCACTGCAGCCATTGGCTTTCCCGGCGGATCCGCAAGTCTGTACCACCTCCATGCAGCAGTCGCAGCGCTACTCCCGAGTACCAGCAGTAGTGATAGCTCTGGGAGCAGTACCTCGCTGCCTCTTCCCTCGGCTTCTCTCTGCCACTCGCGAGCCTTTCTCCTCGATCTCAAGAGTCAGGCAGATGATGTTGCTGGTTCAAGCTCAGGCTCAAGCGCGGCTCCAGCGGTAGGAACGTCCAGGTCAGGCCTCTGGCAGACCGAGCAGGAGCGCGAGCGGGAGGCATCCGAGTCACTCTCATTGATCAGCAGACGGCACAGAGGAGAGGAGAGGGCACTTGGTGATGCGCTGGACGCTCTGCCGGCGCACTGGAAGCTGCACAATGCCTTTTGCTCGCGGTGCGTGGGCGTAGTAGTGCCGGGGATTACTGCATCCTCACTGGTCGGCAAAGGCAAGCAAAGGGAGGTCGAGCCGCATCGCGTAGCGCAAGGCGTGACTCTAGGACCAAGATCCAAGGATGCCGTTCGCAAGAGGAAGAGGATGCGGCAATCTGCAAATGCGGACCTAGACGGCCCACCACTGGTCTGTCTCCTCTGCCAGACCGGCAACACTCTCGCAATGACGTCCAGCAAGCGGCGGAAGGATCGCCATTTGGAAACTCCAGCTGGGATACTCAAGAGCTATTCTCCATTGACGAGTGAAGAGAAGCTGGCAAAGAAGGCCAGTCTAAGCAGATTTCAGTCTGTCCGGCGGAGGGAGGGCGTGAAGGAGGTGGGCGCAGCGAGGCAGGAGACACGTCCGCCAGCAGCTCAGATGTCGGTCAAAGTTGAGAAGAGCCAGCTCGAGCCTATGTCCTCGAACGATACGAGCCAGGCTCAGAGGGACAGTGGTAGTACTTTGCAAGCAGGCGGAGAGGGCAACACGTCGAAGAGGTCTCTCCAGCCAGACATCGCAGCGCCGAACAAGACGATGCTCCTTGCCTCGCCGGCACCGCGTAGTAAGCAGTCCGAACAGAAGGCTCTATCGAAGGCGCTCCTCCCCGACCCTACGGCCAATACTCCCACATCGAAACCCCCCGCCAAGACCACAGCCGCTCTACCGGCTGTCCAGAGCGGAACGGGCAATAACAAGAAGAAGGACCACAAGGCTGCTCTGCGTGCCATGCTCGCCAAGGGCGGGGCGGTGGAAAAGAAGGGGAGCAGCAGCAGTAAGAGCAAGGAGGAGGAGCGACCAGCGTCTGGGGGAGGAGGTGGGGGACTGAGAGACTTCTTGGCTGGCTTGTGAGGTAGAGAGGACGGCGAGGCGCGGGAGACTGTGACAGACACCTAAGCTGGCTGTTTATGCACTTGTACATTGACATTGTAGAGCTACATCCATGCGCAGTCTTGAGTGATGGTGACGAGCGTTCCTTTCTTTTGCATTGCAGGGGTATCATGACAATCCTCGTCCACTCTCACTCAAGTCAGCTCCTATTCCTCTGCTTGCTCAGCGCCGCCCTGCCTCCCCGAACCATCTGACACTGAGCACGCTCCTGGCAACCCCACCCCTCACCGCCCTCTCCTCGCGCATAGCATGCTTCCACCCACTCTTGCGGTCATCCTCTTCCAGCCCCGCCAGCAGGGCGTGCACTCCACCACCCAGGCCAAAGTAGTAGTTCTTCGTCGCAACAAGCGAAGTCGTCGCCGACGTTGAGAGAGGGGCGGGTGGAGCAGATGTAGAGGAGGGAGGAGAGGGCGCGCTGATGTTCCGCATCACCTCGATGAGTGTCGCGATGCCCGAGGGATTGTACGTCGTCTCGCTCGTGAGGATCAGGTCCGCGTGGATGGCCTTACTCGATGGCTGTTCAGAAGTAGTGATTGCTCCTGCCTCTTCGTCGAGCTTGACGTCGCTCTCATCTGCAGCAAGGTCCAGCCCCTCCCACGGCCCAGCATGAAAGGCGAGGTGAATGCGCCTCTCCCGCAAGCTCGCCTGGAACGCCTCGACGAGCTCGTCGGTCACGTCAATCTCTCCCGCATCGTCGATGTGCTCAGCAGTGGCAAAGTGGTATGCCAGGAGGAGGTTGGGCAGCGTGACCAGCGTCAGGACGTGGGTGTTGAAGTCGCAGAGGTGCACGTGGGTAGGCGCGGCGGAAGCCGGTGGGGTGGTGGTGAGCAGGCGCTGGAGGAGGTAAAGGGAAGGGAGAGAGGTCCCACATCCGAGCTGCATAGTGGAGCAACAGACTGTGTCGCGATGAGTGAATTGCAGGAGCGATGCTGCGAAGGCTTAGAGCCGACTCACCTCGACTATCCGTTTTCCGTGGTACGAAGTCGTCTTGCCAATCTCTTCCAGTACCCCGACGAGGTCTAGCGAGCACTCCCACGTCTTCAGACCTCCTGAGAAGCGACAGATACGACGAAAGAGCCGCGGCAATCGTGAGTGAATGCAAGCACACGAGGTTGTAGCGCGGTCTGCAACGCAGCACTGATGGTGAGCTCTGCCATCTCGCACACTCACCCTCGTACTGGCCAGGTATCAGATCACTCTCCACCCCAATCGCCTCTTCCCCCTCGCATACCATCTGAAAGCGTGCATCAAAGAGGTCTCTACGCGGGAGAGTGATCCCGCCCACCTTGACCGTCGAGTAGGAGAGTCGCTCCGGCAGCCATGACAGGAGAGAGGTCAGGGAGAGCGATACCGAGGGGACTCTGGGCGGCGAGGTGGTTGCAGCAGCGGCAGCAGTGCTAGCAGAGAACGATCCTTCTTGCTCGAGGCCATCTAGCTCTTCCTCCTCTGCAGAGAAGCCGAATGAGAATGCCATACCGATCAAGGAGTGGACGAGCAGGCGGGCGAGGTGGTCCAGCTAGCTGCGTAGGTCGGTAGAGGTGACGCGAGGTGACGCCCGTGAGCGGCCGGGCGGAAGGACGAGAAATAATTCGCGTGGCGTCGTTGCGGAAGCGGGAGAATAAAAAATCCAGGGGCGGGCCGCCCAAGAGCCGGGCATCCGCATGTCCCAGCATCTCCCATCTTCGCAGCACTCTTCTGGGCTGCCAATGCACCAAAAGAGTCCTATGCAAGGCCCAGAAGAGCAAAAACAAAACGAAGCGACGCCAGCAGGATTCGAACCTGCGCCCGCAGAGCGGAGAAGATGGGTTAGTATGATACAATTCATTCTAATCTTCCGGAGTAGACCACTGTCCCATGGCGCCTTAGAGCGGATTTACCGCTGATTTGTGATTGCTTCGGTCGGGTCAAGGTATATAAACCTTTGCGCTGGAGAGACCTTTCTGGAAAATTGCCTGTTCAGAGTGTTGCCCGTCGTAGACCACTGCCCCATGGCGCCTTAGAGCGGATTTACCGCTGATTTGTGATTGCTCGTCCAATCTCGCGACGTGTACGAGGGCTACCGCTCCCGAGTCGCGGCTGCGCACTGGCCACCGATGCAGTCGTAGCTCTGTAAGTCAGAACGGCTGACAGTGCGGCTCGCACTTTGAGCACGCCTGTGCTCGATTTGCCAACACTTCTTGGGCCAGGGGCCTCAGGTGAGGAACGACGAGGCTGAAGACAACATACATGCTGCGCTGAGAAGGTGGTGAGAGGTCGAAAGCACATTGCGGCGGGAAAAAAGCAGTAGGGGACGCTCGCACGGGTATGATGTCACCGGTACACTGCCAATGCGTGCCTGCCAATGTCAAGTGGATGTCACGAGCAAGTGCACCAACCTTCCAGTCGCACGTCACGTCGGGAGCTGTTGTTGGACGATACGGTGATCGCAAAGTATTTCTTCATAGTGCTGACAAGCTCCTTCATTTCTCTATGTGTGTCTGTGGCTCACTCTACGATACAAGGGTGAAAGTACAGGGCTGGGAGACTAAGATCGCTCTCATTTTGCCGCTTTACAGCTATTGTCGCTCGGTGATCCGCTCTCATTTCTCCCTCTGGCTTACAGAGCCGTTGTGAAGCTTCCTGCGTTGATCTGCTAATCGGCAAGTCGGGAGCACATCGAAGAGACGACCTGCTCGGACAGCATCATGGCACCGGTCTTCCGCCTGCCGTGCATGTCCACGAGCACCGGCCAGCGGAAGACATCCCTCCTGGCGTCGCTTGCCCTCCCGACGAGGGCCATAACGTCTGCCATGGGCAGGCGGCGTTCGTCCAGCAGAGCCTCCAGCAGACCACTCCGACCAAGCCTCCAGCAGAAGATGCGATCGCCCTGTTCATTGAAGACTACGTCTTCGCTGATGATCAAGTCCTGATCTTGTTCGGGGACATCTTCGTAGGTGAGCAAGTCGAAACGGTCAAGGTACTTGACTTGCCACGGACAGTACAGCTGGCGACGCTTGAATCGAGCATCCTCTGGGTCTCTACAGGCATCCCCCTCAAAGCAGAGGTGGATGAAGTTGCCTTGCTGGATCCGCACAATGGCAGACTCATTACAGAGTCGGCGGTGGTACCAGGTGTGCGGCATCCACGAGCCGAACAACCGGAAGGTCCAAGCCAGGTCTAGGCATGCCTGAGCAGGACTGATGGCGCCGTAAAAGGTTCCTTCGCCACTTGCTCCTCGCACGCGAGCGATCCTGGCCGCCGTCACCACATTCTCCGCTATACTTGCTCTCCTCGCCGGCTCGTCCACCCGAGTAGCAGCAGCGGCTTGCTGAGCAGAGATCCCTACCCGGAGCCCTCGCCACCACACGATCCATGCTTCGACCGCTGCAGCCTCATCGACTGCATTCCGGTCAATGTGGGCCGGGAGGTATAGTCCTCGCAGCGTGCCGCCCGTCCGCTCAAGGATCGAGGTAATTTGGGGCTCTCGATCTTCGGCGGTGATGTCATTGAGGTAGGCGCGGGGAGTGGCGTGTCGGCGCTGGCCAGCTCGATAGAGTCTGACCTCTCGATTCCACAGCTCCTGATCCGTCACCTCCAACGCTCGTCGTCTGCCCGGTGCATTTTGTAGGGAGACCAGAGCACCGTACCGGTCGGCGGCACAGGTTCGCCACTCTGCCAGCACCGCCTCGAGTCCCATCGCCTCGGAAGCTGCCTGCGTAGCAACGACCGCCTCTCTCGCGCTCGTTGCTCGCTCTGCATGATCGCAGAGCAGGAGGACCTTGAGGCAGGAAAGACCGCACAGCACGTGGAGGACAGCTCGAAGCACATGGTCGCCATTGTACTTTATGACGCCAGCGTGAAAAAGCACAATTGCTGCATTGTGGCCCTCTCCCACCTCGACGACGTGCAGAGTGCCTGCCAGGCGAAGGAGGTTGCGTGTCGCCAGAGACCTCAACGTGGCGTTGACCGGGAATACGGGCCGAGGCAGCCGAGAGGACATCCCACGGCGGACCACCAAGCACTGGTGCACCAGTGCAGAGTGCAAAACGAGCACTTGAGGCCCGTAGTGCTCTTCACGGGCGAGAGCCAGGTTCCGCAGCAGAGCACAGAAGAGCAGTAGTTCGGCGCTCCTCTGCCTCCTGTTCAGTGGGAACAGTTCTGCGCTTGCTCCGAGGGCTTGAAGAGTGGCCAGCTCGGTCTGCGTGGCGGTCCTGGGGGTGATGCTGGCTCTAGCGGTGCTGGTGGTGGCATCGTTGGACGCGGCGGGCGTGTTGACTCTATTGGTGCTGCTGCTGCCGTTGTCGTCGTTGCTGTCGTTGCTGTCGTTGCTGTCGTTGCTGTCGTTGCTGTCGTTGCTGTCGTTGCTGTCGCTGCTGACGCTGCTGACGCTACTGACGCTACTGACGCTGCTGATGCTATTGCTGTCATTGTCGCTGCCGTCGCCGTTGCTGCTGCTGCCGTTGTCGTTGTCATTATTGCTGCTCTCTGTCGCCCAAGCCATGGCGCTCTTGAAGGAAACCCGGGTCCAGCAAAGGGTCCGAAGCGAGTCGCTTGGCCCTGCAAGTCCTCCAGGGTGATGTCCTTGAGGATGTGCAAGGCTCTCCCAGGCACCGCAGCATATAGAGCAGAAGCAGCGAGCACTTGAGGGGACATGGTAACCTCTAGAGCGCCGGCGGCGATTGGGTAGAGTTCCCGTGCTCTAGCCAGGACTCGTAGGTCGAACGCTTGGTCTGCAGCCCTTATGGAACCGATTGCCCTGGCAACTTCATCACGCAATGCTATCACCTGAGCAGGGACGACGACGGGAGGGCAGAGTGTGTCAAGGCCCCCGTAAGTGGCCGAGTTGAGAGTCGCACTGCCGAGTGACGAGCAGTGAGCCAAAGCGGCCTCTATCGGCGCGACCTCGGCATTGGCCTTCTTCAGAATCATAGTCCTGGAGAAGTTCAGAGGGATCGGCGTCAGCCCCTCTACTGCTGCCGTTGCTGCCGTTGCTGCTCTCATGGTCTCTGCCAATCTTGCCCATCCACAGTCGTCGAGCATGTCGTCCAGCGGCATGCTCTGAGGACGGTGCACCTCTACCTGGATGCCACAGATAGCGTAGGTCCTCCATTCATCAGCAGGGGCAAACTCTCTCATGAAGTTAAGGAGGCGAGTGGTAGTACCTGCTGCTGCTCGAGCATTGGCATTCGTGCCGTCGTGCTGCAAGCGGTAGTAAGGCTCTCCGTCCACACAGATGCCAACGTATCGGAAGGACCTCTGGTTGAGCAGCTCTCTGGCGGCCCTCACCCGTTCTCGTTGGACAGGATGAGCTGCCTCGAAGGCGTCCAGCGTGGCCTAGACGATAGTGCGTGATAGAAGAAGCAGCCACTTGCGAGCATACAATAAGACCACGGATCCCAAAATCCTGTCGATGTCTCTGCACTCGTTCTCGTCGAGGATGATGGTCTTTCACTCTTATGTACTGGTTGCCAGTACTGCCGCTGTTGCCGGCATTGTAGGTGCATAGATGTAGCAGCTCCTGATGGATCGGAGGCTCCAGGTGCAAGTGCATTGAGGAATGTTAGGCAGCGCTGCAGAATGGCAGCAGGAGGAGCCAGTGGGACGAGCATCCAAGCGATTTGCTATTCTTAGTGCAACCTCAAAAGCCTTCTTGACGAAATCATCTAGGTCAGCAGCCGTTGAGGAAGGTCTAAGGCCCAAGTATGCTCCAGTCCAGTGTCCGAGGGCTCTTAATCTGCTCGAGGCCTTATTGGCTGATACCTTTGTAGCCAGTATCCGATCAAGTATCCTACACTGTCAAAAGCATGGTGAGCTGAAGTGTGAGCTGAAGCGTCGCTCAGCAGGAAGATGCCTATTAAAGATGAGTACTCACCTAGTATTGGTCCAGATGATGGCTCAACGAATTTGCAGTAAGCTATCCCTACGTTTATGAAGTGCGATGTAACTGAACGAAGGGATTATGGTGTCAGCTGAGCATTCACAGCGTGGCGGGACAATCGCTCAGCCTTAGACACCCACCTGGTTGTTGATCCGATAGAGAGACAGCAAGGGGCCTTTAGTGAAGCATCACCGACAGAAGACCGAGTGGGGTAAGCTCTGTAGTGGACGATGAGACAGGTCAAGGCAGAGTGAGAGGATGATCAGCATCATACAGGTCACACTCCCGGGTAGCGTGCATTGCATATGCACTGTCAATACTCACCTCGATGTGTGACTCAGTGTCGATGGATGTCGAAGAAGGAGTCATGCGACCTTGGAGAAAGTATGACTGATGATCAGCGATGCCTCTGTATCGAGGTAGTATCTGTGAATGGACGATATTGAAGAGAGAAGAAGATAAGGTAGTGGTGGAAGGTCAGCTTGACTGTATGATACCCCTTCGGCCTCCTCTTATGTGTACCTCTTCGTTAGTACTCACCTCGACGTGGTCCTCAGTGTCATTGTCCATGATCGTCGGTGTCAAGGAGAATGTAGACTCTTGTGGCCAGCACAGTGAGGATGCTCGTGCTTCAGTAGCGAAGGGGCTGGACGAGAGACAGCTATGTACGGTAGAAGGGTGCCAGATGCAAGTCAGGATGGAGGTCGACTAAGAAATGAGGCTTGAGTAGAGTTTAGGGTAGCGAAGGAAGTGTGGGGACAGTGCCTGAGGGTCTGACTCGATCGAGAAGATGGTGAGGAGATGGAGGAGGCAAGAGAGTGAGACTGCGACATCTGGCCTCCCTTAAGTACTTTAAAGAAGGGCGAAGGATGGACGGCAGAGTAAAGAAAAAGGGTACGCGCAGTGGCAGTGACCTCATCGTTAGGATGCAAATTGACTCAGCAGGCACCGGCGGCTGGTGTCCGAGGGTGGCAAAGGTACGAGCTTGGGAACGGGATTGCAGTAGCAAAGGCAAAGACGGGCCGCTATAGAGACCTCGCCAAGACCGTGACGCCGAAGTGGCTGTATCACCCGACTGTTCCCATGGTGCATTGAGGAGGTTATGTTTCATTAGGCGCGCTGATCAACGAGAGCTGAGCGACCTGACTAGCGTTGGCTATCGCTCTTTCACGATGGAGTTGAGCTTCGGGCGGTCAAGCAATGCTGCGAGGGGTCGCGGCCTCGACGCAGCAACCGGTGTGCTTCGGAGCAACATGGGTGCACGGACGACTCAGGAACCATTCCGCCGAGCACACACGGACATAAGCGTCAGTCTTTGTTGGTAGCAACTGTGATGTGATGAGTTCAACAAGGCTGATCTCAGAGACCGAGTACCTGCCCAGTCTTCGTGGTGTGATGTCAGTGGTCGACGAGTCATGTCCCGTCCCTGATCACCTCCACCCTGATCTGTCAGCACGACGCTGGTGGTACACACTTTGTCGTGGGTCACTCAAGTATAGTCACAAGCAGAGACTTACAGATACGAATCCCACTCCCTTCACGCACCCTCTCGAAGCGCAAGCCTCTGTCAAAGCGCAAGCAACTCTGTACATTCAGCCTTCAGGCCCACTCCCTCGGCACTGCAAATCCTGCTCCTCGCCGATCTGCCTCATCCTCAGCCTCCAATGATCTGCCTGCGACGGTAGCTCCGCCCACTTTCGTTCCTTTGGACTCTGACTACTGTCAGGCCCTCTCAAGTCAAGTCTAAGTGCCATCAGCCGTAACGTTGCCCGCTGGTGATTGAACGACCTTCCAACGATGAAAACGTCTGGAAGTGAGCAACCTTGACCTTGCTTTCAGATGATCTGCTCGACAGCAATCGTGAGACTCAGATCAGCCCTCGCAGGACTGCGAAACATAGCGCCACCTTCAGGCACTCCCGGCTGCGACTACCCTTGATTGGTCGATCCTGCTCTTTGAATTCCTCTTCGAACTTCTCCGAGAAGAATAATCGTTGAACAGTGAGCTTGACGATTCTACCAAGCGCTATCGTGGCTACTCTGCGAGCGCAGACCTTTACGAGATTGAGCATGGTCCCGCCATCATCTAGCCTCTTGCCCAACCTCTCGCCTCCGACTCGCCGACTCTGCCTTGACATGTTGTACGTTAATCTAGCCAATTCGAAGACAGACTTCCCACCTTGTATTGACGAGTGACACCCATCACGATTTTGACCGGAGCTTTCGCCGTCGGAAGATAGTGAGGGCGCTATCACCTTTACGCTATGCATTGGAGCGGCGACAGATTGCCCGGCCTTGCAACGTGGTAGTCACGTGCAGTGGGTCCTTGGAGAGCTGTAATACAGAGCAGCCATCGGCAAGCACTCGGCATGGTGCACGGCAAGCCAAGCAGACGAGGAGTCACATCTGCAGTGACGCAGGTAACGGCAAAGGGTCCAAGCCGTATTCTGCCGCGTACCCCGTCCATCTGTTTCTTCTCTGCAGCACCTGCTGCATTCGTACACTCACACACAAAAGGTCGTCATGATCGCCTCTGCATTGTTTCTCAGGCACCTCTGCACTTGCACAAAGGACTCCCACGATGGGTGGGCTGTGTGGGGGGGATCGATGCACGCCGTCGCCCTCGGTCCGGTCATCGAGCGGGGCGGTCCAACTCGATGAGTCTTGACCCTCTCTCGCGCGCTGATTGGGTTGTTTTCAGTGGTGGGAACTCGGAACGGCTTTGGTGTCTGGCATCGGGTGTGGAGTGTCTCACATATGGAACATGGGGGCAAGCTCAAGGGTATGGGTGCAGCGTGCGAGCCTTGAATTGGCTCTACCTTTTGCCTTGGGCATTTGGCCAATCGGGCCGCTAAGCTCCTGCCCTGCCCAGCCGCGCGGAATGTCGGAGGCACGAGGAGAGGGGTGTTGCCTCTCTTGGCCTGCCCCCGCGCCGGTGGCTGGCGTCGGAGAAGCGAGCAGGGCAGAGAAAAGAGGCTTCGATTGTTCTGTCACATTCAAGCGGAGACCCAAGCCGCCGGGGTAGATGGTCGCTGGACTTCCGGTGAACGCCTGCGCCAAGGCACCAGAGGAGTGGACACCGCTCAGTGATGGGTCAGACAAGGCTTAGAGAATCACAATCCTCTGACCTGCACGTCGCCACTCGGATCGTGGAGGGCAGGCCAAGTAGACAGAGGGGTGGTCCCCTCCTCCCCTCGAACCGGCGGCGGGGCGGATCGTGCGTCACTGCTGGAAGCACAGAGGGGTTCCAACTCTAGTCTCACACACCCCACCCCGCTGGAAAAACACTAGGAATGCAGGCAATCTGTAGACTGGCGTCAACACACTTTGGCCCACCGCCCAGCCGACCGCCTTCACCCATGTAGCCGAGATGAGCCCCCTCGAGGCGGATGAGCAGTCAGACAGAAGAGGAGGCGTGGAAGAGGGTCATACCCGACCTCGCTGCTCCGCCGGCATGGGACTGCAGGCTGCAGCGACATTTCACGGTACCCCGCTGGGTGACTGCCCCTCAGCCGAGGACTGGGGTCAGCCATTGGTCTGTTGTTGCCTGTCTGGGCCTCTCCACCCCACCCCTGACCCTTTCGCCTGCCGTCCTGGGTGGTCGAGCCTTTCATATATAGACCCCTCCTCCTCGCTCAGTCCTCCCCTCCTCTTTCTTCTCTCTCATCAAACCAATTCTCGTCTCTCCTCTTCCTCACTCCTTCTCTACTTTACAAGGTACCCACACTCTCTTGCCCTTATCGGACACTTACGTTCCCACTCTCGCTTCCTCCTTCGCTCAAAGCTTGCACTTGCTCTTCACTCGCTCTCAAGCCCTTACTCTTTACACTCACACACACACACACACACAAGATGTACTCCAAGATTGCTGTCGTCGCTGCCCTCGTGGCCTCTACTCTGCAGGGCGCTGCCGCCTACACCCCCAGCAAGCCCACCTACCAGGTCTCTAGCTTGCCCAACCACTCCGAGTCCGGCCAGGTCGGCACCAACAAGTGCACCAAGTACGGCGCTTCTTCTCAGTCGTCGATGTGCCAGAACGTCTTCATCAACTCCATCCACGACTTCTGTCTCTGGGCTCCTTCCTCTGGCAGCAAGACCATTGGTGACGAAGAGGCCAAGGTCGTCTCCTACTGCATGAAGAGCGGTTACGGTACCAGGCTCATCCCCGATGGCACCATCAAGAGGGCTCACTTTGTCAAGACTGCCAACTTCCTCCAGGTCACTGGTTACGGAGACTTCACCAGCATGCACGTACAGTCTGGTGACGAGGGAGGTGAGCTCGACCCTCACGGAGCTACCGGTGAAGGCAACCCCGTCGGTGGTCTCGTCTTTACTCGCTCTAACCCTTACAAGTCTGGCTGGACTCAACTCCACGAGTGGTCCAACTTCATGAGCGCCACCGAGTTCTCTTTCCGAGCTTGCTTCGATGTAGACTACGCTACCGAGTGGTGCCCTCACATCTACGATGTCATGGGATCTCAGTGGAACCACCCTGGAAACTACGGAAAGGGCTTCTCTCAGTGTGATGCTGCAGACGGAGAGTGGCCAGGTGTCTACTCTGGCTCTACCTTCTACCAGGGTCAGGCCCACACTCCCGCTGCTCAGAAGGCCGGCAAGTCGTCGAACTGTGTCAGCCACGCCACCATCTCTACTGGCAAGGCTATCCACACTCCTTACAGGCGAAGCATCCAGTCCTTTGACGACATGGAGGACGACGAGTAAGCGCATCAGTGCTCCACTCCATCGCTCGTTAGCCTATCCGCCAAATTCCCCCTCATATGGACTCTCCCTCGCCCACCGCATTGGATCGTAGTCAACACACCCACACACACACATGCACCATCTTTTGACTTCTTATTCCCGACTGTCGGATCTGATCCGCTCTCGACCTTTACCAACCCACCTTTTCCTGTGCCTCGTCTTGTTAATATCTCTTGTGCCTTCACTGGGGTCTACGCTCGTTCGCCATCGTCGCCACTTGGTGTCTTTTTTGCTTTCCCATCTTACTTGCACCACCAATCCAATTCAAAAAAGCAACGCACATTCTTTAGCCCAACATATGCGTGTTCCTGGTGTGATTGCGAGCGTTGGTGGATAGGAAGTCGAGAGGGTGGACATGGGGATTGAGTGAAGCATATGTACATAGTGTCTCTTCCCTCATGGATGGCTCGCCCACCCCCGCCTCCTCTTCCTCAGTCCCCAGCACCAGCAAGTTCCTCCTCGAGCAATCGAGCAAACTCATCAAGATCCTCACTGCCCCCTTCAGCTTCCTCTTCCTCTTCATCATCATCCTCTTCTTCATCGTCCTCATCATCCTCTTCCTCATCATCATCGTCGTCATCATCATACTGGGAAGGCTGACCATTCCCAGCATTACTCCCACTATAGGCCATAGGTTGCCAAGAGGCCTTCCATCTATTGGCCGTTGTGCTTGAACCCTGTGTAGCACCGGCTAGGCTGGCCGAAGAGGAGGAGAGAGGAGGGGGAGAAGTGACGGCGCCGGCGGCAGTAGTGGGAGCACCAGCACCGGCAGGGGCAGAGGCAGCCCCGCCAGTGCTGCTGGCCTTTGTGAGCGTGGGCGTCAGGGGCGTTACCAGGGATTGTTGCAGGTCCAGCTTGGTAGGAGAGTGTGCTTGAGGAGGAGAAGAGGGAGAGTGCGACTTGACTGTGGTTGTGGCCGCTGATGCCTTGAAGTCATCGGTGTCCATGGCCGCTTCGAACTCCAACTCCAGAGCACGAGCAGCTTCGTCATCGTCGTCGTCTCCGTCGACCTGAGTAGTAGTCAGACCCAAGCCTACTGGGCTTGCGAGGCCGCGAGCCTCAACCCCTGGAGAGGTAGACGGATGTTCGACTTGCTGTGCTGGACTGGCTGCCCGCCGCTGGGAAGAGTGCATGATGGGCGTCTGTGCCTTTGTCCTGTCCCCGTCTCCACCAGACCTTGAAAGCGGTAGGGCTAATGTATCCTCAGCTACATCATCGCTGCGCAGAGTGTCTCCCGGCGCTCTCCTCAACGGTAGGTCCTTGTCCTCTTCCTTTGCACCAAGTCTGCTCAACCGACGGCGCTTGACTCCCCTCGCAACTTGCTCTTCCTGAGCTGCTAGTCCATTTTCCGTGGTCGAGTCGGGCAAGCGGCTCAACAGCTCCTTTGCCCTTGTGCCCGCGGCTCGTCTTGCCTTTTCGAGACGCAGCAGCAGAGTAGATCGGACAGGCTCGAGGATGTAGGCCTGTCGTGCCTCTGACCATACCAGAAGGACGTCCGAGTAGCCATTCGGAGGAGGCCCTCTTGCTGCTGCTGTTTCGGAGAGTGCATCAGCGGGGACTGAGCTGCTGGATTGGACATTGTAGATGTGTGCTGCTTGTGCCGAGGCGGAAGCTGTGCCCCGCGGGGGGAACTCTAAGAGGTGTTGAGGCGGTGGAGCAGATGAGGAGGATGAGGCGGTCGATGTGGATGTGGACGCGGGGGAGTGGAGGATGCCGTAGTGGGGTGCGGTATTCTTGGTCATTGTCAGAGAAGGTAAGAAGGGGACTAACAGCAGGAGGAAAGTGTGGGAGAGGAACTGTCAGCCAGTGTCACAGGCAGAGGTGTGTTTCCCCCATGATGCACTCACATTGCAATGCGTATACTCCAGCACGGGAGGAAGAGGCAGAAGAAGAGGCATGCTTGGGTGCGAGGTAAATGGGATACGAGGTGCTGCTGCTGCTGTTGGCATTGCCCTCCTTGGATGTTCTGGCCTTTGTCGCTGCCGCCATGGCTGCGCTGCGATGGGTGAGTAGCAGTCGCAGTGGGGGAATCAGGGCGGAGGCAGCTGCTAGTCTACTGACTGACTGCCTTGACCACGAGGGGCGGCCTCCATCCGCTTCCGCTCGCTTGGCCCTTGCGCTTGGGCCACATGGCAAGTCACAGCACGCTACAGTCAGTCGAGTGGTCTTGGCTCACATTCCCTCCTCGCCTTACCCTTTGCTACACCCTTTGCTACGAAGACTTGTCTGTGAAGATCGTCAGGAAGGGCGATGCCTCTTTGCTGGTGATTTGTTCGTTTCGCCTTTGCCCTCTACCAAATGCCGAAGCAGAGGGCCAAGGGCATCGCAGCAACGGGGCGGATTCGCCGATGATGGTTCATCCAATCAGAGTGAGTGAGGATTGCTTCCCCATGCCCAGACTTTTGCCCTGTTGCCCAGATCGGTGAGGTACTCCTCACCAGCTCATTGCTGCTGCTGCTGCCGCTGCTTACACTCCCAGTGTACGTCTCTTCCTCTGTATCACTCTGCTCATCACATCTTTGCACTTTGCCACTACGTAATCTCCGTTTGAAGTGTAGCTTGTATTCTTGCGCCCTTTGCTGCTGCCTTGTTCCTGCTACTCTCTGCCCTCTGCCTCTCCCCTCGCGCCTCCTTAGTCGTGATCATGGTTGCTGACCCTCATTATCACCCGAAGGTTCAAAGGTACGACCCGAATCGCGTCTGCCCTCCTTTCCGTGGACACTGCTCTGGTGCCGCGTCGCGGGGAAATTGACTTGACGCCCGTGCACATCTGCTTGTGCCTATGTTCGCGTGCAACCCGGAGTAGAATTCCTCTTGTCTGATGAGTGAGTGTGTGGGAGCAATCGTAAGTCTGACGAGTGGTGATTCCCTCTGCAATAGAAGAAGACGTCGCACTCCCACGTCCACATCCCTCATTCTCTCCTTCCCTTCTCACCACCACCACCCTCACTTACCTCCCCCTCTCACCCTCTAATACCCTTCCTCCACAGCCCCACATCGCCTACACCTGCACCTGGACCTGCTCCCGGCAGAGTTGCCTTTCTCCACCCATCGCTTCTCACACCTTCGAGCCTCGCACTGGCTAGTGCTGAGCAATCAACATGGTCATCCAGCCAGAGTTGAGCGCCGACGCCATTGCTCAGGTGAGTGTAGATCACCACCACGGCAGAAGTGGACAGACAGACAGTTATGCAACGAAGCTACACAGTCCACCTCTAACCTGACCATGTGACTGACCCTCTCTTCCCCTTCCCACTGCCTCTTTACCCACTTTCCCCTGCACACGACACAGGCAATGGGCACACTCACCCTCGACAGGCAGAGAGAGATCGAAGAGCAGCACAGGATCTCTGAGATTCAGAGCATTACCCTCCTTGGTACGTACACGCCAGTCACAGCGCAGATGGCTTCCATCACTCCTCGATCTCACTCACTGACGCTGTGACTCTTCACAACTTCTCATCGCCCTCTTCAGATCTCGCTGCTCGACCTGATCAGGGAGGTACTCAAGGCCGCAAAGTCCCTCTCAGGTCCAATGTCTTTGCACTATCCCTTGGCAAGAACAAAGGCGTCGCAGGTCCTAATCGAGGCGGCGCTGCCATCAAGCAAGGAGCTCGTGGAGCTGGACCAGCAGGCGGAAGACCTCGACCTACACCTTTTGAGATGACAGTATACCACTACGACACGGTCATCGACCCTTATCGCGACGCGTCCGATGACGTTCCTCTCACTGGAAAGGCAGCCACTGCTCGCAATGAGAGGAAGCTACCCATTACTCTTCTACGAGAGGTGTACGCCCTTGCGCTGAAGGATGCCGTAGCCGACGCTTCCAATGTCCTCCAGCAAGAGCACGTCACCTCCATCGCCTTCGATGGCAGACGCAACGCATACACTCCAAAGGCTCTTCCCTTTCAAGGCGAGTTCAGCTGGATCATCTCTCTTCCAAAGAAGGAGTCAGCACCTGGAGACACCTCTGAGCGAGATCCTCGACGCAAGTTCAAGGTCACCATGCAGCTCGTCAACGAAATCGACGCTTCGACACTGTCCAAGTTCTGCGCTGCCGACCCAGACATCATTCGAGCCACTGGTATCTCCATCCCGGAGATGTAAGTGTCCAGTGCGAGAGGATACTAGAGAGTGATCGACTACCTCATCTACTGACCATCACCATCTCTGCCTTCGTCCCCACCTTTCCAACAGTGTCACTAACAGCATTCAGGCTCTTCAAGTCGTGAGTACTCTCGAGCATAGATTAGCTCAAGCACACCGTGACGTAGCTGATCACTGACAGCGCCGTCACCTCTTCTCCACTCTTTACCGACCATCATCGTACTCGTCTCTTTCGTCTTAGCTGCTCTGCCACGACCCCGCAGAAAGGTACAAAGTGCACGGCGCCGGTGGTCGACGCTTCTTCAACCCAGCAAACTCGGTCAACATTCCAGGTGGAGCAGCCATCTGGAAAGGATTGTGAGTGTCGATGTAGCTCACAGCTCAGTGACTACGTCTGAAGCGAGTCGTAGAGCTGACACTCACTCTCCATTTCTGCTCCGTTCAATATTCAGCTTCCAATCCGTTCGACCCACTCAGTCTGGGATGGTAGTCAACATCGACGCTGCCTTTGCCGCATTCCTTCGATCCGGCAGTCTCATCGACGTTTCTGCCGCCATCCTGGGCCTCGATGGAGGCGGAGGTGGTGGAGGTGGCTTCCGTGGCGGTGGCAGAGGCGGTGACAGAGGAGGTTTCCGAGGTGGAGACCGTGGTGGCCGTGGCGGCTTCCGAGGCCGAGGAGGTCCTCCTATGGGAGGTGGCTACGGCGGTGGTGGTGGCGGCGGCGGTGGTGGTGGAAGTGCTCTGAGCTCTCTCCGACCAATGCAGATGCAAGAGCTACGAAAGGTGAGCAGCCTACAGATCGAAGCTGTTGGTATTCCAAGACGACTGCTGACCCACTCGACATCAACCTTCTTACAACCATCTCACAGCGCTTCAAGAATGCCAAACTTCGCCCAACGCATCGTACTACCTCAAAGTTGGAGACCTTCAAGGGTGAGTTGATCGCGAGAGCAGGTTTGCGGGGCTTCGCCTTTCGCTTTGCCGTTTGCCTCACGATGACGATGATGATGAGTACAGCCACTGACATTTTTCTTCCGTCTGTGCAACTGTAGGCTTCTCCCCTCGACCTGCTCGTGAAGAGACTTTCGAGCAAGACGGCAAGCAGATTCGAGTCATCGACTATCTGAAGACAAAGTACGGCTATACTGTCAAGTATCCTGATCTTCCTCTGGTCGAGCTCAGCGGCGGAGCTAAAGTCCCTATGGAGTGTCTTGAGGTTCAGCCCATTGCACTCCCACCTCGCAAGCTCACCCCAGCCATGACCGCTGCTATGATCGACGAGAGTCGTCAGAGGCCTTCTGAGAAGGCCAAGACAGTTCAGAACTGGCGCAACGAGCTCAACTTCGACGCTTCCGCTCGACTCTCGTCTTGGGGAGTCGGCGTCGCTCCTACTCCTGTAGAGGTTGAAGGTCGTGTCCTTCCTCCGCCTCAAGTCTCGTACGGCAAGGGTAGCTCAAAGCCCTCTGTCGCCTCTGGCGGATGGAACTTGCGTAACGCCAAGTTCTGCGTTCCCGGCAAAGCCCTCACAACTTGGTGCTTGATCAACTTTACCCGCACGCCACCTCAGGCCTGCGTCGAGTTCGCTCAAATGTTCACCGCTGCTCTTCGTGAAGTAGGCATGGTCGTCAACAAGCCTCCACACATCGATTCTGCCCCTGGAACGGCGGACAGTGTCAAGGCCACGTTCGAGAGGGCTGGCAAAGCCGCCAAGGTCATTGCCGGTGGACCTCAGGCACCTCCCCCTCAGCTCTTTGTCTGCCTCGTAGATGGAGACGCGGACCTCTATGCTGCCATTAAGCGCATCGCAATCTGCGAGCTTCCAAGTCCCGTCGCTTCTCAGTGTATGCTGGCCAGAAAGGCCTTGAATGCCAAAGGTCAAGCGCAGTACGCTGCCAACGTCGCCATGAAAGTCAATGTCAAGCTTGGAGGCCACAATCACGCCGTAGAGAGCCAGAATGACTTGCCAAGCCTCGGCCCTCAGACGATGATCATGGGCGCCGACTGCTCCCATGGACCACCTGGCTCTTCACAGCTCTCCATTGCCGCTTGCGTTGCTACCATGGATGGCAAGCGATCCAAATACCACGCCGAGCTGCGAGCGCAGCGCCACAGTCGAGGTGGCAAGTCTCAGGAAGCCATTCTTCAGATGAAAGAAATGGCTACTGAGCATCTCAAGCACTGGGCTGGTGCCAACAAGGGTCAGTTGCCAGCTTCCATCATCATGTTCCGAGATGGAGTCTCTGAAGGCCAGTGGGCAATGGCTCGTCAGCAGGAGGCGCAAGCCATCCAGGAAGCAGTCGCCTCCATCGATCCTCGCAAGACGATTCCTCTGACCTACATCGTCTGTATGAAGCGACATCACATCCGATTCATGGCCAAGAATGAGGGCGACACCGACCGATCAGGCAACCTCCCTGCTGGTACCGTAGTCGACACCGACGTCGTCCACCCTTACGGTTTCGAGTTCTTCTTGCAAGCCCATGCTGGACTCATCGGAACGGCCAGGCCCACTCGATACGTCGTCCTGCAGAATGACGCCAAGTTCACCTCTGATGCGCTTCAACGAACAATCAACTCCTTGTCGTACACCTACGCCCGAGCTACGCGATCAGTCTCTCTGGTCCCCCCTGCCTACTATGCCGACATCTTGGCCGAAAAGGGCCGCACGCTCATGTATTCTGATGCAATGAGCGAGACGGCTACGTCTTACTCGGACTCGACTACCACTGCCTTGCAGAGAGAGTCTGAGCTGGGCGAGCCAGACTCTGGTCAGTTGATGAGGAGCATCAACCGCAACAAGGAATTTGCCAGTACCCAGTGGTACATGTAGCGACGCAGCGAGCCGTCGTGGCGGCAAGTCTCAAGAGAAGCGAGACCATAAAGACGAGACAGAGAGAAGAGCCGAAGTAGTCACGAAAGCGAGACACGAGTTTCGAGAGAAGTAGTAGTGAGAAGCAGAAATCGACTTTCCGATGTACGCCCCGTTCAGGGTTACCTCCCCTTGTTTTGTTTCCTGTCCCCCCTCTTTACGACTGGCACTTGTTCAAGACCAGGTCCAAGCTCAGGTCGAGCAAGATGCGAAATGATGATGTTCTTTTTCCCCTTTGACCGTCTTCTGTGTGATGGATGGAGAAACGCGTGGTACGCGAGCGAGTGGAGCGTGCAGCCTGTCAGCCTCGGTGCAGTCATCGTCGTGCAACCCCGAAAATGAGCGAGCGAGATACCATGAATGCTTCGGGTAACGATGTGCGATTACTTTGCCGCTGCGATGCTTTGATGCCCTCTGCTATTGCCCTTTGGCCCCCCTCCTGAGCTTGCTCCCCTTTGACTTGCACTCTCTCCCTGACTCTCCCTCTCGGGCCTTGGGACTTTTCCCTCGGTGCGCTCTCACGCGGCATCCATTGGGAAAAAGCGTTGGGGCCAGGGCGGGTGCGGAGCGGGCAGATGCACCACGGCGCGCCGATGTGAGCCGGGGCCCGGTTCCGCCTCGCAGGGCAAGGGGCGCTACCCCGCACATACGGGGGCGCCGGAAAGACGAAGGGTCCTTGTACCACTGTCTGCTGTATTGCTGCTTCTCTTCCTTCTCTTTCTTCAAACGACCCCTTCTTCATCCTCTTGCGCTCCGTCTTTGGCTTCTCGCCTTTTCCTCGCCATTCTGGCTCAACCTGCTCAAGATGGGCAACGAAGCTGCGTCTGAGGCAGATTCCGCTCCTCCTGCTGCTGCGTCCAGCTCTGGTCTGCCCCCACGCAACAAGAACCAACTCCGGCTGCCCAAGTTCACCTCCATCGAGCCACCCAACAAGGGTCAGAGCAATGATGGTCAAGCAGACAGCTCAGATGAGGAAGAGAGTGGAGACTCTGCGGCCTTCTTTGCCGCCTCGTCTGCTCCTCAGACGCCCAATATCACAGAGGCAGCCCAGCATCTGCGTCGATCCCTCTCCATCCATGGGCTGCACGAACTGTCCAACATGCCCTCCAAGGAGATTCGTCGGTCCGTAGGCAACAAGGTGTGGAGACCCCATGATGAGATTGCCAAGTTGCCAGGAGACTGGGAGCGACTTGCCGTTCACGTCTTTCGTGGTGGAGTTCGAGCTTGGAATCTAGCCTATGGATTGAGAGCGACAATCATGCTCGTTCTTGCACTCATCAAGGGTCTAAGAAGTCGCAAGCTCAAGGGGAAAGACTTGCGGAGTGCAGTCTTTTCCGTTCCCAACTTTCGTTTCGCACTCATGTTTGCACTTTGGGCTAGTATCTACAAGACCGTGCACAACTCCCTGCGACTGATCACGCCCGTGCCTAGACGGCCGCCTAGGAAGTCTCAGTCTGTAGGCGCACTGGACACGGCCACGCAAAGTACACCTCCTCGTGCCGAGCCAGTACCCATCAACACAGACCCCCGTCCGCACAGCAGCGACTACGGCAGTGGAGACGAGAGCACCCTCACCAGCGCCAATCGGTCAGGCACTGCCACCCCCCGAAGCGGGTACGAGGAGCTCAAGGGCAAGAGCGAAGAGGACAAGGCCAAGACTAAGTCCAAGCAGAAGAAGCGAGCCTTTATGAGCGATCCGCGCAGTAAGATTTGGCATGCCTATGTGGCCGGAGCAGTCAGTGCCGTGGCGGTCATGGTGGAGACGAAAGATAGTAGAGTCAGTCTGGCTCAGCAGCTCTTGGTGAGGGGACTGGAAGGGACGTACAATGTTGCGCATGAGAAGAAGTACATCAATATCCCCCATGGAGCGGTACTGGCATTTGGTCTGGCCTGTGGGCAGATCATGTGGGCCTGGCTGGTGAGTGAATAGAGAGAGGCAAGAGTAGACTTCAGGGTTGAGGCTAGACATCGTGAAGGCTGAACCGACACTCTCCCTTGCTCTCCTCTTCGTCTTAATCTCCTCCAGAATGCTCCGGATACTCTCCCACGAGGCTACATCAACTGGATCACAAACGCCTCGATGATAGCGCCTTCAGCCCTGCCAGTACATCGCGCAATCACGAACAAGTCACCACTCGACGTCGACGCAGTCCTCAAGCCCTACTTTCCCTCTGGCAAGATTCCCGACCCACGAAAGTCGTCCAGTGGAGCTCTGAGGTTTCCTCATGTCCCACGGACCAAGATCAATCGTCGAGGTATCGCTGCAGACAATGTAGCTCTGATTGCAGAGTGGGCAGAAAAGGCTCGAAAGGGAGACTTGGGAGCGACGGTGCCATGCTCATTGGTGCATCCTTGGGAGAGTAGCCACTTCTGGAGCCCCTTTGATCGCTTCTTTGAAGTCGTGCGGTGGATCTTGTGAGTAGCAGTCCAATTGACAAGGGAGAGAGAGAGAGGGAGGGGAAACAGTGCCCTGACTACCCACTACGCCTTTCCTACCCAGGCCGGTGTACATGACCCTCTACTTTGTCCCAGCCGTCTTTCTGCGGACGGGGTCATTCCTCAAGAAGTGAGTTCAGATGGCATAGCTGCTGTGATACCACTTGTCCATTGTCTGACCACGAGTCCACTTCTCCACCACTCCTCCTCCTCCTCTCACAGCCCGCTGCGCGTCTTCCTCCGCTCAGCATTCGGTTCCCTTCGCTCTTCCTCCTTCCTAGGCGCCTTTGTCATCATTTTCCAAACCCTATTCTGCGCCGCCCACTCTCTACACGATCGTATCCTCCTATCTCCTTACCTCTCCTCCATTACCCCAACTTGGCTCCTCGCTTTCCTAAAGGGAACAAGCGTACATTGGCTAGCAGGATTCGCAACTTCCGCATCGCTATTCGTCGATCATGCTCGCAGGAGAGCAGAATTGGCGGCGTATGTCCTGCCAAAGGGAATGGAGAGCGCTTGGAGTATTGCGAGGAAAAGGGGATGGGCACCATTCGTACCCGGAGGAGATCTACTGCTCACTAGCGTGGGTATGAGTCTGGTCATGGGCACTTATGCCCGCAGTCCGGACCACCTCAGTGGACTGGTGAGGAGGATCGTCTACCAGTTCATCGGCAGGAATTGAGTAGTGAGACAAAGGCTCAGCTCGTCGGGAGTGGACGAGAGGGTGAGGAAAGAGGGGATGGCTGCTAGATGACTAGATCGGGGACGCTGAGGGGGTCAGGGGGGGCGGGACGTTTCTCCCGAGGCACGCTGCTGGTTCCCAGTCACATGTAGATATCGAGCACACGAATTTTCCACATCTTCAATGCTATGCTAGCATACCTGAGTCGTCTTGCTCTACCCCTGCTCACAAAATTCACGTCAGGCAACGCGCGTCTAACTCATACCAAAAGGCATGGCGCAAAAGGCAACAAAAAGTTTGGAGGGGCGAACCAGGATTGAACTGGTGACCTACAGGGACCTTGCGAAATTGCAACCTGCCGCAACTACCACTGTGCTACCGCCCCGAAACCGCTATTATTCGCAGCAATCATAGGAGATCTAAATGACACACAACGTATATAGACGCCCCTGGCGAAGGCGGCGCATCTGTGCAGAACCGTTGCCCGCAGATGGGGATGTCGCCCGCCTTGCCGCACTACAGAATCATTGACAGACGTCCTGCACACCGCCAAGGTCGAATTGTGAATAACCCAGGATGGTGAAATTTACCTTGGGCGAACGAGCGAAAGGACTACTACCGAATGAGTTTGCCGAGCAGGCCTAGACCTCTTATGCGCTCCAAGAGCGTACTGACTGTAGAAGTCTCGCAGGCATTACTGACCCTTTCCTCGATCGAGCCTCGTCGTGTAATGGGGGTAACGTGAGTCAGGACCTCCTCTGCTCGCCTTACCCCTCAAACTTTGCCACTGTACGTTTGCTCCGAATGGGATTGCGGGAAGCGGGACGGGTGCTCCTCCTTGTTCGGGCCGTGTGAGATCCGCGACGTCGTACAACGCCCGAGAGCTCCGCAGGCTCAACACGGGAGCAGCTGCCATGGATCTCGGCATTCATGCTTCGACACAGGCATGTAGAGAGCAGCGGAGACGAGCGCAGCGTCCCAACGGAGCAGTGCTGAAGACACGTGCAGGTGCATGCCGAGTCTGGCGGCATACTTGTCCCGTAACGTAGTATGGTTTTACGACCCCTCGTGCCGCTCACTGCCATTTCCGCCACCATGCTCGAAGGGAATCCACACCACGCCAGCTCCTGCCAGTCCATCGTGCAGGAAATTATCGCCTTGGGCTCACCTGACAGAATCCCCCGTCCCCGCCGCACGCTCCCCGTGTCCTGTCAGACTTTCAGGAACAGGATCGGCGGTAGCGGCGCTGTACGAGCCTGGTGTACGGATCCGATATGACATGACGTGAGCTGAGCTGACATGGCATGACATGCCATGCCACGACAGAATGAGCCGCTTGAATCCGTCCTGTCTTCTTCTGGCAGACGATCAAGGCAGCGGCAGAGCCAGAGGCAGTAGCTTCATTAGCCAGTCAACGATGCAGTGTAATCCTCCCCGCTGCCCTGAAGGAAGCCCGTCTTACGCCTTACGCCTTACGCTCTACGCCTTACGCCTTACGCCTGTAGGTGCAAGGTGTGGTAAGGTAAGAAAAGACCCGCCATTCTTCCCATTAAAAAGACCCGGCAGGCTGTCAAGCGGGAGCAATAAACGATCCTTGGCACTGCCCGGCACGAGGAAATGGGCCGGTCTACGGGACCCTGGTTATGGGCTGGGCGAAGGAATGACCCTGTTTCGCGAGGGCGGGACAACTTCCTGTCAGGCAGATGAAGGACACAGAACTGACAGAGATCGCCTCTGTTTGATCGGGGGAAGAGCGGGACTCGGGTTGTTTGGGTGAGCTTGGAAGTGCGTTCAGGCCAGTGCCAGGTGCTGTGAGACGCGACGGGCAGATGACGGATAGACGGCAGCCAAGTCGGGTGACATTGGCCGGCTGTGCTAAGTCCCTTGTCCAGCTCTACTTCCCTAGAGCCATCTGAGCTTCCCAACCCTCTTCCTACCCCACTGACCAATTTCTACCTCGCATCGAAGCAAGTACATCTGACCGTCTGGATCGCAAGGTGAGACTAGGCAAGCGGTGGACGCCCCCCGCGGAAAGTAGCACAGTGCCGCACGGTCGGAGCTACAAGCGGTACCGAGCTTCAGGATGCAATCCAATCCAATCAGATCAGGGGAGGGGCGTGCGCGCGCGTGAGCCCTTTGCTCAATCCGTCTGGATCGCTGCTACAAGTTGCTCTCTTCTACCTCGGCTGCCGTTTGAGAGAGTAGGGTCAGAGGAAGTGGTGAGTAAAAGCGGAAAGGTTCGTGAAGATGGCGCTACTTAGTCATGGTTCAACCTAAGCGACGGTATGCTCAGCACTTCGGATGCAATCCAGCCAGGTCAGGGATGCGGGCGAGAATCGTAGTCGGAGAATAGGTGTGCCGTGAAGGGGGAAAGGGGGGGAGTTGGTGCCTTACATTGACTTCTGGCCGCCTCTGTGCCAGTGTCTCCGTGTGAGTCTCTCTGGTCGGTTCATGTCACCTGTCAGTGTTGAGTAAGGATGGCTCTGTCTATTCCTCTACACCTTTACCCACACACCCCTTGCCTTACGCAAGCTCGGACAAATGTAAAATTTCCGACGCAAGGCACGCGGGTGCTGCTGACTACTCCTGACTGACTGACAGGCTGACTGCTAGCACAGCGGGGTGATGAGATGATGCGAGATCGGTCTGTCCGTGCCGGAAGCGGATCTAAGAAGTCTGTCGGTGTTGTGTCAAAGTCAAAGTCAAAGCCAAAGTCAAAGAGGCTGGGCGGCTGTTCTGGTCCGAGCTGGAACAGTGGTACGCAGGATCATGCGGAGGTCGATGAGGAATAGTGTGACACATCTCGGCTCCTCGCGGCGGGGGTGCGGCGACACGGGGAGGTGTGCAGGTGTCACTACTGATCATGGTGTCTCCCAGTCGTGGATTGCGGGTCAGGAGGGGCGTGGCGGCCATGTGTGAGGTGGGTAGTGGGGGTGCTGTGCTGCGCCTTGGTGTGTGTTAGCTTAGCAAAGGCAAGGCAAGGCCCGAAGTAGCGATCAAGTCCGCCTGCGTGGATCATGTAATGCAATCAGAGGCGCGTCATTGCAAAGGGCCGGCTGAATCGAGGGGCGGTGTGGGAGTGTGGGCTGCTTACGAAGAGGCCGGTGCCGCGTGGGCCCTGGATGCATGGCCTTGTGCCTGTGCTCCCCCCCCCCCCCGCGCCCCCCCGCCACCTTGTTGGACGCCGTCCAGTGCCTTGGGCCCGCCGCTACTTCCGTCAAATGGCCCGCAAGGACAGGCGAGGCAGCAGGGCCAGGGAAGAGCACACCACCTTCAGCACTCGACCGTCTGACACACACAAACCTTGACCGACGCACTCTTCAGAACAAGGCTCACCTCAGCTCAGCCGCTGACGGGATCACTGACACACTGGGCCGAGGTAGCAGCAGCAGCAGCACCACCACCACCACCACCAGCAGCGGCCCACCTACCATCTGCCAAACGTCGTCCTTGACGTGCTTGATTGATTGAGCGAGCGGATCACCCTCATTCCTCCGTCTACTCAATCCCCTCACTCACCTCGATCATTCATCATCCTCGCCACCTCTGCCACTTTCGCCACTTTAGCCAGCCGCGCCGCCTGCCGCCCTGAGCATCATCGATTCGCCCTCCCCCTCCTTTGCTGCCGCCAGGGCTGCAAATTTCTCAGCTTGGTCAGCCCTCGGGCACACGTCGCTGCTCGAGTAAGCCCCCCTGCCTTGGGTCAGCCAAGACACAGGCCCGCATCAAGCTCTATTCCTCGGACCACCTCCACCGCCTCACCTCCTCCTCGTCCTCTCAGCCCATCCCCCCCTACCCGCCGCATCGACTCCTGACAGGCCTTCGACCCAACGATTACACAGCCATAACAACACACTTTGTCTTGGCAGCCTCGCCTCTTCCCCCTTCCTGCCTCTCATTCCACACAGCGGCAAGGCTCATCTCGAATTCTCCGAGCCTGTCCTCCTTACACTCTTCATCACCTCGTCCTCTACAACATCAAAGGAAGCTCACTCGCCACACCCTCACCGGCCCCAGGCGTACTTCGCCTCCGGTCATCGTTCCCAAATCCCATAGCAAGTCAAGTCTGTCGCAGTCTTAGATGAGCCAAGGAGTAGACTACCAAGTTGGGAATGGAGGCGCGGGAGGGGAAAGTGAGGATCAAGAAAGAGGATTAGTGGGAGCAGTAGCAGCGGGCACACATGGCCAATCTCGTCCTTCCACAGCGGCGTCGTCATCCTCCTCCTCCTCCTCTTCACACCACCACACTGGTTGCGTGGCGTCGCACACCCACGTCTCTAGGTCCGGAGCTGGCATCGCCCACGCCGCTACCTCGCCCTCGTCGCCAGACTTTGGCTCTGCCAGAAGTACGCCACCCACGTCCCGATCACCATCCCGTCTTCTCGTCAAGAGGGGCGGGGAGCAACCAGTCTCTTCCTCGTCCTCTTCCATCGGTGAGTACATCCTTCGGGCAGTTGCAATATTTAGATACCTTGTCCGCGTCCCGGCTCATTATCGTGGGCCACGATGCAAGAGGCCGAACTTTGTCATATGCTCGCCTCGGGAGCGTTGCATAAGCACAAGCCTCTGGCGTCGGTCATCTCGTACCAATCTTGACTATCCCTCTTTGGTATGAACGTAGTACTGACTCACACTCTGCATCGTCTCGATCATCACTGCGACCCTCGCCCTACCCCAACTCTTCTTCACAGCTGATCCAGATATGGTGAAAACCGAGACTTCTGGTGTCTCGACGGATGCTGGTGACGACTCTGCTCGCATTCTAGGCAAGCGACCGGCACGTTCGCCACCATCCCCTACCACTACCGCGTCGGCCGGATCGTCGATGAGCAGAACCACCAACCCAGCAGCGTATACCAAGACGGCTACACAGACTCGCAGCATAGCCCGTCAATTGCTGGAACTGGTCACCTGCGCTTCATGCAACCGGCCCTACACCACACCGATCACTCTGCCATGCGGTCACTCGACATGTCTGCCTTGCATCAGTGCCAGGTTGAAGAACATTACCGCTATCAACCAAGCGGCAGCTGGTCCCTCTACAAGGACTACACATGTTCCTCCGAGACTGCCGCTGTGCACCATGACAGTGCCCTGCTCTGTCAACGGATGTCCTCGCTCGGCCATTGGGCAGGGACTGGGAGTGTGGGCTGGCTACAGCGCAGCATATGGTCCCCCTGACTCTGAAGCATGGGTTGACGAAGATGTGTCATCACCGGGAAACGATGACGAACAGGAGCAGCAGGCCTCGTCGGCAGAACGTGGATCACTCCCCGTGGATGGCTTCGTCGTTGGCGCAGACAATGAGAGTCTCCGACTCGGCGTCATTCCTCCGCAACTCAGGGAAAAGGCCAACACATTTGCTGTATCGCCCTTCCCATGGGAGCAAGACGGAGGCAACACCCTCTCTCTCCGACCGGACGTTACCCTTGCCAAGGCCGTCGCTGTTCTCCAGCGCTACGCCCTAGAACCTCCTGGGGAAGAACGTCGCAGTTCAGGCCAGCGAGCCCGAAGATCTCTCATCGGCTTTGCCACCGCTCGTCGCCATGCGGCCCATCACCCTTCTCACTTGGGTTTCTCATCATCATCATCACTATCCTCATCGTCTGGGTCTCACCGTCGTACACGCATGCCCGGCCGACCGGGCCCATCGTCGGTCTTGGCTCGTGGAACGGGGTACACAGAACATGCTATGCAACGCAATGGCCGTGCCGCCTCTAACACAAGACCTGGCACGACCAAGATTGCACGACACTTCTTGCCTATGCTCGGAGGCTCAGAAGCAGAACGCGAAAGCGGAAGCGTCGCCGGCGTCACTGCTGCCGACACTGACGATGAAGATGAGGAAGAAGGATATCATCAACACTATGGGCCGAATGTGTCTCGCACTCGTAGGAGAGCAGGGACAATGGGAAGATCGTATCGCTCGGGGAGATATGGTGGTGCGGAATTTGATGGCTCCGGTGGCGAGCAACAGGAAGACAGTGAAGTCAGCAGTGCTCAGAGCACACCAGAGGGTGGCTCGGCTGAAGAGACCGCTACGGTCGATCGATCCTCTGGCAATGCCAATACATTCGACGGCGCCTTTGGTCAACAATTGCAGCGACAGCAGTCGGAAGCTCAGGCAACAGCATCACACGAGCCCACTATCACCGTCGATGCCAGTGGCGCGGCCGTTGCAGTAGAGGCGCCCAAGGCCGTCCCTACGCCTCCGCCTGGCACAGTCGCAAGTACGATGGGAAAGCTGGACGAAGTCTTCAAGCTCACAACGCCCGAGCATCTACAGTCCGATCTCGTTGACACCCTCGAGTGTCAGTTGTGCTACTTCCTCCTCTACGAGCCCACTACCACGCCTTGCGGCCACACCTTTTGTCGAGGCTGCTTTGCACGCTCGCTGGATCACTCGAACAAGTGTCCTTTGTGCCGTACGACTATGCCGAGCTTCTCGTTCTTCCAGAATCACCCAAGTAATCAAGCGCTGATGAAACTGCTCACAAGTCAATGCGGCGCCCCGCAACCCAATGGCACTACCGGCGACGACAAGCTTGGAGACACAGAACGAAGTCGTCGTGAAGGGTCAGCTTCGTCGTCAACATACCCTCAAGAAGACTTGATGTCGCTGTCCCGGCTCGGCGTATTCGCCGACTCGCACACCGCTTCTTCTTCACCTTATCGCAACAGCGATGACGACGACGACGAAGCTCTCTCTTTCGGTCTTCGCCACCTCTATCACGAGCGAGCACTGACAATTGAAGAGGAAGAACGTCAAACTTCTTCGTGGATGCCCATCTTCGTCTGCACCCTAGCCTTCCCCACCATGCCTACCAACTTGCACATCTTTGAGCCTCGCTACAAGCTCATGATCCGAAGATGTCTGCAAGGTCCCGGTCCTGGACGATTTGGAATGGTCTTGCCCTCGCGTAGCTCCACGGGTCCCGTGCCTGGCCTGCACGAGTACGGCACTATGCTCGAGATCAAGAATCACACGATGCTCCTCGATGGCAGGTCCATGCTCGAGACGGTCGGATGGAGGAGATTCAGGCTGCTGGAAAAGAACGGTGTGGATGGGTACACCACTGGCCGAGTCGAGTACTTTGACGACATCTCGTCGGGAGAAGTCGCCGCGGAGGAGGAGAGTGTAGTGGCCAGCAACCGGGAAGCAGTCGCAAGGAGGGACAGGGCTGAGCAGGAGAGGGTCTCAGCTTCCAGCGCTTCTCAAGCTGGGTCTCCAGCGGCACCGGAAGGTGACACCAACGCATCTTCTCAAGCTTCCAGTGAAGCGTCTGCTCCTGGGACCGCACCAGTGCAAGAAGCGTCGAGCGCAGCTACAACGCCTCTTCCTCCAGCGGAGCAAGCCCCTACCATGACCGACCTCATCCGCACTGCTACGTCCTTCATCGAGCTCCTGCGCACGCAAACCCAGACAGGTCTCTTTGAGCAAATCGTCGCCACCTACGGCCCTGTCCCGCAGCCCCTGGAAATTGACAAGCTCAGCTGGTGGCTAGGAATGGTCTTGCCCATCGACGAGCACGCCAAGAGTTCTTTGCTCCCCGTGAGGAGTCCGAGGAAGAGATTGGAGATGATTGCTACGTGGATTGAGCGGATCGAGGGAAGTTGGAGGTCAGGGAGATGACTAGGCTTCGGCATCGGCTTTGCTGGAGTTGTGCAGTGGGGTAGAGAGGCGCTTTCCGGCATTGCGAGGGGAGGTGGGGATGCGCAGAGGAGGGCGGCTGGGAGAAGACAGTGGGATGGGAGCCGTGAGGACGAAGGTGAGGAGGTAGCAGAGGAGGAGGTGTTCATTGCCCCTCTCGGGGCGAGAATTAGAAGAGGCCCCTCGGCTCTCCTCTCGTCTCTCGTGCTCCTACTAGCCCTCTTCCTTGCGTCGCACCTGCTGCCACACTACCCCAGTCGAGAGGCTCAGGATGTCTCAGGGGCAGGAGCGGCGCCGGGACAGGCACAGGGACAGGTACACGGTCTAGGAAGAGATTGGTAAGGGCAGTAGTGGTGGTGGTGTGTCCCCTTCAAAAGTTTTCCCGCTTTCGTCTTTCTCCCCCCCGTCCTCCTCCATTCCAATGATCCCCTGCACTCATGCTTCCACTACCCTCCCTCTCTCGCTCCTCACTCCCACACACTATGTCCTGTCTTCACATGGCTCCATCGCTCCCTTGCTCTCGCTCTCTTGCTCGCTTCTTTGCTTGCTTGCTTGCTCGGATTGGGTCTGCTCGCTATCTCTACACACACTCGCACACACACATGTATACATACATACATTTGACTTTTACTTGCTTGCTTACTTGCTTGCTTGCTTGCGCAGAACCAGAAACAGACCTTGGGTTTAGGTATGGGTTTGGATTTGGGTTTTGGTCTGGGTCTGGGCTAGCGAACTGAGAGTTGCGATCATGCTGGCGAAATGTGTGTATAGGGCGCCAGGAGGGTAAAGGGGGTGGTGACGCTCGATTTCTCCTTTCATTTGTTCACTCCTTCACTTACTCACTCGATGAGAGACTTGACTCATCGTCATTTTCAGTTAGATCTCTTCGACTGAGTACAACTCTATTCCTTCGAGCTCGTGTCGTGCGTGTGTGCGTGACTGGCTGACTGACTGACTGACTACCTGACTAGACTAGAATGAGTCGCTCAAAGTAAAAAAGACTCGCCAGGGATCCTGCGCCGAGCCTAGCCTAGCCCAGCCCAGCTTAAATTGGAATCGGATCAGAGGCAAAAGGGCAATGACTGAGTGACTGAGTGACTGAGTGAGTGACTGAGTGAGTGAGTGAGTGACAGAGGGTAGCAAACAAAAGGCAATGGCATCCGGGTGTCGCCAAAGAAAGGTTTAAAGAGCCAGAAATGGGGGTGACGGAGCTATATTATACACAGGGTGAAATTACTGGGAGTGGACTACCGAAGCAGAGGGGAGCGAGAGTGGGTGACCCGATGGAAAGGGGCAGTGTGAGGGGCAGGGGCAGTGGCAGTGACGGGAGACGACCAGTGATAGGGCTAGGGCTAGGGCGATGGCCAAGCGGGGAGAGAGAGTGTTCCGTATGTTCTGTGTCGTACGTGCGCTGTGTGTAGGTTGCTAGAGCTTGGATGAGCTCGTGACCTGTTCGACGGCTAGGACTCGACCTTTTCCGTAGTGACGGCCACTGCGACAGAAGGGGCTCGGCTGCCGCTCGCTGCAGAAGCAGAGGAGGGAGACCTCTTCTGCACAACTTCCTCCTCGAGGGACTGAGCTGTCTCGCTTTCTTGACGTACTCGCGCCGTCTCCTCTGCCTCGTCTTCCTGATCTGCCCCATCCTCCATCTCCAGCACCTGCTCCCCTGCTAGCTTAGCAGTAAGACTCTTGACCTCCTCCTCAAGCCTTCCTACCCTCACCTCCCACCCTGCCCTCTCCTCGGCCAACTTGCGCTCAACCGTCGCCTCCAACACCCTCGTACTCTTCTGCAACGTCTGCAACAACGCATTACTCCTTCGCACTTGATCCTCGAGTGTGAGCTTGAGGGTGCGGGAGTCGCTTAGAGAGTCGTAGAAGGAGGAGAAGAGGGAGAGGAATTGAGCCTTGGAGGCGAGAGCGTGGGTGATGGGGGAGGGAGAGGTGCTGGAGCTAGAGACGGGGACGGTATCGATTCCTGGGGCTGCTGCTGCCGCTGCGCCCGAGGCTGAAGGGCGGCCGTGTGAGGAGTGGTCATTGGCGCCTACGCTGCCGCCGCCAACGAGGCGTGCGGTGTGGTATGCTGGTGATGGCAGGGTAGCCGTGTGCGGAGCAAAGCGAGAGGAAATGGGCGTCAAAGCTGGCCCTCGCGATGCAGAGGCATGCTGGTATGCGGTATGCGAGGCACCGCCAGCCGAAGCCGAACCGTATGTTCGTGCTTCGACGCCCGAAGGGCTCTGCAGACGCGGCGAGGCTGGCCCAGCTGCTGCGACTGCTCCATCGTTGCTGTCGGCGCTACCAGGAAGGTCGCTGGCGTTGGACCGAGCATGCGGAGAGTAATTCGGCTGCTGGCGATGCTGCTGCTGCTGATGATGATGATGCGGATGCCGTGAGTACCTGCTCTCCGAAGCTCTGCTCCCTTCGCCACGAGGGTCAATGGGGCCACCTGCTCCCTCGCTTCTGTCCAAGAAAGCGACTCGAGTGGGAGGTGCGCTTCTGGATACCGGACCGGCATCTGAAGCTCGCTGCTGTGACAGTTGCGGCAGGGAAGCATGCGAGGGCAGCTCGGAAGCTCGAGGAGCTGATGCCCGGCTGCCAGTGGTTCCGCGATGGTACTCGTAGACGGCAGTGGGTGCAGTAGTGGGAGCAGCGGCAGTAGTCGGCACATCGATGTGCAGCTTGCTCGCCTTGGCATGGGCTGCGTCTCCTCTCCTCATGGCCAATGGCATGCTACTGCCATCGAAGGACGAGGAGGAGGTGACAGAGTATGCAGCCTCATCTGGTGCGTGCATCGAGTCGTAGTGCTGCCGTTGGCGCTGATACTGGGACTCTTGCTGCGAGTGAGGATACTGTTGACCGGGATGCGAGGTAGAGGAAGAATCTGGGTGTTCGCGGGGAGGGGAAGGCTGGTGTGGGGAAGCATCGCGGTGGGAAGGAGCGTCGGGCTGGACGTCATCGTGGTTGCGCGCGCGCGGGAGGAGACTACTGCCCCTGGGCGGCAATGTCCGTTGTTGGTGATTGTGATAGTAGTGATGTGTCTGCCGGTCCTGGTCTGCCTGGTTGACGTCGAGTGCTGCGATTGTGCGGGGAGAGTGAAAGGACTGAGGGGAGCAATGTACAGTCGATGGCAGTAGCGAGCGTGTACGTGAATGTCAGTCTATCAGCTTCTCCTCGGCGGGGCGGCATCAGGCGGGGGCGACCTCGGCTTCCCACGCTCCGCCTTGCTCCCTTGCTCTGGGTCCCGCCGACGCCTACGCCTGCCCGCCCGCCCGCGCTGCAGCTGCTTCTACTCACAGATGACCTCGCAGCGCTGTCCATCGTATACGAATCCCTTGGCCTCTTGGGCAGGAAGTCATCGCTGCTACCTTTGACCCCCGAGGAGGAGAAGCTGTCGAAGGAAGGCAACTGCGTACGCATGGGAGGCATCGCAGAGTACGAGGAGAGAGATGCCGAGGGCAATGCTGTGCTCCTGCTCGAGCCTCGAGAGTAGGTCGAGTAGCTAGAGGGATAGAGGGCGGAAGAAGGGGGTTGGGGGGTGTAGGGGATCAATACAAATGGATACAGCATGAAGCAGCATGTCATCTCCTGATCAGCCTGCCTGCAGGGCTAGCCCGATAGCACTCACCCTGGGTAGTCGTCTCGCCTGCCCTCGTCCGCCTCTGCTGCTTCCGCGCTCCTCTTGATGCCCCTACTTCCTACGTCTACCTGCTGTTGCCTTCCTTGCAGACGAGACGCTGACGCTGGCAGCGAGGGTCCTGCCAAGAGAGGCGGGGATGGGCGAGAGGGATGCTCCATAGCGGCGGCTGTAGTAGCTGTAGCTGCAGACGAGTAGCTCGGCTGCTCAGCAGAGTAGGCCTGTCGGCTCCCACTTGAGCTAGACGGTCGGCGTAGATGATGATAAGACAGACTGGACTGCTCTGCAGGTCGACCTAGAGTGGTAGCGGTAGCCATGAGGTAGGGAACGGACAAGGGAATAGGGGGAGGGGATAGGAGGCTGATTGGAGGATGCAAATGAGAGTGGAGAGGAATGCAAGGTGCGACACTGAGGTGCCGATGGTGCAGAGGATGGAACAATGGCCGGCCGAGGTGAAAGCCAAGCAATGAACCAAGAGGATGTGTCGGCAGCGAGGTGAGGTGAGGTGAGGTCTAGGACAAGGTAGCTGAGAAGGGGTGTGGCGAATGACGGTGAAGGCGGCGGGGGCGGCGAGGCCCCTCTTTGTGTGCTGGCTTGCTCTTGCTTGTTTGGCTGGTATCGGCGGCACAGTGGACCGGTGTGATGCGTCTAGACGCCCAGATTACGCAGTGAGCTATGCTTTGCCGAGGACGGAGAAGTGACTGACATCTGGGCCCATTCAGGGTAAAGCAGTCGATCGAGGGCGTCAAACGGAAGGCGGCGGACATCAGCGGTGGGAAGCGAAGCTGTGGCTCCCTCCTCGCTCCTTTCTCTCGTACGGGCCGCACGGTTCCACACTCTCTGACGGCGCGCACCATGACCCAGGGTCAGGGCGCAGGCAGATTGAGGGGGAGAAGACTTCTATCCTCCTCAGATGCCCACCTTTGTCTCTCTGCCCTTGCCACCACTGTTCTGCGCCCGCCGATGCAGATGCTCCTCCTTGCCGGTCAATGCTCTTGGAAGCACCTTGTGTTTGGCTCTGGCCTCTTCTCCAAGAAGCTTTCCGGCAGCTCCAGAGGCGGAAGAGTGGCGTCGCTTAAATCGCCGAATTCCGCGCTCCTCTCCGCCGCCAAGGTTTTTGACATGGCTCTCCTTCTTTCCCGCCCACTCGCCCCCCGCTCCCCCGCGCCTGAAAGAAGCCCTCGTGGTTCGCGTCATATCAGATAGGCGTGCTGTACGTTGCGTACTGGGCGTATGCACTGGAATCCTCGACTCGGCCTGCACAGCGAGCAGATCTTGGTCTTACGATACATCACACATTGACCCCCAGGGCGCAGTCTCAGCCCATCCTTGTTCCTTCTCCCAGGGGCTCGAGCGGAAGCAAGCAAAGGCGAGGGCGGCGAGGGCGGCGAGGGCGCATACGCGGAAAGGGGGGCCAAGGGAACAACCGGAACGCGGGCGAGGGGCGCAGGCGCGGGAGGCGGAATCCAGCCAACCAGGGAGGGCGATTTCACGAGGAGGCCAGGGAGACAGACGGACGCAGCCGCTTGGGTCCAATCCAGCCTTGGCCTTGCGCCGACACCTTGAGCGAATGCCGCTCTCCGGCTGCTCCCCCCCTTTGCCTTGGCAAGTCCAGCTAGCTGGACTGGGACCCAACGCAATCCAGGCTTACCCCTCGCAGCTACTGCGATGCAACTTTTAGACGAGGGCGTAGCTCCTTTCTCGCTGTTTCTTTTCTGGGCTCACCAGCCTCTGAGCACCCGTGACACTCCCCCGCCTCTGCCGGCACATTCACCCCAGTGCCGCCTTACTCGTGTGATCTTAAGCTCGGCATATGGGTGCATCGGGATACCACGGGACGGTCCACTGGGTGCCTGTAGACCAAGACGCCAATGGGGGCGGCGACGGCGGCGTCTTTGGGGGGTTCCCATGGCTTTGGACCTTCACCATCGATCCTGCCTTGACACCCACTTTTCGGCGTCTGGGCGTTTTCTCTCCGCTCGCCCTCACTGGGCGGGCTGGCTGGGCTGGATTGTCCAGGACGCCACCGCTTAGCCTTTCTGAATTCTGATACTTACTTCTCTGTGGCCAACCCTCCCCCGTCCAAGGGTCTTCATTCCGCCCTTTGGGGCGACTCCGACGTCAAGCTCCAACCGAGTAATCTCGATCACCCCCTCGATCACACGCAGCAGGGAGGATGTTCGAGGCCTCGCAATCCTTTCACGCCTGTGTGCTTACGCCCACCTGGTATCTTTTCCAACACCAGGCTGGGCTCAGGGCACTCGTCTGATCACGTTCATCGTATCCCACTAATACGGGCTTTGCTTGTGTGATGCAGATGGCGCAGTCGAGGGTCCAGGTGAACAAGATCAGTCTTGCCCTTGCATCTGTGACCCTTCTCTGTCCCCCTCACCTCCCGATCCAAACGCCGAGGCGACGCCATGGCGATTGCCTGATACGCAAGCGAGTAGACCCGTCACTTCCGTTCACCCGATTCCCACACTCCACCCCGGTACTGTACCAGATCTGCGTTCTGGTTTGGCATCGTACCGAGATTGGCAACGGCTCCGACACTTCCGATAACCGAGGGCGAGGTCCGGCTCCGCTGAACGGTGTGCCTCCACAAGCGCTATTCCAGACGCCGGCCGCACCTTACTTCCGCTAATTTTGCCCAATGCACGCCCTGGCCTGTGATCTACCTAAGTCTTGTAGTACACGATAGTATACGTTGGCTTCAGCTTGAAGAAATGACAGCCTACCTTCCAATCGACATTCAGTCTCTGCTGCCGCGCACCAGTCCCAAGACGGCTGAGCTGCCACAGGTTGGCGGCAAGGCGCCTGCTTTGCCCGCTTCGGCAAGCACGTCTTACAATCAGGGTGCAGGCACCTTGGTTGCCTTTGTCAGACATTGTGGTGAGCAGAAATAGATTTTCCCAGGTCTCAGCTGAGCTAGACACACAAGGGCTGACACATGCACCGCACATGTGCTGTTCGGTCGGGTTCAGGGTGTCCGTTTGCGGAAAAGGAGGTGCGATTGCTCTCTCAGGTGGCCAAGGAGAAGCCAGAAGTGCAGATCGTAGTCGTGCAGCACTCTAGCGAAGAGGAGACCAAGGAATGGTGGGGCAGGATTGAGTGAGTACAGAGGCTTGGGACATGTAATGTACGTTGCAAGCGTAGCAAGGTACAAGCTGACAATGTGCGACCGTACTCTGTAGTGGGCCGAAGCTGCTGCCTAAAGCAAAGCTTGTGGCCGATCCAGAACGGGACGTCTATGTGAGTGTCCAGAATGAGGGCAAGAAATTCGGCCTCACAGTGAGCAATCGCTGATGTTTTCGCCTTGTTCTCGCACTGGTCTGCAGGCCAACTTTGGCATTGGGGTTCTCCCCTGGTCTGGCCTCTTCTCTCGCTCAATGATCAACTCGCTAATGGAGCGCAAAAAGGAAGGCATTGTCAATACCACTACCGGAGGCGGAAGCTGGCGATGGCAAAACAGCGGAGGACTAGCAGTGGATACCAAGGGGACTGTCACGTGGGTCAAGGTGGCTCAGGATGCTGGAGATGTGTGCGATTATGTGGAGGCGGCAAAGTCATTGTGAGCAGGCGGAGCAGTGGTGAAGGGTTCGTGGGAAAGATTGGGCCAAAGGGCAGTGAGCGGCCCGATGGGCCCGATCGCGATACAGTATACTTCTCGACTGAGAAAGAAAAATCCGATTAAGCGACGAATAGACTGATGATCTGGCCTACATCGAGTGGAGAGCGTGTCGTGCCTGCGCCTCGCAAAATCTTGGACGCTCGCTACCCGAGCATTGGGAGTGCCTCCCGAGCATCGTCGGTTGCCACGTCAACAACGTCAAATTTGAAGTTCTGGGTGTACAACGGCTGTGGTGTCGTCTGGCTCTGCAGTCTTGCCTTTGAGTTGAGGTTCCTTCAGCCTCGTCGTGGCGTCAAGAGCTGAACCCAGTCCTTGCTGATGACAGACGACAACCTCGGCTCCGACGCCCGATACCTACTCTCACGCTACACACTTCGCGGACCTACACCTCACAAGTCGGTCAGCGTTGAGCTCCTACCATCGTCTTGAAACAATCGGTCTTCCGATCACACCGAGGTCTTCGGATGCGCCGTGTCGTCATGGCTTGCTGACAAACAGCTTCAGGGGGAGGTTCGACACTTTTGACGCCATCTCGTCTACGGAGTGCTCAGCAAACGCTCGACTGCGCGCCTGTCAGCAAGCATGCTTTGCCGGGCGTGCTTCACTAGGACCGGCCGTTGCTGTGTGTTGAACACAAGCCTGAGGTAGCTTGTGGAAGCGAGCGGAACACGAAACGGCCCTTTTCTGGGCGGCCATAGCCTGCGCCTCCGTCCTTGCAGCTCTCAACGGCACTACTTCACTTTTCTAGGAAGGACAGCCATCGACGCCTCCTTTGAGCCTCACTGCAGCGCCCTACCCGCAAAGCAGCTCAAACGCCGACGTCGTGACAACACTTGGCCTCTCTGGAGATTCGTGAGAAGGTCAGCTCGGCGCACAGAGGGGAAAAGGCCCGCAAGTCTCCTTCGGCCTTGGGTCTTTCAAGGCGCACTTTGCAGCTCTGCTGCCGCTTCTAAGAAGTCGAAGGTCTGCGCCTGTCTCATTGCCCTCGAAAGAGGTCGCTGATAGCCGGCCCTTTCTTAGTGCCGCCCCGCTTGCTAGTCGACTGACGCCCGAAAGCTGCTGTTGCATTTTGCAATCTTCGGGCGCAAGTCATCATCACCAATTCACGTCGTGGAGGTTGGTTCCCGCCCCTTGTCAAACCGCCTCCGATCATATTTGCTTCTTTCGCACCACCGTTCCTCCTCGAATCTTTTCGGCGATACACACCGTACTCTTTGGTCGATTTCGTACCTTGGAGCTTCGAGCGAACTCCTCACCCTCGTCGCGCACATATCTGATGTCGCAAATCGTCCAGCAAGGTATTGGCTTCTTCTTTCCTTTCTTTCGACCCTCTCTCTCTGCTTTTGCTTTATAGCGGGGAGAGAGTCTTCGCCTTCTTAGCGAGCGTGCGCTGTCCTCGAGCAACGCCTTAGACTTCGACATCATACCACTTCTACTTCTACTTCCCAAGCATGTCACGAGAACGTCCGGGAGCTTCTTCCTTGGCTCCCAATCGACCACCGCGTGATCCTTCTACACGACAAGCCCAGCCGGAGGGGAGGAGCGTTACAGACGCTTCTGGCCAAGCTGACAAAGGTGAGTTGGGTGAATATGTCGTGGGTGAGGATGATAGATGGTCACAGAGGTAAAAGCTCCGAGTGGTCGGAACAAAAGGGATGTTGCTGCTGCTGCTGCAGCCGCCGCCGTCGCCGTCATTGCCGTTGTCAGGCACGAGATTGGTTTCGGCGCAGCCACTCAGGGCAGATTCGCAAGCCAGGGCAGGCGGCAAGGGTGAACCGTAACGTTGCCATCGGCGAATCGCGGGGCCATATGGATCAGACAAGGCAGGCAGGCAGCCAAGAAGGCAGGCAGACAGATGGTGGGTGATTGGTTCGACAGCCTGAGCAGCTCAGCAGAGCGTCGCCGCCGTTTGTTCCTCGTCGCTGCCCCTGCCTCGCCCGCTTCCCAGCCCAGTTGAGACTGGAGTAAAGGTCCAGCCCGGGCTCGCTGGCTCCATCGTTGCTGCTTTCTTCTTCTGTTGCTGACTCTTCTTGCATCACACCTTCCCTCACGTACCTTACTCCCCTCTTCTCGTCTTGGGTAGTAGCGGCCTCGGGTTCAACTCCCAGTCGCAGGCAACAATCTTTGCTGCCCAGCCAGCCCGATCCCCCACGCACCCGGAAGAACCCTACGCCTGCTCGACAAACAGCACAACATCGCCAGGGAAGAGGACGAAGCTCTGTTCCTCGATCACATCCTCATCATCATCATCATCAGCATCAGCATCAGCATCAGCGTCAGCAGGAGCAGCAGGCCATTTCTTCGCAGCCTATACATCTCCAGATCGATACGATAGGTGGACGACAGGATCCCCCTGCCATCTCTCGTAACCCCAGCAGGCCCGCCTACGTGGCAGCACCCTTTGCGGCCACCATGGCCACACCTCCCGGACCACCTACACAGTCCTACCACATGTCTAGTCAGATCCAGCCCTCGGAGCAACTTGAAGCTCCTCAAATAGACTCACAAGGAGGGCTCAAAGGCCAGCAGCAGCAGACAACGTACCGGCCAGGAGATGTAGAGACTGGTATGCGTCCAGGTGCTGCGCCTCTGGCCTATTCAGGGCCTACTTCCTCAGGGGGCCCTCCCAAGCCTACTACTAGCCCGGGCCTGCAACCTTTATCAACTGCCAATCCACCGATGTCTGGGTATATGGAGCCTCGTCCGACGCAACCAGCGACTTCTGTAGCACGAGGGGACGCACCACAGCATACAACATTTGACTCCGGCGCAAAGTATGGGACTCGTCTACCGTCACAGAGCTTCATGACCGGCAATACCTTTCCCGGGGCACCACCAGAGCAGACACCAGCCTACTATGGCTTCGCGGTGAGTATAAATGCTGTAGTTTGGTATACCAGCGTTTGAGGGCGTTGTTCTGAAGCCTTCCTCACACCTTTACCTTCTCTTGTAGAACTTCCAACCGTACCCCGCCTACTATGCCAGTGCAACGCCTGGTAATGTCGCAATGGCACCACAAGTGCAGCAGATGCAATCGACGGGCTTGGGTGTGCCACAGGGTCTCGTATATGGTCAGCAATACCCATCCTACTATAACGAGGGCCAACTCCACGCAGGCTATGGAGCAGTCCACCCAGCACCTGCAGATTATCAAAACTGGCACACAGGGAGCAATCTCGTTTATAGCGGCAATGCCAACGTCATGAGCCATCAACGCCAAGGAAGTTTTACCGAGGACCCGCTCGATCCATCTTTCGGAGGCCAAGTACTCGGACAAACGCCATACGCTAGCGCCTTCAACAGCAATACCCCTCAGCTACAGCAGACCGGGACGATGCAAACTCAGCGCCGGACATCGCCCCTATCGACTTCGGGCAGGCGCAGCGAGCATAGGCCAGCCGATACACGCTCCGAGCACGTGATGTGGGTGGGCAATGTACCCACCGACGCTACGCAAGAGGAGCTGTGGTCAATCTTCTCGACTCTGCCTCCTCTGCCCCAGCAAGATCAGGAGGGTGAGCAGGAGCGCGAACGCTGGCCTCATGGGATCCTCTCCATCTTTATCATCGCGAGGTCGAACTGTGCCTTTGTCAATTACACTACGCCAGACTATCTCACTCGGGCTGTAGAATTCTTCCACGGGAAGTCACTCCGTCCGCATGATGCTCGATGCCCCAAATTGGTATGTCGTATCAGGAAGAAAGACGAAGAAGCCGCGGCTGGCGTGGCCGGCCAACGGGGAAAGGGTATTCATGTTGCGTGGCTCAAGGAGCACAACAGGAGACTCGAAACGTCCCGTCGCACCGATCCTGCCTCTTCCTCACAATCCCCATCCACTTCGACAGCTGCTGTACAAGTCTCGGGCGGTCTGGCTCCTCCTCACGAGCGCTTCCTGTCAGAGTCGGCATCTGTTGAACCCTCCTCGGGGACCGCAACGCCGCGCTCTGGTCCTCGTGCGCCGCCAGCTGCAGAAGCTTCCAGCTTCGAGAGGACTGCTTTTGACCAAACACAGTCGGCGTCTGACCCTTCCTACGCCAGCACTAACTCGGAGGTCTTGAGTCATCGTGCTTTCTCCAAGCGATACTTCCATCTGAAGAGCCACAATGTAGAGGAGCTCGATCGAGCGGTCGAGACGAAGACTTGGACCACACAGCCTCACAATGAGTCTTTCCTGGATCAAGCTTTCCGCCACAGCGAGGTGGTGTACCTCTTCTTTTCGGCAAACCAGAGCGGACGTTTCTATGGCTACGCGAGGATGACCGGTGGCATTCCTTCAGACGCAAAGCAGCAAGGACTGACAGTGTCTGGCCTGTCTCACCCTTCCGTGGACACATTGGCGCCGACGACTGTGGTCAAGGATTCTCCTCCTCCGATGACGCCACCTGAAGAGCTAGAGACACCAGCCTCGACGGAGGTCAAGATGTCATCCGAAGAAGCCGAGAAGCCGCTCACACAGACCTGGCCTATCGGACGAGAAGTACGTGAGCGGAAGACCTCATCTGCGGATGGAGCAGCAGACATCTCGGGTGACAGCTCCGCTGGTGGAGGCATCGTACACTCTGACAGCTCCAAGAATTACAGGCTGCGGGCTCGCGATAGACAGAGGAGAAATAACGACGAGCCAGGAACGTCAAAGGCCGACGAGGTCAAGGGCGATTCGCCTCAGAAAGCGTCGGTAGCCTCCGGACTAGACCCCGTTTCCCCTCAATCTTCGGACCGCAGACCTTCATCTGGAGGGCGACCTAGTAGCTGGACCTCATCCGCCGACCTTGTGGAAGATCTAGACCGTACGCTGGACTTTTCCTCCTCGCCCAGGGAGTCCCGAGCTGCCGAGCAGCACATCACCAGATCGTTGATCCACAACTTGCGCCTGGACCAAATCGACTCTCAAGAGAAGGTCTTGAGACTGCAGAGAACGCTCGATGAGCCTCATGGACAGTCTGTCGACGCAGCAGATGAGGGACAGGGCCAGAGGGGTCTGTCGACTGCCTCTCCGGTAGGCAGTGGCAAAGCTACTCCTCTTTCACCCGCTCATCCTTTCACCATCGAGTGGCTACAGACGATCCCTTTGCCCTTTGGGGTGGTGAAGCACCTCAGGAACCCTTGGAACGAAAACAAGAGCGTACGCGTTGGTCGAGATGGCACGGAGCTTGCCGTCGAGACGGGCGCTGAGTTGCTGCGCATATGGGACGACCATGTAGGGAAGCAGGAGGTGTCCAACAGTCGGCGAGAGTCTTGATGCTTCTCGAGGACGTTCAAGAAATGAGAAATCACAACTGACGAGCCGCTGCACCATCAACGAACAAAAATGCAAACAAGCACACCATTCATTATTCCCCTTTCAAGACCTTCACATACGCCGCCATGCAGCGCGGCAGTAACGATATCAGCGGTCATCTTTACTCTTGGAGAGCTTATCTATACACGCATTGCCTCCAGTTCCATCATCGCAAAACTCATCTATCCATTACACTCATCATCAACATCGCTCGGTCTTTATCGAGGAGCAACGGGCTTGGTCCCTTTGCACCTCACACATGGCGTGTTTTCGCGCCAAGCATATACTCTCCCTTAGATGAATCACACTTGTCGCGTCTTCGTAACGGTATGCTTCACTTCGTCACCTCATCTGTCATCTCTCCCTCTCTCTCTCCTGTATTCTCTATCTGCACTGTCTATACACGCATCAGTACCCCTTGTCTTTGCACCGTGTGAAGTGAGAAGATGGCTCACGGCTGAGCGCATCCTGCCGTTGGGCCCGCCTCTGCCTGCTCCGCGCATTGGCCCTGGATGGGACCGCATATAGCCACTATGGTGCCGTCGGGCTGCTCGAAACGAGGCAGCTTCCCCTTGGTCCAGCGCGTCTGACTGCTCCTTCCTCACGCCTCGCTTCCCTCTTGTCCATCTACCTACCTACATCTGCTTCACTGCTGCCGGTCTACTACGTTCTTTACATCACGTCTAAATTTGACAGCTCACAGCCACGCGTTGCTGTGCTGCTGCTGCTGCTACCATTCACCCCCCTTCTGCCAAGCCCGAAGGGTATCCCACGGGGACCAAGGTGAGTCTCAAGTTGCCAATCAGAGCTCTTTCTTTGAGGACCTCTTTGCCTGCCCCGCTCCTTCCCACGACGACCTTTCACGTAGGGTCAAGGCTGAAGCTCTCGGCTGGGCTGGAAAATCCGGGGAAGCGGGGCGCCAAGGGCTCACCTCGCATAGGCGCTTCTACTGGGCTGCAGTGCCGGAGGGAAGGTGGTGTGATGCGGGCGGTGATGTGGGCATGATGACGTTGGCCTTCCTCTCCCCAACTTCGACGCCAGCTCGGCGACGCAAGCGATTGGGGCCAGCTGCCAATCAGACACCAGCCCTTGAAGGGGTGCGGCAGCCCTTTGCAGCTCCGGACCTCAGCAAATTGTGGCGAGGTTGGCTCTCCGCATCTGGCAAAGATTTGGCACTGTAGCACTGCCTTGGATGGGGAGGAGAAGGCTCACTGCTTGTTTGGCGAGGGGAGGATCACCTTTCAGCAGCTAACGCAGGCAAAAGAACAGAGGGCCCAGAACACACCGGCCTCGCTTCCAAAGGTGACAGACATCAGCAGGGGCAGCTTCTCTGCCCGCACCAGCTGATTCTCTGCCTACCGAAGAGGGGGGGCAGGATGCGGGGTTTGGCAGCCAGCCGGCTGCAGAGCAAGAAGCAGTCCGCCCACGCCACGGCCGAGGGATCCCCATCGCGGTGACTCTGCTGCTTGCAGACCAGCCTTCACACGACGCTGTCGGCGACGGCCACTAGAGTGGCAGGCATCATCATCAGCAGCAGCAGCCGCGAGGGGGCAGAAGGCCTCTCTTCCCCAGGTTCTCGCCGGCCTGCAGGTTTTTCCTTTGATCAGGAGGGAAGACTGGGGTTCACTGCGCCAGTGCCTCTGGACGTCCCGATTTCATTGATCCTCGCCCTTTCGCCGTTTGCTGCGAAAGAGCATACTGCCCATCCCCACACCCATCCACTCCTCCGCCTTGGCTCTCGGCTCTCCGTATGGGCTCATACTGACCGCCACGCCCCCTTCTCCCTCCCTCCTCCTCCTCCTCGCTCCTACTACTACGCTCCTTCCATCCAGCCAGTGACCAAAGCTACTGCAACACCTTCCTTTACCCCACTTCAGCTATTGTCGTGGCGGCTGGTCACCGTTGTTCTGGATCCTGCCTTTGCCCTCTCTTCGACTTCTTGATACCCCGCGGAGCAAATTCGGCTACTGCTGCCCCTACCTTCACCGCCACTTCAAGGCAATCAGTACCCATACTTGGCCCCTTCGGATACCTCTTCGCTTCGACCCCTGCAGGCCCTCGTTCTTCATCTTCCTCATACCTAGCGAGTCCTTCAACCTTCGCATCCATCCGCGCCCAGCACTCGCCGCCGCCGTATCGTCTTCCTCATACCCATCCTCTCGGTACGCATCGCGACTACTGAGAAGTAGCAGCAGTCAGAACGCGTGACCCCTCGGGCTCTGTGTACCCTTCCTTTACGCATTCGCATCCGAGGCGAATCCCTTTCGGCTTACGGGGGCTCGTGAGAGTCCCACTTCACAATGGCGGACAATGAGTCGTATGGCTCGAGAACAGATTTGGTGCGGAGACGGAGAGGAGATGGCACACAAGAACCCGGTGTGACAAAACCACGCGGAGGAGGGATGTACCAGCCGGGTGTGCCGCTGGGATACATCTATGCTCGTGGAACACCATACGAGAAGAAGTACTTCAGCAAGAAGCTTGGCTTCTGCTGCCTCTTCCTCGCCCCTCCCATCATCATCGTGGCTCTCGCACTGGTAATGGTGCCGATTCTGTACGGTATCGGAAACCACGCTCTGCACACCTCGGTGCTGCATGTGTATGGCGCCAACTTGACAAATATTGGCAACAGTTCCTTCCCTCTGAGTATCCAGGGTCAGGTCAAGAAGACGGGTATCTTCCCTGCCCACCTTTACTTCAGGGAACCCATTCAAGTCTTCTGGAACACCGCACCACCCAACATGAGGGAAGTACAGCTGGGAACTATGTCGCTCGACTACATCGGTGTGGCAGCTGGTCACGGATCCATCAACCAAGCGACTACCTTTGAGATCACAGACGAAGAAGCCTTTGGAGAGTTTGCTCAATGGCTGATCTCTGAGCCTCAATTCACCTGGCAACTGAGGTGTCCCAATGTCCACGTAGAGGCGTTTAGCATTCTGCCCACCTTCAAGAATCTAGTCTTCACCAAGAACGTGGTCATTGATGGTATCAATGGCTTCAATGATGTCAAGGTTCTGAACTTCCAGCTGCCCGGAGACGATCCCGCCGGCGGTATTACCACTCAGGTCTTGACACAGCTGAACAATCCTTCACCGTTCGGAATTCAGCTGGGCGACCTTCAACTCGCGCTGTATTACCAAAACATGTTCCTCGGAAACGTCTTTGCTAGTGACGTCAATATCACCACTGGTCTGAACACCATCCTCATCGCCGGTCAGCTCGTACCTCACCTGGACAATTCTACTGAGCTGGACCTCCTCGGACAGCTCTTCACTGGTTACATCAACGGAATTGCCGTTCCCGTTGTTGCAAAAGGTGTCGCAACGACGTTGACCAATGGTCAGACCGTCACTTGGCTACAGACCGGTATCACTGCTCTCACCGTCAATGTGCCCTTGCAGTCTCCCACTGGTCCCATCTTGCCAATCACTGGCATTGCCATCGACTACCTGTCACTCGTCTACTCAGAAGAGACGCCATACAACCCGGTGGCCTTCTCTCCTGCGTTGCTCGGTAACATCTCGCTGCCATTTGGTTTCTCACTCAGTATTCTCGAGCTACAGAACACCATCACCATCCTCTATGATGGAGCCTTGGTGGGCAGCTTCGTCGCCCCTTATGCAGCGTCCAACACTGTGTTGCAAGCCATCACCGCTGGCGAGACGGTTGGGCAGGTGATGATCACTTTGCCACCGACTTCTTTGCTTCTGCCCAACACGACCGACGCCGCCAGGGAGGAGCTCATCGTCTTCCAGAATGCCTTCACGTACCAGGGAGCCGCTGCCTTCAACCTGGAGGGATCTGCTCGAGCATTGACCGACACACCGCTCGGTCGTGTGCTCCTCGACGGTATTCCCTTCGCCGTCGGCACCGGTTTGAACGGTCTTGCCGGACTACTAGAGTACCCAACCGTCATTAACTCAGTCGATGTCGTGGGCGGAGCACCTGACGCCATCAGCCTTGCGGTCGGCACCACGATTGTCAACCCTTCGAACCTGAACCTGACTCTGGGCGACGTCACACTGAACCTGATCAACCAGGTGCCCCTCGGAAACGTCACGCTTCCAAACCTCAACCTGGCCATTGGTGAGGTCACAGTAGCAGCCACGTCTTTCTTCGATCCCAACCGTGCTCCTGAGGGTCTCGAGGTCCTGAACAGATTCATCTCTGGACAGTACACCTATCTGAACATCTCCGGTTTCGCAGACTCCAGCCCGATCCAGCCGCTTTCAGAGACGCTCAGTGGTATTCGCCTGAACACCACTCTGCCCGCTCTGACCGTCAATCTGGTCCAGTCGGCCAATCTGACCGTGCTTCCCACTACGGGCACAGCGGACAGTGTTGCAGACTCTATCGTCTTCATCAAGAACCCGTTCACCGCTGGCCTGACAATCACAAACATCAAGGCTAACGCCACGTCCAAGGGAATCTACATTGCTAACATCGACCAGTCGCTGAACTATGTCGTCGGTGGCCACGCCACGGCACAGTCGCCAACCATTCCTTTGACGCTCAACCTGTACCCACCTGACATCTTTGGGCTCCTGCGTGCGCTGGTCGTCCAGTCTGGTCAAGACCCTTCCTATCTGGATGGAGTTGTTGGTCTTGGTGGTTACTCGTACTCTCCTACGACAGCAGCTAATGGCAACACGCCAACGATCGCTCGCCGAGACCTCTTCCCTGCTCAGCGGCTCGCAGAGGATGAGACACTCCGTCGACGAGGACTTGAAGGCGAAGATGACGTCGAGTTCGTCAAGAAGGCCACGGTATACGAGGACCACGTTCAATTGGCGAAGCGCATTGAGTACAACAGGCTAGCCAAGAGGGACAATCTGTACACGGGCTTCACTCTACCGCCGTACGTGCTCAAGGCATTCAGTGTCGCCACTCTGGACCTGCTCATCGAGTCAGAAGTCAACATTGGAGAGTACCCGACGACAATCACATTCTCGCAGAGCGATGTCGCCTTGGGTACGGATGACACACTGGATATCCTCTTGCCCGTCTTGGCTTTGCCCATCGTGCAGAAGATCGTCGACAATGCGATCCTGAACATTGAGCGAGTCACAATCTTGAATCCTCAGCAGAACACCTTCACTGTCTCATTGCAGGGTACCATCACCAATTCTGGACCCTTCGATGCTGTCATTAGCTTCCCGACTGGTCTCGCCATCTACTGGGAAGGCCAGCTGCTGGTCCAGACGGCGTTCCCGGACGTTTCCCTCACCGGGGACACGGGCGCTTCTATCAATGTCATGTTGGAGGCTACCGTCCCTGACGTCGATTATCTGACGACCTTCACAAAGTATCTCTTGACTCAGCCTTCCTTCGTATGGAGCATCCAGGGTACTGGTCTGTCAGTTGCAGCTCTCGGAATCACTGTCCCGAACATCACCATCACGAAGGACGTTGCCCTCACTGCTTTCAATGGTCTACAGGGCATGGTCATCATCAACTCCTTTGATCTGCCATCGAATTCGCCCGCCGGAGGTATCACGCTGACGGCCATTTCGACAATCAACAGTCCGTCACAAGTCGGTGTTCAGCTCACCAGATTCGGTACCAACATCGTGAGGAATGGAACTACTATTGGTCCTGCAGCGGCCACTAGCGAGTTCATCTTGGAAGCTCTTTCGGTGACCGTACTGCCTCTGGCTGGTAACCTCGTCGAACAGACCGATGCTAATGGCTTGGCCATCTTATCGGAGATCTTCACTCGCTTCGTTCAGAACACCAACACCGACGTCATCGTCAATGGTGCCTACGCTGGTCCCGAGGAGGTCACTTGGCTCAACCAGGGTATTCTTTCACTGTCTGTTACAGTCTCCCTGCCGGCCCAAGACTTCGAAGTCATTCGTCTGGTTGGTATCAATCAGCTGTCGCTCTTCTTCACGGTGGCTTCGTCATGGGCGCCTCCCACTAGTTCGAGCAACACCGTGGCGCACTTCTTCCTGCCATTCGCCTTCCCAGTCAACATCGTCAATGTCGGTGGGCCCTTCATTGCCAACTACAACGGCCAACAAACTGCTGTCCTCAACATCCCTACTGACTCTGTGGCAACGACGGATGTCGAGTCTCGAGTACTGTCACTGGTTTTCAACAGTGTACCTTTCGAAGTATACGACGATGCCCACCCGACCTTCTCGCAGTTCCTCGCTGATACCACGATTCAGCAGCAGGTCACCTTCAACCTGAATGGAGCAGCGGTCGGTGTCGCCGATACCGCAGCAGGAGCGATCACGATCAACGGAATTCCCTTCAGTCTGGACACCAACTTGCTTGGTCTGCAAGGCCTCAACACGAGGCCTGCGGTCACCTCCAACCTGAATGTCGTTCACGGTTACCCGACTTATCTGCTGATTACCGCCAATGTAGCTCTGTACAATCCGTCGGCTATCACGATCGGAACTGGCACAGTCAGGTTCGCAGTGATGTTCCAGGACCGACCTATTGGTATGGCCATCATCAACAACCTTATCCTTGTGCCAGGTACGAACATCATCTCGACGGAGATCGACTACGCTCCACAGGGCGCTGCCAATGTAGCGGCCGGTCAGGTGCTGCTGGAGAACTACGTTCAAAACGTCACTTCAAGCGCCATTGTAGCAGGCACTGATCAGACGACCAACATCCCGTCGCTCGTCCAGGCGCTGGCTCAGATCAGATTGAACACTGAGATTCCACCGCTTTTCAAGATGATCGTTATTGAGGCCGCTCTGGAAGTTCCAACAGACATTGCTCAGACAGGTGTAGCGTCGGCTACGGTCATGATTGCTAATCCCTTCACGGCTTCCATCAACATCTTGGACCTGTCCGCCCAAGCCATCTACTTTGGTCCATCACAGTACGGTCAGATCATTCTGGGTACCATCAACCAGAACTTCGAGAGCGACCCATTGGTGAACCCGGGAATGACGACGACCACATCGCGTTCCATCCCAATCAACCTGAACATCGATCCGAAGAACCTGATTCACTTCATTTTGACTGCTGCCGCAAACACCGGTACAAGCTTGGGACCTTTCCCGCCGTTCTTGCAAGATGTATTGAACCTGGCAGACACGTCAACGACGATATCGCCGGTTCCTTACACCACGGCACCTCCTTGCTTCTCTGGTCAACAGTTTGACATTCTCGGCGCCATCTTGCAACTGCTGAAAGGCCTGGAGACGACGATTCCCATCAACTCGACCTTGAAGCTTGACGATTACCAGACTGATCTCGACTTCCAGCAGAGTCCAGTGCCAACGATGACCGACAACACTGCCCTCTACCTTGTCGGTCCGGCTGCTGCACCCTTGATTCAGGCCGTCGTCAACAATGCCACGATCTACTTCAATCAGGCCAATGCCACCAGTCTTGTCAACGAAGGATTTGCCGTCTCACTCCAAGGATTCTTGAAGACGGATGCCCCGGCCGATGCTTACATCTCCTTCCCGGATGATATCCTCGTCGACTGGGAGGGCACTCAGATCGCCAAGATCTCACTGCCTCCCATCTGCTCTGCTCCCGGAGTTGGTGTCCCCAACCTGGTCACTAGCGGTCAGCTGTTCATCACCAACTTTGACGCGTTTGTCACTTTCACCAAGTACATTCTCAACAATCCCAACTTCACCTGGCGAATTCACAGTCCCTCGGTCTTGGTTCAGGCGGTAGGAATCAACTTCAACGATGTCATTCTGGACAAGATGATCACCCTCGACTCCTTCAATGGTCTACCCGGTATCGTCATTACCTACTTTACCATTTACGGAGAGACGTCAGATTCGCTGTTGATCAGGGCCAACGCCGCCATTCCTTCGCCCTCTGCGTTGGGTGTGGAGCTGGGTACGGCAAACTTCCGCATCTTCTACCTGGGCACCAACATCGGACCAATTCAGGCGACGAACTTGTTCCTGGCTCCCAAGCCGTTCAACGGACAGCCTCAGACGACTACGACTGTTGCCATGACCACTGGTGCAATTGAGTCACAGATCGGCAACACAAAGGGCCTTGCTACGCTCGGTATCTTGTTCACGCAGTTCTTGGCTGGTCTGAACCAGACTCTGCAGCTGACTGGTGTCAGTGTCATCTCGCCGACCAGCGGCGGACAGCCAGTCAGCTGGCTCACCGACGCCTTCCCGGCCCTCACCACCAACGCCGTCCTGCCGGGCCAGATCTACCAGATCATCTTCTCGATCGTTCTTTCCGACCTGACCGCAACCATCAACAACCCAGTGGTACCGTATGTCATCACTGGTGGCAACAACCAGACGATCGCTACATTCGCCAACCCCTTCGAATTCTCGCTCACCCCACTTCGGACCGCTCCTATGATTACGCTCACCTATCAAGGCGTGGACACGGCTCAGATCAACTTGCCCGACGCACCCGTCGTCTCGGCTGGAACTTCCAGGGCACCAACAGACATCGAGCCTCTTGTGCTGGACTTCTTTAATCAGCCCATCGACTCGCTCAATGATGCCTCTTTCGAAGCCTTCCTCACCCAATTGGCCAATGAGCCCAGTGCGACATTCGGGCTCAAGGGAATGACATCTGTCCTGGCAAGGACTGTCGTTGGTGACATTCAGATCGGAGGTAGTTCCGGACCAACATTGGGTATCCCTTTCAATGTCACCTCCAGCCTCGCGGGTATCAACTCCTTCAACCACAACTTCAGTACCGCTGACGTCGTCGTCGAGGGAGGTACCGATCCTACCTACATTCGTATCCCGCTTCAGGTCACCCTCGACAACCCAAGCATGCTGACCATCATCACCCCAGGTGTAAGCTTGCCCATCACGTACACTGGTGTATCAGGCGCTACCGTCCCGGAGACCTACGTTGGTCGTGCTGTCATCGAAAATCTTCTTCTCATACCCGACACCAACATGATAGGAGTCATCTTCGAGTACATGCCAGATGACCCTAGCAACGCCGATGCCGAGGATCTTCTCACCAAGTTCTTGCAACCCCAGACTGGAACAGAGTCAACGCCTTACAACCCTATCAACATTGCCATCAATGGAGCTATAGCGAACAACGGTGGGCCTCTGTCGCCCTATGGCGAGCTTGTGCCTGCTTTCAGAGAGCTCACCGCTGCAGGGACCCTCGCCGGCATTGGTTCGCGTGTTGCGATCCAGATCAACGTGTACATCACCGCCCGCACGCTCGCAACGACCTTCGCGGGCAGTCCAATGGTCGATGCCAAGATCATTCTCCAGGATGTGCTGGCTGCGCCTATCAATCTTCAGCATCTGGTCACCAACATCTACGCAAACCCGGGAAATACGCCGAGAACCCTCTACGCGCGACTGGACCATACCTTCGAAAATGGCTATGCTATTCCACCGAACGGTGGAACGGCGGAGAGCGAAGACATTCCAGAGATCACGCTGATGCCAAATGGGGTGGGAGGAGCTGGATTGGCAACGCTCATCGCGTCACTTCCCATTCTGGCTGATACCACATTGGACATCGACAACACCATTGAAGTACTCGTCGGAGCTTACAGAGTACCCTCTCTGATCTACAACGAGGTGGCGGTCAACACAACCTACTTCGCTTGTGTGACGCCAGACGATGCCACATGTGTTCCACTGACTGGTATCTCAGATCTTCTTCAACTGCTGCTGATCCTGTTAGGTCTCGGAGGTCAGATCATCGACGAATTGGTCAATCTCTTGACAGGGACCGACCTCTCGACGATCTTGACGGCGCTCGGCACCGATGGCGCTGCCTTCCTAGAGGCTGTTCTCGGCAACAACGCGCTGACCACGGCTCTCGTCAACACTCTGGCAAACACCAACACCTTACTCAACACAGTTCTTGGCACCCTCGATGGCAATACGGATGCTCTGGATAACCTAGCCAAGGCCTTCGCCGCGCAGAACCCTAGCGGTTTGGCTGCTGTGGTCGAGTCTTTCCTCGCTGCCGGAGCCAATGCGGTCACCGCCATTACGTCCGCTCTTACCCCTGCACAAGTCACTGCCTTGTCAGGATCAGGTGTTCTCAGCACTCAGGCAGCGACAACTCTGGCTAATGCTCTCATGGCACTCGGTTTGAAGTCGGAAGTGTGCCAGTTTACCGCCCTTGCCACTGCGCTCCTGTCGAGTGCCGGCTGTATAACATCGACAACATCGGCCACGACGAGTGCCGCGACGGTTGCTCCCGCCGTCAACAGCATCACTGCTGCCGCTGGCGACTTGACCTCGGTGGCTGGATCTGCCGCTAGCAGTGTTGTCAGTGCTGCGACCAGTGCTGTTGCTTCTGGTGCTGCTGATGTGTCCAGCGTCGCTTCAAGCATCGAAAGTGTGGTAACTGATCCTAGCACTCCTACCACTACTGCTGCTGCTGCGAGCAATGCCGTCGCATCGGCTGCCGACGCAGTGGGAGGTGCGCTCACTGGAGGTAGTTGAGTAACAGATGCAAGTATGTCGGAGGATTGATGACGCGGCTGATGCTGTTGAGGGTCTCTCCAATGGTCACCATGATGATGACACGGGAAGTATGCATACTTGGTGCTGCTCCTGCCCTCCCTCTTTTCCTTCTTCTCATTGTCCTTGAATTTGTTTGTTGTTTTTCGTGTGTTTCTTATTCCCCCCTTGTTCTTTTATTTCTCTTGCGTCAATATCCAGATCAGCTCGTCACTCTCTCTACATGTGTGTGTGTGTGTGTGTGTGTGTGTGTGCGTGTGTGCTGCATCGCTGAGATTGGTCGTCTGCCTCTTTGGTGAGCGTCCGTCCATCGGCGTCTTCGGCCGTCGGGACGTGGGCGCCGATGATCTGGCGTTGGGTGACGCAGGGCTGCAGCGGCCGGGCGTCGAGGGGCGATGCGGGTGTGTGCGTGCGGGTGGAGCAGCAGTGGTGCGGAAGAGGATCATCTCACACCACCTCGCAAGAAGAATCACCAGAATCATCACCACCAACGCCAGGCAGAGGCCGCCCTTGTTCCTCCTAGTCGTCGTCGTCGTCACCTCAAACAACCTCCTACGGACATCCTCGCCCCTCGCCTGCTGCCACGATGATCGCATCTGCCCTGCGATCTCGTGCAATGGCAGTACGTGGACCCATTGGCCTATCTAGTCGTGCCTACCTCTACCCGACCACAGCAGCTTCCTCCTCCTCCTCCTCTCTGACGTCCTCCTTCTCCTCTCCCTCCTCCGTCATCCTGCGTCAGGCCTTCAGTACTCGCAGCCATGCTCGACCCTCCAAAGCAACTGCAGCCTCGCCTATGTCTTCCTCGCCATCGCCTCTGCGTCTCCATCCTGCCTTCTTCAATTCTGTACGTCTCGCCTCGACTCAGGCGGAAGGTGTGCCGGTTTCCATGAACAAGGCTGTGCGGTGGCTCTACCACTCCCGCATTCTACGTTGGTTCGTTTTTGGCACTTTCTCCATCGTGTTCGGACTCGCTAGCGCAGTCGCAATCGTACTCGCCCACGACTCTCTTACGTACAAGCATCGCGATCTGCAGAAGATCTCCCCATCGGAGCTCGCACTTCATCCTGAGCCAGGAGGACCAAAGAATTTGCCTGTAGTGAGCGACTATGTAGAAGGCGATGAGGACAACTTCACAAGAGAGTGCAAGGGCAAAGAGAGGTTGGTCATCGTTGGAGGCGGTTGGGCAGCGGTCAGTCTTCTGAGCAAGCTGGAGCCGGGAAGGTACAATGTGACGCTCGTATCGCCCAACAACTTCTACCTCTTGTAAGTAGCAGAATAAAGGGAGAACGTACATGCTGGCGCTCTGCTCATCTACTGCCGCTTCTTCCGCCTCCACAGTACGCCTCTCTTGCCGTCAGCCACCGTCGGAACGGTAGAGCCCCGCTCCCTCATCGAGCCGATCCGAAAGGTGCTGTCGCGCCACCGCGGGCACTACGTCCAGGGCAAGGCAATCGACGTCGAGCTGGGCTCTTCCATCGACCCATCAGAGGGAGGTACGCAGCGCCTGCTGGAAGTACAGCTCGTGTCTGGAGAAGAGAAGTCTGGGATGCCCGGCCGGGGTCATCCCGAAGCTCAGCCTGCTGCAGGAAGCTCGGCGCCCCCCAGGGATGAGGTCAAGGATCGAAGAGTCTACATCCCCTACGATAAGCTCGTCGTCGCCGTAGGCTCCGTCACTTCCACCCACGGTGTGCCTGGTCTGGAGCATGCCTTCCATCTCAAGGACATTGAGGACGCTCGAGGCATTCGCAGCAGGATTCTGGACAATCTAGAGATTGCCTCGCTGCCCACTACTACACCTGAAGAGCGAGAGAAGCTGCTCAGCTTCGTCATCTCTGGTGGAGGACCCACAGGAGTAGAGACGGCTAGTGAGATCTACGACATGCTCAACGAGGATGTGCTGGATTACTACCCCAAGCTCCTCCGCCAACAGGCCAAGGTATGGCTTATCCAGTCCCGCTCGCATATCCTCAATACCTACTCGGAGAAGATCTCCAAGTATGCCGAGGAAAAGTTTGCTAGGGACGAGGTGCACATTGTGACGAATGCTAGGGTCAAGGAGGTCAAGCAAGACTCGGTCTCGTACACGGTCAAGGATGAGGATGGAAAGGTGACGGAACACGAGGTGCCTAGTGGGATGACGCTTTGGTCTACTGGTATTGCGATGAGTCCGTTTACGAGGTCGATGACGCAGATGCTGCCCAACCAGAGTCATCTCAAGGCTCTGCTGGTGGACTCGCACTTGAGGGTACAGGGCACACCAAAGGGCACAGTGTATGCTCTAGGAGATGCTAGTACGCTGGACACGAGGCTGATTGACAGCTTGTAAGTGACGCGAGAATACGCGGTGTTCTCGGACCTTTCTGACTCACCTTTCCTTCCCCTCTGTCCTCACCTTCACAGGTACGACTTCGTGGACGAGTGCGATACAGATCACGACGGACGCATCTCCTACAATGAATTCCAAAAGCTAGCCAGCTCCGTCCGCAAGCGTTTCCCCTTGGCCTCTAAACACTTTGAAAAGCTGAGAGACCTCTTTGAAACCTATGACAAGGATCACGATGAGCATCTCTCCACGAATGAAATTGCCGACATGTTCCTCGAAACACAACGAAAGATGACTGCTCTTCCTGCTACGGCACAAGTGGCTAGTCAGGAAGGAGCCTACCTGGCTAAAAAACTCAACAAGCTCGCCAAGTTGAAGGAAAAGGGTCAACTCCTCCCCTCGCCTTCCAAAGCGGAGGATCCAGTACCCAAGGTGGATCTAGACGAGATGCACTACACACCTTTTAGTTATCGCAACTTGGGTTCCCTGGCTTACATTGGAAATGCAGCTGCTTTTGACTTGCCGTTACCGGAACCAATTGGTAGCTTTGCGGGGGGATTGGTAGCAATGTACATGTGGAGATCATTCTATCTGAGTGAACAGGTCAGTACGAGGACTAGGATGCTCCTGCTTAGCGATTATATCAGGAGAGGTATTTGGGGAAGGGACATTTCTAGGATTTGAGCGGGAGCTCAACTGCGAAGGCGAAGGCGAAGACGAGCGCTGGGGTTGGGATGGGACGGGTAGGCGAGGGAGCGAGGGAGAATTGGCAACACCCAGTCGTTTCTGCCCTGCCCCCCCAAAGCCTTATGTACGACTTCTTTCCTTGTTCTCATGTACCCTCTTTGAGGACTTCGAAACCCCTTGCGACTTGCGAAAAATGTAATCGCTGAGAGTTCACATGGTCTGAAGAGAGCACGAGACGAGACGAGACGAGGGTGAGGCGATGCGACACGCTAATGGACACGATACGATACGATACGAGACGGACATCAAGACGGACGGACGGACGGAGGGATGGATGGATGGATGCGATGAAATTTGAATGAAATGAACTGAACCAGATGAATGTAAAAAGAGTCTGTATATACACGTACATATGAGCGGATCGAATCGGAGGGGAGTGGAGTGGAGTGGAGCAGAGCTGAGCTGAGTGGAAACGCATCGATGACACCAGAAACAAAACAATGTCTCGCCTGATTGGAAATGGAATGGATGGAGGGCAAGAGAACCCAAACGACGATGAGGAGGATGAGGGGTTCTCTGGATGAAGGGAGAGGGGGGCCAAGGAAAAGATGTTGGCATGGGTATATTGCGTCGCTCGACTTGCTCTTGCTCTCAAACGACGTGATGGAAGGACAACTTTGCTTCCCCCCTCTGTTGGTCTTGCTTGTACTTGCTCTTGCTTGTGCTTGTGCTCGAGCTCGTACTGAGGTGAAAGGGCTGCACAGTATGGCCATTTCGCGCTCGCGCTCGCGCATCAAGCTCCAGCTCCAAGGTCTCAAGGACCAAAGTGAAAGAGTTGTTTCCTCTTTGCAGGCCCCAACGTCGCTCCAGGTCTTGTAGGACTTGCCAATCCGCCATGAGCCACTCCATGACCTTGGACAGCACCCCCAGCAGCAGCAGCAGCACCCGGCCCAGCAGCAGAAGCGACCCCCTTCGAATCTTTACTGTTGACAGCTGAACCATCGGCGGCAGCGGCGGCTGTCCCACCAGCGAGCATCTGCACCACGTGATTCCAGGACTCGTCGTACCTATCGTGCGTCTCCTCCCTACCGGGAACGGTGAGCACCGAGTAAGTTCTGACACCACCTGGTTGCTGTCCTCCACCTGCTCCCGAAGCTGAGTGATGTGGATGGTGGACACCACTCTTGCTGCTCGCGTTGGCCAGATTGTCATAGGACCAGGTACGATCGGGCAGTGGTTCAAAGTGATTTCGGATGGGCGAGGGAGGCACGAGACCTTGGTAGGAGCTGCGCTGCGCGTTGTTCATACTTTTCGGCCTACCCGATCCAGCACCGCCAGGACCAGAAGTGATGACATTGCTGTGACCGTGCCCAGAGCCTGCGATGACGTGCTGAGCAAGTGCAGGTGTAGAGGAAGAGGAAGACGCAGCAAGCCCGTGATGGGCGTGGGCGGCGGCGTACGAGCCTCTCCGGTTGCTCATGGCCGAATGAGGTCTCGCGTGCGCACCAGCAGCAGCCGCCGCGGCCGCCTCTCTGTAGAAGCTCTCCACGTCCTGTCCCGTGAGGGCCGCTCCGCTCATCTCTCCACCGTGCTCGGGAACGATTGGCGTGGTAGTCCTGACGGGCATGGTGTTGTGTCTGCCGTACGTCGCTTGAGAGCCGTGTGGATGATGGCCGAGCAGACCCATGTTGCCGAGGGCTACTCCACTTCTACTAACGGGAGGACCCGAGGTGTGATGGTGAGTAAGGCGAGGACCTTGACGCTGCGGCTGAGGTTGATGCTGGTGAAAGGTGGGTGGGTGAGCAGCGTGAGGGGTGATGGGGGTCATGGCACCCCAACCGAGGCCACTTCTCCTGGGGCTGGTACCTGCGCGGTATAGATCCTGTTGACTCGAGACCTTTGGCAGCGGGGTGGCATCGTCTTCGGCATGCACAACGGGAGCGCCATCGTTGAGTGAGATCTCTGGACTCCTTGCTCCATCCCTCGCTCGAGCAGTCAACAGCGAAGGCGTCGTAGGTCTGTACAGCTCATGGTAAGAGCCAGCACCCGCACTACCAACTGTAAAAGTCGCGCCGTTTCCGTGAGCAACAGCAGATCGACTTCCACTCCTGGAGCGATGTTGAGCAAGACTGACTGCGCTGCTTGTACGATTGCTGGGTGCGAGGAGTGGAGGAAGCATGGTCACATCCTTGCTTCTCTGATGCCTCTGCTCTGCCTTTCTGCGCCTTCGCTTCTCCTCTTCTGTAGCGCCAGTGGACGTCAATCCGAGAGCGGAGCTATTGCGACGTGGCTGATGCGGCGAGGATGCGCTGCCTTCAGCAGACTCTTGAGGAGAGGGAGGACCCGCCTTGGCAGCTGGCTCGCCAGGGATCTGCCCTTGTCCAATCTCCTTTGCAAAGGCCGGGATACTACCTCGATTCACTCCTGGGCGAGCAACACTAGAGGGCGAAGCGCCTCGATAGCTCTTACTCAGGTTCGTATTGGACATGATCCTGGAGAGACTCTCGGAGGCAGCCGACTTGGACAGCATACCGCTGTTGCCGCTGTTGTTGGACGCAACAGAAGAGCGACCGCGACGACCATCAGGACTCGAGTCCATGATCGCTCTGCCCAGTGGGCTCGAAAGCTGAGCTGAAGACCGCCTTTGCGATCCCCCACTTGAGGTGCTTGCATCCTCTGGGACGATCAGGGTAGGAGTCGGAATCGCAGGGGTGGTACCTCGGAAGGCAGTCCAGGCCGACGACAGTCCCTTGAGGAAGCCAGAAGAGGCAGAAGAGAGCAGAGTAGCTCCAGATGAGTTTCGCCTCTCCGACGTATCATCGCTGTTGGGCGTCTGCGAATTTGGGGAGAAGCGAGCAGAGGAAGCAGTGGCGGGCGTCAGGCCACTTGCAGCCTTAAGGGCATCGATGGCGTCCACACGTGGGCTCGAGTAGCTCTTGCTGAGCCTTTCAGCGGAATTGACATCGACGTTGGGCTTTGCTTTCACCTCGTCTGGACTGCCCGTGTGACTGCTAGCGTCGGGAAACTCGAGCATGAGCGATTTACCCCTGCCTTTGCGACGTTCGCGAAGGGATGGCGCACGTTGGACCATGGTGTTGGCGCTGCTGCCCAATGTGTGCTCACTGGCAAAGCTTTCTGCAAGATGAGGCCTGCCAAATGCCGGACTATGAGCCATATCGGCAGAAAATTCGACCGAAGGGGAGCTTCGGAAACTGCTGCTCTGCTTCTTGAGCAGATTGAGAGAGCTAGCCCCGGCTGGAAGACTACCCACGCTAGGTACGGCAGTGCTGTTGGGACCCTGAGCAGCAGGGGTGACAGTCCCTTGGGAGTTGCCCTGAGACTGCTCGCGGACCGTGGATGTCCGGGTCCTACTACCCTGCTGGGAGACACGATCGTCGATGGCTGTCGAGCCTGCTGCATCCGAGTCTTCATCCAAATGTCCCGCCTTGCCCTTGCCCTTGGCCTTTGTGCTCGACCTCAGCTTGGGCTCCCAAAACTCTGCGTAGCTGCCAGTACTCTGTGCGCTGCTTCCTGTCCCACTGCGCCCAGTCTCGCCACTGGCCGCCGATGCTGTACGTTCCGGAGATGGTCTGCTTTCCATGCCAGTAGAGGCAGTACTGTTGTTGACATTTGTAGAGCTGATGGAAGGATGTCTGCGTGACTCGGCATAGCGTGGGAAGTAGCCGTCCTCACCGCCAGAGGGTGGATTGAGATTCTGTGGGGTGATGATCCGACCAGACTGAGATCGCTGCTTGCGATAGACTGGGGCGCCCATGCGGCTATAAGGGTATCCTCCCGAACCTTCAGTGGTGTCACTTGCACCGCTAGGTACTGTGCCACTGGCGCTGTTCCTCTCCTGACACTCGTTGCAAGTGCATATCTTGCCATCTACCGAGTCAGAACCCCTGGCAGGAGGTCCCACACCACGGAGTGAAGACAAGCTGGAGGGCATGGCGCCACGAGGTTGTGTCGGTGACTCTGGGGGCCACGTAGGACTGACCTGATTCGTATAGAAGCCGAACTCGGCCAGGCCAGCTAGAGAAGTCTGCTGATCGATTTCCCGACATCGCTCGGAGCAGTAGAGGGCAGTGGGCGCAGTGGCTCGACTTGCTTCCTCTTCTTCTTGCTGCTGCTGCTTCAGAATAGCCGGTGTGATACCACCGAGCAGACCGCCCTTCTTGGATCGAGGCAGGTGGCTGCGCGGAGACGGTTGCGAGTAGAAGGAGTCGGCTTCACTGCCGGTGGTGCCTGCCGATGCTATACTAGCTGCCGAGCTGCGTCTGCTGTACTTGGGGCTCGTCTTATCCACCTGTCCGGCGGCTCCAGCGCCAGTCTTGGCTGGCTTGCTGACCTCGCCATTGAGCTTCGTCGTGGGCTTGAGATCGCTCAAGGCATTCAAACGGGAGCCTGCGCTGCCGTTTCGCCGGATGGCAGCCCCTGCTAGCTTGCCACTGGATCCATTGCGTTTGAGTTTCCCTTCTGACGAGGGAGGCCGACTCTTGATGGTACTGGCGCTGCTGTGTAGTCCAGAGGAGACGGAAGAGGTAGCAGAAGAGTTCTTCTTTGGCAACCGTGAAGCAGACAGAGGAAGAGGGGGGTCATCGTCTACGATGCGAGACCCCTTGTTGGCTTTGATCTGGCTGCCAGAGGGGCCTACCCCTTGACCTGGCTCGATGAGACAGTCACATACGGAGCAGTAGTTTTGCGTCCATAGATCTTGTCCATCCATCTGCAATGCCATTTCCTCCTCTTCATCGTCGTCGTCATCATCATCATCGTCTTCCTCCTCGGACGTCGTCTCCATATCTGAAGCCTCGCGGCTACTGGACGTCGTCCCTGTGCTCTGCTTTGCTAACCGAGAGGGGCCTGCGGTGGAGGTAGTAGACTGTTGCTGCAGTTGCTTCTTGGAAGAGGATGCGGTGGCTGGAGGTGGATTGCTCTGCCGTAGGTTGCCGGTCTTTGGCTGAGGCTGTGCCTGTAGCTGTTGTGACCGCCTGAGTGCAGCCGCAGCCGAAGTGGCCGGCGGCGCCATGCCGGGCATTGGGTGGTCGTTGAGAGCAGCAACAGTGGTAGTGGTGGCGGCGGGAGGATCAGACAGGAGGGTGGGGCTGCCCTCTTGTGTGTCCCTATGGCTGTTTGCCGCTGAAGAGGCTCCGAAGTGGAGCTATATTTGAATCTGGCAGATGATTGTGATAATGATGATGATGGGTAGGGGGAGGAGATAGAGAGGGGAGCAAGTGCGATGGCTTCCTTTGCTATGAGGATCTGCCCAGGGCAGGCTGTGCGAGTGACGTCTTTTGTGTGTCAGTGTGATCGCGTATTCACATCCGCGGTGGGGGCAGTGGGATGCGCGAAATTTTGCCTCTGAGAATGCCGGTGGGTGTGGGTGTGGGGTGAGTCAGAAAGGAGGTGGGGGGGGGAGATGCGCCCACTTTGCCGGTGAGTGGAGACGTCAGTGTGTATCGAGTGGGGATGGATGGCAGAGATGGTGATGAGAGTAGAGACGACGAGGAGTGAGTATTGCCCCACCTCTGCTGTTGGCCAGGACAAAGAGGGGAGGACGCGATGTGGATGGGATGGGCCGTGGGAGGAGGGGTGGCTGCCTGGTGCAAGGGGCCGCCCTAGGCTTGGGCTCAGGCACCAGAGATGCACACTGTCGGCCTCCTTGGTCGCCGTGCGGTGCGGTGCGAGCCCATCGGAGCTTATCCAAGTCCAAGCCTCCTTCCGGAATCCGGAGCAATTGAAGCATCCAGCCGCCCGCCAGCCAGCCAGCAATTCGTCCATTCGCCGAATCTAACCTCGAAAGAAGCGCAGCCAGCCCAGCAGCAGCACTGCTAAGTAGCAGCAGTAGTCCCACGGCTCCATTCACCGCGCTCGGAGACTTACTCACCCATGCAGCCACGCACCCACCCACCCACAGAGGAACAACGTGATCACTCATCAGCAAGTGATACAATTCCTTCACCCGCCTTTACAAAGTGACTCGCATAACTCCTACCAATCCACACGCGAGGGCGTTGATCTTCCGATGTTTCACGCGCACGGGAAGATCTTGCCTGACCCAGGATGCAAAGATTACCCCATCCACCTCCTTGTGACGACGACGACTCATAGCAGCCAGAATAGCAATAGACCCGCTCGGATCGCACTCGGCGGTCCATTGACCATCTCTCTCCCCTTTTCCCCCATCTGCGGAGATCTACTCTCTCCGCAAGGCAAGTGAGAGAGGTCCGACCACACGCGCTCCCCCCTTGCAGCTTCACGGCAATTTACAAACCGGTCCTTGCCCATTCAACAGCCCATCTACTGCTTTGTCCCCCACCCACCCCTCTCCTTGAACTCTTTGCCGGCGACTTGGATGAATGAATGGATTCGATGCTGCAACGTGAAATGAAGAATGAAAAGTGGCTTACGCTAAGTCGGAAGGTATCGGGATCAACCCCCACCCACTGAGAGTCGAGTAAAGTAGACTAAAGTGAAAGGAAACAGTCTGTGTAATCCACAGGTGATCACTCACTTCTCATGCCGTGAAATCGCAATCGCTACGGAAGCGAAGAGGTGAGAAGCAAGGGGGAGGGGGGGGGGGGGAAGCAGAAAGGAGTGCGGGGCACCTTGCTGCAAGATTGTGAAAACCCTCATCCACACCTGGAGAGAGAGAGCAGGAGGTCGGTTCGGCAGGACGCCCGGCTCGCACCCCCCCACGCGCGTGGACCGATGCGCTCGGCGTCTTGAATGGATGGGAATGGGCGTGCATCTGGCTGCAAGGCTCACCATCGCTCACGACTACGAACATCGAGCGATCTCGACACGCAGGCACGGTTCGCCTTCTAGGATCACGGGAAAGGTCGTCTAGATCTGGGCTGAGCTACTCGCCTTCCTCATCAGTCTGACTCGACCGTACAATGATACACATTGCCTTCGCATTTCCCACTCATCGGCCCCCACCCACCTAAGCAAGCTCCGACGGATCCCCTCCAGTCCCGTTCGCGCCCACCTTCGGGAATCTCCACTCCCCGCACACGCACACGCACACGCACACGCACCTGCTCCCGCATGCCCCGTGACCAACCTTCACTCTAACCTAACCTTCGCGGTCGACCCTTCAGTTCCCACCCTGGACCCCTCTCCTCTGCCCGACTGTGCACGCCTTTCCCCACATTTCTCCCCGAAATGCAGACCGTGAGACGCATCTGACCCTCTCCCCTCTCCCCGGGATGGGGTCAGAATGAGAATGAGACTGAGATGAGAATGGGAAGGAGGTGCAGACAGTCGGGGAATCTCGACCAAGGTTGTCTCTGAAGCTAGAGCATGTGTGTGAGCCGAGAGGAGCCGACAGCCGGTGCTGCGCAGGGATGCAAAGGGTACCAAAGCCAAAGCGAAGGTAAGGCTGCGCTTGACGTTGCGGGATGTTCAAGCATGGGATTCCAATTCGGAGAATCGTACCCGCACCGCATTGACAGGACAGGACACTACACTACAGGACAGGACAGATTGCGCTGCGCTGCGCTGCAATGCAACGTGCGTGGCAAAGAGAGAACAGGTTCGATGTTCAATTGACGTGGACGTGTTTTGAGCTTAAAATTCAGTAGCGGGAAAAGCGGGAGGAGGAGCGGCAGCGGGAAGAGATATCAGCTGGTAGGTCAGATGATATAGATCCAACCGTAGCTCTCTGCCTCTGCCTCTCCCTTGGCGTGGCTCCCAGCTCGCCGAGCCGTTGATGACAGGCACTTCGATCGCACGCATGCAGAGCGTAGGGAGAGGATCAGGCAAGGTAGCTAATAAGATTAAGAGCGGGCACACTCAACACCCAAGAGCAGACCGTCTTGCTTCAATGGCCAGCCCATCGCCATCGCCATCGCACTCGCCCTCGAGGCTCAAGTGCTGGAAGCTGGCCCTCCCTGCGCTCCTTGAGATACAGCACCCTCTACGGGACCATTCTCAAAGACTTCCACGACGCCAGCTGCTGCTGCGTGCTGCTCATTGACGCCATTGCTGCCGCTACCCTCCAGCAATGCCTCAGCTGGAGCCGATCCCGAGGGCACCAGCGCTTCCCCGTCCGCCTTAGTAGTAGCAACAACAGCAGCAGTATCGCCCTTTGTGGGCGACGCACTACCGACAACCTCAGCAGGGCGCGGCGAGACAGGTCCGCTAGGGGACTGCGGCTGTGCGTGGTGCGTCTCAGATGCTGCACTAGATGTTTTCCAGGCGTTGTGTCTCTCCCTCTCCTGCAATTGCTGATGGGGTTGCCAATTCTCCCTAGCAGACGAGGAAGTCACGCCTGCGTGTGCGCCTGAGGTCGTAGGAGCACTAGCCGTTTTGCCCATCGGGACCGAGCCGGTGCCCAATCCCGAAGGGATGGGCCCGCAATAGGACGATGGGGGGCCAGCATTGGCCGTGACGCGCCGTCGCAAAGAGGTATCTGGGGAGAGGGTAGGAGAGGCCGTCCCGCTCCCGCCGCCACCTCCGGTGCCATTGCCAGTTGCAGCAGCGGCGGCAGCCCCTCTCTGTCTTCTTGCCTCTCTCCTCTCCCTCCTCCGCGCATCGGCTGCTGCGCCTGCCGCGCTCGCACTAGCCGTCGAGCTGTACCCTCCATCGTGAGCTGCTGAATCCAGCTCGGTACCCGTATCGTCTGCCGCTGCTGCTGCGCTGGTCTGACTTGCATCAGCATCGCTCATGATATGTCCTCCGCCCAGAGAGGAGGGAGCACGATGCTCATAGCGTGCCCCACTCTCCATCGAGAGGTCTGAATCTCTACGCGCACGACCGGAGCCAGACCTGCTACGATGGTGATGCTGGCTGACTGACTTCCTGTCTTCCAGCGACGAGAGGGTATTCTCCAGCTGCGCTTGGATGCGAGCAATCTGATTCGTCACGGTCATGGTTCTTCGCTGAATCTCGTAATTCATCTGGTCCTCGTTGGAGTGATTCCCGCCCAGCATCGAAGGGAGGGGTGAAGCGGAAGCCTTGTCTCGATCAGCGTCTGAATGGGCAATGGAGGCAGTAGGGGCGCGACTACGTCCCACGCTGGGTCGACCCTCGTTGATACGATCCTCTGCAGCCTTGCGAGCCTTGAGAATCCTCTCGGCAGCTTGCGAAGGAGTCATCGAGGCATGAGATGTCGGAGAGGAGATGCCGGAAGCGTGGCCAACAGACTCGTTGTACAGCTCCATGCGAGAGGTGTTGAAGGCGATATCCTCATCTCCACCTGCACCCGACACGATCCCTCGAATCTCATTCATCATCGCCTCCCTTTCGTGTTCTAGGGAGTCCATGGCTCGTTGCATGGTGGACAGCTCAGCCTGAGCTTGCGCTCGAGCATCTTCCGTCTCTTTCAATTGGATCTCGAGCTGCAGACGCTCCATATCCCTCTGCGCCAAGGTAGAGCTCAGACGTCTGGATTCCCTCCTCTCCTTCTCCAGCTTCGCCCTCGTCTCATTCGCCTCCTTCGTGAGTCTCTCCACGAGTTGAGAGATCTTGGCGAATTGGACTTTCCACATCTCGCTCTCGCTCATGAGAAAAGCCAGACGCTTATTGAGTCTGCCAATCTTGTTCTCCAGCCCATCACGAGCATCGACGAACGTGTCGGCACGATTCCTTAGAGCGGCCAGGGCAGCAAGCTCTGCCTCAGAGGTGGTGTGGTTCTTGGCTGCTCTCATACGCAAGAGGCGGGCCAAGGGCGAAGGGCGAGTGCCATCGTGCAGAGCCTTGTCGAAGCCTGCGACAACCTTTGCTTGATCCCACCATGCAGGCGCCTCTAGCTGATCATCTGTCGGGGACCTTGTGATCATCTTCGATAGCGGTCTGAAGCGTCCAGCCGGGTAGGCCTCGACGTACTCCCTCGGAGGCATATAGTCACCCGTGGAGTAGCCAAGAGCCTGGACGAGCTTACGTCTCCGCTTCTCTCGCAGTCCCCGCACCGAGGGAGCGCCTTTGGGAGGATGAGTGAGCTTGACAAAGTTGATGTCCAAGTCAACAACGCACACCTCCTTGGCAGGCTTCACGATGCTCCGGAGCTCGCTAGCGATTGCCACAATCCAATTCCCCGGGTCTTCAAGGTATATCTTGACGTCTCGAGCATGGCAGCTCTGCAGAGCTGTGCCCTTCCAGCCACACATCTCGACCAAGTGTGTGATGGTCTCCACGGCGAGACCGAGAAGGGCCGGGTATCTTGACATGAAAAGCACCCTCCCGTTGGGCGCCAAGGCGACCTCACAGATTGTGAGAATGTTGTCGATGGAGAGCGTCTTGAAGAGAGGCCACATGGTCAGATTGACAGCAATCTGGCCAGTACCCCATTCAAGAGCTCCTGGAAAAGTACAGGAGAAAGCGACATCTCCATCTGGACTATCCACTGTCAGCTTTGTACCGATCCGAGGCGCGGGCGTGGCTAGGATGGCGCTCATGAGCTGATTATGCTTCTGGATGTTGCGACTGTACTTGTTCCAGGCCCACTTGTTCCAGTCGCTAAGCAAGTCGTACAGAGGCCACTTGGAGACGATACAAATTGCATACGGCATAAAGAAGGCATTGTTGGCGGGCAAGAAGCCATCTTCGTCCTCCTCCTTTTCTCGTGCAGCGGAGCCCTTCTTGCCCTTCCGAGCTCTAGCAGCACGATTGAGCTCTCGCTTGATAGCTTTCGTTCTCTTCTCGTCGGCAGGGGACCAGACAGTCAGGACGACACCATAGAAGGCCACAGGAGAGAAGCTGTCTTCGAAGCCGGGGTTCTGCTGGGTCGCTCCGTTGCTGCTGCCAGAGCCCTCGCCGGCAATGGATAAGGTACTATTGCGTTTGCCAGTGTCGGTGAAAGTACTCTTCACAGGCGTCTGAGGGTACGCTGCCCTGCCGCCTACCGACAATTGAGCAGGTACGGAAAAGGAGAAGGTGTGCGAAGAGGCTGCTGGTGGGTAGCTGCTTTGCCCAGAAACAATCTCAACTTCTCTTGTGAAGGAGAGCTTCAACGCCTTGGACAAGACCTTTGCTGTTTCAACCCTCTCCACCCTGCCTCGGCCATCCGACATCTCGATGAACTTCGGATTGCTCGTCGTCTTGGAGCTATCGGCTGTCCTGCCTTCCCACTTTCTCTCTGCATCGGCATCGGTCGCGCCCGTCTCGCCTTTGCGCTTGGCCTTGAGCTCTGCAGGTGAGGGACAGATGGAGCAGCCTAGGATCTCTGGACGCCAAAAGCGGCCAACGGCTCCTTCCATGTGGTGTACGCCCGTTACGCAGTCCTCCTCAGCAAGCGTCCAGACGGCAGGGTCCTTGGGTAAACCAGCAACGATGTAGAGCTGGGCAACAGTATTACCATCGCCCTCCTTTGTGGGAACAGCGGGAACACCAGCAAAGGCACTGTTGTGAGTCTTCTGGGTAGGTGTGGTACGTCCTGTGGGCGTCTTTGCCCTATCTTCGTCGATGTCGTCTCTGCGGTAGTGGCCACCATTGATGGGCGTCTGTGCTCGCGATCGTGAGGAGTGAGAGGCGACGGAACCTGTTCGTGAGGCCACTCGCTGTGATGGATTCATTTCGGAGAGGAGAGGTGGTAGCGAGTCTTCTGCGATGTCGTCGGCAGCTAGCGGGGCTGCCTGTCCGTTGGCCTTTACTGCAGGGTCGTTCTTGGGTATATTCGTAAGAGCTGGAGCGGCGTGATCGGGCTGGGTAGATGCTAGTGACAGGGCAGAGCGAGAGGCTGCAGCTGCAGTCGCTTCTCTTGACTGTCGTTTAGGTGGCAAAGGCGGAGGCGGGTCTAGCTCTTGCTGCGAGGGCATGAATGGGTTCGCGGGGCAATTCGTTCGTTCGTTTAAGTAAGTAAGCGCCGTTCCAGTCAATGCGACCTGATCATTCGCCGATGTATACGGGCCGCTTCTGCAGAACTCTCTCCGTACTCACATCGGCTATCCAACCTCTTCTGTTGCCTCTACTGCCGTCCGCCAAGGCATTGAAACTCCTGTGGCTCCTGAGGCTCTCCGTGGACTTTCTAGCAGATCGCAGCAGATTGGAGAAGACGCCTGTCCTCTCCTTCTTCGACTTGGTTGATTCTGCGAGCGAGGCATTAGAGGCCACGCTCCTCATTGCTCAGGCAGACCAGGGCAAAGAAGGTTCGATGGGGTTTGGCGGAGGGCGGTACGGCGCGTGCGGCTGGTGCGGAAGGGAATAGGTGGCACAGCCGGGCGAGCGCTTGGTATCCCCAGAGCGTCAAGCCTGCGAGGGGTAAAGCCACTCGTAGCGCCTAAGGCAATTGCCGTAGAAGTGAGAAGCGGAGGATGATGGCTCGTCGGCGATCCTGGTCAGCCTTGGCTACGCAAGTTGGTGGGCCGAGGGAATGGAGCGTACGAAGGTGGTCAAGGCGTTTGCGCCCGAGGTGGCCCCGAGGTGTTTTGTGACGCGAATGTAACGGCTTGGAGGATATACTTTTAAGATGGTATAGATGTATCGTCAAGACGGCAAGATGGACAGAGTATTGAGAGAGGCAAGGCCGGACTTGGCGGAGAAGAAGAAGTGGAAGGAGGGGCGTGGGGAGGGCGATGTGCGAAGGTGAAGGTCATCGACGCAGGCTCCTCGTCTAATTGCCAAAGCCTACAAGGGCAGCCAGCCACTGCTTGTCTTGTGCAGTGGGGATTGATTGTTTGGCTTGGCTTCCCTGCGTCCTCGGCAGAGCGGGGTTGCAGGAGTTGCAGTGTGCTTCCGTTCCGATGCCATACTCACCTCAGCCACTTGCTCCCCTCTGCCTCCCATCCGACCCGACAATTTCTCTTTTTCCTACCCAGCCATTGTTCCTCTTTCCGAAGGAGGCGCCGATTCTTCTCGTTCAGCCACTGCTCAAGGTCTGACGAGCATCACCTACCAGACAAGGTCTACCTCTTCCTCACTTGCACACAGGCCGCCCATTGCGCTTCGTCACCCTTTCTCAACTCACCATCGCCGCAAAATAACGTCTTATCTATTAGCGTCTGGCAGAACACTTGCGGCCTTTTCCCTCCCCAGCCTCCGCCATGGCCATGGCCGCCTCTGCAATCAACTCTGCGGAGCATCAAGGAGCAGCAAATGGCCAACATGACGCTGTCTATGTACCGCCGCCACAGCTGCAGTCACTCGTCGCTCTCGCAGATACAATTGCTTCGCAGCCAGAGAGATTTGCACTGTCCAAGGGCGATAGCAAGGTGACTAATGACAGTCTACAAGCTCTCAAGGACGTCTTTGCAGATGGTGAGTCGGCCGAGCCTCAAGACCTTTTCTGCCCTCACACTAGCTGATCCCTTTTCCTCCTTACTGCCATACAGCTCTCGCCTCCGAAGGAGACTCTCTACAACACATCGGAGACTTTCTCCACGCCACGCTCGAGGCTCCCACCCCACCCACTCGCTCTGCAAAGTCAAAGAAGCGCAAGAGGCAAGCACAACGCTTTGCACCTCATCATTCCTTGTTCCCTCCCACACCACTCTCTGGTCTGGTCGTAGATGGAATGGAGGAAGCGCAGATCTGGGAGCAGCTCGAATTCCGAGGAAGAGCAATCGAGAATGTCCTCTCGAAGATTCTCATCCCTACTGGCGCAGATGCTAGCGAAGTGCCTGAGGATGAGGTGGAGCTCAAGGCAAACAGCGATGAGGAGGAGGAAGAAGGAGACGAGGCAGACCCAGATGAGGAGCAAATGATCCGCCACATCAGCGCCTTGTCAGACGCAGAGCTCCGAGCCGTGGGCATCGATCCTGCTCTTCGGGACCAGCTTCTGGCAGGGGATGACGACTTCCAACCAGACGACGACGAGCAAGACGATGACATCGAAGATGAGCATGCTGACGGCTACCCGGGCGCTTCAGATTATTCCTCGGATGAGGAGGAAGAGGGGTATGAGCCAGGAGCCTCCAAGAGGGTGTACGTCGAGCCTCTGAAGACCGAAAAGGAGCAACGGCGGAAGAAGGAGCTGGATGAGATGCAAGCTATGGGAGGGCGCGGTGCTTATGTCCATGAAGAGGACGAATATGAGGATGATGAGGATGAAGATGATGAGGATGAGGATGAGTCCGAAGAGGAGGAAGAGGAAGAAGCTCAACCGCCCTCGAAGAGATCCAAGTCACTGCTGGATTCTCTCGACGAGGCTGGAACTACAGCCGGTCCCTCTCGCCGCAAAGGGCCTCGTCATCCTACACTAGACGACGAGTTCTTTTCGATAGACGACTTCAACCGTCAAACAGAAGAGGACGAGCGCCGCGAGATCTTCAAGGAAGCAGGAGAAGGAGGAGACTCTGACGACGAAGAGCTGGATCTCTTCCAGGCAGTGGAGGGCGAACACAATGGCATGGACCTCGACGAGGAAGAGGAGGAGGAGGAGGATCTTGATGCCAACGACCCTACGAATATCAGGTTCGCCGACTTTTTCCTCCCTCCTGCTTCGGCTCCCAAGAGCGGCGGTAGAGGCTCGGCGGATAGGAGAGCAAAGGGCAAGGGCAAGGGCTCCAGGGTCGGAGAGGGAGCTAAGCTAGCCAAGCAGGAGCGCGATCGACTCCTCTCCGACGCCGGAGAGGAGGAGGAGGAGGCAGACGAAGAAGAGACATCGCAAGGATCTGCCGGCGGCGAAGACGAAGAGGGCTTTTCTAGCAGTGAAAGCGAAGAAGAAGGGCCTGCCCGGCCGAACACAAGAGTGAAGTTCGCCCCTACGGTGGCCATTCGCAAGATCAAGAGTCGGCGCAATAGATACGACGACATGAGCCAGCTGCAGATGCTGCAGGCCATGTCCGCTCAGTCAGCAGAGGGCGAGGACGAGGACGAAGACGAAGACGAAGGTGGCGAGGAAGATGAGGATGAAGAAGAGGAAGGCACTGAAGACGAAGAGGAGGAGGAGGAGGAAGATGACCATGACGAGGAGATGGACGAGTCCGATGCACCATCCGAGAGCGCGGCAGGCGAAAGTGCCTTGGACGAGGACTTGGAAGACGAGACTGCCCGTCGCTTCGCCGGTGATCTCTTCGAAGACGGCGATGAAGACGAGGAGGAAGCACAAGGCAGCAAGCTCTCCGCTCACGAGAAGCGTCTGGCCAACCTCCAAAAGGAGATCGCCCGTCTAGAATCTGAGAATGTGGGAGCCAAAGACTGGACTCTGGCCGGAGAGGCATCCTCTCGAGCTAGACCGAAGGACTCGCTCCTCGAGGAAAATCTCGACTTTGAGCAATCTGCCAAGGCTACTCCCACGATTACCATCGAGAGTACCGAATCGCTCGAAGCTCTGATCAAGCGGAGGATCCTTGAGAATCAATTTGACGACGTTGTGCCCCGTCGTGCCATTGCCCAAGCAGAGTACAAGGCCGACTATGAGCTGTCGGACAAGAAGTCTGGCAAATCCCTCGCGGAAGAATACGAGAACGATTTCCAACTTGCAAATTCCAATGCAGGTGGGGACGCTCCGGAGTTCAAGGGAGAAAGTCAAATTCGCCTGGAGAAGGACCGAGCAGAGGTCGAGGACCTAATGGACGACATCTTCAACCGTCTCGACGCGCTCTCCAATGCCCACTTTATCCCCAAGGCTCCCAAGATGCGAATCACCACGTTGAGCAACACCCCTACTCTCAATGTGCAAGAAGGGTTACCCACCAGTACCAGCTCCCTCGAAACGAGTCAATTGGCACCACAAGAAGTCTTCAACCTCTCTTCAGGAAGCAATGCTTCTGTTCTTCAAGGTGACAAGAGTGAACTCACACCTGCTGAGAAACAAGGCCTGTTTAAACGCAAGAAGCAAGAATTGAAAAAGGTTCAGGCTGAAAGAGAGGTGCAGAGGCAGGAGAAGAGGATGAATGACTTGGCGAGTGGGAAAGTTCAACCGGGTAGTAGTGGTGAGACTCGTAGAGAGAAGCAGGACGCCCTCAAGAGTCTCATTGGTAATAAAGGGGTTAGTGTGGTTGGAAAGGGAGATCCAAAGGGACAAGGAAAGGGAAAGGGAAAGGGGAAGGGACAGGAGAGGACGCTGGAGGAAGGGGATAAAAAGGGAGAGAAGTTTAAATCGTAGAGAAAGCGGGATGTGGCCTCTCTTTAACATCATCACAATCGTTACTATCCAATCAACATCAATCGTCATCGCAGCAGTAGATGATTGTTCAGTGCTGTGGTATTGCAATTCCGAGGCTGGGTATAGTATTTGAGTGAACTGCAATGCAATGCAATGCGCTGAGTCAGGAAGCGGTAGATCAGGCGACTTCCTCCATATCGTCATCATCGTCCTCATCGCCATCGCCATCGCCCTCGCCATCAGCCTTTGTGGCAGTGGCTGTAGCAGCGTTGGAGACCTGTTCCGTCCCGTCTTGAGCTGCCGCCTGACCATCGTTGGGTGCCTCTGCTGCTGCTGCTGCTTCGGTGGGAAGCGGTGTAGCATCAGCGCTGGGAGCAGCAGCTGATACCTCTGTAAGTTCTTGAGAATGAGACACTTGGTCATGCATCGGCGGAAGCAATGAAGGGGCTGCAGGTCCCACCGTCTCCGCCTCCGCCGATGCCCCCGCTGCTGTCGCTGTCGCTGCATCAGCTGTATCTTCTTGAAAGGGCGGTAGGCCTAGAATGGATCCTTGTCCTCCCGCTGCTGCTAGACGGGGGTCTTGCTCAATAGCTGCTCCTATGAGCTCGTCTACTAGACCAGGAGGTGGCTGCTGTTGCTGCTGCTGATCAGGTTGCTGTTGTTGTTCATGTTGCTGCACTTGCTGTTGCTGCTCGACATCTTCTTCATCGTCAGAAACTGGTGGAGGTCCCTCAAGATCTACCTCTTCGTCGTGACTTCTACCAAAGAGGGAGCCAACGAGCTGACCCGCTTGTGTTTGCATCTCGTCGATTTCCCGCTGTAACCTCTGTCGCTCCGTCTCCATTGCGCTGCTCCCACTGCCACTCGCGCTAGCGTCAGTCTGTCCTTCCTGAGGTGCCTGACTGAGTAGTAGCGAAAGTTGCAGTGCTCTCGAGAGTCCACTGAGTCCCTGTACACTCTTGACAATGGTATCGCATCTATAATCGCTCATGAATGCCTCCTGTTCCAGCCTACTAAGTCCTTTATCCCTAAGTGTCATCCCACCAACCAGTTCGGCCATTCCCACCTCGAGTGTGCGAATATACTCGTCAATGCGCTTATTGATCCGCTCCTCCTCTTCGGCTAGGCGACGTTCAGAGGCAAGACGCAACTCGGCTGCATCGGCTGGACCGGTGAGAGAGGCATTTGTAGTGCGCTGTGAGGAAGAGGAGGAAGAGGAGGGGTGTAGAGAGGAAAGGTGGCCGGCTTGGAGACCGCGCGTGCGGCGGACGTCGGTCTGAAAGGGCTGCTGCCGAGGTGGAGCTGGGAGGGAGGGGGAGTTGGTAGCCATGGTGATGAAGGTGGCTGACGGTGATGATGATGGTGATGGTATCGGAGTGATGGTCAAGGAAGCTCGTCGTCCATCGGAAGCAGCCATCCACCTCGTCTTCTTCCTTTGCTCCACTGCCGCCTCTTCTCCTTTCCGTCTCTTGGTGGAGTGGACCGACGTCTGTGCTCAGCGCCAGGCTGCAGACCAGGACGCAGACGCAGTGGGATCAAGGCGCTACTCTTCCTTCCTCGCCTTGTTCCCACAAAGGATCATCATCATCGCCTTGATATTTCCACTCACCTCGCCATCCTCGCCGCCATGGCGCCCCACCGCAGCGATCCCCTCTATGGGTCAGGGGACGCCGCATACACCAACACCTCGTCCTCTTCCTCTTCCTCGCCCTTCCCCTCGGGCTCCTCTTCAAGAGAGGAAGACGAAGTGGTGCAGCAAGTCACTTTCTCACCAGACGACTCCACTGAACTCGACGCAAAGCCCATCGATGTATTCGCTCCCGACTTCTTGCCTCCAATGAGCAATTCATGGCTATCCTCGGTGTCAGGACAGGCTTCTCGCGCCACTTCGCCTCCCCAGCAGGTGGACAATGACTATCAAGATGCCACTCAAGAATCAATGGGGGACTCCTTTGACCCTACGCTCGAGCTCAGAGAGGCTGCTGCTCTGGTAGAATCAGGAATCATATATGACCCCGGTGCCGCCCTCTACGACTTCAGTGTCAGCATCGACGCCCCTCCTGCGCCTCCTTCTACAGCTGCCTCTGACTCCTCCTCTTCAGTGGCCAGCACCTCGACGCATACCCTTGATAGTCAGCTTCGGCAGCTTACCCTTCAGGATTTCACTGCCGCCAAGCCTCACCCTCGAGCCCTCTTCTGTCCCTCGACCATGGAGTGGATCTTCGTCGCGCCTGCAGAGGAGATGCTGCAAGACTTGAATCAGCTCTCTGCCCCTGGCTCGCTTTACCTGGAAGAAGCGCCAAAGTTCCCAATCTATACCACGTCCCTGCCGACTCAGCTCCCTTTTGAATCGCAAAAAGCTCACATAAGGGTAGCAGTGATAGAGGAGAGCGGCAGTGATAGCGACAGACGCAAAGCAAATCATCTCGAGGGCCCCTTTCGGGTACACGTGGACCCACTCACAAAACGCAGCTTCTTCTCTGCGCGGATACCCTCCAGTATCCCTCCTGGACTACTCCATCGCATCAGAGATGATCGGAAAAGCAACCCTCCCCCGGGCAAGACGGGACCAGAGGCGGTGCAGGATGCCTTCAAGGTGCTGACCAGGATACTGACCAATGCTGCGAGGGATGATACCAGGACGCTGCCCTTGTCGTCTGCTACTATCAGACAGAGGTGAGTAAGAGGCGAGATGTAGGCAAACCTCTGCCAACCAGTCCATGCTCACCGACTCCGTCCCTCTTCTGTGACCGTCCAGGCTCGGCTACGATGACAATGTCAAGACCTTGTTCCGGAATGTGGGCATGTACAGCGTACTGCTAGACAACGGCAATGAGGCGGTCCGCGCTTCAGAAGAAGACCAAGATCTCACGCTACGGAATCTTATCGAAATTGTGATCTGGTTCCAGCACTACAAGCCCTCATCAGACGCCACTCTAGACACCGACAAGCTGGGCTTCTCTGCACTCAGCGAGAGGGTGATGCCGTCCGACTTTGCCGCTGCCTACCTCGGGTGGAGCCGGGCTCTTGAGACGGACGAGTACAAGTCCAGGGGCAACTTGGCGCACGAGTACAGGCCTGCTCTGGCAGTCTTGGGTGTGTCTGAAGACGCTAACGACGATGTCCTACGGCTCATGTATCAAGCCAATCTACAGCACCAGCCCAACAGACTCATCGAGCTCTTTTCGGCTCTTGACATCGTGCGGCAAAAGCAGAGGCCGCAGAGCGAGACCATACAGATGATGTACGCCCTGGAGAAGAGTCAGGGCAATCGCTTCACCATTGAAGAGGTCAATGAGGCTTATCTCTGCCTCTTCATCGATCCCGATTCCGGAAGATCCGGTCAATGGAGCCATGCCGGCATCTACGAACAGTACTGGAACCTGATACAGAAGCTCGAGCATGCGAGTAGCGAAAAGTACTCGAAGTCGAGGGAGTATCAAGACGCTCTACGAACCATCTCTCGCAGTCGTGGCGATCCCCCTCTGCTTGCCGAGACGCTGTCGATTCCTCTGCCCATGGGCGTCTTCGAGGCTTGTGAAGTCCTCGGATTGCCTGAGGGAGGCAAAGACGTCGACGATGATGGTGTCCTGACTTCTTTCCAGGTGCACATGATGGACGACCCAAGCAAGCAAGAGCAGCTGCAACAAGCATTGGGCATCATCGCTCAGGACCGCAAGAGCGATGCGCTTATGAACTATTTCCAGACTGGTGAAAAAGAAGAGGAGGGTTGGGGTAAACCCACTCTCCCGGCCGGGCTGAACAACATCGGGAACACCTGTTATCTAAACTCTGTCCTCCAATACTTCTACGCTCTCAAGCCCCTTCGGGAACGAGTTCTGCAAGTGAGCCAAACTCCTGGATCTGAAGAGCCGACGATGGACAGCTCCAGAAGGGTGGGAGGAAGAGTCGTGACGCAGCACGAGGTGGTACGGTCGCAGAAGCTCGTGCAGCAGCTCGCGCTCCTCTTTGACGCCATGATGACCTCGCCTGCGCTTGCGGTCAGTCCAGAGAGAGACCTGGCGTACCTGGCGCTGGTCTCGGCTCGAGCGGAGGAGTTAAATGAGCCCCCTGCGGGCGTGGTGGAAAATGCGGCCGAGCCGAGTCCGCTCACTGGTGAACAGGATCTCATGACCTCGCCAGTAGAGGAGAGGAATGGCACGCTCTTCAGCGGTCCTCGCACTGATGAGGAGAGGGTTCACGTGGAAGGCAAGTCGGACTCGATGGAGCTGTCGCGATCGGACTCAGGAGTGCAGGCACCTGTGGAAACAGACGTACAGGACGATGCTTCGATGAAGGACGTTGAGGTGCACACTCAACCGCCCACCGGGATGTTGGTGGACCTACGACCGGAAGCTGCTGATGCACCAGATGCGAAGCATCCTACAATCACACAGCTGGACCCAGCTACCGAAAATTCGAAGGATATCCCCCAATTGGAGGAGTCCGGCCAGCCTGCCACCGAGACCTCGCACTCGAACCAGAATGAAGAAACTCTTCCGGCCTATGAGCCTCCAAACCACGCGCCACCGCCGCCTCTTCCACCGAGACCTACCGCCACCGTCCCCGCCTCTGACCCTGTCCCTAATGACACATCACGCAAGAACTCACTCATGAGCCTCGGCGCACAGCAGGACGTCAGCGAGTGTCTGGACAATGTCCTCTTTCAGATCGAAGTTGCGCTTGGCCAGCGTGAAGGCGCGCCCGATTGCGAAAGCGCCACCAAAGAGCAAGGGGCGAGCGAAGACGAGATCCTGCGTCTCTTCACTGGCAAGACTCAGCAGAGGGTGGAACAGATCAGGTCAGAAGGCGAAGAAGTCAACGGCACAGAGTCTGGCTCTGCCTCTGCGCCTGCGCTCGGCGCTCGACCGCTTAAGGAGCGCACTCAGAGTACGCACGTCAAGAATGAAATCTTTACCATCCTCCCTGTCGAGGTCCGAGAGGAGGGGCGGGACATCTACGACTCTCTCGATGGCTTCTTCGAGGAAGAGACCCTGACAGGCTCCGACGGCAGGGCGGTGAAGCGGACCGTGACTCTACTAGAACCACCGCCCGTCTTGCAGATCCAGCTGCAGAGGGTGCAATTCGACCGGGTGAGGGGAGCATACAAGTCGCAGGCACATCTTGAGACGGGAGAATCCATCTTCATGGATCGCTACCTGGATTTCGCTCCACGCAACATCGAGGATGCAGATACGGCGGCGCGATTGGCCCAGAAGCGGGAAAAGGCACATGCGATTAGAAGGGAGGCAGCAGAGTGTAGAGCTAGATTGGCGACGTTGGGCTCGCAGGACTTGTCGGCTGCTGAGCTGATGAAGGAGAGGGCTGCGCATCTGAAAGACACTGCCAGTATCAGCGACGATGCAAACAAGGACATCAACGGCGAAGTCAATGGCGACTCCGAAGAGACCAAGACACAAGGTTCCAATGGCGCGGACGCCGCCGCCGACCCTAGCTCCGTGCCGACGCCAGCAGAAGGCTTCTCCTCCGGGGACTACGTCGACGAAGAAGTTCTTGCTCTCCTCCAATCACAGAGTGAAGCCCTCGCCCTCGAATCTCGCACTCTCACCGAGCGCCTCCAATCTCTCAAGGCAGAAAGCGAGGCGCTTTGGGAGACGGAGAAGCGGGTGGAGTACAGGTTGATGAGCGTCTTCATGCATAGGGGAGAGGCTTCGCATGGACATTACTTCATCAATCAGAGGAGGGTGCCGCTGGTTTTGGGTGCGGGAGAAGAGGAGGGGAAAGGGTGGTTCAAGTATAACGATGGAGTTGTTGCCGAAGCGCACGTGGATGATGTGCTCAAAGAGTGAGTGTGCAAAGGCGTCGTAGGATCTGGCTTCGGCTACATGCTGATTACTGACCATCTCCCCTCGTTTCTGCTTCTGCTTCTGTGGCTCGCTTCTTGAAACAGTCAAACAGGCGCAACTCCCTACCTGCTCTGCTTTGTCCGCACCGATGTGCAGGACTCTTCCTCGACGCCGGTGTTTGAGACGCTCAAGAGACTGATAGACGAGCCTGTCATGTAGGCTGTGTGGGTGCGGGCGTGAAGGAGGTGGGGCTAGACACTAGTAGGATCAGAATCGATGATAGAGAAAAGGGCCGCACATGTTGAAATGTCCATAAATGGGATATAGCTGGCGCTCAAGCAGTGGTAGCGGCGTCACTTGTTGAAATTAGAGAATCTGAGATTACACAAGATAAAAGGAGCGTGGATGTAGATGTGAAGTATTCTGTGAGTGGGCGTGGGATAGTCTGAACGCGGTCCATTGACGAGAACAAGTGAGACCGTTAGGACGAGATCCGAGAAACGAGCTAGCTAGGATGTTGAAGAGGGAGATAGGCTTGTGGCATTGAGCATTACCCTCGCCTATCATTGTGATCACCTCTGTCGAGCCTGCATCTCAGTGGGCAGAGATTCGAAAAGCTGCACGTACGTCTTTGCGCTGTTGATCAGAGGCTGCGCCTGCGCTTGCGCTTGAGCGTGAGCTTGCGTCTGCCCTCCGGTAAAGCTCGCAGGGCTACTCTGCCACTGTTGTTGCTGTTGCTGTTGCTGCTGCTGCTGGTTTTGCGCAAGAGCGAGCCAATGCGGTTGTGATGCCTGCTGTGACTGTGACTGCAGCTGTAGCGATCTCCCTTGCGCGACGCCGTACGGAGGAGCGATCTGCCTCCTTTCGGGCATCGAACCACCCTCCTTTACAGGGCTCAGGTCGATACCTAGCCCGATGACATTCCCATTTCCATAAGCGCTGCTAGCGCTGGATCGCGCGGGGAAGTGAAGGGATTTGGGACTGATCTCTACAGATGCGGATGCAGAGAGAGAGGAGGTGGAGAAGTCGTGCGAAGGGGCAAAGCCGGCGGAGAGGGATGAATTGTAGAAGGCGTAGTCGGTGGAAGTTGTGGGTAGCTCTGCAGGTCTCTGCTGGGTATACAGAGGAGAGGCCTGTGGCAGGCCTCCCGTCCCAAGTCCGTTGAAGGTTGAGTACAGAGGGACAGCGTCGACAGAGCGGTAGTGCTGAGCGTGCGCGACACTGACACTGCTGCTGACCTCGTCCAGAAGGTGCGTCTTCTCATCCAAATCAGGGTGACAGCACTTCAGCGCCAGTACCGTCTCCCTGAGCTGTAGGAATGGTCCGCTCAAGACGTGCATAAAAGTGCTCGTGGCCTGTTTCCCCTCTGTGAAATCCTCACACTGTCGCCATCTCGCCCCTCCTCCATGCACACCAGACTCTGCTGGCTTCCCAGCAGACCGAAACACTTCCATCGAGAAGATGGGTGGACGTGTAAGCTGAACGCAGAGGACTCCCAGCGGCTCACACACACCCTCTGCTCTCTCTGCCTCCGCAGGGGCAAGAGGTCCTCGGAAGCTCATCTCCTCAATGGAGCCCCAGGGTAGCTCTAGCTTAAAGCCAACAGAGTCGGACTTGAGTGCCCAGGTGAGGGTACGGGCGTTGCGTGAGAAGAAGCAGACGAGGGGTTGCACGCGTCGCCAGGTGCCGATGGTCACGGAGTAGGAGGGGAGGAATGTGATGGCTGTGGGCGTGGTGTAACAGGTGAGACTAAGTGGGTCAGTTGCCAGCCTTGACGTAAACAAAGAAGGGTACGACTCACATTCTCGTCCCCCTTCAGCTCCAACCGTCTTCCTCCTCCTGACCTTACGCGCAGGCACTACTCGCTCAGACGCGGTTCCAGTCGCCAGCATCACTGAAGGCGTGTACGGCGTCGACAGTCCCGTCCGAGTTGACGTTGGACTGGATGCTGCCGTAGTACTATTTGAACATCCCTGGCCATAGCCTTGCCCATAGCCTTGGGCTTGGGCTTGGGCTTGGCCTTGCTCCTGCTGCTGGTGATAGTGCTGTTCCCGTAAACCCTCCTCAGCCCCAGCTTCCTTTGCCCGAAGTTTCGCCCTTTTATTCTGGAACCAAATTCGCACACTGCGCTCTGGCATTCCCAGACGTTGGGCGAGCTCAGCTCGCATCTTGCCGGTGGGATTACGGGTGTATTGAAAGAAGGAGGAGAGTTGGGCGAGCTGCGCAGTGCTGCACTTGTGTCTGCCGCTTGGGCGATGAGATTGGGAGGGCTGTTCGCTGGAGGGTTCGAGGTAGGCCTGAACATTGTGTTGCTGCTGCTGTGCTTGGGGATAGTCGCTCGAGACAGAGTTGGAGACCTGTAGTCCTGCTATGTCAGGAAGAGTACCCGCACTCTCACCCGTGTAGGAGAAAGATGCGCCTCCCTCCAAATCTGATTCCTCAAGCATATCCAAGAAACCCAATGTGCTGGGTGAGCTCCTCAATTCTGACCCTGAGAGGGGGGAGACGGCCATACAGCCTTGCGCTTGTGTGAAGGGAGTGTTGGAAGTATGCAGCTGCCTGGAGGGATGTGCCTCCAATGAAGTAGCCCCTGAAATTGGAAGAGGCTGAGACTCCATTGGGCCGTAGGAGAGCGGTAGCGGTAGCGCGTACATCTCTCTCACGAAGTCAGAGTTTCTACCCAAGAGAGGGAGCTAGAGGGAGGAAGGCAAGAAAGGCAGTACGTACAGGAGCACCGCAAAGGCCGACACAGGTACATATACATATACTATCCCACTGCTCTCCTCTCCCCAGCTCTCACCCCCATCCACGGACTCGCCTTGCGCCGGTCGGCCGGATCTACCATCCGCCCTCCCGTCCGCCCGCCCGGCCGGCCGGCATCGCTTCGCCTTGCGACGAGCTATCGACACCTAATCACCATTCGCGCCTCGCGCCTCGCGCCTCCTGAGTGGAGTAGGGAGGGAGCCTTACTGCCAAGTCTTCCGGTCTTCCGGTGGGCCGGTGCTCTTTCCCTCTGCACCTGTGCTCATGTGCTGCTCCGCTCGTCCATCACATCACATCACATCACTTCTTTGATCGAAGAAGGGAAGGGAAGGGAAAGAAAAAAAGCCTCTGCGCGAGGGACGCGAGGGCGCGAGGGCGCGAGGGACGCTCGGTCCTCGCGACGCCTTCTCCTCTGACTATCCGCTCTGGCTGACTGCCCACCTGTCCTATCACACTCCAATCCTGGTCTCACAGTCACAGTCACAGTCACCGTCGCGATCAGTATGCGATCAGCATGCATGCATTAATTCATGCATTCATTCGTGCAGGGGAGGTGGGGATTAGGTACTGATCGACTTCCGACTTTCGATTTTCGACTTTCGCTCGAGTACCGGAAACAGTAGACTACCCGCGCACCCTGTAGCGCGCATCGTGCATCGCGCATCGCGCTTGCCCCATAGCAGAATAGACTTTGTACGATGTACGATGTACGATGTACGATGTACGATGTACGATGTACGGTGCTAGACTTTTGAAGCTTGTAAATTTGTAAATTTGTGAAATTTGTAAATCTGTATTTGTATTCACATTCACTGGATCAACTAGAACTACCACTTTTAGCAGAAATACCAGACTACCCTACCCTACTCCTACCCTCCCCCACCGGGAAGACAAGATAGACCTAGAGAGCGACATCGACATCGACCAGTCACCTCACGTCAATTCAGAGATTTGCAGCATCCACCCACCCACCCATCCATCCATCCATCCATCCACCCATCAGGAAGAGCAAGGAAGCAGTGCATGCAGAGCTAGGACCGAGACTACTAGCGGAACAAAGAAAGAAACACAACTTTGAGCGAGTGACCAATCGAGCAAAGAGACACGAAAGCGAGGAAATGAGGAAATGAGGAAATGAGGAGCGGCAGTCTCTGAAAGCGAATCCTCCTCCCTTGCATGAAAGCGAGAGCGAGAGCGATAGCGAGAGCGGGTGCGGGTACAAGTACAAGTACAAGTCTTTCTTAGATCGAGTGGAGGAAGCGAGAGCATAGCACAGAGAAGAATGAAAAGAGACAACAAAAGCCGACCGTGGCGCTATCCGCCTAGTGCGCGTGAGTCCATCCCATGAGGAGACGTTCCCCATGTGGGCTAGGCTTCCTCTTGATACTCGCTCCCGCCTCACCGCGTCTGCCTCTAGCGACCTTCTGGCTCGAGGTTGTGCCAACTGTGCTGGGCGAGGCGAGTGATCCGGGAGCATCGGGTACGGCAGCTGCAGCGGGTGCTACCGGGGCGCCTGCCAGCTCGGCCGTCGATTCCTTCACGGGCGCTGCAGACCCCAGAGGCGGATGGCCAGCAGTCACGCTCGAGCTGCCGGCATAGCTGATGCTCGCACTTCGGTGGCCGTGTCCAGCTTGGTGATGGTGGTGGTTGTTCTCACGTCGGTGTGGGTTCTGCGCGGCGGGATTGCCACTCATGCTCAGACGTCGGAAAAGATGGCCCATCCCTCCTCCGCCTGCGGCCGGGGGTGAGGTGGCGCTGGCGCCGTTGGATGCACCGGCAGCGGCGTTGCTCTGCGAGCGGAACGAAGAGAGACCTGCCCAGCCTTGTGATCCATTCCAGCCCTCCTTTGAACCCTTGATTGCTTCGTATGAGCTTGGGAGAGGGATGGAGCGGACCCTGCCGAGTGGAGCGCCTCCTGCCAGGGACCCAGGTGCCTCGCCTGTTCGAGGGGTGGGAGGCCCATTGGAGTCTACGCTGGAGGTGGTGGAGGACATGGAGGAAGAACGATGGTGCATTCCCGTCGGGTCGCGTTCGGGAAAGTAGTCTATGCGAGAGATCGCGAAAAGGCAGGCGATACAGGTGAGTACGAGTTTATATGCTGGCCGTTCCTCTTGCCCCTCTCCACACTCACCCTTCTGAGCAGTCTGCTGGCTAGCAATGGCTGTAGGGCTCTTCAGTGCTCCTCCAACATTAACTCCCGCCGTAGTCCAGGCGCCACTTGCAGTGTTCCTAAAGCTGTTGGAAGGGCTCACGGGACCTCCAGGGAGGGAGAATGCAGTCCTTGCGTAGATGGGTGAGAGGAGTGGTGGAGAGTTGCGGTTGTTGTTGTTGGTGGCAGAGGAGCCAAAACCTAAGCCGACGCGAGGGGGAGAGGAGGCAGGAGGTGCGTGCTGCTGATTGTGGTGGCGGTGGGAGGAAGTCTGGGCGTGTGGGATGGCTGTTGGTGAAGCCATGAGATTAGATTGGGCGGGCGAGTGGTGAGGGATGCTGATCTGAGATATGGCAGAGTAGAGTGGGCTGAGCGCTATGGCCGGGTGATGGGTGGTGGGTGCTCGTGTGCTAAGCAGGTGAAGGTGAAGTTGGTCGTGAAGGTGGTCGTGGTATCTTTGATGTGTGCGTATGCGTTGTGTCGTGGCAGTGGCAGTGGAAGGGTGAGTTGATGGTGAGGTGATGGTGAGATGGTGAAGATGGAATGGAATTCGCTCAGCGTGGATGGCATGGACGACCTCGAGGCGGTAAGATCATCTCCTCCTGGCCCCCCAGCAGCAGCGAGCGGCCAACAGCAACCGGGACACAAAAAGGGCAAGGGGGCATCTCGCAGGCACTAGACCAGTGTGACCACATCTCCGCCCATCCGAGTGTGGGGTAGACTGCTCTTGTGCCCAAGGACCTTATGCAGACGCTTGGGCCACTAGGCTCAGCCCTGGTGGTGGTGCCGTGCCTGCCGTGCCAAGGGTTGCTCTCTTGTCCTCCGCGTCGTGGCTCCAGGTGGCCCCTCCGTCGCTGCTCTTCTGCGCCTGTCCCGCGTCCCCCGTGCGGCCGTGGCGGGGGCGTCAAGCCTAGATTCACCTTGCGTGTGAGTGAGTGAGGTGGGTATGCGTGTATGCCTATGGCTTGTGCACACTGCATGGCCAGTCTTCGGCACGGCACGGGAATGAGTTGCCGCGCCCTGCCTTGTGGGCGTAGAGGAATGTCGAGGCTCACCGGTGCCAACTATTGCCTGCCTTGTCTTTCCACAAGCGGCGAGACGGGAACAAGAGGTACCTGCACACACACACGCGCACACACACAAGGGCACACAGGAGGGAGTTGAGAGGCCACAGCATTCATGTACAAGTTTGACACAGCACAGAAGGACGTCAAGCAGGCAAGCAGGCAAGCTTGGAGCGTAGGCAGCGTCGTCGTAGCAATGTGCGATGGCATGCTCAGTCTTGTCACGCAGTCTGCCCATCAAGCCTTCTCCTTCTCCAATTCAGATCCATGAGGTGACACTTCGCCTCCCACGTTGCTGCAAAGGGTGGACACCGGACGGCCAGAGTGATGCGTCAGTAGAGGGGGATAATGTTCAGCGATGCAATCCAGCTTCTCCCCTCCCTTTTTACCTTCACTCACAAGGCTTGACTGATCAATTGGCTCACCGCAGCCAAATACCCCTCTCCAGGCTCATTACGGAACATGAACAGCAGCGACTCGCTCAACCTCAGCACCTCGTCCTTGCTCAACGAGTCCCGTCCTTGGGAGTGCAGCTTGAAGAACCAATCAATCGAGGCAAGCACATCCCCATCGGCAAACAAGATCGGGTCAAGGCCGCGAAGCACATCCTGCAGACTTAGACTGCCTCGCCCTTCTGTGTCCCATGCGGTGAACATGCGCTTGATCAAGGCGTGCTCAACACCCTTCTTCTCTGTCCTCTCGTGCAGGCCATTTAGATTGGACACTGTGAACTCATCTCTGGCCCACGTACTCATCTCTCCTAGGAAGATCTTGAAGGTGTCGTACTCGATACGCATCTCCTTGAAGTCCTCACTGGTGGGAGTCACCGCCTTCTTCTCGTCCAAAATCGCCTGCGCTTGTACAGGGTCGCCCTGCGCACTCGCAGCCGCTTCTCGGGCCTGACGTTCGTGCCGCGCACGGTAAATGGCTTCCACCATGTGGTCATACACTAGGCCTGCTTGCTCCTTGCTGAACCGACGGAGGTCCTTGAGCTGACGGATGGCAGAACGCTTGGCGAAGAGTTCAATCTCTTCGACGATTTCTTGGCGGAAGCGGCGGCGCTCCGAAGCGATCGTGTCGTCTGTCACCACGCCAAACTCTCTGAAAGCAACGACGAGCAATCTGGAAGAGCGAAGTGATGGGACTCAGTGAGTATTGTCCAGCTCCCACTCGGCCTTACTTCTTACGCTTACTCACTCTTGAAAGTTGGTGATGTTCCGATGTTTGGGGTTTGCAGCATCCGGATGGGCAGAATCGCCCAGGCTGCTGAAGTACTTTCTCAGCACACTGATGAAGGCCCCATCGTCCGTTACGCTCAGAAGCTCCTCGCCATTGATCTTCAGGATGGCCAAGGCGACCTGGAAGAGGACTTTGGGACCCATTGCCATGAAGCAATCGATGATCCGGAATGCGAACACCATGGGCATCGAGTTGATGTATAGTCTGATGATAGCGATGGGATCAAAGGGGCGTAAGCGGGCATAGCCATTCATTGGACCCGCACTCCTACTCACGAAAGGAACCAAGGCAAGCTTGCCACGCTCAGCTGGATATCAGTCCTGATCAGATGCTCGTGGATCATCGGCAGGGACCGCTGCACTAGATGCTCAAACACCTTCCGGTCCAAGATTGTACCTGCCATGGACTGGGTGTAGTACCCTGGGAGCAGCCGCTCCGTCAGAGTGTCCAGCAGAAAGTAGGTCTGCTCCTCCGAGCAGTAGATGAGAAAAGCAGCAGCAAGAATATTCAGACCCTGCGTATACCCCAGCTCTGGGTTCTTGAAGCTGAAGGCGTACAACACCCGACGGAGGCTATCTATGCCCTCTGGTTGCTGAAAGCCAGCATATTCTGGCAAGGAGCGATGCAGGTCCTTTTCTATTTCCTCGGTTGCCGTCGTTTTCCTGTCCTTGTTCTCGTTGAGCATCCGTTCGTACTCTCCCTGATGCTCGAAGCGATTATAGATGGAGCCCGATGTCACCTCCCAGACTTCACCTCGCAGCGCCGAGGGGAGACCGACTTGGATGAGCCGCAGGAATTGCGGGTACCGTAGAGTAGTGAGGGAACGACCGTGCACGCGGAGATAGTCCCTCCAGAGCTTCATCTTTGACTTCTCCCTCAGCTTGCGCGGATCTCCTGGATATTTGAAGCGAGCCCCCAGACCAGCATGGTAGGGTGGGGGAGGGGGAGGATCGGAGGACGTTGATGCCGAGGCTGTAGCGGCAGAGGCATCGGCTTGCGAAGCCACTTCAGCAGTCCCAGCCACGGCGGTGTCCGCGTTCGCATTCTCTGCGCCAGTAGCTGATGTCTCCTCAGCAGCTCCAGCCTCTACCGGTTGGGTCGCCTTCGGCAGCAGCTCTGGGTTGAGGACGAACTCTGAGTAGCATGTCCCTACAAAGCCCTTGAGCTTCTTCATGCTGGGCAGCTGAGCTCGCAGACTATCTCTGAGCATAGAACAAAATGTTTCGCATTGTGTGCGAAGGGCATTGAGTTGCAGGATCTATGTGAAGCGAGGTGAGGATTGAGCTCAGTATGAGATGCCCCTCATCCCCTTTAGTATTCCTCGCAGCTGCGCTACTCACGATTTTCATGCCATGCCACACAACGACGGCCAGTGCAAACACTCCACTTCTCTTTGTATTGAGCCTCTCTACCCTTCTGACTGTATAGAGCGGCAAGCTTCCCCTCAAACTCCTCCGATCCAGACTCTCAAAGCACAAGAACTTCTCCGTCAGCACCAGCTTCCCCGCATATACCTCATCCTCTTGAGCTGTAGGGTCATCCGGATCGCTCTGAGGATTCGAGAGGGAGACTACGGCGGGAATGTCTGTCAGAGGAACTTGTCCATCTGGGAGGGAAAAGGAATGTGTGAAGAGTTGCTGGCGCGTGGGCTCCTTGTGGTCCCGCAGAGAGTGGGCTATGGTGGACATTGCGGGGCGTTTGGCGAAGGATTCGGGACTGACTCTATGAGGACCCGATCAGGGCATCGGGGATGCTGACAGTGACTCGGCCAGAGGAGCTCGTGGGATGATGGTGACGGTGACGGCGGATGGTGACGGTGGAAGTGGGAGTGGGAGTGATATCGCAGTGTGCCGGCAAAAGGGGAGCAACACTCCAACCAACCAAGTCACTCCACGTCCGCGCCAAAAACTCCGACGCACCAGCCAGCCGATCCGCCAGCCGCTCACTCCTACCTGGCACATCACAGAAGCACTGCTGCAAGGTCGTGCTCCGCAAATAGATCACTCGAGGTCAGGTCGTAATATGCAGATATTCACGGGCCGAGGAACATGTACAGATGCAACTTTGCCTCACCCCTCTATGGCGCCGATGCGCTCACATATCAGCCGCAATTTGTCCGGCTCAGCCAGGTCAAAGTGCGAAGGCACCAGTTCAGACACGTCGATATTCTCGACCTAGATGAATGGGAACAGCAAGGGTTAGGTCAGATGCTTCACTCCTTTCGTTCCACTGCTGACCCCGATGACAGCTACTCACTCCAGGTACGCCCCAGATGGGCCCCGATCCCATCACCCGTGGCGCTCTCCCGTCTGCAATCTCCTCTGCCGACAGCTCCATTCCCAGCCAAGCAGCGACAGAGCAGACCATATCCTTGCTGCTGAAGGCATTGACGAATCTCCTTCCCACAATACTCCTCGCCTTGGTCAGCGTCTTTTTCCCTGTAGTTGCCGGTGCACCAATGAGGAAGACGGAGTCTACCAGGTGGGAGTTGACCTCTGGTTCTTTAGCCAGCTCGGCTAAGGCAGTGAGGATGGTGATGCATCCCAGACTCGCGCCCATCAGCACTACAGGCCGGTGACCCTGCACTTCAGCTCGTAACACCTCGGCGAGAACCAGACCCTTCTTATAGGCCTTGCTCTTTGCTCGAACGAATGTTGAGTCGAGAGCAGTACCCAGAGTGTTGGCCACAGTGAGTGGTAGCGTCAGAGCTGTGAAGGCGGCTAGGGCGGTCCTCTTGATAGCCTCTTCGGCTGCCTTTTGGCCCAGGGCCCGCTTCATGTACGTAAAGACATAACCACGTAGATCCACACCTGCTTGAGCCATCAATTTAGCCTCGCTAGAGACAATGTAGACATCTTGCGATTTCGACGAGGCCCACACGCCCTGCCACGACGTGAGCTGCTGAGACTCTTCTAGGATGATCCCCGATACGCAAATGGTAGCGTGGAGAGAAGGAATCGATACTCCAGCCAAGCGCGCTTCGGTATCGACTTCTTTGAACTCGAAAGACTCGAGTCCACGCAGTCGACGAGAGACTCTGTAGCCTGCCAGACCTCCACCGCCGATACCGAAGAGGGCAGCGGCGAGGACGATGCCTCCCGACGAGGCGAACAGAGCAACACCAGACAGACTGGCCAGCGCTGGAAGGACTAGCGGGGCTGCTAGACCGCCCGTCAAGCCAATGATGCCGGCACCAATGGCAGCACCACCTCCCGCCGCTGCCCATCTCTTCCAGTTGGAGCGACCGTGCTCCGCTACTGCGCTCGTGCCCGCCTGAATCAGGCAAAGAGAGAAAGATACGTCAGCATAGGTCAAGTGCGGTATTTGGGCTGTTCATTGACTCACTCTGTTCATCCAGCTTGTCCTACCGCCGCTATCCTCATCCTCTTCAGCAGAAGTAGAAATCTTTGCGTGCTTCAGAGGGTCCTTTCCCTGCTTCGCGGCCGCGGATTGGGCATCCTTCATGATGAAGTAGATGGTCTGCGCCAAGATCTTCTCCGCCGCTTGTCCATCTGAACCGGAGAGTCCGAGGGCGCTGGAAGCGACGAAGATCATTGCGCGGGCACGGGCATCGTAGTGGCAGAATTCGCTAGGCTGCTGACGAGCCGTCTTCTCACCACCGGAACCGCCGGCGCTACCGCTGCCCTGCGGGGAGGCGGTATCGGCGTGGGTACCCTTAGCTCCTGGCGCAGGAGGAGGGAACAGATTCCCAACGCTTTTAAAGGAGCTGTCTGCCCATTTCGAGAACGAATTCCACGTGTTCACAGGACCAGAGGCAGAGGCAGAAGAAGGCGCTGAGTTTGGTAGGCCAGCCTTCCGCTGTTGTTGCTGATAGGCTAGCTCTGCTTGAAGCCCCGCTGGAGATGGGTCAGGGGTTGAGCCAGAGGTTGCTGGTGTTTTGACCTTATTCGTACTGCTCGCAAGAGGCTCATCGCCAAAGACGGCTTCATTCTCAAAGACCATCGTTGCGCCGTCTTCGAGTGAGCGATATTGGCCCAGACCGAGAGCGATGAGAAGTAGGTCGTTGTAGACTTCGACGCCCCTGCTTGAGCTGGCCTCGCTCGACAGGGCGCCACCTGTGCGATGGACTCGAAGGGGCTCCGGGAGCTGTAACGTGCTGAGCTGCTTGTCCTTCTCGTCCGTGACAGAGCTTGAGGCTAGCGCAAGAGCGGCGTCCTCGACATCCTTGTCCTTTTCATCTGAGACTGTACCATCCTTATGAGCTTTCTGAAGCGCCTCTTGCAACTTTCGGGTCCGCTCCTTTTCAGCTCCCTTGGCTTTTTCGGTTTGTGCCGCCTTGCGAGCTTTTTCCTCCTCTACATCTGACCGAAGGACAAGCTCAGGGTAGAGCCGAGCAAATGCGCCTCCTGTCTCCTGTCCCATCGCCTCGAGTTGCCAAGCCCGCTGCTCCTTCTCCATGCCGGCTGAGCCAGCATCTGAGTCGGGGCGACCTTGTCCAATCTCCAGTATCTCTTCGTACGCGAGCGGCCCAGCTAGTATAGCAGCGAAGCGAGAGGCAGGAACATCAGACGATGAAAGATGAACATGGGCTGTTGACATCAGACTCACGGGGCAAAGTCTCCTCAGCCACACCCAGATGCTGGCAAGTTGCAGTCAAGAACTATGAATGGACAAAGTCTGTCAGCATTCCCTCGCAGCAATCGCCCCCACAGAGCTGATGATACTCACCTTGCTAGCAAACTCCTCCCACGACTCCACCAGCTCCTTCCTTTGCTTCTCGGTCTCAGCTCTGCTACTCGTGGAAGAGGACTCCTCCCCCGGCGGAGCTGACTCTCCTCCTTTTCTCTGCCTACGAGAAGTCCCATCTTCATTCAGCTCGGCACTATCCCCCTCATCTTTTCCTCCATTCTCACCCCCCCTCGCCGAAGAACCGCCGCTCCCAATTCCGAAACCAAGCGCAGAAGCTCTCGCTCGCTGACAGAGGCGCTGTTGAGCGTACTTGGTCGCGATACATACTGCCAGACGAAGCTCATGAGGCCAGTCGGGCGAGTAGGATTTGAGTGAGGAGAGATCCAGCTTCTCCATTTTGTCCTACAGCTCGATGCGGCTCGGCTGGGTCGAATGGGATGGGACCGGTCCGAACCCGATCCAGTGGTGAGCCGACTCAGAGCACTCAAAGATCAAACTCGGTGAGGATAGTGTCGTAATCGATTGGCGAGGATGGATGAAGGCAGACCCCTAGAGAAGGACACAGGATAAGGAGAGATTGCGGGTACGACTCTCGCATTGCTCGGAAGTGGAGATCGATGCCGCACGCAAGCCACACTCGGCGACTTTTCCGGCCTTCTGGACCGAAATGACTTTTGCCTGACGGCCGAACGCAGCGCAGCGAATAGGCGGTAAGTAGTCTAGATTGAAATGGTGTGGTATGTATTGATGCAATGAGGAACAAGTACTGTGAACTGTACGTCTCGAGAGCGATGATAGGCGGTACTGCCTCACTGAGGTCCGCATTGGTGTGATGCAGGGTGCTCTCCCCCTTCCCCGCCCGGCCCCGCTCCAGCTGCCATGCTCGCACGCATCAACACATTCTGAAAGGCCGAGCGCGTAAGATAGTCTTCACGTTCGTACTCATCCTCGAGGCCATCTTCGTCCTCGTCGCCTTCATCATCATCGGTGCCCATGCCGAACATGCCATGACTGCGCCGACGTCTAAAGGTATTGCGCTCGACGATGGTCTCCTTGTCGGCCATGCGGCTCATGTCTCGAAGATCCTTACTTCCCTTTTCGCTGCTCTGACCTGCAGTATAGCGACTGACAGGGCCAAAGAGCTTGACTGTGTCATCGATGCCACTGACAGCCAAGACAGGCAAGGTAGGGTGGGGTACGACGACATTGACCACGGACCCATCGCCCTCCCAGATGCCTAGCAGCTCCCCACTGGCTTTGTCCCACACGAAGAAGTTCCCGTCGTCTGAGCCACTAACGATATACTCGTCGTGTGGACCTAGAAAGTTGACTTCTTTCACCGTCTCGCTGTTGAGGTGACCCATATATCGCGGGTTACGAGGGTAGACGATTGGCACATAATTGTGAGAGGCCTGGCGGACATTCTGCGCGTACTGAGGGTCGTCCACATCTGGATCTGGGTCCGAGGAGGAAACGCTATCTTCTTCGCTGTCGCTGAAAGACTCCCCATCCCCATCGTCTTCAGCGTCATCGTCGCTACCATCTCCCTCACTGTCGTCGTCTTCGGAGTCGTCATTGGAGTCGATGACGAGATCGTCAACCTCAGGATCGTTGAACCAATTTGGCTCTCGTCTTCGTCTTCGGGAAGGACCCTGCTCATCACTGTCAACATCTTCCCACTCGACTGAGTCCCCTTCTTCCTCCTCTTGTGCAGACGCCAAGCTTGCCTCGGATGAAGACGAGGAGGATGACATCTCCAGGGAACCGGCTTCCCCGTCGGCCAGGAGTTGCTGGTACAGAGGAAAGCCCTGCGCCTCTTGTTCGGTAGGCGATTCGCTTCCGCTGCTACTACTCTCATCCTCATCCTCTTCCTCTTCGTCGACGAAAGCTCGTCTCCAGTCCTGCTCACGGGGGCCTTGAGACATCTGCGCAGTAGTCTCTGATAGGCGAGCGGAGGGCAACCGCCGCGCTGCGTCCTGGGCTTCTGGTCTTGCCAGGATCCGAGTAGAAGTCTTGCCTCCTGCTGATGGTATCGTGTGGACGGCTTCTTTTTCGGGGATCGCTGGGAACCCCGACGAGGAAGACGAAGATCCTCTCTTCCTCTCTCTGCCGGACGCTTTCGTTCCTCCAGTCGCAGCAGCCGTGCTGCCTGTCTCCCAGCCAACAGGCAATCTATCCTGCACATGATGCAGACCTCCCTCTTCGTCTCTGATGCCAAAGCGATAGATGGCTCCGTTGGAGTAAGTAGCGATCAAATCGTTCCCGTTGTGCTCGCTGATCTTCACGGCGGTGATATGGCTCGTCCTCGACATTGGCCTCCTAGCGGATTCGTCCTGTACCGAGCAGTCGCCATCCCAACTGCCTTGTGGTAGACCGTACCTTCTGACGCATTTTGTGAGAAGGGCTTCATCACTGTTGGTCATCGACATGCCCCACTCGTCTTTGATCACTCGGCCGATCATGCGGCGGTCGTAGAGGTATGTATAGGGTGACTCGCCTGCGACTGCGAAAAGATAGGGCTGTAGCTTCGAGAGGGAGAGGGAGTAGAGAGATGTGAAGGAATGGAGGAGAGGGCGGGGGCAGTTGGTCCGGCAAATATGTGAAGTCCGCAGATCTGTGGAGCGAACTGACAGGAGGAGACGGACGCGAGGTTCACCGTCAACCGAGCTGTTTGGTGTTGATCCCTGCCTTTGTCCGGAACTCACCATCGCCATCCTCTCCAACACTAAGAAAGATGTCCGGGCTGTTCTCTGTCGCCAATCTCTTCACTCTCCGTCTATGGCACTTCAGAACCCTACAATTGACCCCTCCACTGCCTTGGTCAAAGCGGTCGTACCACCGCCCATCGGGGTGACTGACCCTTGTTCCCATTCCCGCGCTCGACGAGCCGATGTCGAACACTCTCATAGTCGCATCTCCTGCTGCAGTAAAGATCCTGGAATCAGAAGAGTGCGGAGCGAAGGCAACCGAGAAGATGTTGGCTGTATGGCCCGTCTGAATCACTGATGCCATGCCCATCTCTAGTAAGGGATAATCTGCGCCATGAAGCGGACCGTCGACGTTGTCCTCGTCTTCATCTTCATGACCGCCTACGCGTGTGGTCTGCTGGTCGGGGCGGGTAGATCGATCCTGACCCGTGCCTGCACGGAAGCTGTAGGGTAGGTATCTTTGAGGAGCTCGCTCGTTGGCGGTCGGGTGGATATGGGATGTGCCCACTTTCCAGAGGACAACTCTGGGAAGGGAGCGGTAAGAACGAGGTGTGCAGCTGTTCAGCCTCATGTACAGGACCAACGCACCTACTTTCTCAGAAGAAAGGCTCGACGAACTCACCTGGTATCGTCACTTCCACTCGCCAACATCTCTCCGCTCTCACTCCAACAGAGCGCATTTACACAGCCTGCATGTCCCACCAGAGGTCTATGGAATCTCTGCGTGTCTGGGATCCTAAAAGCCGCTCTGCCTCCCAGCTCCTGAATTTGATCCAATCGAGAGAGAAAAGAAGAGTGCGACTGGTAGCTGTGCTGGTAGGAGGAAGAGGACGCCTGGCTTGGTGGGAGGAAGGAGAGGCGCTGCGAGGAGGAAGGGTGCGAAGGGGTATAGAAGGAGGAGCTTGGCTGATAGGTCTGGTAGGAAGTCATGTCGCCCCCGCTTGCCACCCAAGTGCGAAGAGGGAGAATCGATGAAAGTCACACCCCAAGCTAGGCTGCAGAGAACCGACAAGAGGGTGGCAACAAGGACGTACGGTGAGTAAACGAAGGGTGTTGCGTACGAACATTCTGCATTTCCACACCATTGTCCTCTTTCCGTCAACGCGCCTTGCACCTCCACACCACCTTTGCGCCTGCACCAGCCAAATCGACTCTGGGTGAGCCAAGCGAAACACACTTGTAGTCGAGACTGTCATCTTGTCAGCACTGATCGAGTAGTAATCGTGTCGTTGCGAGATTCTGTACAGGGCTGATCCGCATCATAGCTCCCCGTTACTTCTCTGCACCCAATCCCTCACTGTGGGCAACTTTCCCCCTCGAGGTCCCTCTGCACTCCCGTTTCCATAAGTATCCATCTCTTCATCCCCTAACCTCTTCTCCAGCGCAGACTGCCCCCGCGAAAGACTAGCTCTCGCTTTGAGACCTGAAGTGCCGGATCCTCCCCCTGATACTGCTCCAGTGTTGAAATACGAAGGGGCATGGCCCGGAGTGGAGGAGTATCGCGGGTTGGGCGGACGCCGGGAGATGGATGTGTAGTGCGAAGAGCCATTGTTACCATTGGCAGGACCACCCCGTTGTCGAGCGGCGCCGACACCATTGACACCATTCGTGTCGAGATGAGGCTGAGCTATGGATGAGGAGTAGCTGTACCCTCTTTGAGCCCCTAGGGGCATCGGCATCGGTGGAGGTCCAGACCCATTGCGCAAAGCAGTGGACGTGGCGGTCCGGTTCGCTTTGGGAGTCTGTTGGGCATCGTCCAAACGTGTCCTCGCACTGGACTCAGCTCGAGCTCGGGCAGTTGCTTCGGCTTGGGCTCGAGCCTTTGCTCTCCTTCTTCTCGCCTGCAGAGCAAGCTGAGGGTCCATGGCGTCGGCAGACCCACTGGATAGGTACACGTCCTGCAGGGCGCCTTCGCCCATCGACAATTCTTCCTCCTCGGCTATGCCTCCCATTCGACTCGACTCGGCCTGCTCGTAGCCCCGCTCAAAAGACCCATCCTGACTTCCTTCTGCCCGTGCGTTTGTTTTCTTCCCGCCTCGATCGCGCCTCGGCCTCCTGCGCCGTACCAAGTCCGGCATCTCCACATCGAACGTCCGGGGCCAGCCGAGCCTCTCTGCTATAGCGGCTCTGATGCGCTGCAGTATGAGTTGCTGAATCTTGGGTATATCCTGAAGCTTTGCTCGAGCTCCAACGAGACTGCTACACGTCGCCTTCAAGAGGAAGTCTGGGTGAAGGGAAAGAGAGAGGGAATGCCTTGATCGCTTGTTCTTGGCCGTCTTGCTTGGTGAGGAAGAATTAAAGGACAGCGAGATCGTACCCGAGAAGCGAGTGATGCGAAGGCCGAGAGAGATAGGCAATACTGCGAATCTTGGCCGAGGATAATTGATCAGTAGAGATGTCTGGAGGGAAAGAGACAGCAGGTCTGTATAATCTACATCGAGCTCGATGCGCTGAGGAGAGTGACAGCTGTTTGGTCAGCTCTGTTGCTGCCATGACGGTAGTTATGGCGTCAGCTCTATGACAACTCACCACTCTGCCCTGATCATCTCTCGGCCTGACTCTTGCATTGCTCAAGATTGGGTACGAGTCTCCTACGAGGCATTCTGTCACCTGGATCTGGTCCAGAAATTCCAATTTACCATTCTCGAGCTTCGGCCTATTTAGGATATCTTGTATGAGATGCCGAGCAGTCCGTTGCGCCGATGTTGCTTCGAGAGCTTCGTCTACCTCGTCCACCCACTCTTCCTCTTGCGTCTCGCCTTCGACGAGCGGTATAGGTCTGTCCGATCCTCCTGCCATAAAGTCATCCCTGTACCCCTCCCAGACGTGCGCTAAGAGGACATTCAGCCAGCCGACATCGATGTCTGCGGCAGTCTCGAGATCGTAACCTACAGCTTCTGGTATCCGAGCTAATGTGGCTAGAGTGGGACCTGAGCCCGAGGGCTGACTTGCGTCGGAAGCGGAGGTGGGAGGGGGAGATCGAGCGCGGGTAGGCGCTGAAGAGAGGGAAAGGGATAAGAGCGATTGGCGAGAAGAAGCTCTCGGCGGAGAGGAGACGGGAAAGTGACGCCTTGTAGCCTGGACAATGGGGGGGAGGATCCATCGACAGAGTGCAGATGTCAGCAAGATTAAGGCAAGGCCTTGCTAGCATAACGGGAGGTAGGTCATCTCACCTTGCCGCTTTGCGGTTGCTCCTCGTCCTCGTCATCAAGAGGATGTGGGGCGGCGTCTTCGAAGAGTAGATAACGTATCAATGCTACCACTACCAAGATAATGCTCAGCTGCCCAACAAGAAGCCCCTGGGTGAAGGTAAGCTGTGGCAGGGACCACGAAGTGGACCTCGCTTGAGCAATGTTAGCCGAGTAGGCGCTGCCTGCGTCTGCCATGGCGCGAGAAGCTCTGCCAGAGCAAGAGATGCTGCGCCGCTCGTGTGCCACTTCCTTGAGCCTCGAGTGATTGCGATGACGTACTGAAGAGGTTATGTTGACGTCTGCTCCATGGCTGCGAGATTATGTTGGGTATTGTGCACAATGAGAAATCCAGGATGAGGGGGCGAATGGAAGCCGCCCGCACGGAAGAAGCAAGCGGTGAGGCGGAGTCCGAATTCAATCGGCGGAAGGACGAGATTTTGAGAAGCGGCCGAGAGATGATGATCATTCGTAAGGAAGCTTGGCTGCCATCCTCCTCGTCATCCTCGTAGACCACCGATCTCGCTGCCAGATAGCCCATCATGGCATCCTCGCTGATATGGAAGAGGTCAGCGGTAGCATCGGGCTCGCACAATGTCCACCATATCGCACCAGCAGCTTCGTCACTGTCATCGCCGGCGGCGGCGGCCTCCTCCTCCTCCTCTTTTTCCAGGTCCGCTTTCTTTACCACCTCTGCCTCTCAGCGCATTGCGTCAGAGGAGCGCCGCTTTCGACGGAACTTGGCAGCAGATCGTAAGCTGGAGTATGTCACTCGCAAAGTACTACGCACAGCTGGCCTCGACTTTGGCGGAGCAGAGAGGAAGCACCAAGAATATCAAAAGCAAGTCCAAGATGGGAATGCTGGGGCAACCCCTCGACGTCCAGACGAGTCGCTGCTCGGGTGGCAGAAGGGGCGCAGGGGATACATTGGTGCCAACAGAGCTCGAAGACGCGGCAACGCCTCAGCAGCATCCAACTCTCGCCTAGGTGACCGAAGGCAGCTCCATACGAGTCGGCAGTCCCCCGCCACCGCCTTCTCACACCAGTCGACCTCGCGGGCAGAGACACGCCCGCCGCCGGCCTTTCGCAAGTCGAGACAGCAGAAATCAGCCCGCACCGACCTTGCCCCTTCTGAGAAGCGGAGCTATCGAGGGCAGTGGATTCTTCGGAAAGACATCCTGCCAGGTGATTTCGTAGAACTGCGTCTCCCCTTCTCAGAGGTCGTTCGAGGAATTGCCCTCCCGTTCGTCGATGAGGTGGAGAAGACTGCAATGCAGAACCTGGAGGCAGCAGTTGAAGAGACAGACACATCGAAAGGTAGCACAACTGAGAGCTGGGGCACATCTGCAGGAACCCTCTTCATCCTCGATTCTCGGGGGCACATCACTCCTCAGCGAGAGAGTGATGTCGCACTGCACATACCCAACTTCTGCCGCCAGGATGATGGCCGCCTATTGAATGTCGCCCGACCTACGCTACAGGAGATTCAACTACCCGAAGAGCCACTGCTACTCGATGCAAATGGACTGGGGTTGCCTGGTATGGGACAGACCACCGGTCTCGACAACGTGAGCGAGGATGGAATGTGGTCTCCCTTTCCGCCTTTTCAAGAGGCCTCAAAAGCAGAGACTCGGCGGGGAGAAGCCAGGGCAAGATTGGCTTCCATTCTGCGTGATTTCCTACGAGAGACAGAGCACAAGTATGATAATATCAGGAAAGGCCTGTATGCTCTCATCAGCAACAAGCAATGGCTGGAGAGCAAGGAAGAGGTGTCCACCTTAAGCGTCGCTCAACAGTTAGATGAGAGCGCGGTATCACAAAGGGGTCAGGAGGTGTCTTGGCCCAGCTTACTTGCTACGCACGATCTGCTCTTGGAGAACTTCAAGATCTTCCTGGCAAGCCGGGAAGACATGCGTTCCACCGCTATCTTCAAGATCAGGTCTCGCCGCGCGAGAGATGACCTTGAACGCGTGGAGCGGTGGATCGAGGAGGACATCAAGTCGAACAAGGGTCCAGTCGCATCCTTCCTCGCAAAAGTCATCGGTCACTTGCAAGTGGTGAGGCAGACGCAGGGCACGTCCGAAGCGGCAGCCACTCGCCTTGCATGGTCAGCAGACGATGTCAGAATCATCTCTGTGCTCCTCGATGGTATCAGCATAGCGCGACTCAATCAAGGAGATTTGTACTCTATAGTCTTATCGCACATTCTCAAAAAGTGCGAGTATATCCCTTGGGAGCAGCCTGGGTCCTTTCGCAACTCGGCCAACCCCACCATAGAAGATTTCTCGTCATCTTCCCTTCCTCTCCATCAGCTTACTGTGCAATTACTGGAAGATCTTGCTATCTATCCCAAGGATAGTGTGGACTGGAGTTTGGGAGATGATCGAAGCAAGGATATCTTGGAGAAGGTCTTGGAGCTGGAAACGTCTCACACGGGCAATCAAACAAATGTCACACACGCTCGACAGGACACGTCTGCAGACCTGGCAACTGTCGATTACGACGAGTCGCTCAGGAAGGACTTCCACGCCAATGTCTACGTGATTGATGAGGCCTCTGCCTACGAGCTTGACGACGGTATCTCTATCGAGCCTGCAAAGGAAGAGGGCAAGTACTGGATCCGAGCTCACATTGCTGATCCCACCTCTCAGCTGCTGCCGAACGATGACGCTGCCTCCCGGGCAAAGAAGCAAGGGGCGACCATCTACGCTCCTCTGGGCTGTGTACCGATGTTTCCTGACTCAATGCCTGGTATAGCTACCAAGTCTGGCGCAGATGGAAGTCGTGCTTTAACTTTCAGCGCCCTCGTCAATGCCCAGGGTCTGATAGAGGAGTACGACGTGGGGCCGAGTCTACTGCGCAATACCCACGTGATCACCTACTCCAAAGTCAACGAGATCCTACAAGACCCCAGCGTAGCTCCAAGTGCGAAAGTGGCAGAGGAGCTTCGCATACTTCACGACTACGCCGGCCGCTTGTACAAGATGAGGATTCGCAACGGTGGTTTCCTGGCTGGGAATGACGGGGTCAATGTCGTCATGCCGCCACCCGAGGAGCTGCCAAACATGATTGTCCCGTCCCCCTTCACCCTCGTGGATCCGAATCTGCAGCGAGTCTTCAATGGCGGGAGGGTCGAGGTGGATACGAGCAGAATGAGACCCCTCTCGCAGATGCCACTGGGCCTGGCTTTGAGCTCATTCAAGGTCGAGGCAAAGCCTTCGAGTATGCTGGTAGCGAGCATCATGAGTATGGCCAATCGAGTCGCGGCCGCCTTCGTGGGCAAAGAGGGTCCTTCCAAGAGCGGCTCACGCCTGCTCCTCCCTCTGCGAGGTCAGTCTTTCCCTGCCAGTCGAGCGAAAGCGTGGCTGAGTGCCATCGATCGCATGAAGGACGAGTACGGCAACATCTCCTACCGCCGTATTCTGCGAGCTAATATCGACATTGCCGGTGCTACCGAATCCACCGTCCCGGTCTCGCACATCTCCCTGGGTATCACGGGCACTGAAGATCGCGAGAAGCTCAGAGGGACAGAGCAGGAGGCTTTCCTAGACGCAGCAGACGGGTGGGGCTACACTCGCGCCACAAGTCCCCTGAGAAGGTACTCTGACCTTGTCGCGCACTGGCAGATCAAGTCGATTCTGCACAGAAGAGCCTCTTCTGCTGCCTCGCCGAGCCAACAGCGCCATCAGGGAATCTCTGAGAGCGAGATGCTAGATCTGGTGCCTCGGATTGCGCGCCAGAATGCAGCGCTCAAGGCCTTTGACAAGTTCACTAGGAAGCACTGGACCCTTCGCGCCATGCGCTTAGCATGGGAGAGTGCTCTCACCTCTCGTTCTTCTGGCACTCCTCTACCCGCTCCAGCACCAGGCTGCATCTCCCCCACCCTACTCCTCCAGCCTCAAAAGGCGTGGATTGCAGACGGGGAGATTCGCTTTGACCCGCAGACCCGACTGACTTTCGTGCGCGTACAGCTCGACGCGTTTGGAATCTTTGCGGATTGTATTTGGCCTCATATGGAGGAGAAGATGCGACCTGTTGTTGGTGCAGAGGTGGAAGTAGTTTTTGGAGAGATCAAGGAACACATGCACGGAGGGGCCGTGAGGGTGTCGCTGGTGTAAGGACAAGGAAAGTCAAGCAAGACAAGATAGCAGGCGGTGATGTCGACGGATTTGGATCATCATTGTACACTACTAGTCATCACTCTCATTGCAACGATACGTTTCTTGCACAAGCTTGCACACGGTCATGACTTTTTCACTATCATTGTACTCTACATAAGGGTGTGACAGCTCAGCCATCCGCTACCGTTCCAGTATCCTCAGTCCAGGCGCAAGACTATCCGCCACGAGTTGCGCAAGCCCTTGAAGTTTCGCCTGCAAAACAGGCAAAGAAATCGAGCTAGTAGAGTCCTCTCCCGGTCCTCCCAATCCTAGCCCACCCTCCTTTACTGTACCTTCCACAAGGCCTCCCTCACCGAGCGACTGCTCCTGTGCAGAAGTTGAGGACGCAGCCTTAGGCAGTGCAGCATTGAGCACGAGGAGGAAGACGGCCTCTTCCCCCTCTCCCTCAGCTCCATGCTCTGCAGCTGCGAAAGAAGATGGGCTTGGTCCTGCCCCGATGCTAGTTGAGCCTACGTCTGTTCCTCCTCCCAAGGGACGATTAGGGGAAGGAGATTGGGAATGGGAAGTGGAAGAGAGGGAGCGCTGTTGTCTTTGTGTTGGAGGTGGAGGAAGCAGAGGACGGATATGCACAAGACCGTATTGCTGCGACAAGGTGTAGTGTCGAAATGCGAAGATGTTTTGCTGTTAGTAGTAGCGCACACCCTTTGATCGTCCAGAATCGGGTCACTACATACAGAGGACCGCACACTCAAGCATCCCGTCCACTCTTCCTCTTCAACACTCCTCCTTGCGCATATCTCTCGCCATGCAAGACTGCTGAGCACCCCAACTGCCCTATTACGCTCCTCGAGACTACTGTGCTTGGCTCCACCTCCTCCTCCTGATGTGCCCGCAGAAGAGGAAGAGGCAGAGGAGCATAGTAGTCCTCGAAAGACGGGATGCGGAGGTGCTTCTTGCGAACTTGACTCGCCTGACGAGCTACCCCCGGATGCGCCAGAATGAGGAGAGATATAGCGCGATGAAGCAGCGTATAGAGTTCCTGTCTCCTTCAAGACTAGAAGAGCCGTATGCGGCGCAGCATTGCTGCTGCTGCTACTGGACGAGGAGGAAGAGGAAGACGACGGCTGAGGTGTAACGATTGTATCGAGAATCTGCTGTAGGACTAGAGGGCGGAGCATGCCTGGGGGATAAGCGGGTCCAGCCTCTTTCACCAAACAGTAGATGAGCAAATCGAGGAAGCGTAATAGGATGAAGGGTAGATGGAGCAGAGCAGAAGAAGGTGGATGAGGAAGGAGTTGAGCTTATAGACGACGACGAGATAGGGGCGATGCGGATACGAGAAAGGTTCTCTCCGAGTCATTCTATATCCATGCGGCGGGCCATTTTGAACTCGCCCCTACGAGTGGAGGCGGGGGCGGAACGGAAGCTACAGTGGTCACTATTGCGTGGAAAATTGTACGTTCCGTAGCGGGAATTTGCAGAGAGATGAATGCTTTACAGACATGCTACACTTGACGGCGATCCACTCTTAGACAACACTCCTACTCGTCATCTTCCTCCTCTTCCTCCTCATCGTCTGGCTCTTTCAAACTACCCCTCGTCCTCCCAACAGCAGCAGTTCTCGCGGACCTACGTCGCGGTGGCGCTCCCCTGCCCGCAGCTGTCACCTCCTCAACATCCGCTTCGTCTTCTTCCGAGGTACTCTCCTCTCGAGCTAGTGAGCGCCCCGGTCTGCCTCTGCTGGCAGCAGCTCGACGTGGCCGTTTGGAAGGCTGGGGACTGGGGGCAACTGATTCGGCTGCAGGTGCATGGGTGCGGGTCTGCGCAAAGGGCTTGATGACGACTCTGCGTCGCTTGGCTGGCGAGGTAGTCTCGGCTACACCGTTCCCAGCTGAAGTGCTCTTCCTCTCCCTCTTGCCGCTAGGCATGCTCTCCGCCTGCTCGAGCCTAGTCAGCTCATCGAGCGAGAGGATCTGCCCGCCTCCGACGTCCACTAGCTCACTACCGTCGACAGGCGTCTGATCCACCTCCTCTGCCTCCTCCTGAGCAAAGTCACGAGACCGAACACCAGCTTGATCCCCGCTCTGATGCTCGTCTGGCTCTTCCTCGGGTTGTGGCGTGTCTTGGACCCTCAAGCGTGAGGGAGCTGCATCGGTAGCAGCTGGATGAGCACGACTGCCCGAACCGTACTTGTCAAGCTTGGCGGCCATCTTTGATCGCTCCACGGGAGGTGAGGGCGGCCGAGGCTCCTGCTGCGTTGGCTTTGCTGGAGGCTCCTCAAGGCGCTTGAGACGACTCACAGACTGCTCCTGTGTAGGTCTTTCTTCGTCCTCTTCGTCGTCTGCGATGAAGCCGCCGCCGCCGCCACCACCTCGTGAAGGCTTAGCTCCTGACTCCGCGCCGCCGATCTCGTCAGGGTCGACTTCTCCACCAGCGCCATACTGCTCCTCGATCCTCTTTGCAATTCTCAACGCATTGAGCAGCTTTCTCCAATGCCTTAGCGCCCTCTCCGTCTGCTTACCCACCTCCCTCTGGGCAGCCAGTTGCTCATTCTCCCAGTATGCATCCAGAACCATCTCCTCTGCCTCTTCAGGAACAACGATACCCTTCATCCTGGGCATGGAGCGATGCTTTCTGAATTCAAAGCCAACAATGGCCTCGGCATAGTTGATATTGAGCTTCTTGGCGATCTTTGCAGAGCCATTGTGCGGGATGTGCGCAGCGCCTTCGGGCAGCATGGAAGGGACGAAGAGGTCGATATTGCCAAAGTGATTCTTGGGGACGATGCCATCCACGACGGGAGGAGCTCGATACAGCTCAGTCTGATGACGTGCGTAGAGTCCTTCAGTGGGCTCCTCACCTCCTTCAGCTCGAGCTTGCTCCTCGGCGCGCTTATTGGCAAGGGTGTAGCCGCGGCTCTTCACCCACTTCATAGCAATCTCTCCTTCGCTGACTTTGCGTCCTTCGCTGTACCATTGCCGGGCCGAGCGGAGGGTCACGACATTCTTGCGGTGGAAGACAGGTATCCCTTGGAATGTTCCGACCTGGACTTGGGGATGGAGGACCTCGTCCCTCCTGAGATGTCGCTCGAGGGTAAAGACCGGATGGTCCTTGAAGCCTCCGACGCTGTTGGGCATAGGCTCCTTGCTCGCGGCCTCTTCAAGCTCTGCGTCCTCTACCGCATCCCTCTCGAGTCGCTGATGCCGATGCATTGCTCTCACTACTCCCTCCCACCAGTCGCCGCCAGATTTGGTCGGAGGTGGCCTCATCCTGCTGACTCGAGAGTGGAGCGTCTTAGTATATCTCGCAGTGACATCCCTTGCATAGCCATCTTCCTCAAAAGCGACGACATAGACGAGCTTGTTTGTTCGATCTTGCGGCAGTGGTTCCATCTGTCGGTTGCCGGTCGGAGTGAGTCTTGCTCGAATCGGATCAACGGTGAGCCAGCGCTGGAAAGGCTTTGAAAACACCTCCACCCACATCGTCGGTGGTGAGGCTAGATCGATGGGCGAGACATCGTCGAATTTGGACGACTCAAGGGCCGTCTCTTTCGCAGGCTGGGGCTTGCTTACTCGGAGTTTCGGGGTAAAGTCGATTGAAAGAGGAGCCGAGAGATTCTTCCACTTCTCGTCGCGGTAGTCCTCGTCTTTCTTGGGCTTCGCTGCTCGCTTGCCTTTTCCTTTTGCTCCACCCTTACCATTCGCAGCCGTGATATCCTCCTCGTCGTCCTCAATCACGACGGCTTCGGTCGATACGACCGCTCGCTTTCTCCCGCTGCCTGGTGTGATTTTGGGCGCAGTCTTGCTTGGCGTGGACACGGCTGAGCGCTGATCTTCATCCGCACTTGCGGTCCCGGTACTGGCAACGCTAAGCGGTCTAGATGAGCTGCCGCTAGCACCATTTTGAGCTCTTTTGCTCGCAGCAGGACGGGATCGTGTTGAAGAAGGGGCCGACTTCGATTCACTGGCTCCATTGGTGGCTCGAGCTTGAGCCTCTTGCAAGCCATCTTCAAAGTCGAAGTCATCGCTAGTGCCATCGTCAGTGCCTCTCCGAGCGAAGCGACTCTGCGGCGCCACGGCTGCTGGAGGAGCTCTCTTCTTCCCCTTCTTCGTAGCCGCCTTTCCTTGCCCTCGTGCAGCAGCCGCGCTACCTTTGATATCAGCCTCCACTGCTCCGACCGTCTGTCCCACCTTTCCAGCTCCAACGCTCCAAGGAGCCACCTGGGGCGATATGACCAGTCGAGCAGGTATGCCCAACGCTCTACACAGGGCGCAGAAGAGCTGAGCGGATGTCTCTCTTGAGCCCGCTTTGGCTTCGGCAGCTGCGAGCATATCTGCAGACGAATGCATCGGCTCTGGAGCGGGAAGCAGACGTAATAAGGCGGGCCGAGGGGATGGGTCAGAACCTGGAGGGAAGAGAGCAATCTCGTCGATGGCTTTGCGCTTCCGAGAGAGGAGCAGCCGCCGAGTCTGATCAGCTGTTGGCAATGGTCGAGCCGAAGAGGGAATGTCTTCGTCGTCTGTATCCTGCCGCCGTGCTTTGCCTTTGTTTCCCATAGAGGGGGCGCTTTGGTTGCTCTGTCTGCTCTGTAGCTTCTGTCTCGCATCCCGGCTAGCTTTCTTCCTCTCCTTTTCCTCCTTCTGATGCCGCCGCTCTCTCTGCCCGATGCTTTCCATCTTCCAACCATCCACCCTCTTGCCCGGTGGCGGAAAAGCTCCAGACACCAGATCCGGGTCTGGCTGACGAATAGCTCCAGCAGCGGCCTGATCTGGGTTGAGGTAAAATCTGGCAGCCCACCACCTTACGAGCTCACCCATGAAGCTCTCAAAGAGTCTGACCCTCTCACGCTGCTCGGGTACCTTCTTGGGATGGATAGAGCGCAGCTTCTGGCGAAGAGCCTGTGGGGACATGTTGTAGAGGTGGTCGCGAAGGTCTTCATCGTTAAGCCAGCGATTGCGTAGCTTGGCATGGGCTAGTAAAGCCAGGACATGAAGCTTGTGACCATCCAGTCGGGCAGCGCGATCCCTCGGCGTGAGAATATTGGTCCGCTTCTTCTTGGCGGCATCGGCGGACTTGGACTGTCGGTCTTCGTTGAAGGTGAGAGAAAGTGGTCCTTGTCCACCCTTGCCGTCGTGGAACACAAGTGCAGGAGCAGCTTGGGTATCACTTTGGTCACCAGCGGATGCAGTCGCATCGTCTTCGCTTTGATGAATGGCGCTGTAGTCTGGTATGGCTGGCTGAGCATCGCCTCTGGAGGGATGCTGGATATTCACCTCCTCCATCTCCATCTCTTCATCGTCGCCATCTCCATTGGCACTGAACTCAATGCTGCGATCGCCGGAAGGCAGCTCTACTTCTTCCATGTCCTCATCTTCGTCATCGTCGCCATGGTGGACCTCGTCATCGGTAGTGGCCAACTCGATGACCTCTCTCGGCTTAGCAGCTGCCCTGCGTGATGCCGAGGGCTTGCTGGCCTTGGACGTGGATGCACGGCGAATGCGCTCATCCGGCGGTCGAGCCATGGGTGATTGCACTGAGTCACTCGCAGGGCGCTCAGTGCAGGGTACCAGAGGATGATGGAGGTGGAAGCAGACGCGGCGGATACGGGAAGGAAAGGATGCGGGTGAGGAAGCGGAGGTGGAGTCGTGCACACAAAAGCCCGAAAACGGGCTTGCAGGCGGAAATTAGTCATCCGCGTCGCTGCGAGGACAAGAAAAGACACCATCGCGAGTCGAGCAAGGACCCTGGTGCAGTCTGGGATATACCTCCAGTGGGTGTTGCGATCGAGAGCCAGAGCTGAGCAATGTATACACAGCTTCTGTCTCAAGCTTGAGTCAAATTGAGTCAGTGATGGTGTGCATCCTCTCTTCTGCCCAGCGCTCTCTAGCCCAAGTGTCCAGGTAGACAGCAGGCGAACCGATTCCACAATTGTGAGCTTTGAGAACTCAGTCGACGTCCCGATCGCCTCACCATGGAATTGGGCGGCCTCGTGTTCCAGCTTTTGGCGGTGAAGCGACTGCTCCTCAGTAGAGTGAGATGCAGTGGTGCGACGCGTCCATTTACGCGTCTGGCGTGTGTGCATCTTCCCTTCTCTGCATCTGCCGTCTGTCCGTTCCTTCCTGCACCGCACCGCACCTGCAAAAGCAAAAGAGATTTTCCTCACAATCTTTCATGCTACGCTCCCCTCTCACTTGCCTATCCACTACTACCCTTCGCAAATCAATGACCCTCTCCCCTCCTCTTCGACCAGCAAAACAGCCTCGTCTCAACTCACCAGGTAGCACCTCCACCACCACCAGCACCGCTAGCGTCAGTATGTCCGCTCCCACTCCCACATCCTCTTCTTCCTCCTTCCTAGTCCAACTAGACGCCGCCCACCCTGGCGCCTGTCTCCCCACCCGCGGGTCCGCCCTCGCGGCAGGCTACGACCTCTACTCTTCCGAAACCCTCACCCTGCCCGCACGTGGGGGACGTAAAGTGGTCCAGACTGGGATCCGTATCAAAGTACCCCAGGGAACATACGGAAGGGTTGCTCCTAGGAGTGGCTTGGCAGTGAAGCATGGGATTGATGTGGGTGCGGGAGTGGTGGATGAGGATTATAGAGGACTTCTGGGGGTATTGTTGTTTAATTTTGGAGAGGAGGATTTTACGAGTGAGTGTAGGAAGGCAGGGAGGGAGGGAGAGAGATAGTAGGAAGAGACACTGAAGAGCTCACCCTTCCTTCACACGCTACCTCTTCTCAGTCAATCAAGGCGACCGGATTGCCCAACTAGTCCTAGAGAAGATTGCCACCCCCGCTGTCGTGCAAGTAGAGGTGAGCTCTCCCTCCCACTGAGCACCTTCGCACCACTCCTACTGACCCACTGCTGCCTCTTCCCTCCCTTCATCTTCTTCCTCCTCACCCCTTATCCGCCCTTCTCTCTTCCTCCCGTCCAGTCTCTGGAGGCAACTGAGCGCGGTGAAGGTGGCTTTGGGCACACGGGAGGGTTTGGTGCAAAGGTGGTGCAAGTGCAGGAGCCAAAGGAAGCCTCGTCCAAGTAGACAAACGATGTGACTGCAAATCAAGCTGCGCTGCCAGAGCTTTCTATGTTCCTTCAAGCGACCACAAAGACAAAGCGAAGGTTTTGCTGCTGGAGAAATAGATGTGATATTCTCGTGAATATGATGCAAAAACTCAGAGGGGGGCTCTATCTTTGTATAATCTGCCCGCCTGATCCACCAGCTTGCGCTTGCGCTCAGACTCCCACTCCTACTCATGCCTCGACTTGGTAGACACAAGCCCCCCCAGCGGGTTGACTCTCCAGCAATGCCTCTCCAATTTCCATTTCGCTAAGCTGCTTCTCCAATCTCTTTCCATAGAATCCTTCCGGTCCATAGTACTCCTTCTTGAGCGCCTCGACTACCGCTTCCACCTTGGCCTTGGGTACTAGATGCACCGTTGATCCACCCCATCCTGCTCCCGTCAACCTGCTTCCCAGTGATCCGGCGCGACGAGCAATCTCGATGATAGACTCTAGTTCGGGAATGGAGTTCTCATAGTCTGCGCTGAGCGAGGAGTGCGAGTCGTTCATCAAGGCACCCAGGGAAGGGTAGAGATTGTCACCTGCCTGCTTCTGATCGACGCTTTGACAGCGTGCCCTGAATTGGAGGACGCGGTAGGACTCCGCAAAGACGTGCCGTGTACGCTGGAATAGCTCGAATCCATCGGGTGCTCGAATCTCGAATTGAGAAAGGAACTCATCGTGGAAGGCTTGACCCTCGTAGCCTGTCAGCTTCTCGAGCTTCTCGCGCGATTGAAGGCCTTGTGGGATCTCCTTGGCAACGAGGGTGGACATGTGGTACATCTGAGCTGCTTCCTCTCCTAGCTCCTGCTTGATGCGAGACACCTCTTGGTCGTCTGTAGGCAGAGGTTTGCGCTGGTAGTACACCTCCATCAACTTGCGCCAGGTCTTTGTCGTATCGTCCTTTGGTAGGTCATTGGCGTTGCAGAAGACCCTCGCGGCGAGGAGTAGTTCCACCACACGCAGATTATATTGCACGGGACCCATGACCTTCTTGTCGCTGACCAAGAGAGAGTTTGCAATGACAAAGGTGCAATCTTCCTTTGACTGGGGCAGGACAACTCGATCGATGTGCAGCGAAGGGTAGAAGGTGATGTGCAGTGCTGTATTGCGCTCGCCGAAGATTGAGGCAGACTGGTCCATTCCTCCAGATGCTACGCCCACTAGCCGCTCCGACTCGATGGCTACGTTGGCCATTTCCGTCCGCGAGATATAGGGTCGAGCAGAGAGGGCTTGTAGGATGACGATGGAGGAGCAGACGGTCATTGCTGCTGACGAGGAGAGGGAGGACTCGGGTGGGATGGTTCCGTCTACAAGGACTTGGATCTTTGAAGGCGTCGAGGAAGACTCCAAGAGTGACTTTGGGAGGTGAGGGTGGAGGCCCTGCGAGTGGAATAGCAGTGGAAGCAGGGGTGTCAGCAGGCCAATGACGACAGTGGACTTCTCCTTGTTTCTCTAGCACTGCTCACCTTCCATGCTACCTTGAAGTAGTTTGCCCACCGAGTTGCTCCCTGGTGCAACAACTTGACTTCATCGGTGTCTTTCACTCCGCTGGTGAAGCTGCAAGGCTCGAATCGGCTGGTGGTATTCCTGAGGTCAAACTCGATGCTCCCCTCCTTTCCCTTCTCAGCAGGGAGCACATTAACAGCCATGAGTATATCCAGCTCAAGCGCTGCAGGCATTACACCAAATCCCATGTGATCAATGTGTTCCCCAATGATGTTCACTCTTCCGGGAGCACGAGCAATGAAGGCTGGCTGCGAGCTGAAGTGATTGGCAAAGGTCTTTGTGAGGTCGTTCCATCGTGGTGATTGGGAAAGGACGGAGGCGTGGGACGAGTAAATGTCGGCTAGGGAGGAGACCAAGGGGATAGGGTCCTTCGTTTGAGTCAGGGATGAGGACGACATGGTGGAGGGTTAAAGCGGAAGATACAGATGGGTATGGCCGAGTATCGAAAGGCTCGGTGGTAGTGGCTGTTGGAAGAAGACCCCAGCCGAGTGGTCGGGGCCACTCACCGCTTCCTTCTCTTCTCCCCACAGTGCTTCCGGCTCCCACTTGGCCGGACGGAGCCCCACCGCACCCACCTTTTCCGGACCCTGAGCGCGGGCCTCTGCCTCTTCCACACCTTACATCAAGAGCTATGACTATCACGGCTCATCGGCAGCTCTGGCCAGAAGAAGCGAAGCGGTGGCAATGTAGAGGCTGGTAGATCCGCCAAGAGACCCGCGCAGGACTCGTCGGCGTGAGGCAGGCAGGCGAGGGAGAAATGGTGGAGTAGGTGTGCTCTCGGCCCGGTGCTCCGCTTAGGCGTGGCAGTGACACAATCAGTGGGATGCATCGACACCTGCCTGGGTCGCTCCAAATGCTCCAAGGCAGAGGCTAGTGAACCTTCTTCTTAAAGAAGGGGACCTCGGGCTCTATTTCCTCCGACCTCTCCTTCCTCACCACCCTCTCTCTCTCTACACCCACCCACCACCTAAGCCTACCTGCCCCACCTTACTCGAGTTTACTCTCCGTAGAATAGTACATAGCCCCAAGCCTAATCCCACTACTCTATCATAATTTCACCATGAAGCTGCTCACACTCGTATCCATCGCCCTCGCACTGGTCAGAGCCACCTTCACCTCCGCCGCTCCCTTCGAAGCAGTGAGTCGTCGAGCTCTCAAACCCCACTCCCCCATTCGACTAGTAACTGACGATGCTCATCCGCCCTTCCTCGCTCAGCGCGAGGTACCTGGGGTTATCGGTACTACTTGGACCTCCAAGGATGGGACGACTGGTGGCTCTGCTCTCAATGCCACGACACAGTATCCGGACCATGAGCAGGACATGGACATGGACACTGATATCGATCGCGACTCGGGATTCAAGTACGGCCGCGTTGGCACTACTCTTCCGGACGAGATTGGCACCGTCGAAGAAGGACAAGTGAGTGTGGAGAAGATGCCCAAGAAGACACACGGAGACAAGAACGAGTCGAAGAGCGACAAAGACACCTCCAAGTCCAAGGTCAAGTCGAAGTCGAAGACCAAGGGCGCCCACAAGTCCAAGAACGGCAAGAAGTCTTCTAGCTCCCGCAAGCACACGCAAAAGACTTCCGACCCCTACGCCACTCCCTGGCGTGCCAGTGTCCCCGACAATGAAGCTCGCACTTTTGAGACCTACGATGACGGACCTAACACAGCTGCTGCTAAGCAAGACACCAAGTGGAGAGATCAAGTCGTCACCCTGACCCTCACGGAGCGATACTCCTCGACGGCTACCGCCACGGATGTCGTCACGGTTGCTGTCGAGACGGTTCTTCATGAGAAGTCTAAGGCTAGCAAGACGAAGAAAGCTGATCAGGACGCAGAGGCTACGCTGTCTGAGTCTGGTGAAAAGGCAGAGAAGTCTACTGTGGCAAAGACGAAGGCGCACCACGTTCACCACAAGCACCACACTACTGCCACCGCCAGCGCTACTTCCAAGTCTAAGTCCAAGAGCAAGGCCAAGGACAAGGTCAAAGCCAAGCCCAAGGCATCCTCAGCTGTTGACGATGACGAAGACGCAGAGGCCGGAGAGAAAGGCGCCGACGCCGACGCCGACGCCGGAGCAGCTACCACGGTGTACAAGACTCGCTACACGACGATCACCACTGTCACGACGGTACCTGCCCATGCTACTCCTGACCACAAGGCCAAGTCAAAGTCAGAGTCAAAGTCGAAGGAGGATGAGGACGACGACGAAGAGGAGTGAGGAGAGAATCGGTCTCAGGGTTCCCTCCAACCAAGGCCTCCGCTCCTCCCATCACCATCGTCTTCTCTCCGCGCTCATTGCCCCTCTGGGTGTCCTTTCACTGCTTCTCTCTTCTCCATGGATTCCTCATCACTTCCCATTTCCCATCTTGTTGTACATCTAGCATCTTTGCAATCCATTCTATCTACTGTTTCATGTAACCAACAGCAAAGCCACGTTTGTGCGTGAGTGGAGCAGGTGATCCACGGTCGACGGTCAACGATCGATGGTCTATGGTCGATGATCGCCTGATAGCGGATGTCTGATGGCGGAAAGCTTCCATCTGATGGCTGAATGAAAGTCTGTGATTGGCAAACGAAGAACAATACTGCCCTGGCTCTGGGGCTCTGGGGACTCAATGCCCGTCTGCCTTCCCGCCCGCCGAACGCCGAAGGGGAGTGGCTGGCGAATGGGCTTGCTGGCTGACCGCTGCAAGCGCTAGGTATGGTATGAGGTGCTGCTCTACTCTGCTCTACTCTGTACCGCTCCTCTCAAAGCACCAAGCAGTTCTTATTCCTCCTCCTCCCTGCTCCTCCTCCACCCCCTCCCCCACTCCCACCTCCCGCTATCCTCCCCCTACCCCAACCCCTACTTCTACAAGCCTCCTTCAAAGCCGCTTCGAAGACCTCTTGTACTCCCACGCGATTCTTGGCTGAACACTCAATGTAGCGCGCTGCACCGATTTCGCGTGCGACAGTGGAGCCTTGCTCGGGTGTGACGGGACGGGAGCCTTGAGCTGCGAGCATTTGGAGGGTATGAGGATCTTGCCGCAGATCGGTCTTGAGGCCGACGAGGAGGATGGGAACTGGTCAGGGGGGAGAGGGACACGGGTGGTGTGAGGCCGAGAGAGTTTTGAGAGTCAGTCTGAGGGATGCGTGATTGATTTCTCTGCGTCTCAAGCTGAGGCGACTCACCTCCTTCGCAGAAGTGATTGATCTCTGGGTACCACTGTGGAGATGATGAGCAATACGATGAAGTCTGTCAGCTTACAAGCTCCTTCCTCAGCAGCTCTCATCCACTCTTTCCCCCCGCCCACCCACCTTGTCCTGCACGTTGGCCAAGCTAGTGGGGAAATCCACTGCAAAGCAAATGAGGATCACGTCGCTTTCTGGGTAGCTGAGAGGTCTCAAGCGATCATATTCTTCCTGTCCAGCAGTATCCCAGAGGGCGAGCTCGATGGTCTTGTTCTCGAAGCGCACAATGGGGACATAGTTTTCAAAGACGGTGGGGATGTAGGTTGAAGGGAAACGGTTCTCCGAGTAGACGATCTGCAAGGGCGGAGGGCAAGGAGTAGGGAGCGACAGACAAGAAGGAGGAGGGGATCGAATGAAGGCGAAAAGGATCATCAGTACGTCTTCTGCCTACCGGACGTGCATCTCCCTGTTCTCCTACTCACGAGCAGACAAGTCTTCCCACTTCCACCATCTCCCACCACCACCAGCTTCTTCTTTGCATCGATCTGTGGCCGCGAGCTGCCCGGTGCGCCGGCCATGGAGGACATACCTCCGACTACACTGCCCTGCCCTGGAGGCGCAGAGTCGAGGGAGGTCTGTGTGTTGTAGGTGTTGTGGTTCATGGGCGAGGAGGGATGGAGATGGGGAGGTGGTGGAAAGGAGTGCCGGGTCTACTTGCTTCGCAGACGATCGGATGGGAGGAGCTCTTCGTGGCTATGCAAGCAGGTTGCGTGGTGCGGACGGCGGTGAAGATGCGGTACGAGTGTGATGCAGCAACTGCAGCCTTGTGAGGACTTGCAGACGGAAGGGAGTGCTCGAAGCCAAAGCAGGAGGAGGAGGGCGCGAGGTGCGAGACAAAGGTGCGCGGCGAGTAGAAGAGCTCCGCGTAGTAGCAGCACAAGCTTTGCTCGGAGTGAAGCTTAGGTGCTATGAGTGATGTCGCTGCAATGGTCGAGGACTGATGAGAAGGAAAGAAGGCACGACGTCCCCCTCGGTCGCATTGCTGCAGAGACCAACACCACCGCGACGCACCTCTGCGCCCCGACGCTCAAAGTCAACATTCGATCTGCAGGCCACGCGACGACTGCCCGCACGCCGCGCGCCCGAGGACATCTGGTCCACAAGCAAACGTACACGCATACACAACGCTCGAAATAGCATTGATGATACGACATAAACAGCGCACAGTCAGCACGAGACTACGTGGCGAACGAGGGTGAAACCTTCTATTCTATATGACTGAAGCATTCCCATTTGATCATCCGTGACAACGATGTCGGAAGAAAATGGGACGAAGGGACGACAATTGACAAAACGTCTGCATTACAACTGCGATCGACCGCTACGACTTCCCTTTTCTTCCTCATCACCGAGTCACTCGCCGTTGATCAGACAGTACCTGAATCGAGGCTTACCAGCCACCATGTCCTGCACGGCCTGGTTAGCCTCGGACATCTTCCTCTTCTGGATCATAAAGTTGGGCTTCTTGTCAGCGGCCAATTGCAGCATCTCAGCAATCTGAGAAGGTGCTCCAATGGCGCTTCCTCCGATGTTGCCTCCACTGAAGAGAATGGCACCCATGGGAATGGGCATGACGGGCTTCTCGGGAACAGCAATGGCAATGACGTGTCCACCAGGTCGCAGAGACTGGACCAGGTAGTCGTATCGCTGGTCGGCATTGTTGGCAGTGACGATGATCAGATCCATCTTCTTGTGGTACTTCTCCAGCAAAGGGTTCGTCTTGCCGTCGCCAGTAGAAATGTAGTCGGTAGCTCCCAGTTCCATGGCGACGTCCTTCTTGTTGGGCGAGTGGCCAATGGCAACGACGTTCTTGGCTCCCAAAGCCTTGGCAAAGGCCAGACCAAAGGCACCAATACCTCCGATTCCGACGATTCCGACGGTCTGGACATCGGGGTTACCACAGCCGTAGCGCTTCAATGGGCTGTAGATGGTCACACCACCGCACATCAGAGGTGCGGCAACGTGCGACTCAAGTCCATCGGGAACGGGAATGACAAAGTGACCAGGTCCACGCCACTTGGTAGCGTAACCGCCAAAGGAGTTTCCACTGCCATTGGTGTACTTGCCATTGTAAGTACCAGTCATGCCGTTGGCACAGTAGGACTCGAGCTGCTGGTCACACATGTGGCACGAGCGGCACGAGTCGGATTGGGCACCCACACCACCTCGCTCGCCTTCCTTGACGTGCTTGACATTCTTGCCCACCTTGGTGATGGTGCCTACGATCTCGTGTCCAACCACCAGAGGTCGGATGGGAGGACCCCAGCCGGCGCTCATGGTGGAAATGTCACTGTAGCAGATACCACAGCAGATGATGTCCATCTGTTCGGAAGGTGTGCAAAGAGCGAGGTGCGGAAGGGGAGCGGAAAGATCAGCATGCCATCGCAGCATTGACACGCGCCGGTGCGGCCTTGGGCGCAAATGCGACACTCACCTGGACGTCATCATCAGTGAAGTTCTTGGGAGTGTACTCTTTCCACTCCATCGTGCCCTTCTGATGGTCATCGTCGTTCATAGAAACCCATCCCTCGAATTTCTCGCTGGAAGACATGATTTGTGAGTTGCTGGGGATAGTTGTTTTCGTTAGGCTGAGTGAAATTGTCGCTTGGACTGATGTGCTAGTGAAGATGACTTGAAGGAAGGAATGCACTAATAAAAGCTAGGTAAAGTAAGCTTACAATGTGAGGGCAAGAAGATCTGGAGACTGAGAAGAAGCCAGCAACCACACGTTGCAGTGCACTATCCCGGATGTCGCGCGACAGACCGGGAGTAATCTGCCGAGAACCTGTCCGGCAAATGCTCTAGGTGGAGGTCAGCCAGGTTCTTTCCCGTGTGTTGCTCGCCCCGCACGGGCATAGGACCGGACTCAATGCCGAAAGTCAGACTGGCGCGCAGCGTGTGAGACTAGGGACTCATGGGATGTAAGCAGGACCCACCTGATTGACCTCTCACGAGTGTTGAGGCAAATGTTGGCGACGCGCTTGGAGCAGAAGAGATAATCGAGCAGTCATGTGCCCGCGCCAACACACCTTCTTTCGCTCAGGCAAGTCGCAAGAGGCCCACAACAGTTCTTCGTTGGAGATAATATTCGGAAAAGTTTTGAGCACTTGCCTATCAGGCGAGACCAAAGCTACTTACTACTATTGCAAGGGTGAATGTCTGACGAAGAAGGAGGTAGTAGGAGCGGGGGAGGGCGAGCGCAGAGGCTGTAAATCAACGACCTACCTAAAAACAGCCCACACCGCAGAGCGTCTATGGCCCTGGTTCCATCTCGCGTGGCCTCCAGAACATGAGAGCAAACGCAGGGCAAAGTCGTCCTGCGGTGCCCTCGTCAATTCGTCCCTGCGTCGCAGCATCCTATCTCGTACCGCTAAATCTCGCCTCCAACAATGTGTTCCTCCTCCTCGAGAGGCCAACACCACCACCACCACCAGATATTCCAAGCTTCGTCTACAGAGGTGACCTCAATCATGTGTAGGAATTTTGACTAGGCACTAGACTATGATTCACTTCCCCATGACCATGCTCTTTCACCTGCTGTCATAAGTGGAACACTTCTGGGGAAGGACGCCCATGGCGCACTCTACCTTCCATCGCGGACCGCAATGCCCTCACCGAATAAGGCATCTCGTCCGTGCGGTGGAGAAATTCCCGCAAGCCGCTTTCAGAGCGATGTGAGTGATCGGTGCAATGCAGTCCTACAAAGCAACTTCTAGCGCTATATTGAGACATCTCCAGACCGGCGCAGTCCTGCCATTCCAGCAGAGGACTCAAAGGTGGGTGTGCTGTCCGTGGCCCTGCACCTGCCCCGCTAAACGGACACGAAGGTCTTGACCACATTTTCACAATCGGCTCCGACCCGGTAGCGCAGCCTCGAAGAGAGTCAGCATGCGCCATGACGTGTCGCGGGACGTGGCCCTGGGCGGTGCCTGGGCCTGCGTCGGTACCTGCACCCTGTCTTCCCGCACAAACTAATTTCGGTAGTCTTGGACGCCGGTGGCTTGGGGCGCCGCCCGCGGCAATTAGTCTACTCCTTCCCTGTACATCCCAAAGACCTCGCTTCCAACCCCTTCCCTCTTTCAGCCCACTGGACCCTACCCCGCACCTGGCTTGCAGTGATCGTCTGACAGGCGACATTGCCGTTTCCAATCGCAGTCATAGCAGGCTCTCCCTCGGTCCCATCCAACATCCTCCTCCTCCATACCTCATCAGCTTCCTCTTCTCGACTTGCATGACGCCCTCACTTCATACACCAACCTAGCTGGCTCATCGCATCCACACCGCTGTTTCCTCCATACCAGCGGAGACACGGCAGCAGCCATGGCGTTGGAAGAAGAGGGAGCAATGTCCAGTGGGCAACAGGGCACCTTCGAGGTATCCCCTCTTGCATCGCTGCACAAGTACATCACCCTTCCTCTTGCCCTCCATATTCCTCCTCTGCCAAGTCTGCACTATCAAGCTGTGCCAACCTCTCCATCCGCTGCGTCTTCAGAAGTTTCCTTGCATGATACCCATGATACCCTAGAACCTCAAAATGCAACAATCGGCAACAACCTACGCCTTCAGTCGCTGGTCCTTCAACCGCCTCCCCTGGACCTAGACACCATCTCCTTCCTCCTCGATGCATCCAATGCCGCATATGCCATTGAGCCTTTTGCTCAACTGTTTCAGCTACTGGACAAGGCCGATGCGGATCCTCACTTTGAGAATCTCATTGCCTTCTTCGACGCCCGGTATGATGGCAAGACTGGGGTCCTCGAAGGTGCAGAGGTACTTGAAGACCCCCGCGATCACGATCATCGGCTGCGCAGTGCTAGCGGCACGCATAGGCAGGGCGTGCTAGGGCGCATGGTATCGCGCCGGACTGGCAATGCTTCGAGTCGCAAGGCGAGCTCAGCTGCGACCTCGGCCAGATCGGGCAGGCCCTCGACTTCACTGGGTCAGAGCGGCACTCTCTTGGCCTCGCTTCGGCGCTCAGGTAGTGTCGCTGCAGGCTCTCCCATGTCCCCTATCGAGGGGGGTAATTCGCCCGTGATGCTGATGGGCGGAGAGGGCGAGAGCGTGTTTGTGGATGATGACGGAGACGCCTTTGCCATTGCTTCTTCCACTGGTCATGAGACATACGATCTCGCTCCTGCGAATACCGCTGCTGCTACGATCGGCCCACCTCGCTACGCGCCGCATCTCGTGGTCCCGTCGCGCAGCGAGCCCGGCAAGGCTCGGTCCGTGGCCTTTCCTGTCCGGTTGGATCTTCACAATGCCGGAAAGGGCCTCTGCCCTCCACCGCCGCTCCCCACCTCCCCTACAGGAGGTGGTCCGCGTGAGTGGTCACAGCAGCAGCCTACCTCACCCACTTCTCCTTCCTATGCGGCCGTTGATATGGGCAGTAGCAGGAGCTTCAGCCGTGGTTCTCGGGTGCGTTCCCCTTCTCAGGCGTCCGGCCTCGAGGGTGGAACGGGCTCGGGCTTCACATCCAGCTTGAAGAGGATCATCTCACCCGACAGTGCCATTTCCGGCCATTCAGGCTACTCCGCCCATTCTAGCGATCCGCAAGAAGACGTGGGAGGCACTCCTCTCGGGCCTCGCTCTACTCATGATTCGGCTGGCGCTTCTAGCCTCGGAGGCAAGCAGCAGCAGCCGCCGCCTTCACGACGACGAACCTCGACCATATCCCGCATCCTGAGCTTCCGAAAGGGCAAGAAGCGGGAGCCAAGCTTTGGTGGGAGTGTCTTCAGCGGAGGCGGCTCTTCCGATGTGGGCGGAGAGGATCCTTCGCTGATGGAGGAGTACGAGTCGGAAGAGGTGCCCCCTGTACCTCCCGTCCCGGCTCATCTTCTTCCCCCTCTGACTATTCCGAACGGCCGAGAGGGGCAAGACGCTTCTCAGAAGAGCAAAGTGTTCTCACCTCTGGAGGAAGGCATGGGCGGTCTAGTGCTCTCGCCCACTTCTGCCGCTCAGGCGACTCCCACCTTAGGAACGGCTGCTACGACTGCTCAGCTCTCTGAGGATGGCCAACCCTATGGTAGCCATTTGCTCTATACTACGGACGAAGGGGGCTTGCGGTCGTCCTCACCGCCAGAAGACGGTGGAGGGGATGAACCTGCTTTTGCGTCCGCAGACGGGGTGACTTGGGCCGGTGCCGCGGCAGCTGAGGGTGGCGGCGCCCTCAAAGACTTCCTCTCCCTCTTTCGCGAGGCAGCAGAGACCGCTCTGAAGCTTCCGGCCAAAGTGGAGGATCATCCACTCGGCTCCCCTTCGACGAACGGGAACAGCGCCGAAAACGGGAATGGGATGAGTGACAAGGCCAAAGGAAAGCAGCCTGTGCCTGCTATGACGCTCAGTCCCATGGGCACGCCATCGTCTGAGAGAGCAGCGGTGGGTCACGGTGATAGCCTCTTCCCACCTGTCGCCTCACCGGGTGCCAGTCGACGATCTTCCTCCCATCGCTCGCGCCGGAGTGTTTTTGGTGACATGGATTCGCCCGCTCTGAAGAGCCCGGGACAAGAGACGCTTCATGATCTGGACAATGGTGATGACGAGGCTGACTTGTTTACTCGGGCGCGCCAGGGCAAGACATCTAATGAGGTCGAACCATGGTGGCCCTCTGGAGGGATAGATCCTCTGCCAGTGTCCATTCTCTCCGCTCTTGGTCTGGCTTTCGGTTGGAAGGGGACCTTGGCGCTTTGCTATGGTCCTGGGTCACCCGTCACGAGGGGCGGAAAGGGGGGAGAGCTGGGCGCTTTGGGCAGAGCGGTCGCCATGGCAGCAGCCGAGAGGCGGGGAGAGGCATTCACAGACTCATCGAACAGCGCAGCAGATGCTGGCAAGAAGAACGACTGCCGTACCCTGTCTGATTGGCATCGTTTGGCTACATCCATTAGCAAGTGGGTCGAGCTGTACGAGATGACTCGGATCCGTTCTGGCCTCTCGCGGGAAATCGGCCTCGATCCGACACCAGCACCTGGCGTTGCCTCGGAACCGCTGGCCACTCAAGCCCAGTACTCTCTGACCTCTGGAGTGATACCTGCCGCTGTGGCATCCGACGCCTCGCGGCGATCTCACGCCTTCCGAAGGCGACTGGGTATCCCCGAGGGTCTTCCAGCGAACGATGATGGTGTAGAGCTGGGCGACTACCGCTGGTCACGATCCAAGCTGGGCCCAGCCAGCGCAGCGACTAGTCTGACGCTAGCGGGCGCGTCCCTGGCACACTACCTTGGGGCAATCGACGGTAGCGACTTGAGCTATTCTTCCGCTTGGGAGCTCGACTACCTTGAGGCTCTTGTCCTCAAGAGCCCTGTCATTGCTGAGCGCTTCCCCGCTCCGATTGGAAGAGCCGTCGCCCTCCCCATCGCGGAAGAGCAAGACGGACAGTATCCCAGGGGCAAGCCTTGTCCATACCCGCGCCCTGATGGGTCCTTTGATGCGAGCGAGTGGGAACGGTGGCTCCGAGGCGGCAAACTCGAAGAGAGCCAGCAAGGCGGAGGACTGAAGGGCGGCGACGTTCTGACGCCAGCAGTGAGCGTACAAGCCTGGTGGGCATGCATTGCCATCATCTCTTCCAGCACGGGAGCTAATGACGCTACCATCGACCTGCAGATTCTCGGAAAGGACGAGGACTGGAGAGACGTCGCCTGCACTGAGGAGCCTGAAGACTCCGGAGCCGTGTACATCTAGTTGAACATTGTCAAGCACGCTCAGTCGCTTTGCCTCATATCCCAATGTCAGCGCGCCATCTTACCCTACGAATGGGCACGGTCCCGTGTTTATACTCATATGTCAATGGAATGCGTCACCCCCGTATGCGAAATACTCAAGTGCGCCGGCGGCCCATTCAAAAGAAGCAAGACCGCGTAAAGCGCCGCACTCGGACTTGTTTGGCAAAATTTGGCTTAGTCTGGATGCTATGCAATTCCTCCCATATAAATCAGAACGCGTTTCGACAACACAAGATCTCTGCGGTGACTGCTACAATTTTGCGGGCCGAACGACTTTTCTTCGTCTGTCATCAACCTAGCTCCAACAGCATTTGCTAGTCGATAAGCATTGCTATCCTCCTCTGCGTTTAGGGAGGAGAGAGGGTGAGCGTGTCGAACCTGCAGGTGACGACATTGTTGGCAACGGAAGAGCGCACGCCGGTGATGGTCTTCTTGACATTGACAGTCTGGATGTTGCTGGTGCACCATCGGCTGTCGGTACCGTCGGCGGTGATGACGACGTTGCGGAAGACAAGGTTGCCAAAGTCCCAGACGGTGCCGGGGTAGAGCTCGACGGCAAAGATGGCTGTAGAAACACATTAGAAGAATGAAGAGATCAAAGTCAGATGGCTGTCCAAGCTCTGGAAACTTCTTCGCTCCCCTCTGTGAGAGATGACTCACCGGCCTGCATCTGGATTCCGATGTTGTAGGTGGTGCTAGCAAACTGGTTGCCGTTGGCCGAGCTGATGTACCAGTTGCCGGCGCCGCCGATATTGGTCATGTTGAAAGCCAGGTTGTCATTGGGCACAGCGTTGACACCGCCTCCGTAGGGACCAGTGGGGTTGCCAACGAGGGCGTTGCCAAAGTACCAGTGCTTGTTGCGACCGTCCAGTACGGGCTGAAGGACAGTGGCAGCGTTTCCGGGCTCAAGTCCTGGCCAGAGGTAAGGTGTACCACCGGAGGGAAGGTTGGGAGGCACGGTGATATTGCCGGTGAAGGAGAGGAACTTGTTGGCCCTGTACAAGGCAATGGACCACGTTGCACCAGCCTGCGCGGGCGCGGCAGACAAGAGAGTGGTAGCCAGTACGGCGAGCGAAACAGCGACAGCGAATTGCATACTGGAATAGACTGAAGGGGGAAGTGAGGCAGAGGAAGTCGAAAGAGGACGAGCTTTAGGAAAGAGACTTAGTGAGGGATATAGAGAAGGGACTGGAAGTTGTTGGAGCGATGGTGTGTGACCGAGGAGGGCTCCAATCAGCCTCGCTCTTATACCTCATTCGCAAATGTACACGATGGTGAGGCCGAGCTATTCCTCGGAGGTGGCAACACCCAGACCTGTCAGATCTGTGTCAGCACGTCTGCCATCACCTCAGCGCCAGCAAGTTGTAGTTCAGGCACAATGGGAAGACATTTGCAGGTACAGGTCGGCTAATGTTGACTAACAGCGGCTTTCGCTATGCTTTCTGAGCTTACTGGTGACCATGTCCTACGCATTGGTACGTTTGCCCGGCTTTGCTTCATATTTGCCCGGCCAGAACACCGAGAAGGTTCAGGGAGCGACATCGTGGGAAAAAAGAACCTGGGACATACAGATTCTGGCTCTCCTTGCCTGACACTGGTGACCAGATGAGCCATCCTGTACTTGCTTGAGGGAAGCTCCTTCCTTTGTTCTGTTCAAGAGGGGATTCTCGCATCTCCAAGGCACCCGAGCGCCACTTTTCAAGACGATGCACATCTCATGCAGCAGCAGTGCAGCTCCGAGCCGAGAATCTTCTTGACAGTGTGGCACCGAAAAAGCCTCGTCCCCATCTTGTGGCATTGTATGCCGTGGAGGGGTGTACGAAAGCCGGCTTTTGCGCTTTTCTCTCCGCTTCGGGAACTGGGGAATGCGAACTATTAAGCTTGGCGGCCGAAGTTGGCGTCAAGAAAGGTGCAGATCCGACGTTGCAATTCATACTGATCTTCTGCATGACATATGCATCGAAGCCTCGGCGTGCTGCCGGCATATTTCTGTCAAGGCGGAGCTGCTCTCACAGCAAGTGCGGGGAATTCCGTTTAGTCTTCGAGGACCGGCGAGTACGACTGCCAATTCTGAGGCGCAAACTGGAGCATTGTGGCTAATAGCAGTTGCTGACAGGGCTGACATCGTGGGAAGTTAACGCCCACCTGCAGATGATCGATGAAATCTTCCGGCCGAAGCATGCATAGCACATTCTGACGCCTGCTTCTGATCTTGCTGACCATTCACCGCTACAACGAGGCTTGCACTTCGAGAGCATCCTGGAACTCGTACCAGAACGGCACCTTTTCAAGTCACACACAAGGAGTGCGTCCCTGACTAAGGGCGACAGGGCCCGCGAAGTTCGTGCAGGGGCGTGTTCGGGCCCCCTCCATGCTAGATGCGGACGCGCCTCGGTATTTGCCACTTCCTGTGGAATATCGCAGTCGGGGAAAGCTTCCCCCGGGATTGTTAGCTCAGAAGATCTACCTCCCCCGAATTTGATTTGATACTGAGGCCGAATTTGCCTTAGACTAGCTTCTCCGTTTCTGTTCCGTTCCTGCTACAACCCCGTCGAGGCATTTTTGCGTATGTACCAAGGAAGCCCCCTTCAACTTCAGACAGCCCCACCCATGGAGCCCTCGTCTGACATCGGCATACCTCGTCAGCTTCCCTTGCTTGCCCTCATCCCTCGCTGCAAGGGCTTGAAACCTCCTGCATCCTAGATTCTGGGTGTACCTGCATCGTGTTCCTCATGCGTCGACGAAGATGACCGATACTGGGCACACACATCGCTCGGCATTCTCGGCATTCTCAACCCTAGCTTGCCAGACTCGTCTCTGCACCTCACATATCAGCCAGGGCAGAGAAGTTGCTCGAGCTGACGCCACACAGCCTTCGGCTTAGAGTGCCGTACCTTGCTCTGCGAAGGTATGCAGCAGCAGGATATAGCAGCTTCTTGGCACCAAACGCTGCCATTGAGCTGCCGCGTGCCATCATGGGGTGGATGGAAATAATGAGATGCATTACACTATTGTACGACTGCGACGTCTACCAGCACTGAATGATTTTCCTTTTCCTTTGATTGTACAACCCCTCTACTGGGGCACCCCGCTCAGAGCCGGCGTTCCCTCAGCTCTCGGTGCACTGTGCTTTGTCTCCAAGAAGCACTTCATCAATCCCACTCCCTTGTCATCATCAAAGACTTTACGATCGAATGCATCGTAGACCTTGTCGCATTCGTCGATCTTGAAACGATGAGTGAGGATAATCTCTGGTCGGAACTTGCCGGGAATAATGTAATCGTCGAGGATCTTTTGCCAGTACTTCTGGACAGGGGCTTGACCGTTGCCCATGAGCTTGATGCCCTTCTCCATCAGCTGTGGTGCAAGGAGGAGGGGAAGGTGCGTCAGACTCTGAATTTGGTCACCTTCGATGAATTCATCGAGACCTTATACTCACTGCTCCGATGTTGAAGCCGTTCGCAAGAGCTGCATAATCAGCAACAATGCCCACTCGTCCGAACTTCCTCGTGGCCTTGATAGCCTCGTTGAGCACCTCGGGGGAGTCAGTCTCCAGACCAACGGCCATCATGGCCTTGTGCACAAATGACTGAGCGTACGTGAACCCGGCCGTGTCAAAGGCAACATCCACTCCAGAGGGGAAGATCTCCCGAACCGCTCCCGAAGGAGTCTGGCCAGAGGGAAGCTTGCTGATGTCAATAGTCTCCACGCCAAACTCCTTTGCAGCGAGCTCGAGACGACTAGGCACCATATCAAGGATGACGACCTTGGAAGCGCCAAACACCTTGGTTAGCCACTGAGCAACATGCAGTCCGATGGGTCCTGCACCCCAAATGGCAGCCGTCTGACCCTTTTCAAAGCCAGTGTCAACGACGTTGTGGTAGGAGGTGCAGACAATGTCACTGAGGTACAGTGCCTTCTCGTCTGGCACCGAGTCGGGGATGACAAGGGTGTTGAGATCTCCATAGGGCACCCGCACAGTCTCAGACTGGCATCCTGAGTATCCACCAAGGAAGTGAGAGTAGCCTTGGATACCAGAGAGGTTGTCACCCCATAGCTCCTCCTGGAGCTTAGAGCCGTTGGTGTTCTCACACATGGTGGTGAGCCCCTCCTTGCAGTACTGACAGGTACCACATCCAACGCTGAAGGCAATGACGACTCGGTCGCCCTTCTTGACCTTCTTCACCTCGGCTCCTACATCAGCCACCACTCCCATGGCCTCGTGTCCAAGAACATCTCCCTTCTTGAGCTGGAGGATGCCGCCCTTGTACAGGTGCAAATCACTTCCACAGACGGTAGAGCCGGTGACGTTGACCAGGACGTCTTGAGGGTCGACGACCTTGGGAAGGGGTACCTGCTGCATCTTTACGGACTTGAGTCCGTTCCAGGTGCAGGCAAGGTGGGTGGGGCCATCGTGGTGGATGGCATCTTCGTCGGCAGTGACCGAGGTGGGCTTATCGCCGAGGACCTTCTCGATGAGATTTGCTGCTTGGGAAAGTGCCATGTTGTGCAAAGGTATGAGAAGTGACTGGATGTGTAATGAGCGATTGTGGTTGCAAGAATGGAAGACAAGCAATGGAAGCACCCGTGGCCACTGATGCACTCGCCCCCTTTTACTTGTTTAGCCCACACGACATCGATTGCTGACCTTTTCTCCACACGGAGGCGTCACGCGGGGATAAGGTACGCCAGTCCTTCCCGTGGACCCTGAAGGCGCATGACGTCAGATCTTCATCAGCCCCCAGCCACTTTTAGATTTCGCTTGACTCGCACAGATGATTCGACACCGTGACATCCGGCAGGGTGCAATACGAGCGACGAGCTGCGAGCTTCAAGGGTGCGCAACGTTTGCTAGTAGAGCCTCAAGAGCTTTGCGCACCCTTGGCTGATCTACGTGCGATACCAGAGCCAGATGGCGTGGGAATGGAAGTGAGACTCTGCCTTGACCGCAAGCATGGCGTGCGTCGAAGTCGCTTCAAGGTCTACTCACACCTCTGTAGAACAAAGGTGAAGGGGGTTGCCTAGGTCCCCACGTCTCTCGCTACGCTACTGGATGAACCATTACCAACAGATGCTCCGGTCGCCAGGTTGCTCCTAGTCCTCGTAGCCCCTGAACTTGCCCGACGGGATGCCGTGGCAGCAAAGTGGGTGGGGGTTGCAGCAAAGATGATTCAGGCACAAATTGCGGGGGCGTGGGCGAGGCGTAGGACGATGTGGTGTTTACTTCTGTTGCTTATCACCCTGAGACATGGCGTGGGTGTAGGCAATGTAACGTGGAATCAGGACAACACCTTCCACCTCTACCAGCCTGCCTCATTGCGGATATAAGCGCCTCTCCAGCTGCGCATCCCTCGCCCTGCTCCATCTACGACCTCAAGCCCTCAGCTCTGCTCCTTGACTCGTCTCTCAACTCTCACCCAAGTACCGCTTCACCTCTCTAATCCGCCATGGGTGCCATCACCCTCACCTCGCCAGCGGGCTGGAAGATCTTCCGCTCCCCAGCAGACTCGTCTTCCAACTCTACAGGCACGGCTCTTACGCCTCCTACCGTTGAGACACAGCCACCTCCCGTGTCGCAGCTCGTCCGTACAGGCGGACAAGAATCGAACAGCTCAGAGGAAGTCCTTCAAAGTCAAGCCACTCCCGGCACCACACGTATAGAACAACCAAAGGCGGCTACTTCAGCTCCTGCTACGTTGCGCCCCACTCCCAAGGCGACGGCTGCGAGGCGACCCATGTCCTTCATCGCCACGTCCAAAGTCAAGACATTTGGCAAACCACTGGCGCTTGCCTCTGTACAGCAGCAGCCTCCTTCCACCAACCCGCCACGTACAGTGGAAGGGTCTGGCCTGCTACGCTCGCTGGCAGCCAAGAAGCGCCTGCCTCGATGGTTATCCCGGAGCTCAGACGCAATGCAGATCTCCAAGCCTCAGCTCGTATCCCACTCTTCCTCTCACCCTGTCTCGCCAACTCCCCTGGAGTCGATCTTGCTCCTCGGAAGAGCCGAGACGGCTCTCGGTGTTCCGGCTAGCTTGAGTAAGGAAGTCAACGCAGGATTTTCTTGCGTTACTTTCGAGCAGGAGAGAGAAGGGGTAGCCCGCAAGAGGAGTGCATCTATGAGTACCGCGCAGCTACTGGAAGAGGCGGCTACTAAGCTCATGGGGGAGAGGTCTGCTGCAAAGATGGCAGCGGGACAGGGCAAGGTCGTTCCTCCTGTCAATAGCAAAGACGCCAAAGCTCAGGGGAAGACAAGCGTGGATATAATTACCAGAGACGCCAAGCTACAAAATGGTCTGCGTCAAGTTCTCAATCAGAACAACAAGTCTACTCCAGCCCTCCCATCCTGTGCCACTGGCACTGCCACTACCGCTGGCAACCCTCTCCCTTCAGATATACCTTCGCATTCCATCTCTCGCAAAGCCGTCCCGAAACTTCCGGACTGTGATTCTGATTTCCTACCGCAGGAGCTACCACTGAAAAGCGAGATGCTCTACCCTGGAATTTCCGGCTCTGTACATCTCTCAGGGGATGGACCGACGATGCATAGCATTGTTGTTTCTCGTGCTGAAGATGATTTTGAGCGTTTTGGGGGCAATGCAGATGAAGTGGCTGTTCAGGACGCACTCAAGGGCAAAGTCATCGACCTGACAAAGGAGGTCGAGGCGTGGAAGAAGAGCAAGCTCGCTTTACGCGCCAGTAGACTGAAGCAAGAGCAGCACGAGAAGGTCAGAAGGGTCAGAGTACAAGAGGTGGCCGTCGTCGAAAGGGACGCAAAGCCAGAGGAGAAGATGTCGGAGCGTACAGTCACCGCTCCTGAGAAATCAATCGCAGAACTCCCCCGAGCGATACCTGCAGTTCACCCTGCCACTCCAAGCAAGAATCGAATGTCTCGCTCCTCCAATGGGAGCCAGCGCTCCCGACCTCCGTCTGTCCCTTTGCCCTCTTTGCCGAATACGCCAAGGAAGCAACAGCTGCCATCTCAGCAGCGCGCCACTGCACAGCGTAAAGTCAGCGAGGCGGCTACGCAGACTAGCGAGCTGGCATTTGTTGTCACGCATCGCGAGGAGGGAAGCAGTGGCAAGACTCAGCGCGAGGTAAATGTTGTCGATGCGGCGGCTCCGCTCATTGATTTGGACAGCCCGGGTGCGGTGCCTGGGCAAAGTGCGAATCAAAGCTCGCCTACAAAGGGAGCTGACCTTCCCTCTGGCCCTAGCGCTTCGGCTGCGGAAGAGACGGTCACGTTCATCTCACAGGAAGAGGCCAGCTTGGACTTTGGCAGTCTGGGCCCTCCGACCGATTCTTCTTGTCTGCCGAGTAGTAACGCGGCTGGGCTCAACAGCAAGAGCAAGTACGGTGCGGGTGCTAATGGAGGTGGTCAGAGGGATGGTAAGCTTGCGACTACTCAGCCGCTTGTCGTAGAAGACCGTCGTGAGGTACCTGTCCCCAACTCATCCGAGAGGTACAGATCTAGCAATACTCGCCCAGCCCTGAAAGATCCTCGAGACGATCGAGCTCTCGAGACACAATTTTGGTCCCTTCTAGCTCAAGTCCAAGCCAGAGAGTACGGCTATGCAGACGCTCTTGCCGATGAGCTGAATCTCGAGCCCGAGACTGGAGCCTCCTCGACTTCCACCCTCTCTTTTGCTGGAATTCGGGACTGGAGGGAACGCGTAGCAAGCGAGGCTGGGCGATTGAGAAAGACGCAGCACGCACCTGTGAGGGAGGTGTTCCCTGCCACCGCTCGAGACGAGAGACAGATGCCACACGTGCTCAGGGCTGTTTCTGGCCATAGTGTGACGCCACATGATGGTGGACAGTGGGAAGACATGGATCTGCCAAGTACAATCTTTCCTCCGACATCCACTCTTGCGACTAGAGGCAGTGCGAGTCAGGTGACCGAGACGAAGGCCCAAGTCCAGCTAGCTCAGGCGGGCAACGAAGGGATCAAGCCTGAAGCTCCTATCAAGCTCGTGATCCCTCCCATTCAGGTACAAGCGCACGTCTCGACAGCGTCGTCATCCATGCTCTCCTGGGGCACTCGCTCCCGCCGCACCCTCAGCGAACACGAAGCACAGCGCCTCTTTGGCTCTCTTACAGCTGTGCCTCATCCTGGTGAGGAGTGGGGCGTCAAGAGTGGCGCCGCGGGTGGTTTTGAAGAAGGGTTGTTGCAGCCGGGAGAGGATCACCTTGGCGAGGGTGAGAGGGGAAGGAAGAGGCAATCACGCAATACGTTTGGAGTCGCTAGCTTTGATCAGGGACAGAAAGCAGGTCAGCTTGCAGGGACAAATGCATCCAGGGGCATAGCTTTGGCTGGTCACAATACCGTGACCAGAACGACTACCACGACTAGGGCCACACAATCGGTCGTTAGCATTACCCAATCCACCTCTGGGCCAATACCTCAAGCTCCTCCCGCCTTTGCTTCTCTCGACACAGGACTAGCTCAGCAACAGACCCTCCCCGCCTCAACGTGCGAGTCGACTTCGACGCCAACAGCTCAGCGCCTCTGTGTAGACCTCAGCTCGGCACTCGACGTAGGCAAGGACGAGCACCTGCAGCGTGCTCTGGAACTCGTCGCTCATCGCATCGGTATTGCGAGCGAGGAGCTGGAGAGACTGAAGAGGGATCTGCACCTCATTGCCCGGGCTAAGGGTGAGGGAGCAGCCGTGACTGCTGCAACGGACGTTGTGGCCATCGAAGCGTGAGGGGAAGGGTGAGAGAGACGAGGCCTGGTTGAGAGTGGCATCTGCGACCAGATACTGGAGGTGCTGTGACACCTCGTATATACCGCTCCATCTTTGTTCATATAGCGTCCATATGACCTCTGCTCGGTGTATCCATGTATAGCTGTTTTCGAGTGACATGTCAATATATTGCGTTCATTGCTTGCTTGCAACGATTCGCAGGCTCAATAAGCCCATGGTCCCCTCGACACACTTTCTGGCCTGTGCAATCTAGCCACGCCTCCATGCCCAATACTCCTCACAATTCTCTGTGCCTTTTCAATCTTCTCCTTCTTGACTTGCTCCTCCGTCTTTCCTTGACGAAGCACCACCGAAAGTCGACTGAAGCGGTGATGTCTGACTCCGGTCCTCATCCTTCCCTTCCACTCAATACGGGGTAGCACAGTGCCCTTACCCACCCAAGCCTCACTGACAACGATTCTGCTCCTCTCCATTCCCTTTGCAATCGCATGATCCCTCGCCAAAGCCAGCGTAGATAGAATCCTCGAACTAGCGTCCTTTTGGGAGAATTGCATCTGCAAAATCGCATAATCAATCGGTTTGCCTCCAATTTGATCCGCCAAGTCTTGCAACTTGCGTGGACTAATACGAAAGTCGGCAGTGGAATACTTGTGTTCGAGTTCCTTTGCCCCAGAACCTCCCCAGCGCTTACGAGCGAGACGCTTCTCCTGCTTATCCTTGACTCGCTGCATCAATCGCTGCATCTTGAGATCCACCTCGGTCCGCTCACTCTCCTCTCCCAGTAGTGAATCTCCAGAAGCATCAACAGAGGCGAGGGCAGAAGCACGACGACGATCTTCTTCTAGACGACGGTACGATTCGGGGGTGAGACCACCTTCGCGGGCTAGCTCCTCGCGCTCACGACGACCACCGAAGAGGGCTTTGCGACCGGCGTCGAGCATGCGTTGTGTCAGGGTGGGCTTGGGGGTGGAGCCGTCCACGCGGCGAGGAGCTGCGCTAGAGTGGGAGGAGGAGAAGCTGAGATGGCGAAGGAAGTAGGATGGATGAGGATATCGTAAGTGAAACTGCTCATCTGTAGACTGTATATATGCGCTGCTGCTCGCCTCACCTTCTCTGTTGCTGCACTGCTACCGTCGTGGCCCTGGCGATTGTCCTGGACGATGAGGAAGAGGACGATGCGGCTGCGTGATTGACGAGAGCAGGCAGTGATCTTGCTGGCGACGGCATCTTGGTAGCTGTGTGTATGCTGTCAGGTGATGATGAAGGTGATGACGACGAGCAGTGCTAACCGTATCGTCTGCGTCTGAGTCTACCATCCTCGGCTTCCTTTCCTTCGTGCTGCCCGTCGGTGGTGACTTTCTTGCCTCGCGCGGTCCCGCCCTGTCTTCCGTTCCGACTTGACTGGGCTTGGCGAGGTGAGGCTTGGCGGGGCGGATGGACCCTGTTCCTACACCAGGCGGCAGCTGCCACTCGTCTCCACCTCGGCTGCCCTTTTACAATACTGCACTGCTTGCCTTTACCATCGTCCTCAGCATCATCTCCTTTTCCTTCGTACTCGCCATGGTGTCATCGTGACAGTCATCTGCTCTACGCCCATATCCATCTCACGCGTCGTCAGTTGCTCGCCGCACTCACTCATTCTTTGAAAGGGCGCCATCTATTTCTGACTGTACTGCTACCTCGTCAAAGGGCCGTTTCCCAGCGGAGGCTAGCCGAAATGCAGTACAGGCCTCAGAGCCATACATCGCGGCAGTGGACGCTCGCTACTCTGCTTTTGGCGCTGCTAGCAGCCTGCATCACCTTCCCCGCTGCTGCATCTGCCGTCGATGTGGCCTCGAAGCTCACCTCTGCAACGCAGTCTGGGGCCACAGCCACTTCCACTCACTCGCTCATTCCTACATCAGCACTCTCCCACTCGACGACTCATACCGCCAAGCATCATGTGCCGACCTCTCCTGCTTGCGATCCTCTCCCACTTTCTCTACCTCCACGCCAGCTCTGCGATCACATTGCAGCACACTGCCCTAGCTCAGGCCGGCTAAACTACCTCTCCTTCTACTATTGCTCCTCCCTCGGAAGCCATCAAAGGCATGCTGGAGATGGCGACAACAAGGAAGGCGATCCCCTCACCGCCGGGCTGACATTGCAAAGAGTCTTGGCAATGGCATGTATCGCTTTCTGGATCATGTTCCTCTTCAGCTGTCTTGGACTCGTGGCGAGCGACTTCTTCTGCCCGAATCTGGGAACACTTAGCAGCAGACTGGGGCTCAACGAAACCACCGCCGGCGTCACGTTCCTAGCGCTGGGCAATGGCTCTCCAGACGTCTTTTCTACCTTTGCAGCTATGTCCTCTGGCTCGGGTCAGCTAGCCATTGGCGAGCTCATAGGAGCAGCATCCTTCATCGTCTCTGTAGTAGCTGGATGCATGATGATTGTCAAGCCCTTCAAAGTGAGACCGTATCCTTTCCTCCGGGACGTCGGCTTCTTCACCGTCGGCGTAGCAGCGACCATGATGTATCTGGTGGACGGCAAGCTCACGCTAGGCGAATGTCTTGCCATGGTAGGCCTTTACTTCCTCTACGCTGCGACGGTCATCGTGGGCTCGTTATGGGAGGAGAGAAAAAGGCGGAAAAGGATGCTTTGGGAGCAGAGTAGAAGTGCCTACCTCGACACCACCGAGCAAGACGATGAGCCGGTCCAGGGAGACGACCTCAGACCTACCCCTCCCCGGACGCCTTCGCGCTCGCATACCCCGCCTAACGGCACTCTACTCGCCCTCGAAAGTGGTCGACAGGGCCAGCTCCTCAGCCCCGAGTATCAGCCCCAGTCGAACGATCTCGATCTCGACCCATCAGAGGTGTGGGGCTCGAGCATCCAGATAAGAGGGCGTGAGCTAGAAAGGGGAGATCTGAGGCGAGGCGTCGGACGGAACCACTCTACCGGAGACCTCGAGGCAGCGCCTCTCTCCTCCCCTCTTCTCAGTCCCAGCCTGCATCACGCAAACAACGCCGGTCTTCGGCCGCCACATATTCTGGTGCGGACACAGTCCAGGCTCAGGGGCGGCGGTGGACCTCTAGGAGCATTGATGCCTAGACATTCGCTCCTCGGAGCAGTAGAGTTCAGAGATGTGGTTCGAAGTCTCGGGGCAGCCGAGGGGACGCGAAGCCCAGGTGCAGAAGTGAGAACAGAAGGAGCAGACTTTCTAGACGTTGCGAGCAGTAGAGATCCGGAGCAGTCCCTGCCACATCATCATCACCATCAACATCAGAATCGTCCCGGCAGTCATCACCGGGCGCCTTCGCTCGAAAGCGGCATTGCTGCTTCCATAGCCGTCGCTACGGCTTCCGCTGCCGGGCCTTCCGTGAGCGGATCGATGTCACCTAGACCAAAGATGCCCCGGAGCGCCACGGACATGCCTAACATGGGCGCTTCTAGTCAGAACCACCAGCCGGTACTGGTCCGCGCTGGTGGGATAGAGGATCCCTGGAAGGAGCACGGAGCAGGGGATGGCTGCGATGATGGCAATGACCAAGCAGACGACGCTCGTGCGCCACCACTTCTTCATTTACAGATCCCGGATCAGCCTTCCTCGTCGAATGGCACAGCACAAGGGACACAGGCGATACCCTCCATCGTTGTTGTACCGGAAGAAGGAGAGGAGGGGGAGGAGGTTGTGTCGACAGTGAGACGGCCGCAATCACTCGGGCTTGCCAAGTCGCTCCTCCGGGTCCTCTGCCCTTCACTGCGTCACTGGAAGAGCAAGTCGATTCTAGGCTATATCCTGAGCGTGGTCAATGCGCCGCCTCTTGTGATTCTCACTCTCACGCTGCCAGTGGTAGACGACGAGGGAGAAGCGAGGGCTGCTGCCAATGCTCTCGGAGGAGACGTTGGCTCGGGTGGAGCTCTGACACTCAAAGGCGACGAGAGGGATCTGTTCGCCCGAGATGCGGAAGAGCGCGATGCTCAGCCAAGGACGAGCGCTGAGGTGGAGAGTATTCTGGACCTCAATACAGGAGAGAGGAGAGTGATGGAGAGCGATCCTTGGAAGGACGAGGAAGAGAGGCAGGTGTTGGCCAACAAGCAGAGGGATCTCGATGTAGCCGGCGCTCTGAGAGGGTTGTCAGCACAGCAAATGAGCCCTCTCGATCTGACTGGCTCAGGAGCTCAAGACCGGGGTTCAGGCGTTACTGGGAATAATGCAGACGCCGCCTCACTCTGCTCTTCTTCCTCGGGCGACTCCATCCACTTCACGCCCCTCTCTCCGAACACGCATCTAGTGCTATCCATCTCGCAATGCTTCCTAGCTCCGCCCTTTCTAGCATGGGCAGTAGTACCAGAGTACAGTCTCAAGTGGTTCCTCTACTCCTTCCTCTTCTCAACCGTCCTGGCCACAAGCGTCCTCCTACTAGCCTTACGAGCTCGTCAAGTAGGAGGCTACTGGTACTCTCCGCCCACGCTGGCATTCCTATCCCTCTCACGCTGCTTCATTGGATTCTGCGTAAGCATCGCCTGGATCTCCACGGTAGTCAATGAAGTCGTGGCGATTCTACAGGCGCTAGGTCTCATCTGTGGATTGAGCGACGCGATTTTAGGATTGACCATCTTTGCTGCGGGTAACTCGCTCGCGGATCTGGTTGCGAATGTAACGATTGCCAGGGCTGGGTACCCGATTATGGCAGTGAGTAGTGCATCCTGCCCAGGCTCCAGTGAAGTGTATCCGTGACTGACCATCTCCTACGTGGGTTTGATTCTCTCCCCTCGCAGATCTCAGCCTGTTTCGCTGGACCTCTCCTCAACCTCCTCCTAGGTATCGGCCTCTCAGGAACCTACATCCTCTCTTCTTCCTCCTCATCGCACTTCAATCCCTCCACTCCAGTCTACAAGATCGAACTCTCCCCTACTCTCCTCTCTTCTGGCGCTGGACTTCTGCTGGTACTACTGGGCACTCTGATCGTCGCGCCTCTCAATGGATTTGAGCTGGGTAGGAAGATGGGGTGGGGATTGATCGGAGCTTACTCGGTGGTGATGGCGACGAACCTCGCAGTGGAAATTAGTGGGTATGGGAGGAGGAGATAGGACTGATAGCCTAATGTAGACTTTCTCTGCTCTGCATGGCATCTCTCCTGCCTGCCGTTGTACTTTTTTCACTCTTCACATTCTGATTAGCTTCATTACTACATAGGCTTTCTCTGCAGGTGTTGGTGACCATTGCGGCAATGAGCTCGCTCGAAAAGACGGACAGGGCGTAGTAGAGGAGCGAGATTGAGATCTAGCCACCTTGACTGGGAAGCAGCTGTGCGTTTAGGTCTGATCTGAGGTGGAGAAGAATAGCCATTGGCACGCCGAGCTTTGCCTTTTGAGTCCTCCCAGGTGCGCTCTTGTTGGTCTGGTCAACGCAATTTTCGTAGGTGTAGAGACTGACTCATTGACGTGCCAGGGCTGACGGTACCAGCACCACTGGCCTACCCTCTCCCCTTGACAAGTCGTGTGATCATTACTGCAGAAATGCTTACTGCCGTGGACTGCGAGGCCTTCTGTCGAACCTCTGTCCGTCCAGGAATGCCCGTCTGCCCGTCCGTCCACTTACCACACAGAAGCTGTATCAACAGATGTTCTGTCTCACTTGAGATGGCCTCGTGCCTCAATAACGTTATGTCAGATTCATATTGCCGCCTCGGACCGCCTTCAACGTCAGAGGTTCGGGTCACTCGAGGTGAGCGTGAAAGAATCCCCAGTCCCTTGCTGCTCTCGGCATTACTCTCCTGGCCGGACTTCCAGCAACGCAGCTTCACATTGAGCTTGGCTTTAATTGGTTACCGACCGTCCGAGTCTTGCCAGAGATAAGGATACGCAGGTTGCGATCGAAGGAGACAGTATGCATAGAGGCGATATACAGGGCATACCAAGAATAGGGTGATGACGACTTCGGCGTCTGGCTTCTGCTATCTTAGCTCGGCTCGCTTACATCGAGGGCGGGCCAACCTCTGCAGGAAGGCGCTGGTGAGACTTATCCTCCCTACCTCGGTGGGTCTGTCTGCATGGTGATGATACCCAGTGCTAGAAGCATCAAGTCAGCTGGTAGCCTAGACAGTGAGGGTACGAGGTCCAAAGAGGCTCCCCGCTCTCCTCCTCTCCAGTGCAGCGGGACGTTCCATGTCTCAGATCCCCGCCCGCTGCCCAGAAAATCCAAGTCGCCGGTGTCACCTGCAGCGTCCTCGTCTGACCCCGGCGGAGCATTGAGCGTCTTATCTCGATATCTCGAGGTAGACTGTACCAATTTCCGGGTGTAGATGACGCACCTAGTATATCTCTCCGGCCTTTTTCAGTCGGGGCTCTCGCTTCGCTTTCACTTCGCTTCGCACTCCCGTTGCCGGTACGGATGGATCGCTCCGGGCCGGAGGAGCGCGATATCCATAGATATCCAAGCGAGGTAGGGTACTGCAACCCGTACGGAAACGTCTACCCTGTATGGAATACACGGCGAATTCTAGAATAGGATTTCTGGGCATTCCAGAGCGGAATGTCTGTCCATCGGGACGTTCTGTATCAGATGTCTGTTCTTCGGTGACTGAAGATGCTTATCTCTGTGGAAAATTGCCCGCTGCACGAGACCACTCCCATCTACGCGCCGGTGAAGTGTCACTGGCATTTCCCGTGGGCGCACGATCTGTCGGAAATCTGGGTGAGTTGGTGAAGTTCAAAGGGCTCAGTGCAGGCTACCTGTTTCTTGATCTAAAAGTTGTCTCGCTTGACATCATTAGACGAGAAGAAGGCTAGGCGCTAGTCGTCATCAACCGAGATACCCTTGAGATCGAAGAATTGAGCGGAACAAACAATCCTCCTTCCGCAAGACCCTGAATTCTAACACACCTGCTGTACGTCGATGGATCTACCGCTCATGTTCACGTATTCGCAGGGCCAGAGGAGTCGCCGGTAGAGATAGGGGAATGACGGTGCCGAGGTCATTGCACCCTTGCCAAGACCTCTGTCGATCCTCGGCGTACGATGGGTGATGGCGGGCAGACTGACTAAACAGAGAGTATACCGGGATATGGACCTCGATCCGCCAGAAGGAGTGCTATAAAGAGAGCTCAGGTTCTTGCCCCTTCAAATCCATTCTTTCGCTTCCTCACAAAAAGAACATTCATCCTCGACACTCCCATTCCTCTCACTCCCAACCTCCCTTTCCTCCCAGTTCCAGCTCATATTCACATTCAAGATGCGATTTGCCCTCTTTACTGCTTCTCTAGCCGCCCTTGGCCTCGTCGCTAGCGTCTCAGCCGCCCCCGTTGCACCAGTGGCTGCTAGATCAGCCGGTGATATTCAGACGGTCGGAAAGGGTGTTTGTTTCCTTGAGGCTGGTCTAGGTGAGTTTCTCCATTTCCCCCACTTTTTCCCCGCCCCTTACCAAGACTTAACTGACACCATTGGATTCCCACTCACTCTTTCCAGGCGTCACTGACATCGAAGACGCCCTCGATGGTGCTCTCGGTGGTATCATCACCGGCATCGAAGACGTCCTCGGCATCACCTCTCTTGAAGACTCTCTCGGTCTAACCTCTTGCGAAGATGAGACTTCTGGTCTTTCCGATGTTCAACTAGTTGGAAAAGGTCTTTGCTACATTGAAAAGGGATTGGGAGTCACAGACACGGAGGATTTCCTAGATGAGACGCTAGGTGGTGCGGTTACTGATATTGAGGATAAGCTGGGAATCACCTCGCTTGAGAAGGAGCTCAAGCTTACGGGATGCTGAGGGAGCTATCGGCCATCAGGGTCAGCTACCAATCAATTATCACCGACCACCTGGCGCTTCTTCGATCATACCCCAATGGCGCAATGGACTCTCCCTACCACTACCACTACCTCTACCTCCCTTACATCCTTTCGTCTTTTACGCACCTTACCCTTCTTAGATAAATCATTTTCTCCCTGTACGCAGTGTCCCCTGACCTGTTAATCAACCGAACAATACCTGCACTTCTGCTTCTGCTCCTGTTGCAGCGTGATGCGAGATTCGCTAGGAGGATGTTCGTGACATGAAGACGTGCTTCATAGCTTCTACATAAGGCCAAATCATGGACAATCACGTTCATGGTTCACGTCAGTGTAGCTTGCCACAATAGAGGGTAGTCGTATTGAAGGTCTGACGCCAGATGGAACATGACAGTTGCTGATGCTTTGCAAATCCTCTTCCAGCTGTGAACCCACAATCGTCTTTTCCCCGCTCATGGCGCCCTGCTCTCCCCAGCTGACGGCGTCGCGACCTCCTTGAGCTGCTCTGCCCTCTCCTCCACCAACCTCTGCCTCTCCTTCCGTAGTCCATTGAGCACCTTGAGAATATTGGAGTGTCTCTTGGAAGGGTGCGTTCCGCTCCTCGTCGTAAGGTTATACAATCCCTTACTCCTAGACGGCTCCTGTGGATCCTTGGGAGCAGCAGGTGAGCCAATATGAGCGACGAGCTTGGCTTCTTGTTGCTCCTGCGTAAGCGCCTGGTCCATTTCCGGGTAGTGATTCTTCTGCAGGTGAGCAGGAGCCAAGGAACGCTGCACTGGTCTACCACCCCTCCATCGTCTCGTGCCACTGAGATTCATCTGCGTCCTCGTCTGCTCGCGCTTTACCTCGTCCTCGAGCAGCACATCCTTCTTGAAGCGCTCGCTCATGGCTGGGTACACAAAGGGCTCGAGGAGACCTACCTCGACCTTCTTCCATGTGCCGACGGAGCCAGTCGTCTTTTGTGTCCTGAAGGAGCCACCTCGTCGTACGGGAGCACGGTAGATCATGGAACGGATCCAGGTGGTCCTGAGACCGTAGACGCTCAAGAGGAATGACCTCAAGGCGTGCTTGTGGAGATTGAGCGGGACTCGAAACGTAGCCTTCCACGGGTCGTAGGGCTTGCCGCGAGGAGTATAGTTGCGGACTAATCTGATGATAAAGTTGGGCAGATAGACCAATTGGCCTGCGCGCTGAGGCGTCTCGTACCACCGAGGAAAGTTCCTGCCGACGATTTGGTTCGACGGCGAGTTGTCGAGGTAAATTACCGAACGATCTCGTTGTGCCCAAACCTCTGCCTCTTCCGCCGCCCTCTCTGCGGGCGACATACGCAACCAAGAGTCCCATGCAACTTCATCGTCCATGCTCTGCAGAGAGATGAGCGCTTGCGTAGCCTCCGCACCTCCCAGCTTGACTTGATCTAGAAGAGCACGACGCTCGTCGGTCATGGCCTCCTCTGGAAGCGGGTAGCCGGCGGAGTACCCGGTCCTCCATCCCAATTTACGGAGCGAGGAAAAGCGACATTCGATGAGCGCATTCTCCCTCTGATGCTTTGTCATGCTCTTCCAGACTGGCTTGAGGACCGCATCATTTTGCTCTGCCACTGACAGATACTGGGCCATCTCTCCGGTGCTGCTCTGTCGCAGAGCCACTCTTTGTTGTTCCAGCCATTCCTCTACCGACTCTGCACTGACACCCTCGGGCAGGGTGGAAGGGACCCATAGCCTACTGCGCGCTTCGCAGAAGCTCCTTGCATTCTCGTGCTCCTTGTCCACCCATCCAGGGAGCTTTTCCTCTGGTGTACCTGCCTCTGTGAGCTTTGTGAGCTGCGTCATTTGTTCTGGTTCGAGCCACGTCCAGCTGAGAAGCTGGCGAGCTCTACCTATCCGTGTCAGCTCCCGCACATTCTTGGGCTGACCCAGGGGAGATGTTGGTGCTCTGACAGCCTTGACTCTGTTTGCGTTGGGGAGAGGCGTGGTCGAGGAAGAGGCGACGCCAATTGTCTCAATGGGCAGGTCCAGCACAGGAGTGGGAGCAGCGCTGGAAGACGCAGGCTTGGAGCGGGGCGCAGAGGTGGTCAGAGCTCGAGCTGCCAGCTGGCGTGGTGCGGATGAGCGTAATGCCAACCGAGAGAAGGAGGATGTGAGGGACGCCATGGCTGATACCAGGCTCAAGTGGGGCGATGTGAGTGTAGAGGGGCGATTAGATGGACTTGATTGCCTGCCATGCCGCCTCAGAAGATCGTAAGTCGCCCCGTCGGCTGCTCTCGAGGAATAATTATCTCGCGCGGAGCCGCGCGCGGACCGAACGCCAGAATCGGATCGGAACCGGAAACCCCGCAAGGAACAAGGCTGTGTCGATCTTCTCGCAGACGGTGATGTGTCATTCCATGGCTACACACGCACAGTCAGCATCTATTTGCAGTGATCTATAACAAGACATGGCGCCAGCGTGTGCAGTCTCTCATCTTGACACCTCGTCTGACTAGAATGATCGTTGCTGACACCGATGCAGAGGTAGCCTTAGGTGGGTAGAGCGTTGCGCCAGTAGACTGGCCAATGGAGATGGCCCGATGCGATTCTACCGAGGGATCGGCTCGGTGATGTGAGGTGCCAGAGTTCCTTGCTGCTGTGACGTTTCGGCAGTTGTGCTCTTCTGTTGTGGTGCCATCTGCGCCCCTTTACCCGTCGACTTGCCAAGTTGGTAAGGCTGGGCGTCACGAGCTGCAAGGAAGCGGGCCGCTGGAGGGACATGCGCCTACACGCACCTCTGCTTCTGCCCCCCACGCGCCCGGCCAGCCAGCGGCGCCCAAAGGCCGTAGTGCAGACGAGAAGGGGGACGTGCCTCGGCTCGCATGCGATCGATCAAGGTGGGTGGGGGCGTGGTAGACTAGAGGATAGGCGAGTGCTCTTTGTCTTGTCAAGCTGCCTCTCCACCATCGTCGTCATCGTCGTCTCTTTACTCGTGGCACCTTCATCCTACGTCGTCCTTCCATCTTCGTCGTCGTCGTCGTCACCTTCTTCACCTCGCCTCTCAGTCTCCTTCTCTCCACTCCGGACCTTCGGCGACTCAGCCCTTGTGCACCGCCGCTATCTAACCCCTTGGCGTCTCACTCGAAGCGGCCCCTTGCGTGCAACTTTAGCATTCTATGCACCGATCCCCATCTGCTTCCTTTCCGCCGTTCACTCAGGATAAACATTCTTGCCGATCTTCCTCATCACCGTGGCTGAACAACTCCAACAACGACTTACACCTCGCCAAGAGTCTACCCGTACGCCTCACCCTCCCCCACCACGTTGCCGAGGCACTGTCGAGCTCTAACGCGACTCTGCCTCAAGACGCAATCTCATCCTCGTCAGCGATCAACAGCTTGAGATAAGCAACCCATGGCGGCTCTGACCTCCCCCTCGCGGGAGTCTTCGCCATCTCAAGGAGGCCATGGTCTGCGCAGCAGCTCCTTCCCCCTCTCCTCCACCAGCTCAGGGCTACCCGAGGCAAGCTCCCTGGTTGATCAGAGAGGAGGCGCAGCGTCCGTCTCGTCTTCCCCTCTCCCTCTTTCCACATCCCATTCCAATAGCTCCTATCTCCCTGCCGCACGGTCACGCCTCAATTCCGACCTCAATCAGTCAGTAGGCAGTGGCTCGGGCTTACCAGAGGCGGACACTGCCGACTCTCAGATTTCTTCCTCTAGCCGAGCCGCACTGCCAACTACAGGCACTATGTCCCGATCCACATCAGGCGCAATCTCTCATCCTTCGAGCCTCTACCAACCTCTTTCCCTATCGGAAGTGCTCAGTCGCAACAATGGCGAGGTGTCTCAAGCCCTGGAGGACGCTCTGAATGATCGCAACAAGTTTTGTCAGGAGGCGGGGAAGCTGTCAAGTGAGAACGTCCGTATATGGAACCTCATGGGCAGAATCAGAAAGGAGAACGAAGCCCTCAAGGCCAGACTGGGCGCAGCTGGTGGAGATGCTGCAAGGTCGCCTGCCACGGGATCACAAGCCGGATTCCTACGGACGCCTAGCGGGTCCAATAATGGCTGGAATGGCAGCTCCCCTTCCTTGAAAGGTCGTCCGCGCACAGGGACCAACGACTCCGGGGAGATCCCTACTCCACCTCCAAATGGACAGCGGCCTTCCTCTTCTGGCTCCTCTTCCGAAGCTCATCATCCGCCTGGAATGACCTCTGTGCCCCCGAGCTCTTCCTCGAGAGCAGCCTCTTCTCTACCACCAGTACCTTCATCCTTGCAGATGGGCGCAGGTGCTGACTCTCCCTCTCAGGCAGGCATCTCAACAATCGCCCCGTCCTTCTCCAGGCCGGCAACGATGGACAGCCTCGAGAAAGCGCAGGCTCGGACAGCGAGCGCAAGAGCGTCCCCTGCTACTGCTACCGATGGTCTGGAAGATCAAGGGGAGGTAGCAGCTGCAAAGCGATCTTCCAATTCGATGATGCAAGAACAAGCAGCAGCCAAGGCCTGGCAGCAGTCGCAGCAGCTTGCTCGGAACACTAGCTCTACAGACGCGGGCAATGGGCAGCGTGAGGACGTAGCCTCTCCGCTTACCGAAGACGTGTTCGGATCTAGTGGGAGCACCACTGCAAGACGCTTGCGGAATAGCCTGGAGTCTCAGGGAGAGTATACTGGCATTGAGAGTAGCTCAGTGGGAGGGGGAAATGATTCCATCGTTGAGGGCCAGTCAAGAATCAGCAATTCCCTTAAATACGGCAGCTCGTCGAACGATACCACCAACAGTGTACCTCTTGCGGCCTCGAACTCTGCTCAGAGCCAGGAACCTCTGCCACCTCTCGTCTCCAGTCAGAGCACTGCTACGCCTGTGCGCTCCATCCGCGAGATCAGGTCTGCTCTGTCGAATACATCAATTACAGCTGCCGCGGACTCTCCCTCTGCCTGGACGGATGATTCAAGCGCAACCCCAATCCGCTCCTCTCGGAAAGATGTCGGCGGTATGCTCGGTGGAACCCCATCTCCCAGCCGTCCAAGCATAGGCAAGAAAGCCTCCACTTTCAAGCTGGAGCCCAGAGACGCATCTACCGGCTCTGCCTTCTCATTCGCTAAAGCATTGGCTGAAGTCGCTTCGAACGGTCCACCAGGCAGTGTGGATCTTGGCCGCATCTCCTCCTCAAGTGGTCCACCTCAACCCCGCCTGAACAATGCTCTGCTCAGGCAAGTCTCTGTAACTGTTCAAGGGACAAATCTCCGCTACAACGAACGCGCTAGAGAGATGGTCTCCTTTTTCCTCCTCGTGCAGCTCGATGGACCCGTCGCTGCTGGTCGTCTGGACAAGTGGATGGTAGAGAAGCTATATTCCGATGTGCTTGGACTGGACGCTACGCTGAAGCACAGACATGGCAAAGTTGCGCTGAGGAACATGGTCGATTGTCAGTTGCCGGACAGAAGTCTGTTCAAGGACCATGCTCCTAGCAAGGTCGATTTGAGAAAGGTGAGTTGATTGAGCAGGAGAATTGCAAGCGGAAAGAGGGAGGCTCGGAATGCAATTCAGAGAGGGTCGCTTGAGTGTCCCTCACACTTGCGCCCCTTTCCGGCGCTCGGGCCCATTCTGACGCACCTCCCGCTCACACCTGGCTCCTCTCCACCTCCTTGAATGTGCTCACCTTTCCCTGCATCCCTATCTACAGGCTATCCTTGAAGCGTACTTTGACACATTACTGGCGATCAATCTGCCCGACAAGGACGACATTTGCACTTTCCTCTGCACCGACTTCGTCCCGGTACCGATTAAGGATCCTTCTGCGATGACCAAGGAAGGCCTCTTGACCAAAAAGGGCCAGAATCTGGGTCGATGGGTCACTAGGCTGTACTCCTTGGAAAATGGAGAACGCTTGGATTACCTCGAGGGTAAAGGAGGACCTTTGCTAGGCAGCATTGACCTCAGAGGGGCTCAAATTGGCAAGCAGCAGAAGAACCAGTCGAGCGAGTCCGACGAGAATTCATATCGACATGCATTCCTCATCTTGGAGCGCAAAGAGAGGATCAATGGCACGAATGGCCTGGATGCGGTTGGAGGGCAACCACAGCTGATCAGGCACGTGCTATGCGCCGAGTCTGACGAAGAGAGGGACGAATGGGTGGACATACTGGTCAGGGCCATTGATCATAGCGACAAGGAAAGGAAGGGTCAGGTCGGAAGCGCTTCTTCTCCGAACGATTCGCCTTCAGGTCCGGACTCTCAGCCACAAGCAGTCCCGGCAGTCTTGCCCACGAGTCCCGCTCCAGCTCCGACTTCTTCTCATACTCAAGCTCCGATGATGGCAACGACAGATAGTGTGTCGAGCAATCTCTCTGCGCAGCCCGACAGGCAACGCCGGGCTCCAGATAATGCAGCCCAGATGCAGCCCAGTCCTTCTGGCGACATGTCCGCTACAGCAGAGCCCACAAGCGTGCCTCCTGCAGCTGCCCCTGCCCTAGTACCCGCAGTGCTCCCCAATCGACCTTCCAGAAGTGGCAGCCTTTCCCGCCGGTTCAGAGCACGGGAAAACAGCGGTAGTGGTGGAATGTTGGCAGTCGCAGGAGGAGAAGAGCCCTCCAGACGAAGCCGTGATGGCGGATTCGGACGTAGAGGCAGCGCTGCAGCTCCTTCTACCGATTCATCTAGTACGCATCCGGGCTTGGCCTCTCCTAATGCCAAGGACCGTGGATCCAAGCTTCCCATCTCCGGACCGGTCTCAGGCGCACCTATCCCTGCTGGGTACAAATTTGGCAATCGGGAGGATACCACTGCAGATTCTGCTGCTGCCGGGCGGAGGGACGATCGAAGGCGCTTCTGGCACCGGTTTGGCAATAGTGCCTCCAACAGCAGTACCGGCGCAGCAGGTCAGCCACGCCCACCAGTCTTTGGTGTCCCTCTACTACAGGCTATAAGTGTCTCTCCGATCAATGCTGGTGAAGCAAGCGATACGGCCATTCCGAGTGTAGTGTATCGCTGCATCGACTTTCTCGAGAGCAAGGGTGGTATAAGGGAGGAAGGTATTTACCGTCTCAGCGGTAGCTCCACTGCTGTCAAGGGTCTCCGCGATCGTTTCGACACTGAAGGCGATGTGGACCTGGTCAAGGAGGTGGAAGACGGAGAAAAAGGCAGCGTGCGCGATCCTCACGCCGTAGCGGGTCTTCTCAAGACGTATCTGCGCGAGCTACCCTCGAGTATACTCACGAAGGAGATGCACATGGACTTTCTGCGCGTGTGCGACGTCGTTGATCGGACACAGCGGACGCAAGAGCTAGCTTCTCTCGTGTCTAGTCTGCCAAGGCCGAATTACTCTCTGCTAAGAGCCCTAATCCAGCATCTGATCAAGGTTACCAACCATGAAGATGTCAACAAGATGACAGTCAGAAATGTAGGCATCGTCTTTAGCCCCACGCTAGGAATTCCTGCTGGTCTCTTTGGACTTTTCATTACCACCTTTGAGCAATGCTTTGGTATCGATGGGGCAGATGAAGCATCAACGGCTGCTGTGCTCGGCTCTCAGACGATAGGCGCAGCTCCTATTGTAGATGAAGAGGCCAACGAAGGCGTCAAGCACAGCCAAGTCTCTCAAACAGAGGAAGAGGAATCCGGCGTCAACAGTCTTGACTCGTCGCTAGTCAACCAATCAGGAAATGCGATTGCATTTCCCAGCACTAGCCGAAGCAGTAAGCGCGAAAGTCGCCTCTTTTCTGCGGCCGACATGAACAAGTTCTCCTCTAGCCAGACAGGCTCGGCATCAGCTGCGGGGACGGGTATGTTCATGCCCAGCTACGCAGAAGAGGAAGATGCCGAAGAAGCAGGGAATGGAGCTCAGCCTCAAGCCTATACATCACCACAGCCTCAAGCGTATGGCAGTCGCAACTCCTCTCGTCGTCCCTCTGCGCAGGGGTTGGGCATCGAAAATCTCCCTCGCTCACATGCGCGCACGATGAGCGCTTCTGGACTTGTCGCTGGGAATAGTACTGCAGAGGGGAACGCCATGGGCAGTGGGATTGGTAGCGGCAATGGCAACGGGGTTGGACCACAGGCGCCACTGGGTCTCGATGAACCACCTAGGTACGATCAACGAGACGAGGATGAACTCACTGGACCGGGTCTGCCGACGGTCACTACTTCGCGCATTTCGGCTGGGGGAGAATCGGCTGCGAATGTTTTGCGTACGCACAGGGTGTGAGAGAGGGAAGGAGGCAGGGGGCAGTGGAGCGAGAATGAGGAAACGAAGCGGAGCAGGTCAAAAGAAGGGATGGGTTGTGATGTGGTCAGGGGATGTTCGATGTGCTCCTTCTCGTTTGTTCAGTCAGTCAGTCACCGCACCTTCACTCCTTGGGATTCACCCCGATATACCAGATCTTCTCAGCTCAGCACTGTTCCTTGGCCTACGATTCCTCGCCTTTGTTAAAGAGTGTTCACGACACGGGTGATCGTCGGACGCGTACGATGTCACTTGTGTGCTCACGTCGCGTCACTACCGCGGGGAGAGTCAGTCTCTTTGTTGTCCCTCTGTCCATATCGTACCAGCCGGAAGCAGCGATCATTGGGACCAATGCGTGCGGCAAAGGGGGAGCGGAGCTGGGGTCTGACCACTGGGGCGAGCTTATTGAGCGATGCGACGAGCGGAGGAATTGGTAAGAGCAGCTGACCCTTTCACTGCGACACCTTTCACCCCGAGGACCAAGCCTCCCATGAGAGCAAGTCAAGGGCGTCGTAGCTAACGTAACACAAGTGGTTTAGAGCTCGCTCACTGGCTTCTCTTCTGCGCACCTACGGGCATCGGACGTGAGGATCGGGGGGGGAGGGCGGACCTTGAGGAGCAATTAAGTGGGTCATGCCAGATCCCGCCACGGCTCTGCGATGTCCTGCGATGCCATGTCATGTCATGCGGGCGGGCGGGGCGTTGGGGTGGAAGCTGAATGAGGCCTGGCCAAGTGGACGTCGATGGAGGACGACGAGGAGGAGGGGTGACGCGTTGGGCGTTGCTTGTGCGCGCGCGTGGTGGCTGTGCCAGTGCTCTGGTGCTCGCCTTGGTTCCTCCGCTGCAGTCGATCTTGGCCGGACGAAAGAGGCGTGGACGCGCAACGCCTCTTTACACGCCAGCGCGTCGCGTTTTTTCACTCCATCCACGCCTCACGCCTCACGCCTCACGCCCCCTACGCCTGACCCTCTTGGCTGCGTCTACCTCCGCTCCTCCCGCCCGTCTGACTCTGCGTCCACCCCGACCGTTTTTGGGCGTGCAGATGCGATGCGAGGAGATTGACTACTCCTACATCGTGACCCACCCCCTTCATCTCAACTGCACCTTGCCTCCTTTCCTTTGCCGATACTCAGCCACCCCATCCTACCCATCCACAGCTCATTACCATCCGCTTCCCGTCCCCGATCCCTTCGACAACCCACCCCCGCCCCCCCTTTCATACGAAAGCTCCTACTAGACGAAGGTCTCGTCGTCTTCTATACCTCCTCCACCACTGAAGAAGGCGGCAGCGATACACAGACAAAGGAGTGACAGCACAGGGTAGAGTTCACTCGGAGGATCACAAAGTTCAGCTGCATTGCTCTCAATCCCTGCGCATATACGCATACACCCACATCGGATCCCCATCTCGCATATAGTGAGACCAACCATCCAACCATCCGTCCAATCCACGCAAGACACCACACTGTCATTACCCCTACGACTCCGTTGGGACCATCATCACATCATCGCTGCCACTTCGCTGGGCAAGTCGATCCCATCCTTTCGGTAGCAAGGCATCATCAAACGCATAATCACCTTGACCTCCTACTAATCGTCCACACACATTCACACACCGCATACACCCGATGAGGGTCAGACATCCTTCGTCGTCGCCCAATTCTCTTCCTTCTCTCTCATCGTCGGCTTCCTCTCAATCGCAAGGAGAGTCTTACAAGGATTTCGATAGCGGGATGGATAGGACTTCCCCTGCGGACTCCTCTTCCTCAAAGGAGAACAATGAGGACGCTGTGAGGGCAGTGAGTAGGCCATGTACGAGATCAAGTCGCCTGCAACCACTGACACTGACAGATTCGCACTCACTCCCACTCATCAGGCTGTTCATCGGCTCCATCAACAGATCAGGAAGGGGAGCAACGCTCAGATGTCAATCACTCCGTCGCCCTCTGCTGCATACATCAATGTAGTCAGGCCCACGGCCGCCCTGCCCGCTAGGAGCGTCGCTAGGCCTATGGCTTCTCAGTCCGTGGCAGAGCCTGCATCTCAGAACACTCCTCGCCGCTCTACACAAGCGACGGCGCCTGCTGTAGCAGCAGTGATGCCTGCACCTACGCCAGGTCCCTCACAACTGCAACCCACACCCACTCAGAGACTGCAGTCCCTACCGTCTGCCCCTCCTGCGCCGTCTGCCGAGCCATCTCTGTATGCCGCCGTCTTTGGCCCCCAAGTCGCCAGCAAGCTCCACGAAGCCATTGCTACCTCGACGCCCAAGACTCCTCCGCAAGACCACATCAACAGTTTCGCCTTTTCCACCCCACGCCGCAATGCCTCGTCCGCCATCACTCCCTCTCCCTCCACTAGTCGCTCACCATACGGCAGAAATGGCCTGACAGGTCTAGGCGTCTCGGCCCGTCTGCATGCCATTAGCTTACTGCCGCAATTGGGCTCTCCAGAGAGGGCTAGACGAGGTGGACCCCCTGTTGGCACTGATCCGCACAATTCTCCTTCGAGGGCGCAGCTGCAGCGGGAGGAGCTACTGGCCCACGCACATCCTCACCAGTCTTGGCTGCTCCTGGGTCGAGATGAACGAAGTCGAAGTCCCTCATTGGACGCAAGAGAAGGTCATTCTGGTAGTGCAAAGCGCAGGAGAGTCGACGAGGCCAACTGGTCCAGCAGTGCTCACCAACAGCCCCTGACGCCTTCAAGACATGGCGTACTCTCCAACGGCCATCCAGCTACGCCTCTCGCCAAGGACCTCGGCCTCATGAGCGGCGTTCGGTCCAGACAGCCGTCTCACTCAACGCCTCATCGTGTGCGCTTTTCCTCGCCTTTGCAAGAGCCAGCTACGAATGAAGAGACGGATCGGGTCGCTGGAGTCCTCTATGCCATCAGCGAAAGGAACAAGCGGGAGAAGGCCCAATCCAACGCTACCCTCGGCCCGGCCTTTTCGCCTACTCTTACAGCGACTACGCCGACGAGGAAGCAAGAAGGACGATTTGCTGACCCGAGCAGTATCACTCCCAGACGAGCCAGGATGGCCAACCATGGTGGATCTGCGATCAGGCGGCCCTCGACTCCGCCCAACCATGACGAAGGCGACGACTCTTCTGCCAATTTGCTCCTCTTTCTCGCTGGCTCACCCACTGCCCCCGAGAATAAGCGTCGCATGCTCGGTGAAGATTCCAGCAGTGGGCTCACCCCTGGCCACAGTGGAGGGCATCTAGGAGCAACACCTAGCTTGCTTAGCAGTCTAGATCGGAAAAGGTCTTCTGCTAGCGCTAGAAAGGCCCTCTTCGATGACGACGAGGATGGACTAGCGAGACATCGACGTCTGCCTGCTCAGAGTGCTGGTAGCCCCACGCCTGATCGAGGGGCAAGAATGCTACAGCCTTCTCCCATCATTAGCTCTCTACGGGATTCCAAAGTATTTGAAAGAGGGACAGGGAGAGGTGAGAGTCGACCAACGTCCGATTCGCCCATCACTCCACCACACAGCAATCGTCTCAAGCCTTCGCAAATTCCTCTAGCTGGCGATCATCTCGAAAGCGGCTCAAGCTCTTCACAGCCCGTAGAAACACCGCCCTACACGCCCTTCAAGCCTTCCCATCCCAACGAGCAGCTCTCCACCGTCTCGCGATCTCCTTCTCCCTCCCGTCTCTCCCCCAGTCGAGTCCAAATGCACACGCACGCCCGTCTCCTCTCCGGGCAACCTCTACCTCCTCCTCGAACCCCCTCTCCAGCACCAAGCGAGAGTGCTCCACGAACCCCCCACACCCCCAACCAACACGCAGCAGGTGGTGCAGGCTCTTTTGCCTACTCTGAATTCGTCAATGTCTCTCCTTCGCCCAAGCCAAGGAGTAGAGCGACGAGTGAGAGGGGAGTCTTTGTCGGACGAACACCTAAATTGGGGAGTACATTTGGATCTGGATCTACCTCTGCCTTTGCCTCGAATGAGCACGAGGAGGAGATGCTCCTCACACCTGGACCCTTCTCTGCCGCTACCAACAGCAATGGCAATGGCAATGGCAATGGCAGTGCGACACGAAGAAGACCTAGCGCAACCGCGACTGGTTCGCCCAGCCTGCCTATCACACCTTTGCGTTCCACTGGCCGTAGTGGCGATCCCAAGAGGAGGAGACTGCCCAGCAGTAGCAGTAACAATGCGCTTGCAGACCAGGTGATGCACTCCCCTTCTTCTTCCCACCGAGGAGGAGGAGGTGTGGGAGGGGAGCAGCAGAGGATTCACACACGCAGTCTTGTTGCTCATGAACCGGAGAGGGGGAGCCCCAATGTTGGCCTTGGGCTTGACATGTGAAGAGGGGGACACTGCTTCGCTAGCTACATACCCACTCCGCCTCAATTCGAAGCCGCTTGGTCGATCAGTCAGTCAGTCAGTCAAAGGAGGCTCAGACTCAGTACATGCGTAGAGGTCTCATTGCGTTACCATCTCGCCGACCGGCCCTGCTCTCAAAGCGGGCTCTGTTCCTGGCTGATGGGTCATGCCGAATCCACACACGTAGGAGCCCCTCGAAATGATTCTACCGCGGCAGAAACCTGCTCTATACCCAACTTCCCCCAACTTTCCCGAATACCGCCACTGGGCTCTACCCTGGCTCTGTTTCTCGACCGACCGACCGACCTACCGATGGATCGATAGATGGCTACCGCTGCTACTGCTACTGCTGCTCTATACCCCTTCTTTTCGTATTCTTCTGAGATCCCTTGATGCATGCGTGCGCAGTGCGTACCTGCGAAAGATCTTGCTTGGTCGTGCATCCATTGGTCTTCCTGTCTCCCGTTTCCACTCTCTTCTTTCTGCCGCGCTGCTGCTGCTGCTGCTCCGTCTCGACTTGCTTCGCATGCTTCCTTCGCCTTTCTTACTCTTCCTCGAATCTGTCTTTTTTAGGTGTTTTCTCGATCACCCGTTCTCTATCAATACCCATTTCGATGTCTTGCGCTGCTATCGAATCCCTAGTGTGATCTTGCAATTCGGTGTGGGTCTCTACGCTCCTCTTCTTTCCTTGTACGGCCGAGTCGACAGACCAGATGACTCAAATCTACTTGCTGCCCGCCGTGCTCGGTCTCCTCCTCGCCTTCGTCCTCGTCTTCGATCTCGATCTCGACCTTGATCTACCGGTACCTCTACCGTTTCCCTGGGATCGCTCCTCCCTAGCGGCATCTCTCACACGTCTAGGAGGGCGAACAGGGGTGCTGGCGAGGTAGCTGGCGAGGGCACCAGAGGCAGGCGCAGATGTCGGGACGGGACGGCTGGCGCGCTGTCCACTCTCGTCCTGCTCCTCTTGGAGATGGCAATGCAGTGCCGGAGAAGGGGGAAGGAATCTGTGACTTTCGAGGCCGGAAGTTGGGTGCGTCGCAGTAAGCGTTGGAGAGAGGTCATCTTGGTGTAAATTGGTGTCTGTCGTTGATGTCGCTTCCACTCGTGGGGGTTGAGTCAATAGTCCATCTGCTCTCCAGTCTGCTTTCGCAGTGTGAGCTGATCTGTCCTCGCTGGCGGGAGTCTTGATCCCTTGTGCCTCAGAGTCCTTGACACCACGGCCTTCAGCATACTGCAAGCGCCAGTCGACACTAGGCGAGCGAGCATGTCCATAGCCTCTCACACCTCGCAGCTCGCCTCCCGAGCTCCCGCTCGCAGACGACTGCTTTCTATGATCATACCCATCACGAGACCCAAAACCAGAACCAGAGCCAAAGCCAGATCCGGACGCAGGGCTGAAGCCGTATCCCCATTCCACCCGTCCACTATCGTTCCTCTTTCTCTTCTCCTTTTCCTTTTCCTTCTCTTTCTCTTTCTCCCAAGCTCTGGCTCCATTTCCTCGATCCAGCTCAGCGATGGGGGAAGTAGGCGTCGCTAGCTCTTCCGTGGCAGAATCATCCGCAGCGAGGGCTAGAGCCATAGCTGTAGCTGTAGCTGTAGCTGTAGCTGTTACCATGCTGGCGCTACCACTACTGCCAGGCCAATGACCTTTTGTAGCAGTACCGGGGACGCACAGACTTGTACTGGTCGAAGTGAGGTCAATACTGCGTGGACGCAAGCGTAGAGCGGGTCGAGTCTGACCTTGTGTCTGCACTCCTGAGGCGTGCTGTCCTGTCTGCGCCTGTGTGTGAGCAGCACCGGTAGAAGGAGAAAGAACGGCCGTCTGTTTGAAAGCGCTCGTGAGAGCCGTACTTGACCTGCTCGGCTTCAGGTACCGAAAAGGCCGTGCTGGAGATGTACGCTGAGCAGGAGTGCCCCCGCTGGTGATCAACGTGGAGGTCGAGGCAGCTATGGGACTGCTGAGTGCCGTGCCTGAAGTGATAGCGTTGCCTCTCAACGGTTGCGGAGCGTAGATGTGGTGTGGAAGCGGCGCTCTCGGTGAGCCGAGACTCGACCTGGGAATGGAAGAAGGACTCGTGGGCGTGCAAGACGTGGGCGTTGCAGAAGAGCCATCGAACGAAGTGCTGACACTGGCACTGGCAGTGGCGCTGCCACTGGCGACGCTCCCTCCGCCACTAGCTTTGTTCCCTAAAGCAGGACTAGTAGCTCTCCCAAGTCCATAGCCAGCCCAAAGTCTGAGTGCGCTAGAGCTTCTGCGCGCAAGACGGAGCACCCTCGCGTCGAGCAGTGTACCACCACCACCACTGGCACCACCACTGGCACTCGCAGCATTCGCACTTCCGATGCCGGAGGAGGGCGAGAGTGGAGCAGAGACCAGCGTCGAGTTCCGACTGGAGAGACGCGGGAAGGACGCAAGACGTGAGCGTGGCGAGGTGTTTTCCACCGACGCTGTGTTCGTAGTGGAGCTGCAGCCGAGGAGCAAGTCTTCCAACCCTTCCTCATCAAACCAGGCTGTGCGGCCTGTGACTAGTGCGCTTGTGGAGCGTGCTGCAGCTGGGAGAGGGCTACTCGCGAGGGACAGTGAGGTGAAGGCGTTTTCCCTTGCCCAGCCATGAGCAGGTTCTGGCGTGAAGCTGCGCTCGCTCGTACTTGCGCTTTCTCCTTCCATGGTCTTGCTTTCATCGCTTACGCTGTTCTTGACCTTCTCATTACTCAATGCAGCCTTGGCAATCCTCTCCTCCTTCCTCTTCTCCTTCCTCAGCGCAAGCGTATTGTGGCCAACCGCCTCAAGCGTGGCACGATCCGAGTCGGTGTAGGCCACATCCGCCGGTGAGGACTCCTTTTCGTTCCTCAAGCCAAAATTGGCGCCCTTTTCGATGAGGAGATGTACGCAGGCGTGATGGCCGTTAGCAGAAGCGTGATGTAAGGGTGAGTTGCCTTGCATGTCTAGCGGGTCGATCTGGGCGCCGTAAGAGAGGAGGAGGAGGCAGAGGTCGTAGAAGCCGCGGGAGGCAGCTTCGTGCAGAGCAGTGAATGAGGTCCGCTGGTCGGCGGCATTGATGAGGCGTAGGAGAGGTGTGGTTTCCGACTTAGTCGAGTGGTTGAGTGAGGCCCAGTCGGAGCTGGTGTGAGACAAGCGGGAGGAGGAGCGTTTGACCTTGGGGCTGTCGACAGGCTCTCGTTCGACTTCATCCCCGTCCTGCTGCTGAGCAGCCTGTTTCTCCATTTGGCTGCAAATTTCGGTATTCTCTTTCGAATCTTGCGCAGCCTCTTTGTTGTTGCTTTGTGCTTGTGACTCTGACAGACTCGCATTCTCTGCAGCGCCAGACGAGCTGAAAGACGCCTCGTCCATTCGCCCTTGCACATGCGCATAATAGACTTGCATAATGTCGGCTCTGTCAAAGATGGCCGCCAGGTGGAAGATGGTCCTACCATACTCATCTTGTGTGAGTCTCAATCTGTCGCCTTGATCTTCCTCATGTCCACTCTCCAGTATCCACTTGACCATGTCTAATGAGCAACGGTACTCGATGGCGAGCTGTAGAGACGTCTTGCGTGCGTCTTGCTCGGACACAAGACAGTCGAGTGGATATGGAGGTGCTGGGAACTTACTGCCTGCGAGTGTCGGGTAGCCTGGCCAGCGTGTAGAGGCTGGAGGTATCGCTAGAGCTGGGGCTGTGGTAGCGGAGCTACCCTTGAGATTTGGAGCCTTGATGTTCCTCACATCGAATACGAGCTTTTCTCCCCCGGACACCTCCTGTGGTCCGTCTCGAAGGGGAACGAGACACTCCTCTCCCAGCACCCTCAGTCGTGCTCTCAGCCTGTTCCATTCTCTCCTTCTTGCCTTACCCACTGCCACCCCCAGCTCCAGTACACCTTCAGGCGGTTCCTTCTGTTGGTACGTCTCAGCAAGCTCCATTGCCAGCTTCGCCACTCGCTTCGCAGCAGGTAGATCATCATGAATAATTGCCCGACGTAAGCGCTGCGAAAGGGTCGTCTCTGTATCTCTACCTGTTCCCGCGGTCATAAGTGTGGGCGCGTTCGCATAAGCTCTCCAAAGAGATGGACCGCCTGGTCTGGGCCAATCTTCTTCCAATTCCAGAGTGACTTGAGTACAAGGGCGCGGTAAAGGTAAGTGCTTGTGTAGATAGCGCGGGCAGGTGGGGAATCGCTTGCATATTGGACGTTGAGGAAGCTGCTGTTGCTGGTGGTGCTGCTGCTGCTCCCCCTGATTGGAGGGTGAGCGCTCACGAGTAGAAGTGGACGACTCGTGAGTGCTGAGGACGGCAGTGCTACTGGTGATGTTGGTAAGACTGAGCATTCTGGCGCTTGCTCTTGCTCTTGCTCTTGCTCTTACGCTTCTGCCTGCGCATGAACCTGAGCGTCAGCATGGATGCCCTGGAACTGCTCCAGACCCAAAAGGAGATGGTTGTGCTGGTGCTCGTGGTAGCGGTAGCGGCCAACTTGACGAATAGGACGAGGACGAGGACGGGAAGAAGCACAAGCGCAAGGTTGCAAGGTTCTAAAGGTAGACTACCGCCGTGTCCCTGTGTGCGTCCCTGTTGTTCCCCCCCCACACACACAGTGCAATGCACTCTGTGCCTCCCTGCCGTCCACTTAGCAACCGTCGTCGGCATCCCCGCGCTCTCGGCCCGCGGCAGCAAACGAGAGCCAGGAGGGGGCCAGAGTAGAACCTTCGTCAGTACCAGACACTGTACGTCAGACTCACTCGACAGACGGGTAATCGAATGACATCTGATCAAGGAGAAGATGAGTGTGTGTATGGTACCAAGACTGCGGAAACTTTCCCCCCTCTACCCTCCCTTCTAGTCCTTCTTGAGCTCCTTCCTTACCACCATCGTCGCTCCGGCCGTCTGCTCCTCCTCTCCACCATACGCCTCCACGGCACCGAACAGCGCCTTCAAATCGAGGGAAGAGGTCTTGACTCCATCTCCCGGCGCTGCTGCTGCTGCTGTTGCTTCCCCTTCACCACTGCCTTCCGCTGCTGCTGCTGCAGGTGCAGTCCTGACGATGAACATCTCTAGACCATCGCCCACTTCGATGTGCCTCTCCGTGGCGCTGGTAAAGGAGTCCATTGTGATCCGCAGGACGGTGGCCACGTCGTAGGTTCCGGGGGCTGGGATGGGACGGCCGGGCGTGGGCTGCTGATTCTTGTACATGATCTGTTAGGGTGAGGGAGAATGGTAGGCGCGTGTCAGTCCTTCAACTCTTGCAGCTGAGTCTTCTCCCTGACCCTCTTGTTGCTCACCTGGTTGTCTAGGAAGGGCTGCAACAGACTCTGTGCCGCTCCAGCTGCTCTGCAAGTCTCCCTCTCATAGCTCCCCACTGGGTCGAATGAATACACTGCTCCCTTTCCCTCCTCATCCACCCCTCCCAGGATATTGTACACGTAGTAAGGGAAGAATCTCTTTCCATAAAGCATCGTGGAGATCATCCTGGCAATCGCGTTCAAGCTCATGTGGGTACCGTGATTATGACGGTAGAAGACTAGTCGCTGCTTGACCTTGTCCACTAGGGCTTCGGCATCGGCGGAGAAGCCATTGGTAGCCAGGGTGGCCACGTCGTTTAGACGGAACACCTTGGGCTTGTAGCGTGTCTGGATGGAGTAGCCAGTGGATTGACGGGTGTCTCCTGCGACGACGCAGAAGTCAGGACCTGCAATGGCCAGAATAGAGCCACCTTGTGGGGAAGGGAAGAGAAGGAGAGAGCGAGCGAGGGAGGGTAAGCTCAATCGCCCTCTGCTTCTGTGAAGTCGTTGTCGTCTCCTCTTGCTCACCATTAGAGTCATACGGCGAGAACTGGTGGCCAATGGGCGTGGCTACCGTCTGACTCTTCTGTGCTGCGGACTGCGTCTGCCTCGAAGGGCCAAAAGAGTCGTAGAGCATCGACATTGCTGGGGATGAGGATTGGCGGAGGAGACGAGACTACTTGGCTGGATTGGATAGTAGCAGCCTCGGGACGAACGACGGACAGACCAACCAGGCAAGGAGGCGTGGCCCAAGCGTCGTCAGCAGCTGTGCGCGGAGGCGGAGGCGGCAGAGCGGAGCGGAAGGGATGGAAGGATGGAGCAGATCGGAACGGAAGGAAAGGAAAGGACAAGGCGCCGGGGAGCCGCCGCCGCCGCCGCCGTCTGAGTCTGGCCCTGGCGTTGTTGGCGGGGGAAAGGCGAGGCAACGCAACACACAAGGCAGGCGCACAGTCAGTCAGTCAGTCAGTCAGTCACTGCTCACACTCCCTCACCAACCACTTCTTCTCATTGTTCTCGTCACTTGTGTACAGCATATATCCACCTCCTCCCACCACAACTCCTCCTCACCACCACACCTCAGCCATGTCAGCAGATGCAGCAACCACTACGCCAGCAGCCAATGGCAACGGCAATGGCACCCATGCAAAGGAAGCCAGCGACAAGAAGTACAATGTAGAAATTGCAAAGATGCCCGGAGCTCATGGAAAGCCAGACAAGGCACATCATGATGCTGAGATGGACAGGTTGAAAAAGGAGATTGACAAGGTACAGGCAGAAGTGGTTAGTATCAAGGCGAGAGAAAGAGAGAGAGAGAGTACAGACAGAGCGGCCTTCCCGTCAATGATATACTCACCCATTCCAACCCTTCTTCCCTTGTGCTCTCGTACCTGACAGAACGAGGTGCGGAGCTCCCTCAGCGGAGGCGGACCCTCTGCCAACACACCTCAGGGACAGCGCAGGCAAAAGCTTCGTGCCGAGCTGGACGAGCTACGAGGTGCCCAGGCTGGAGTAAAGGGCTCCAGGGGAAAGGTACTCGATGAGCTCAAGCTGTTGCAGGAGTCGACGAACAAGAAGGTGAGAAGAGAAGATTGAGGGGAAGAATGAAGCACAGTCATACTGGATGGAACCTACAGTAAGCTCAACGATCACTCTATGGACCTTTCTCACCCTTCTCGCCCTCCCCACAGGTCAAGGACCTACAAGCTTCCCGTGCCAAGTCGCCCTACAAGACCCTCGCAGACATTGACGCAGCCATTGCCCGGCTCAACGCCCAAGTGGAGTCTGGTTCACTGAAGATCGTCGAAGAGAAGCGGGCCCTTGCAGAGATCACCAACCTGCGCAAGTCCAAGCGTAACGTCGAAGCATTTGAAGCACAGCAAAAGACCATTGACCAGGATCGTGCCAAGATCGATGAGCTGAGGAAGAGCCTAGACAGTCCCGAGGGCAAGAAGCTCTCGGAGCGGTACGACGTCATCAAGAAGGAGCTCGATGAGATTCAAGCCGACTTCGACAAGACGGCCGGTTCGCGCTCGAAGCTCATTGAGAAGCGTACACAGCTATCATCTCAGCTGGACGACCTCTATGGTGAGAGGCGGGAGCGCAACTCGGCTTACAGGGAAGCTCACGATGCTTGGTATGCACGCAGTCAAGCAGAGAGGGAGAAGAGGCTCGAGGCGCAGCGGGCACAGAAGAAGGAAGACGAGGAGCGCAAGAGGAAGGAGCAGGAGGCCATCATGAGGGAGGAGGCCGCCATGCCTGCTTTCGCCCAGGAGATCGAAGACTGTGACGTCCTCATCGCCTACTTCTCTGGCGGCTCCGCTACCAGCGCCACCAAGACTTCGTCCACTGCCGCTAGCACCGCAAAGGATCTGCCGGGGACCAAGAAGCTCGAGCCCCGCAAGATCGAGACGGACACGAGCGCTTTTGGCCAGGCAATCAAGAAGAAGGGCAGCGACGCCGACGATGCCGACAGCTACTATGTCGGAGGCGGCAAAAAGGGCAAGGGCAAGGGCGGCAACAAGAAGAACAAGGGAGTGCCACTTGCCCTTGGCGAATCTCCCTCTGAGGACGCTTCTGAAGCTACTGCTGCTGCTCCAGCTTCAGGCAAGTCATCAGAGCTCCGTGTCCCCGTAGGTCACCTCTCTGCTCTCCTCTCCCTCAGCATCCCCCCTCCTTCTTCAAGTGCGGATATCCCCCGTGTAGTGGAGAACCTGAAGTTGAAGAAGAGGTACTTTGTAGAGAATCAGGACAGCAAGACTCGTGCGAGGATTGAAGAGGTGGAGAAGAAGCTCGGAAAGGCCAGTCTCGCAGAGGGGGAGTCTGCTGCTCCTACTGCTACTGCTACTACTGGTGGGGAGGGTGAGGAGGTCAAGGCTTGATTCAGAGTAGCGTCGGATTAAGAACTTTTACCTTTCTCTACCTCTACCTTTGACTGACTGTGTGTAACCTACTCGTCCACCGCTTTGTTTTTTCAAAAAGGGATCACATCACATCACATCACATCACATTGCCTTACACCACCTCTTTCTCGTCTCAATGTCAAGTCTTGCTGTGCTCATCCCATGCGACGCTCTGATTGACAGATTGACCGATCGTCTGGCTGACTGATTTACTGACTCACTGACTGACTGCCTCACTCACTCACTCACTCACTCACTCACTCACTCACTCACTCACTCTCTTGCTTGACAGTCTGAATATAAGGAATGGATGAACTAAAGGAATGCAATGTCTAAAGGGAGCGTATCCGCCTCGCATGCATAGACAGTGAAAAGAGAGACATTCGTCGAGTACGCAAGTCAAGTCATACCCCTCCTCGTACAGTACCAGGACACGCGCGTCCTCACTAGCTCCTCCCCTGAAGGCTCATTGCGAAACGTACCCGAGTGGATCCGACTCCTCTTCGCCCTCCTCCTCATCGCCACCGCCACCACCAGCACCGGTACTGTGCTCGTGTCCCTGACCATGCCCAAAGATCTCAGCAAAGACGCCCGAGTCCTCCACGCGCAGCTCACCTGGGTCCACCGCATCGGCAATTCGGCGGAGCGTCTCCTCGTCGATGTCGATGTCCGCCTCGACCGCCTCCTGGTGATCGTTAGGCTTCGCCGTCGTGTCATCCACTCCGCCTTCCCCTCCTGCTGGAACAAGACCAAGAGACGCCCTGTGAGCTCGCACCGCCTCGTCCCTTCTTCTCGCCCGCTCCGTCTCCCAGATGGAGTAGAAGCTCTCGGCGAGGCGCTGTAGACCCCACAGGTACCCCGAGTCGGGCGCAGAGCGGTCTGCTGGTGGGAAGCGGGCGAGGGGAATGGAATGCACCCCCGCTGCTGCCCCGGAAGCTGAGCCTGTAGCTGGAGTACCCTGTGCAGCTTGCTCAGCTTCGAGCTCGGCGGCCCTCATCCTCTCTCCGTAATCTTCGTCTCCTGGGAAGAGGAAATCGTGACCGGTAGAGCAGTGTGCGAAATCGATGATGCGGATATTGATCTCCCCTTTGCGTCTGCGACGTCGTGGTGGCGCCGAAGAGGGGACAGAGGAGGAGTGAGGTAGAGAGAAGGCGGCAGAGGATGAGGAGCGCTGCCTGCCTGAAGCACCGCTGGGAGTTCCTTGCTCGATGCTGGCGAAGCCTGACCCGGAACCGGGAGTGGTGGAGAAGGAGAATTTGCTAGAGCGAGCAAAGGAGGCATTCGCATCCGCTGCATCCAATGCTGGGCTATTCTCCAGACTCATCCTCAATCCGGGACTCAAGCCCGCTGTTCCCCTCCTCACCCTTGCCTCGAACTCGTCATCCAAGCGCTTCTGCGTCTCGCAATTCCCGTCGTAGATGAAGAGAAGCGAGCTAGCGTAGAATCTGTAACCCTTCAGCTGCCGGATGATGCGTGCAAGCCGGTACAGCTTCTCTAGAATCACGGGCACGTGGTGCAGCAGGAGCTTCTCCCCATTGTGGAAGAAGCGACTGAGGGCGCTTGCAAACTCGTCGGGTGGAACTTTACGGCCAAAGTACTTGTCCTGAAAGAGGTACGAGTCCTTCGTACAGTCGAAGACCTGCATGCCACAGATCCGCACCCCGTGGGTACGCGAAGTCGTCTTGTCGCACTTCTTCGTCTGAGACTTTTTCTTTGCTGGAGTGGCATCGAGTCCGTATTGTCGAGTGCCCATCTTGAGATCGAGGACGCAAGGGTGCTGTAGTCGACCTGTCAAGTCTTCCATGAGCAAGAATTGCTCCTGCCGTCCTGGGTACGGGTCAGTCTCCTTGGCAGGTGATGGTGCTTCTTGCTGATGTTCTGGCACAGGGTCAAGTTCCGGGGTAGCGACGCCCTGATCAGGCACCGTGGGGAATTGGACAGTGCTACCGCCAGAGGCCGAAGTCAGAGCACCGCCCCTTACGGACCTGCCTCTGGGAGCGGTCTTGTCTTCATTGCGATCAGCGAGATCGTCCATCGTGAACATACTACTGTCTGTCGAACCCCGACGATTCCTGCGGTGTTCTTCCTCGACCTGCGCAGGGGCAAGCTTCTCAAAGACATCCCCCACACTGACCGTCTTTGCTCTTTCCAAGCTAGTGCCAGGAGAGCTGTGCACAGGGGTAAGATCGAAACCAGCTCGTCGCTTGAGATGCAGTGCAGCGTCTGAGTGGACACGTCGAGGGCGGTTGCCAGAACCAGATGAAGCCTCTGCTGCTTCTCTGCTGGGCTCATTGCTCTGAAGATCTTCGACAGGCGAGCGCGGAGGCGTGCTCACTAGCCTCTCCCGGCGATTTCCCTCTCCCTCTTCTGCTCTCAAGATCGCCACTCTAGCTTCTGCATTGTCCCTTTCGCCCCTCCTGCCTGCACCCTCTTGACTCGCGTTCCACGCTTGAGCAAGTCGCTTGCGGTTCTTGTGCGCCCGGGCTCTCCTCTTTGAATCACCTCCGGCCGAGTAGTTCATTCTCTCGTCCTCGGAGTTGGGCGAAGAGAATACTTCTCTCAGCACCAATTCTTGCAAGCGACGGTTGACGGAGGTACATCCACGGCCTAGGAAGTTGTGGTTGTCCCGCGCGCCGGCCGTCTGAGGAGTTGAGCTTTCGTCCGGAGGAGTATCGAGAGCCTTCATCGTGCCTATCGAAGCGGAGTGGAAGCGCCTATAGGTGCGGCGAGGTGGTCGAGGCGAATGGAAGGATGCCTCCTCGTGGACGTCTGTCAAGGGCAGAGGAGCGCCCCCCGGACCGTGCTCGAGGCTGGAAGAGATGCGCTTGTCTTCTTCTGGTTCGACGCTGACGTGTCGCTCGGCAGACCTATGACTCCTTCTGGAGGACCGCAATGCAGCGGGCAAGGGACTGTTCATCTCAGTGCGACTGTTACCTCGCCTGCGCGGCGTTCCGGCACCGCTGCCTCCCGAGCCTTCAGTTCCATCTCCAATGCCACTCCTTCTAAGCATCCAGTCTGGCACGATATGCCTATTGAGGTCCAAAGCCACCTCTGGCACCTCTTCGTCATTGTTTTGCTGTCCAGAGAAGATCCTCCGAGGCTGGTCTTCCTCGTCTTTCTTTGCACTTTTCACTTCGTCTTCAGGATCCCTTTCGACATGCCTGTATGTGACATTCAGCACACCGAGATACTGAGGAATGAAGCTTAGAAGACTGGGAAACTCTCGCTCTACCGCTTCGTAGAACTGATTCTCTCGCGACACCAGAGGCTTGCACACAGCTCGTCGCGAGAACCGGAAGATGGCATTATGGCCGCCCACTTGATTGGTGAAGGGTTGAAGTTGGACGACTGTAGGAGCTGGCGTTGGACTAGCAGGAGGTGTCGAGACCCAAGCTTCGCGAGACGAGAGTGACTCCGGTTGAGGGTGAGATTGTCCCGAGTTCGGTACAGCGATAGAAGCAGAGCGGAAACCTCCTTCGGCGCTCTCTGAGTCATGATATGACTCCGTCTGATCGAATCCTCCTTCAGCGTCGCTTTGACCACTCTGGTAGTCCATGGATGTCGTTTGCGACAGAGTCTCGTGGTCCTCCCTATCTCCGGCCTCGGTCTCATCCTCATCATCCTCGAACTCGATGTCGGCCGAGAGACGTCGGGAGTCCCAGCCGGGCTTCTCGAAATCCACAATCTTCGAGCTTGGATTCCCGGGGCCCGCAAGTAGCGACGCTGGTGTCATTTTGGGCAACGTTGTTGACGAGTGCTGAGAGCTGTGGACCTTGTCGGGTAGAGCTTGTCTAGAAGCGTCATTTGCGTCGAGCAGCTTTGGTGAGCCTGGCCTACCAGCGGACGACGCCCTGGAGCTTGTTCTTGATGCAGACAACGAGGGGCGAGAGTGGTATGGTAAGAGCGGTGGACCCATCAGGTCAGATGGGGTCGTTGGCTGCCTGGGTGTGTCAATGCCTACTTGTCGTACAAGGGCAGCAGTTGAAGCAGGTTGCGAGCCCATTGGACTTTCTGCTTCAGCAGTAGACAAAGGTAGCGCAGGCTGAGGCAACCTGCCGATGTCTGGCAAGGAGCTCCCTGGGGTCTGAGATGACCACATCACAGCTCCTCTCGCCAAGTCGGCAGCACTGGCTGAATTGGGAGGATCTCCTATCACACCAGTATTCCTCCGACTGAGATTGCCAGCATCCGTCCCGGCGTTGATCCCCCACGGACTCCTTTTTGCGGGCTCAAAGACCACACTGGAAGCAGAGGGGCTCGTAGTGCTGCCCGGTCCCGCTCCGCCCGATCTCTCAGCAGCCCTTGTAGCAGACATAGATCTCGGCCCAGTCTCTTTGAAGAGCTGAAGACTGACAGAAGCCTTGCGTCCCGAAGAACTGCCCGGCGGTATCATGACAGCAAGGTCAGCATCAGAGAAGAGCTGCTCCCCTGCCTGTCCATCTCGAGGTAGTAGGTCAGAAAGACCATCTTCTTCGTCCTCGTCATTAGCGGGAGTTTTGCCGGACGCTGCGCTAGCTGTGCGGAAGTACCTAGCCTCTCTCGAGGAAGCGGTATTCCGTGCGGGCCTTCGAGGGGGACTGGCTTCAACCTCGCCTGAGTAGCTTCGTCGCGGGCTGATTGGTCCTTTGTGTGGTGGAGGCCGAGACGATCCTGCAACTGGAGAAAGGGACCGATCGGTGGGCCTGCTTTGAGAGAGTCCATACGCAGAAGGAGGCAGCATCTGTACCCTCTCGCTAGAGAGAGCCGACTCGAGAGGAGGACGTGAGCGGGAAGAGCCTGGAGCGCCCTGCGGAAAGGTATTGGGAGACCTTACAGCGTTCTCACTACTGATCGTACTCCTGGTTACGGAAGGTCTCCGAGCCGCCGCTGCTTCCGACCTCTTCTCCATGCCGCCCTTGTAAACATCCGGGGGAGAAAAGACGCTGGAGTCTGGCTTGGGGAAATTCGGGGGCAGAGAGATGTGTAGGCCATCGCGGTAGGCAGGATTCGGGGCTGATCCAGGAGCATATATTGCCTGAGCCAGAGCGGACGGTGGTGGAGGTGGGCTCATAGATGAGGTAGTGGTGGATGTTGCGGGAGCATCGGCCCTGCGCTGGTTCGAAGACCCATTGACTGGAAGGGCGGATTGATCATTGAGGTTCGGCCGTGTCTGCGCCTTAAGACGATCTTCGACGCTATCTGTGTTCATGGACTGGGCGGAAGCGAGGCGATGGTCGAGTGAGGGTGAGTGAGTTAATCAAGAGGGGGTGGTGAGAGCGCAAGAAACTCACCAGTTGCCAGCCAGATTCATGTGATTGGGTCTAGCAGTTCGGGGGTGGAAGGGCTGATCGGTAGCATACGGTACAGTCCGAGACGTAGGAAATGCACCGTACAGAGGAACTGCAAGGGACTGTGACGCGCAAGGCGGATACCACGATCGTGCAACGCGATGGCGGAAAGCGCGGGGGATGATGAGGAAATTGCTCTGCCTGAGCCAAGCGTGTGTGTGGGTAGAGTAGGGATCGTATCAGGGTCTTGTGTCCGTCGGAAGCGAGCACGAGGAAGCTCAACGTGCTCCGTCTGTTCCTATGTCCGTGTTGCAACGTGGGCGGGACCGGTGTCAGATAGGGTGAGACCGAATCCGCGTGGGCGGGCGGGGTGTGGAGGGCCGAGGGTGTTCCTGAGCGAGCGAGCGGAGAGGTCAATCTTGGCAGATGCCTATATGGAAGACGCCAGAGGAGAGATGCAAAGGAGAGAAGGAGCGGCGGGATGATCGTCTGAAGGAAAGGGGAGCTGTTATGGTATGATGGAATACGAAGACAATCGAGGCAGCGACGATGATCCGAGGGGCGAGGATGATTAATTAATTCAACAGGCGCCAAGTCGCGGCCGCACATTCATTGCCTGCCACGCTCCACCCCTCCGCGCCTCGGCCTCTGCACCTCCGCCCGCCCCCGCGTTTCTGGGTTTTGCGCATATCGGTGGCCAAGACTACACTCGATACTTCGCAAGGTGAAGCGAGCCGCAGCTCTCCGTCTGGTCTAGCAGTCAAAGCTTGGCAGTCGGACAACAAGCCCTGCCACTCTACAGTGCTTTGCCTGCTCACGGAACGCCTGTCCTCGGCATGGGCCCGGCCAGTACGGGTCAGCAGAAAAAGCCATGGCAATCTCTTGCAAAGGCCGCAATCTCGATGGTCGCTGACAGCGCAAAAGGAGGTGGGTACGCGATAGGTGTTTCTTCGTTCTGTACATAGCAATAAACCGTAGAGTCTCATCTCTTCCACATTCCACATGCACTTTCGTCAGATCTTCTGCCGTGCGGTGAGGAGCCACTCCGCCTCCTCAACTCCAGCCTAGAGCTCCTCGCTGAGCTGCCTTTCACAGAGCACAACCTCACATCTTGTGTGCTCAATTGCGAGGACCTCATCGCTCGGTGTGATGCAGCATTCCGCTCCGGGCCTTGGAAAGATGTTCCGAGGTACTGGAGGCGATTATATGCGGATGCGGCCATTCTCAAGGCCGTTAGCAAGATTGGCACAGTCCAGCTTGCGCAAGAGGCAAATCAACAGAACAGCGCAAGCCAAGCTTCCTCGTCGAAGCGAAAAGTCGAAGACCCTCAGCAAGAGGTCAGTCACGAAGAGTTTCATGAAGCTCTGCTAGACTGTATCGGCACACTAGACCTTGCCATTGTAGTGGCAGGAGCACCTGGTTGTGGACGTAAGGAGATGATACTCGACCTCATCGAGGTCAGTCAGTCACGCCTCTCGGGTCGGTATTCTCTGCAAGACTACCATACGAAGAAGGCCCGAAGATCTTCAGGTGGCGCTTCAACGATCTCACTGACCACTCAGACAGTGCATCACCCCCAAGTGCGAGCTACTGTCCGGATCCCGGAGCCATCCAGTGCTCCAACATTTGACTCTTTCATAGCCAAAGATCATAAAGTCCCGTTTGTATTGCGAGGCTTTGCAAAAGATTGGCCCGCTTGCGAACAGCTGCCTGGCCAACCGCATACTCGCTGGTCCAGCGGACAGTACCTCCTCGAGACCGCTGGAGGCAGAGGTCGGGTCGTGCCTTGCGAGGTGGGAGGCAAGTACTCCGACGACGATTGGGGACAGCAAATCCTTCCTTGGCAAGATTTCCTCGCTCGCTCTGGCTGGCAAGTGGGCTCTTCAGACATGTCAGAACACGAGCCATCCAGGCAGACGCTCTATCTGGCCCAGCACACCCTCTTTGATCAATTTCCCAAGCTCGAGGCAGACATTCTTCCCCCGGACTACGTCTTTGCAAGCGCTGAGATATCCGGATACGCCCCTCCAGTGAAGACCATGGAGGGAGACGAAGATGATGGCGAACAACGGCGTGTCATCGAGGACGTCGTCAAATCGGTCTGGATTGGGCCAGAGGGTACAGTCAGCCCTGCTCACACAGATCCCCACTTCAACTGCTACAGTGAGTCCGGAGAGGTCCGGCTAGGTCACGTAGTTCCTCGTCCATACTCATCCCTCATAGGGTCCTCTGTCCTCCACAGCGCAAGTCGTCGGGCGTAAATTGATTTGGGTGGCCCCTCCCTGGTGCGATCGTGGTATGTATTGCTATGGAGCAACTACGCCCTCTCCGCCCCCTACGTCACCTCGGACTTCCCCGCATGGCAAGAAAGCCGAAGCAAAAGGCCCCGAGAAGTCTCCGGGTGTGCCTGACTGGAGCTGTCTCGAGAGCAACGGCGATGACACAGCCTCAAACGCCAGCGAGAAAGGCGTCGACTTGACCGCTCTCATGACAAACACATCGCGCGTGGACGTTTTCTCCTCTGCGCCCACCGTCGAGGATGAGTACCCCAGATTCACTGATGAAGTGGAACCGGAAGCGATGTGGACTGTCTTGGAACCAGGGGATATGCTCTTCTTGCCTCCGCTGTGGTATCACGGGATGAAGAGCCTAGAGCGGGTAAGTATTGAGCGCAAAGAGCTCAGCGCGCGGTCTATGAAACGCCGTCTTTCTGCACCGCCTCACGATCTCTACCTCCTCTTTCCACCTGTTGCGCAGAGTTTTTCGGTATCCATGTGGTTCTAGCGAGTTCCGTGGGGTCTAATCTGATGGTGCCTGTCGCCAGCAAATTCCTCTTAGGTGCCGGTAAACCAGGGCCGGGTGCCTTCACTCCGGACCGTCATTGCCTTCGCGTACGCGCGCGGCCGGAGCAGTACGGGGTCCCGAGGGGCTGGGCCGGGTCATGGTATATTAAAGGGGCTCAAGAATTTGCGAGTCTCCCTTCTTCCTTCCTCACCTCCTCATCCTCCTTGGACGTAGGCCCATTCACCCCCCTCAACCCTATAACTCTGACACAGACATAATCTCCTCTACTCTCAAGGGCGATCGACCCAATCGTTCACCATGATGCTGCACCAGACCAACTGGGGTACGCTCTTCAGTCTAGCCGTAGCATATTTTGCTGTGGCCGGACCTTCGCTCGCCGATGCTCGCCTTCACAGCGCTACCTCTTCTCATGTCAGCACCAACGCCGAGTCTCTCACAGCTCGTGAGGTCTCTACTGGTGACAAGCCAACCCTGGTTGCCTTCGAGAGAGCCTCGGGCAACCCTTACAAGGCCTACGAAGAGAGTCTCAAGCTCAACAAGCGATCTACTGAGGGTGTCTTCCATCTGCCCGTCTTCCGTCGCGAGTCTCCTGATGCCAAGCTTCATCGACGTGCCAACACTCCTAGCACCACCACTGCTAGGACCAACATCGACCCACAGCTCCTTGTGGTCCCAGTCACCGTAGGCGGCAAGGCTCAGAACTACACCTTCTCTGTCACCTCGGATTACAACACTGCCAGGAATGTAGAGGACAACCCTAAGAGCTTCGACCCATCGAAGTACTCGAAGGCCAAGAAGCTCGGATCTGTCAAGGACGACTTCGATGACACCGCTACCGAGTACACTCTCGATGATATGGAGCTCTTCGGTGGCGTACCTGTCAACGGTGCTAGCCTGCTCTACCTCGATGCCAATGGCAACAAGCAGACTCTCAGCAACGGTGATCTCGGCTTTGGTCTCAAGGGCAGCGGTGGCTTCTCCGATGCCAAGGGCAAGACCACTCTGGAGGTGCTGCTCGAATCCAAGGTCCTCGCTCAGGATGTCTTCTCTCTGGCCCTAGGTGCAGGAGCACTTACGGACCCTGGAGTACTTCTCCTCGGTGCTTCCGTTGAAGCCGCCACTGGCGACAGTCCTGTCTACTCCAAGAGCTCAAAGGATCGATGGGCTCTCGACATCACCGTCAGCGGTCACAAGGGCAAGGCTGACCTCAGTCTCGACAGTGTCTACTTCACTACTCCACCCGACGTTGCTACTGATCTGATCAAGAAGGCTGGCCTTAAGCCCATCAAGAACCAGGCAGGTGACATTGTTGCCGAGGTTGACTGTGTCAAGGGCACCTCCAAGGCCGTCACCATCGAACTGGAGGGTGTCAACCTGGTCCTCCACGGCCCAGCCACGGTCATTCACGTTGCCGACAAGAAGTGTTACTTTATGGTCCAGGGCTCCGAGCAGGGCAAGTACCCAACGCCTTATACTCTCGGTGAAGCTATCTTCTTGTCGTACAACGTTTATTTCGATCTGTCAGGCGACACACCGAAGATCGGCTTCGCTCTTCCTAGCAAGGCCTCCCCTCCCAGTGAAGCTGGCAAGGAACTCCAAGCTGCTGACGACGAGGCTATCTCGGAGCGAGACGATGATTGCGACCAAAATGAGACTCGCGGCTGGTGCTGGGGATGTGATCCTCACAGCATCCACTGCGTAGACCGTAGACGTCGAGAGCCCGTCGAAAAGCTTACCAAGCGCGAACTTCAGCTTGATGCGGAGCTCAAGCGTCGTTGCGACAACAATGAGAGTTACGGCTGGTGCTGGAGCTGCGACCCTCACGACTACCACTGCGACCACGAGCGACGACGAGCGCTGGAGAAGGTCATGGCAGCTGAGCGCGCTGAGCTTGAAGACAAGGCTGCCTCTCAACTCGCTCGCGATGTCAACCCTGAGGCCTTCTGCGACCCTGACGATGACGGCGGAGGATGTGCTATCGAGACACGAAACACCTTCTGCGACCCTGACGACGACGGTGGAGGATGTGCTATCGAGACACGAAACACCTTCTGCGACCCTGACGATGACGGTGGAGGATGTGCTATCGAGACACGATCCACGGCTGCCCCGCAAGTCAAACGCGAAGATGGCTGCGACGACAACGATGGCTACTGCATTCCCTGCCAAGCTAATGACCCAGACTGCGAACGCCGCCGCCGACGAGACCTTGATGCCTTCTGCGACCCTGATGACGATGGTGGATCATGCGCTCTCCTGCCCGCAAGAGCCGAAGCTCGTCGCAAGGTGGCTGAGGCCGTAGCAGCTCGATCAGCAGCAGTCATCCACTGCGACCCTACGAGAGATGTCCCATGCACAGTCACTACCTGCGAACCGTCCGATCCTGAATGCAACCCTCACAATGGAAATGACGGCGTCACAAAGCGCGCGGCTAAGGCTTGCGACCCAGAAAACGAGGAGTGCGGCTCTGAGGAAGAAGCGGACTGCGATCCCCTACAGGACCCCGATTGCCTCAGTCATCCCAGGCGAAGCAATGTCGTTCGTAGGGGAACGGGTCCTTACGGCTGCGACCCCGATGATGGCGTCTGCATCGCCTTCAAAGGCGTTCCATCTTGCAACCCTTTCACAGGTGAGAATTGCCATAACCACAAGCGAAGCAACGTCGCAGATGAGGGCGATGGCCCATACGGCTGCGACCCTAACGATACCGGCTGCATCATCTTCAAGAACAAGCCATCTTGCAACCCTTTCACAGGTGAGAATTGCCATCACCACAAGCGAAGCAACGTCGAAGATGAGGGCGATGGCCCATACGGCTGCGACCCTGACGATACCGGCTGCATCATCTTCAAGAATATTCCATCCTGCAACCCTTTCACAGGTGAGAATTGCCATAACCACAAGCGAAGCAACGTCGCAGATGAGGGCGATGGCCCATACGGCTGCGACCCTAACGATACCGGCTGCATCATCTTCAAGAACAAGCCATCTTGCAACCCTTTCACGGGTGAGAATTGCCCTGGCCACGAGCGAAGCAATGTCGACAGCAGGGGGCTCAAGATCCCAGCCTGCGATCCCGAATTTGACCCCACGTGCGGTTTCGCATTCTGCGATCCTAAAGACCCTGGCTGCAAGCGAAGCGATGTCGTCAACAAGCGCCTCGAGGCTCCAGAATGCGATCCCCAGATTGACCCCGGGTGCGGTTTCGCAGTCTGCGATCCCGATGAAGACCCTAACTGCGGGCAGGATCGCAAGCGAAGCGTGATCATCAGTGAGCAAGTCGAGGCTCGAGAATGCGACCCTGAAGACGACCCCGACTGCGCATTCTACGAAGACCCGAGCTGCAACCCTGACAAAGATCCCGGATGCATTGGACACCGCAAGCGAAGCGGAGCCGCCACGAAGCGGCTCGAGGCCCTAGCCTGCGACCCTCTCTTCGACGACTGCGGTCCCGTAAGTGGTCTTGGGTGCAATCCTCTCACTGACCCCTCGTGCGCCCACAAATCCAAGCAGAGGGACGTTGTCAGTGAACTGGTCGGAGCTCCACCCCTGTCTCCCTATTGCGATCCTCAGCAGGACCCTCTCTGCCCCCATTCCCAGCAGGAAAGGGCAGTAGGCGGACCTGGGCGAAAGAAGGAGGGATCGCTGATCTGTATGCGCGGCTATACTCCAGAATGCCGAACAAAAGAACAGTGGGACCAATTCTTCCGTTCAATCGGTCACAAGAGAGCTTTGTCCAGCGCGTCTCCTCCTCGAGGCCCACATCGTCCGCTCCTTTGCGTTCCTGGCGACAATCCGGAGTGTAACGAGCACAACATGGGAGGCATCGGAAAGGGTCCTCACGGACGTTAGACGACTTACCTAATCGTGAGCCCGCAAGCTCCCTATCGTCAAACAAAGACGAATCAGTGCCCCTATCTTCTCCCCCTAACCATCATACCTGCTACCTGTGCGCACCGTGCCTACACAACCCCATAGCAAATTATCATCTTAATTCCTTCCTCTTCTTCGATGTCTCTCTACAGAAGACAATGCACAATTCTTTTCCTTTATTCAAAGTGTATCGTCGGGTGGGTGCTTCCTTTTGGCTCTGCGTGCTGTGTTGACGATGCGTCTTGTAAGCGATGGGCGAGAGGACAATCATCAGCGGAAAACCGGAGCACGGACGGACGACCGACGACAAGTCCGTTGTGATGTGGCCCATCTCATGAGACAAACCCACCGTGGCTCTTCCTCGGGAGCAACAACAAGTAAACGTTGCTCTCCGAGAGGAGGCACAGCTCGGACCTTTCCAACCCGTTTGAGTTTGCTCTCGACAAAGACGCCCTTCCAGTCGGACATCTGTAACTTTGCCGATCCTATGTAATGAGCTCGTTGATGCTGCCGTGGCATACTCTTTGGATAGACTCTATTCTGCGTTACGCGCTGGTCGCTCAAGCTGGTCTTAGGCTTCCAGCGATGAAGCTTTCTTTGTGCTTCATCATCCTGCTGGTGGTCTCCATAGCGGCATCACAGACTACTGCCAGGCCCAGCAGATTGACCGCTCGCACTTCGCCCCCGAGTGGATATCGTCGCAATCGCCGGGGGGAGCGCATACCAGAGCTACAGCAGTCGTCCTCGAGCAGCTCGTCAGAAGGAGGAGACGCTGCTCGCGACCTCGGCGCATTCATACTGCCTTCGACGCCCCCACCGTCAATGCCCTGCTCTCCACGAGGCTTGCCGCCCACTCGCTGTGCGAGCGCACAATCCTCAGAACTCAATATCCATACCCCAAGTGGTAGTCCGACGCCGATCGTCAGCCCGGAGGCAGCGCCGCGGACGGCTGTGGCTGAGCGGAAGGGGAAATTGAAGAAGCTGCTGGACTCGTTGAAGAAGAAGTGGAAAGGCAAGAAGAAGACCGGCACTTCGGGAGTCAGGCTGCCCTCGTCTTCCCTTACCTGACGAGAGCAGCGGACTGCATTGATATCACAGGAAGGACGGAGGTCAGGAGCACTCTTACTTCGAAGGAAGACCGGAGTCATGAGAGCAAAGGACTTATGTGATTTTGTGAGCACAGACGGTCGGGACACGACCATTTGCCAGCCAACAGGCAGTACACAAGCTATGCAGAAGCCCTCTCATTTGACTCAGCAATAATTATCTCGAGGCAACCTTGCTTGCCTTCTACATCATCGATCTTTGCCTTTTTGCCCCGAGACGAACTTCCTAGCGCACTTATCATTCAGGAGAGAAGTGCAGGCTGAAGTTTTCGCGGAGAGGAAAGACGGGTCCCACTTTTATATGCTCCCCCAGTCTCCCTCTTTCCCTCCTGCCTACATTAGATCAGAGCTGGTCTCCAGAAATTTTACCCTCCCCAACCTTGCAAGGGCGCCTTTTCTTCTCTAGACTCAGTCGTTGTATGAGGCTGTCCACTTTTGGCCTGCTCTGGGCTGCCAGTCTTGTCACATGTGAAGTGATGGCGATGCGGGGTCAACAGCTGCAAGAAGAGCTACAAAGCTTAGCAACAGGCACACGACTCAATCGACATGGCGAGGAGATCTCCGCTACACAGACTTCATCACCTACAGCCTCAGCAGATTCGAGATATGACTATAGCCCATGGGAATTTCCGGCCAGCCTTGAACACTCCGCGCCAACTTCGGCAGCGCAGAGTCGTGTGCCCACTGCTCACCCCTCTCATCAGAGCTTGATATCAATCGCCCAATCTCCAGTCTACAACGTTCACACACCGAGTCCGGCCTCAACGCAAGGCTCCGATGCAAGCCCGAGTCCTGCCCAGACGGAAAATTCGAGTGCGACCCCAAGCCCAGGGGTTAGCCCGGATCGCCCTGTTGTGCCGGAGCAGAAGAGGAAAAGCTTCAGAAAATTGGTCCAGACATGGGCGCAGCGGTTCAGAGGCTGCACTTCGCGTGCTAGACCCAGCCAATCCAGTTGCAGAAGTACCGGACCCAGTGCCGGAACGCCTTCGCCTCCATCGTCCCCGCCGCCGTCGCAGCGCCGGTCGAGACCACGCAGTGGACTCCGGCTGCACTCACCAGGGCGAGGTTGATAGCAAGGCTAGTCTGTACTCGGTAAATCTACTGCTATGTGGAACACTTGCAATTGAGCCGTGCCAACAAAGACAGAAAAGTGTGAGCGCAAAGCGGTCGGAAGAGGTCCGAGAAGCGTTTGCTAGCAATCAAGTGGGTGCGCAGGAGCAAAAAGAGCTACAGTACACGATGGCACTGTCGCAAAGTGACCTTGCCCTCACGCTTGCGACCCTTCCCAATCACAATTTTGAGCTCACCCGAGATGTTGCTGTCTGCTTAATATGACCCGCAACCCACACCTTGTAAGCACCTTTCGAGACAGCCTGTAACACTGTACTCGGATCCCATCTACCTCCAAGGCTTGATACGATTGACTCAAGATGCATCTCACAAGCCTACCAGTTGTAGTGATATTTACCATCGCTGTGCAGGTATCAATAGCGACGACAGCGCCACCAGATCAGCTCCTGATTGAATCAAGAGGGTCTCGTTCAGGTACAATGCCTACCTCTCCAGAATTGCAGTACGGACGTCTCAACCGCCACGGGGAACGGCTCCGGGCTACGCAATGGTCCTCAGGTTCACTGTCGTCAGACTGGCGACAGCTTCCCTTTCCGTTCCAATGGGGTACTAGGCGGCCTTCGTGGACCGACTCCAGCCACTATCGTAGCCAGTCACCCAGCGTCCCTTCATCTCCGGACGGCATCGAACAAGCCTCGCAGTATTCTACGCCAAGTCGAGGTCCTTCAGGAGACCATCAGCTCAGTCCGGAACGCGAGCAGCCATCATCGCCTTCAAGCCCGCGACAGCAGACTCCCTCTAGCCGCCTATCTAGCCCCATCCGTCTGCTCAGTACGGACAGAATCACTGGGACGAGCCAAAGCGGAAGTCCAAATGTTGGTCAACCTGTTGGCCAACCTGCCCACGCTGAGCCGACCCGATCTCACTCATCCCTTGGCCAGCGAATCAAAGTAGGCGTCAAGAAGGTGTTCAAGAATGCTGGAAAGGCTATGAAGAAATGCGTCTCGTGTGGCCAGCCTGGAAGCCCACCCAGGCTCACGACGCACGGTGCTCCTCGACATCAAAGATGGAGGTAGGCTGCCGGGCGGGCGGTGCTCATTTGAATGGCCTCTCGAAGGCTGGAGAAACGGGCGAAGAGGTGCGACTGAGCTGGCAGGTCTGCTCGGAAGAATCGGCTGCGTCAATGTACAGGTACCGCATGAGGCCCAATTTTGATGCCTTGAACGGCCGTATTTTGTACGCTATCACGGTAGGCACCTCATGTCCACCAGTTAAGCTCTAATTTCTCTAGTCGTCGCCATGTTACAGTACATCATCGGTCTGCGCCTGATCTTGGGCAATGTGGCCCTTGGAGCGCGTTCACTTGCCCGACATCTTTGCGCTCGGGCAGTCACCAGCAGATCCTGTCGGCGTTGGTGATCGCGTTTCTCCGGACTGCATTTGCAGTCATTAGTCAAGACCGACAGACCCAGCAAGCGTTCACCAGGCAATGCAGCGGCAGCAAATGCATCAGCGAGACGAGATTTGCCATGGGATCTTGCTGCTGCGTTGCGCAGAGCAATTGAGATATGAGGACTGATTCGATCTGCATTGAAACCGCTTCCAGCTGACAAAAGACAAGTTCATCTTCACTAGCTCGGCATCCGAGCTTTCGAGACAATAGTACCAGTCCTGACGGCGTCCCGACATCTAGCACGCAACGATCAGAGCTAAGGCCCGCAACCAAGCAAGCTCGGAGTCGATAGCTAGCTCCACGGGTCGGCCGGAGTTTGTCGCCCATTGGCTACACTTCTTGACTGTGGCAGTTTTATATGCGCTCATTGAGCTGTGTTGTCGCCGTCGTCTGATGTCGGTCTTTCATGTATCACAAGCTTCTGCATAGGCTGGCCTTCTGCAATTTGTGACCTCATACTTCCTACTACTCTCGATGAGAGCTTCAACTCTTTACATTTGCCTCTTCTGCTGTCTGACATGGGCCCACGCAACGGGTGCCACTCAACTTCAAAGACGCTTAGGCCGCAATTGGCGCTCTCGACACAATCGACATGGGGAGCCGGTGCCGTCAACACAGCATTCATCACCAGGAGAGGCTTCGCCGACCCCGTTTCCCTGGGGCCATGGGCTGCCACGCTTCCTAAGTGAGGACCTCAGCTCTGTACATGGCAGTCCGGTGCCATCTTCGCCCAATACTGTCAGGACTCCAGCTTCTGGATGGGCTTCGTCACCCCGTAGAAGCCCAGACTCAGTCAGGCCTTCGAGCTCCACCCATCCCATCCCCATCGGCCCGCCCAGAAAGGGGCTCAAAAAGTTCGTCAACATACTCAAAGGCTACGTAGGCTTCAAGAAGGCAAAGGGAAAGCGTTCCTCGGGCTTAAGCTCGAGCTTAGCCAGCTGTTCGAGCGCGCGGACTTTGTCCGCTTCCTCCAGCACCACTGCAAGCCCCTCTCCTCCAAGGCCGCCCCGGCCAAAACCTCGAAGTGGCATCAACATGTACTCTCCCGGTCGCTTGTGAATTTGAGAATGCAAGTGCATGAGGGTAGCTCGGAGGTCGGACATATGGCGTCGGTTTGAAGAGCTGCAGCAAAGGCAAAGGCGTCAGCTGGGTTTGCCGACCGTGGTTGCTATGAGAGGTGCATATGAGTTGTTTGCTTTCCGGGACGTGGAAGTCTTTGCTGTGAAGGAATGCAAGCGAGGGCAGAAGCATGAGGTATAACTCGAAGTCTTTCAGCAGCTTCGTAACAGTCTTGTCCTCTCATCTCTTCAACCATCACAAGCATACACTCCCTCGACATGCACTTCCTTGCGCTCTTGTTGATCCTTTCCGCCCTCGTTGCCAATGTTGCTGGTATGCGTAGTGGGCCTGGGGCTCTTCCTCCTGGGCACGAGCGCATCTATGGTCAGCGTTACAATCGACACGACGAACCTGTCTGGGACGTGCAAGAGTCCTCCCCATCACGACCTTCGTCGCCGAACACTGACGCCATTGGAATAACCGCTTGGCAGATCAGGCAGGCACAGCGTACTGCTCCCACTGCTCGAACTGCCCGACCACGTAGCCCCTCTCCCGACGGCGGATCTACTCCTCGCAACTTCGCCACACCACTGCCCACCCCGAGCCCGCCACGCTCTGAACAGCGGCGCAAAAAGGGCTTTGGTCTGGGCAAGCTGCTTGGTTGTCTGACCTGTGGAAAGCCTGGTACATCTGGATCACCTGGAAACAGTGGTCGTCGTCGTTACGCTTCGCCTGGTGCGAGCCCTCGGAGCAGTCCTTCGCGGCATGGAAGCAGGCGCCCAAGTGGTGGCGGTAGCCCGGGCCATGTTTCCGTTGCTGCTTCGCCTGAGTCACAGTACTACCACGCCGGCTCGAGTGGAGCATGGCGTCCATGGGGTGAATGAGCAGTTGCCTCGGCAAACGTGAATTGTGAGAACGTCCCAAGCATAGTGGTGAGAAACACCAACAGAGACTCATGACACAGACCAGGCGTATCCAGGCCGTATGACTGCATGACTGCTCGGCTGTTTCCGAATTGCACTTAACGCTGGTCGTTGTAATCGTGTGCACGCGCATGTCCGCATTTTCATCCGAGTCTACCTGAATTCCCACGCCTGATGCCTCAGCGTTATAAGCCATGCGCTGCTTCACAACACAAAGGATCTTCGGGAAGACGGCGCGGAAGACGCTCGACCGGTGCATGACTTGTGGGCCATTTGCACCTCTCTCGCTGTGCTATGAGCGAGGTCACCAAGAGCTGAGTCTTATCTTTGAAGGTACCAGTAGTCGCAATGCGGACGCTCCAGCGTCTAGTGCTGCTCACCTATCGTGAGATCTGGGGCACGGCTCATTATACCCGGAAAGAAGCCGACGTAACCTCGGCATTCGGGAATCTTGCTTTGTTCTACTTTTCGTGAGCTGCTAGCTCCGAAGGAAGAAGACTTGCCTTTGCCTCACTTTTCCCGCATTGTCGGCCGTACCACGAGCCACGATCGCAGCGCGGGTAATTTCTGCTGGATGAACGTCTAGACGATGCCGACGTTGCCACGTTCGGCGGACCGCATGCAGGGAGAAGCAGGCACCAGACGCGCAGGCACCGCACACGCAGGCACAAGACGCAGGGGCCGATTCGGAAAAGGCGTCGAGGCGGAGTCGAATAAAGCGACGAGGAATGGTAGAAAGTCACCGCAACTTGCCGTAGGCTCGTAGCCAAGGGCCCTTCCGCACCTAACGTCCTCCAGCCTTGGGAGTGTCAGCAGCCTTGACAGCCAAAGACCGGAGACGCCATGGCATGGGCGCCGGATCTACAGACGGGAGGCGTCTGCAATGATGACCAACGGGTCAGGTCTCTATGTTCCTCTACCTCTTATCTGCCCGGTGCTGACAGCCGCTTCCATCGCAGGGAGCAAAGAAATACCTCGAGTAGCCTAGCGATAATGGGCCATAAGATCTGAAAAGCTATATGTAGCAGACACCCCGACAGCTTTCTCCGACTCCTCCATCATCCTTCATACCTCCTCGGTCGATCACTATCCTCGAGTCTCCTCCTCCATCTCCTCCTCCGTCCCCGGCGTCCGGCAACGATGCTACTCCCCTCCTCCCTCCTCCTCTCTGCTCTTCTCTTCTTCACATCACCTGATGTCGATGCCAAGCTGCACAAGCGCAATGTCCCTCTCGCAACGGAGACCTGGGTCAAGCGCGACGTCGCAGCTGCCGAGGCGCCCGTGACCTTCTCCCTTGCTCTGACCGGTGAGAACTTCCATGAGCTCGAGGCAAGGATGATGTCCATCAGCAAGGAAAGGGGCAACTGGCTCAAAAGAGATGAACTGGCATATTATACACGCCCTTCGGAGCTGGCAAAGCGACACGTTGAGGAGTTCCTCGCAAGCGGAGGCGTTGCCAGGGACGAGATTGCGTACAGCGCCCACGAAGATGTCGTGACCGTGCGATCCAATGTCGGCACGGTAGCTCGAGTGAGTGTCGCTATAGACGTGACTGATCCATCCTGGCGATAGCTGTGGCTTACCTTTGTGTGCTCTTCCCTCTACATAGCTCTTCAACACCCGTATGCACGACTACGAGCACGCGCCTTCTGGAGAAATCTTCACCCGAGCGCTCCACTATGAGCTGCCAGACCACCTAGACGAGCACGTCCTCCACGTCCGTGGTGTATCTGACTTTGTCAAGGCAGAGCCTAGGCGAGGTGCTGGTGCCTTTGAGGGCGGCAACAAGCTGCCTCAGATGAAGAAGGTCGTCAGCTCTTCTACCCACAAGACTACCTCTACGAAGAAGGCCACGAGTACCTCTACGAAGAAGGCCACGAGTACCTCCTCCAAGAAGTCCACAAGCACTTCCTCCAAGAAGTCCACACCGATCAAGCAGGCCACTTCGAGCGTGAAGACTACGTCGTCGACGAAGAAGGCTACTTCTACTACCAAGCCGGCTACATCGAGTACCAAGAAGACGACTTCTTCGAGCACCAAGAAGACCTCAGTGTGCACCAACAAGGCTGCAGTGTGCACCTCTTCTGCCAAGACGACTTCGACGACGACAAAGAAGGCGACTTCGACCTCGACCAAGAAGGCTTCCACGACGAGCAAGACGACGTCGACACTCAAGACGTACTACGCTTCTGATCTGTCCTACCCTACTGGTCTCTCGAGCCCACACGAGTACCCTGCCGGCTGTATCGACACCAATGCCAGCTTCGCCTGCATTACTCGCATGTACGGTACCGACGTCTACACACCCACAAAGGACATTGAGTCGCTAGCTGTTGTCAACTACGGAGCTTGGCAGAACGAGTCTGTGCTGTCCTTCAACTCTCTTCACCAGCCCAAGGCTCCGGCGGGTTATATCCCCAACCAGGCCTACCTGGGTGACCCTGATGGTCTTTGGGATGCCAACATCACTGTTGATGATGGCGAGGCAATTCTCGACATCGAGTGCGCCATTGGTGTCGCTTATGGGCTCAACATCACCGCTTACCAGTCTAGCGTGGACTACACCGGCACCGTCGAGGCTCTGATCAACCTCCCCGATGCTGATCGCCCAGGTGTCGTCTCGATGTCGTATGGTCTTCAAGAGAACGACGTCGACAAGAGCTACGCCGTAGACTTCTGCCAGCAAGCTCAGATCCTCACCGCCCTCGGTACGACCTTTGTCGTTGCCACTGGAGACAATGGAGTTTCCATCAACAACTCTACGACCTGCCCTCCCTTTGCGTCGGACATGATGTCTTCTTGCCCCTACGTCGTTGGTGTTGGAGGTACTGCCAACTTCAACCCCGAGCGTGCGGGTTACGAGCCATCCCTGCCCGAACTGTACAATGGTTGGTCCTCCGGTGGCTTCTCGCGTTACTTTGACACCCCCTCGTATCAGAACGCCTCCGTCACCAACTACCTGGCTGTTACCAACAACAGCTGGTCTGAGTACTACAATGGCAAGGGCAGAGGATTCCCAGACGTTGCTGCGTACGGACAGTCCATCAATACAGTCCAGAAGACGGTGAATGGAGTGTACATGTACCTCGCGGGAGGCACCTCTGCCTCATCACCCATTTTCGCCTCGGTGCTAGCCCTGGTCAATGCCAAGTGCGCAGAGGCCGGTAAAGGTCGTGTGGGATGGATGCAGCCTACAATGTATGCTGCTGCAGATGCGGGTAACACGGCTCTCAACGACATTACCAAGGGCGGTAGCTACTGGTGTGGAGACTATGAGCGCGCACCGGGCTTCTCGTGCGAGGCGGGATGGGACCCTGCAACTGGTCTGGGAACACCTTACTTCCAGAAGCTCGTTGACATCTTTGGATGTAGCTGAGCGAGGAGAAAGGAAGAAGAGGAGGGGGGATTGGAATCGTAGGACAGGTCTTGGAGTGCAAGGTAGCAGAGGACATCACGTTGCTCGGTATTGCAATTGCTTTTCGATTTCGACCTTGTTGTTGTAGATGTTCTTCGTCGCATTCCCCCTTTCATGGACAATTTGTTTATGGCAACGCTTGTTTTATATCTTTCCCTGGTCCGTACCCAACCAAGGCCGTCCTGGTTGAGGGTCGTGAGAAGTATTGCAACGGTCGCCGACACTCCCCCCCTCATTGAGCCTGGTGCCCTTTGGCTGACGCGCGTCGAGGAAGAAGTGAGGGGCGCGGAAAAAGTGCTCTGGCCCAAGCTCAGGTGAGAGGAGCGTGGCAATGGTGGTCGACTCTACTTCCACCACTGCCGCACCCGCAGTGCCTGAGTCATATTCATCTACAGCCGCTGTACAGCCTCACCAAGGATACCCGGCGTCGAGATAAGGCTCAGTCGTAGCACCGCCCTCCTCCTCGCCCCCTTTCCTCCCCCCTTCGATGCCCCTTGGTCGTCTGACAACTTCGCTCTCGACTTTACTACGACCAACGCAGCGCATCTCCTATCCAACTACCACCGCTCCTCCTTCTCTCACCTCGCCACTGTCCTGGACACTTCGCATTCGACCCGCTTCGACAATGGCAGCCCAGGCCACTACTCCTTCATCCCAGAGCAACAGCATCGGAGATGTCAAGGGCAACTTCAAGCTGCTCCAGGACTTTGCCCTGCCTTATGCGCCAGAGATGAAGGTGCAGAAGTGGAAGAGTGTCAAGTCTGGTCTCACGCTAGTATGGGCCAACTTCCAGAGCCCTCTGTTGAACGCTTACCTCACTGTTCCCACGGAGATCTTCAATGATTCTGGTGTACCTCATACCCTTGAGCATCTCATCTTCCTCGGATCGCACAAGTACCCCTACAAAGGTCTTCTTGACTCCCTCGCCAACCGGGCCTTTGCCAATGGTACCAATGCCTGGACTGCTACCGATCACACTGCATACGAGCTGACCACGGCTTCCTCTGATGGCTTCCTACGCATGCTGCCCATCTACACCGATCACCTCTTCAGCGCCACAATGACCGATGCCGGCTTCGTAACCGAGGTGTACCACATCAATGGCAAGGGACAGGACGCCGGAGTCGTTTTCAGCGAGATGCAAGGAAGGGAGAACACCTCTGGGGACCTGCTCGCTGGACGGATACAGAAGTCTCTGTACCGCGATGGAAGCGCATATCGTAGCGATACAGGTGGTCTAATGGGCAAGCTGAGGGTACTGACGGTAGAAGAGATTCGAGAGTACCACGCCAAATATTACGCTCCACACAATGTAGCCTTGGTCGTGGCGGGCCCACTGCCAGCGGAAGAGCTCTTGAAGACGGCCAATGCCATCGATGACGATCTGATCAAGTCTGGCAAAGCGCCAGGACCATCAGGACCCAGTGGCTGGACCAGGCCTTTCCTGACCACGCCTTCAGCCAGTGCTCCAATCATCGATGGAACAGAAGCGGGCGATGACCCTTCGCTCTACCCAGTTGATGACGACTCTTCTCGGGACAAGCTTCGGAGAAAGAACACAATCGAGTTCCCCGAGGAAGACGAGTCCACTGGAGAGGTCTATCTCACCTGGATGGGGACGACGTGGGGACAGTGGCTCGAAGAGGAAGCTATCAGCGTCTTGGAGACCTACCTCACAGACAGTGCCGTCTCTCCGCTACAGCGGGCTCTCGTCGAGCGTGACGACCCGCTGTGTACCGACATTAGCTTCTCGTCCGAGACACAGGCTGGCAGGGGCACTCTTTCTGCCTACTTCAGCTCTGTCCCCACCGAGAAGCTCGCCGATCTCGACCTGGAGCTGATCAGACTACTGAAGAAGATTGTACAAGAGGGAGTCGACATGGAGAGGATGAAGATGTGCATCAAGCGCGATAGGATTAAGGAGCTGAATCAGCTGGAGGTCAGGACCGCCGAGTGCTTTGCAGACTCTTTGATCATTGATCACCTCTACGGCAAGGAGGATGGTGCGGATCTGCCTGCCGGTATGGATTCGATGGCCCGCTATGATCAGCTTGGCCATTGGACGTCAGAGCAGTGGACGGCCTTGCTCTCCAAGTACTACATCGACAACCCGAGACTGGTTGTAGTGGGAAGACCCTCCAAAGCTCTAGCCAAGAAGCTGAAGAAGGAGACGAAGGCCCTCGAAGCCAGCCGGAGGAGCGAGTTGGGCGAAGATGGTCTGAAGGAGCGTGCGAGCAAGGTGGAAGAGGCCCGCAAAATCAACGACCGGCCCATCCCCGATGAGCTACTGAATGGCTTTAAGATTCCCAGCAAGGACAGCATCCTCTGGATCGAGAGCGGTCAAGCATTGGTGGGTACGAGACCCAAGACGTCAGGTCAGCATGTGGCCTCTCCTCGCACATCGTTCGACGAGCAGCTCGAGAAGCATCTCAATCAAGATCGAGGATCCAGCGATAGCAGCCCGTTGCCCTTCCCGGTGCAATTCGCCCAAGTCTCATCTGCCTTTGTACGAATTACGCTTGTCTTTCCCACGACCGATCTGCCTTCACACCTTCGCCCGCTGATGGAGCTATACCTGGAGACCTTCTTCTCCCTTCCCATCAAGCGCAACGGGACCGAGCTCGTATCCTACGAGGATGTGATCAAGGGTCTCGACAACGATACTGTGGACTATGACACTCGTCTTGGCGTCGGCACTGGCTTTGCTGAAAACGTTTCGATTACCATCAAGGTGGAAAAGGAGAAGTACGCCCAGGCTGTAGAATGGCTGCGAGATCTAGTGTGGAACTCTGTCTTTGCAGTCGAGCGATTGAAGATCTCCGCTGCCAAGACGACGCAGACGCTGCCGGAGCTCAAGCGGGATGGAAGCTCCCTCTCCTGGGCACTTTCGCGCCTGCAGACGCACGATCTGGACAAGTCGACCAATGTCGCTACTTCAATCCTGTCGATTTTGACTCATATGCCTCTGCTGAACAAGGCTCTGGCAGAGACTCCTGACAAGGTCGTCGGTCAGCTCGAGGAGATTCGAAAGACGGTCTTTAGGCCAGACAATCTCGTCGTAGGCGTGACAGGCAATGTCTGCGGTGTTGAGCAGCCCCTGACCACCTGGTCGAAATTCACTGCCTCGGGCAACGGCTCCACAGGAGCAAGTGGTGCTCTACGTGTCCCTTGGACGCGCGAGGTGCTCACTCCTCTGGCTCTGACACCGTCCAAGAAGGGTCTCATCTGCCCTCTGCCCACCATCGAGTCTTCCTACAGCGTCTTTACCGGACGGGGCATCCTCGGGTACAATCAGCCTGATAGCGCTGCGCTGACTGTCGCCCTGGCCATTATGAACGCCACCGAAGGACCCTTCTGGAGGTGCATTCGAGGTGCAGGTCTTGCCTACGGTGCCGGCATCCGCGCTTCACCCGAGGCAGGTCTACTCCAATTCACACTGTATCGCTCGCCCGACTCGGGCAAGGCCTTCATCGAAGCGCGCAAAGTCGTCCAGACCCTTCTGGCCGACTCGTCTTCCTCTGCTGCCTCTTCTGAGCCCGGTCTCACCCTCGACCAGCCATCTTTGGACGCAGCCAAGTCCCTCTTGCACTACTCTGCCGCAGAGTCCGAGTCGAATCCTTCGCAAGCAGCCGGCGGCGTCTTTGTCGATGAGGTGATCAAGGGCGTGGGGCGGGGCAACGCGCGCAGGGCTCTCGACGACATTGCCTCTGTGGGTCTAGCCGATGTGCGACGTGTGCTAGTAGAGTACGTCCTCCCCCTCTTTGATCCTCAGACGAGCATTTGTGCTATTGCTAGCTCGCCGGGAAGGGTAGGGGAGATTGAAAAGGCACTCAAGGAGATTGGGTACGAGATGGAGAGGAGAGAGATTGATTTGGGCAAGGATGAAGGGGATGATGAGGAGATGGGCAGTGAGAGTGGAAGTGAGAGCGGGGGGTCGGAAAGTGAAGAGGGGACAAGCAGTGGTGATGAGAGCAGTACCGGATCGGGAGCTGTAGATGAGAAGAAGTGAGCGGACCAAGCTGGCGTAGACGCTACGTGAGATTAGGTACTATGGCATCTCTACAATAGATCATGATCATCTTCATCACCACCATCACGACTACCATAACCATCATCAATCGCAGCGCAGCGCAATGCTGCTTTCCTTGCGTCTTTCTCTCTCTGTGCTCTGTTCTGCTCGTCTCGTCTCTTCTCGCCTGCGTCTATGGTGCCGGGAATCTCTCCCCTCTGCTTGAATCGGCAATCTCAACGCACCTCGGAGATTTCTGTAGCTGCCCTCGTCTATTACGCCATTACCTCGGAGAACACATACCACCGGCAAATGAACGATTCCAACCTTTACGCTGCCTTTACCTCAGTTCGTTCAACTCGACTTCAGCGAGAGGGGGAGACTGTTTCCCCCCGGCCAGGAGCAATTCTTTTCCGAAAATAGATGCAGACGCAGACGCAGACGCAGGCGCAAAGGCCGTGGTGAACGTGGACGTGTACGTGGACTTGAATGGCTGGGCCGGTGAGGCACTCATCACTCCCAACATGCGTTATGCCGATGGACCTCTGCAAGGCAGAAGGAGCATTCACCGTGCCGTGGTCTTCCTTGCCCATTGGCCTCATCTATGCGGTGAGATGAGCGTAGGGCGTAGGTGCGTACCATTCAGCCCCACACGCCCGCCGGCCAGCCGCCCCCTGCCCCGCCCCGCACACGCAGCTCCTCTGCGCCACACTGCCCTCCGCCCCATGAGATCAGATCAGATCAGATCCCGTCCCCGCCCGGCTCTTCTTCCTTTTGCGTTTTTCCCCGCTTGCAGCTTGCAGCCTGCAGCTTCAAGGCGGTGTCCGCGTGTGGGTGGGTGTGTGTGGTGCCCCGCCTTTGCCTCGCCTCGCCTGGCCCAGCCTTGGTTCTCCTCCCTCGTAGCGTGCGTGCGTGACCTTTGCGGTTCTCCATCGGCGGCCTCTAGCTAGACTAGACAGCCTCTTGAAGCCAAGGCGCTCTTTACACTGCACTTTGCCCGAGAAGGAGAATACCGAAGCTAGTCCCCTCCCCCCACCCACCCCACCCCGATCGGTCGGTCGAATGGTCCATCGATCGGCTGGTCAGTTGACCTGACCGGTCACCGGTTCTGCACTCGCACTCGCACTCGCCCCAGCCCTGTCCTGTTCCCGTGTGCGTGCCCCGCCGTTGGTCCCTCCGCCCTCACACACGTAGTTCTAGCCAAAGATGCAGACTCAGAGCAGAAGCTGATGTACCTCCTCCTGTAGCTGTAGCTGTAGCTGCCTCTGTAACTGCACGAAAGGGCACACAAGGATCAAACGACGAGGCGCACCAGAAGTGTGGGGGTTTTGGGCCTTGAGAACACAGAGGAGGGGGGGAAAAACGCCAAGGCAAGGCAAGGTTAGACTTTCTCGCTTGGGCCTTCCCTTTATATTTCGGGCCGGGACCAGAGGCCGGATTCGGGGCGGGGGAAAGGAGAAGAGGCGGAGTAAAGGGGGCGGGGGGGAGGGGGGAAAGCGAAGCGGTGGGGAATGGCTTGGGGTAGGAAGTTGCTCTCTGCTCTCTCTCCCTGCTCTCTCTCTCTGCCGATGAGAGATGAGAGATGAGGGGACAGAGAAGCGAGGTAGAGGGCAAAGGCGCAGGCGAGCGACGGCCAAGGGACGGGACGAGGGAGGGAGGATGGGAGGGAGAGGGAATGCAGCGAGTGTCCAACTTGTCTCTGCTTGCCCGCTGCATTTGCTACGACTAAACATCGATACCAAGAAAGTGAAACCTATCCATTCATCCTTCTACATCTCACCGTTTCCCCGCCCTTCCCCCACACATTCATCCCGTGTCAAACGCTGCACACCCCCTTGGCCAATCACTCCCGTTGCCTTTTCCCCACACTCTACTCCACACCACACTAGATCTTCGGATCTCTTAGCCCCCCCTTCCGCACAACTCATCATCTACAGCGTCCCATTTGTCAATCTTGCTCGATCAGCCCCGCAATCTTTCTTATCTCAGGAAGCCTCGTAGCTCACGTCAATTAGCCAGCCAGCCAGCTAATCAAGGCTCATCAAGGTGAGTCAGCAATCAGCAGTCAACTAGGCTCGCCTCTTCTCGTTTCCGCGATCCGCGATCCGCCAAGTTTCGATTTGAAGACGATGCGATGCGATGAGGTGCGTGCGAGAATGACAGCACGTTCCTCGGGAGGTAGAGACAGGAGAAAGGGAACAAGGATGAGGGGAGCTGAGCGGGGATAGGTAAAGTCAGACAAGGGTGAGAACGCTGTCGTCGTTCCTACCCTGAGCTTTGCTCTGCTCTGCTCCGCCCGCCTGGTCCTTGTCCTTGTCTTTCACACGGGATGAGCTGAGGCCCGGAAGGCGATGCCAGTGCGGATAGATGTCACACGACGAGCCTTAGCGCTGCTACGTGGGAGGCTACCCGTCGTACAGGCTCCACAGGGGCCGTCGGAGCGGAGGAGGTCATGGCGCTACTTATCGGCCTAGGGGTGGAACGACGTGCACCGGAAAGGGCGATGGGCAATGAAGGGGGAGATGTGATGGAACAAAGCATGCAGCAGGGTTAGCCAGCCAGCGAGAGTGAGCTAAGCGGGTGTGGGGCACCTTCCGGTAATGGCGCGAGCCAGGCGCAGCGCGGCACAGCATACCTTTGCCCCGTGATTGTTCTGTCTGCACACAGACTGAGCAATGCGAGACCTTGGTACGCAGTTCAGTGCAGCACAAGGAAGGAAAAACTTCTTTCCACCTACTTCTTCTTTTCGGGTTGACCATCCGTGAGATGGTCATCCGATCCGCGGATGGGGTGGGCGGCGTTCTAGGATGCCGAGGGAAGCTTCAGCTCCATCGTGGGGTATGCATGAGGGAGACGGACCATGGCACGGCTTCTATCGCGGATGTTTGGTCTTTCTTGCGTCCATCTTCCGTTCCTACACGGGCCTTGGCAAGAGGACTAAAGGGCGTAAGCACCCAACTGGCCTCGACTAGTTGCGGGGCTACGACTCAACGAAACCCCAAACAGGGCTCGAGAAGCGCGGGGGTGGGACTTGCCGAGGCAAGTGATCGGTCTAGCCCTCGACATTCTTGCATTCCAAGAGATTTCGGCAGATCTACCTCGCTGCGGGTATGCGGAGAGTGTGTACCCGTAGCGGGATTATTTCACTACTGGCGCTGCGTCATATGGGTGGGGGGGGGATTTAGATTTCTGCCTCGCTCAATGGAGCTTCCGAAGCGAGATTCGGCCGCGGGCTGGCTGGCTGGCTGGCTGGGCCTCTTGGGCTTAGGTAGCTAGCTCCGGCGGGGGGCCGACGCCCAGAGGCGAGATGTCGCGGGTGATTTTTTCTTCTTCTCGTCGTTGTTCTTGGCCTGGCCTTGTCCCAGTGCGGCCCCGCGTGGTACACTTGGTGGGGGGATCCGGCTCCTGCGCGCCTCGCCTCCATGCGCCACCCGGGGCCACACAAGGCGGGGCGGCGGGGCTGCCAGGAACGCAGAGCGGCTAAGCGCACGCAGGTCGCCGGGGGAAAAAACGGGGGGAAAGGGGGAAGAGGAGGAGGAGGAGGAGGAGCAGAGGCAGCACAGGCGCACGCACACGCACACAGGCTCACCACCCCCCGCCGGCCCGCTTGCGCCTGCCACTGCCACTGCCTCCCCCCTCGCTCCCCCCCCCCCCTCGCCTTCTCCAGTTTTCACATTCCCATCCGTCGACCATCTCACACTTGGCCGCACCTCGCTTCCCTCTTTCACCATTCATCCAGGGCAATCCCACCCATCGTGGTACACCCCTCATACTCGTACTCACACCCAAAACCCCTATCTCTACACCTCACCACCCGTCACCCTCCCTCCAGCTCAGCACGCTGCTCTTCCCACGGCGTCTACCAGTCCCCGCAACACGTAATCACCCTCGCATACACTCTCACTCGGCACTTCTTTTATCGCCGCCAAAGATCCAAAGACGGAATTTCACCGCATCCTCTTTGCCCTTTCTCCCTCCCTCCCACCTCTCTTACCTTTGCTAGCAAAGCACAAAGCACAAAGCACAGCAACGCTCATCCTTGCCCCTGATATCACACACACACACACGCGTTGCCATCGTCTTTATCTTCAAGGCGACTTCGCACGCAATTCAAACAAAGTGCACAGGCAACCCCACTCGTGCCTAGTCACTATCTCCCCTCGCATCCGCTCAGGGGTTGGCTACACATCGAGTTCACCACTTGCATCTACAGCAGCGATCCGAGGTAGTCCTCATCATACAAGTGACTCGCCTTGAGCCTCACAATGGCTGCACACATCGCTAGCGGGATACACGAGGGTGCCCACGGAGCAGCCTCTGGCAGTGCATCCGATGCACCCCAGGCAGCTTCTTACATCGTGGACAAGTCCCAAATCCCTCGGCCGTACAAGTGTCCCCTGTGTCCCAGGGCATTCTACCGACGTGAGTAGCCACGATTGGTTTAGCATAGATGCATATACGCAAAGGTGGCACAGAAAGCTGACACTCACTGCTCTGCCTCATCTCTCATCTCTCACCTCTCCAGTCGAACATCAAACTCGCCACATCCGCACACATACGGGAGAAAAGCCGCATGCCTGCACGTTTCCAGGCTGCGAGAAGCGCTTCTCCAGGTCAGATGAGCTGACTAGGCATCTCAGGATACACCAGAATGCCGGACCCACACCTGGCGCATCCACTTCATCGAGCGGCGGTGGAATGAAGAGAGAGGACGGAAGTGGTTCAGGCAAAGGTGGCAGATCGCATCAGCATGGCCAGCAACATCAATACGGCGACTCGCGGCAAGGAGCCAGAAAGGTGGATTGGCACATGGCTGAGGAAGATGGCAGTGACGATGAAGGAGACTGGCACGACAGCCATCTGGCTCATCAACAACATCAATATGGACAGCATCCGTCAGCCCACGCTCCTCCTCCTCACCACTACGCAAGTCATCGCTCTCATCCTTCTCACCTCCCTCACCATCACCCTGAGCGATCTGGAGAGATGTCAGCCCTGGCTACACTAGCTTCAGACGAGCTTCACGAGATTGAGCGAGTGGAGCGAGAGAGGGATGGCGCTCCACACCATCACTCTGGCTATCACTCGCATCAGCACTCCTACGCTCATGCACCGCCGCCGCCTCCCCCTGGCCATGCATACGCACCACCTCACGCCTACCAGCACTATCCAGAGGCGCCAGGAGCTCACCCTTATGCTGCTGCTCCCTCGGCCGCACACGGCGGCGCTCCTCCGGCATCCTACTATGGTTCTGCTCCTCGCAGCGTCAAGCCTTCCGCCAGTGGTGTTTCCACTCCGGAACGCCCGCCTGGATGCACGCACGACGACTGCCATCGCGACTACAACCAAAAGGTTGCTGCAGCTCTTGAGCCTTTGCACCACCACGCTGAAGGCCGCATGCCCCCACCTCCTTCTGCATCGCACACAGCGTCTGCTCCTCACTCTTACGCACCCTCTTCGTCGTATGGAGCGTATGATCATGCTTCGCGGTACCCTGCACAGCCTTACGGTGGTCCTCACTTCAGCCGTCACCTTGCTTCGAATCCTTCTAGCATGCCGAGCAGTCGAGAGCATTCTCCCCGATACTCGCCCCATGACTCCAACATGAGCGAAGAGTACGGGTCAGAGGGAGAGCACGTGGATGAGCACGGCAGGCATCGCTCTGGATACAAGACCGGCCACCCCGCGCCTCTCATGCTTCCACAGCCCCGGCTCGCTGCTCCTGGACCTCCTCTTGCAGGACCTGTAGGCTACCCTTCTGCACCTGTGCCCGAATGGACCCCATCGAGCTCGCCTGTGCTGGGACCGCTGAAGAGCATGAGCCTGTTCTCGCACACTGTGCCCAACACTCCGTATGGATCGAGGCCGGGATCGCCTGTCAGGGGTCATCGTCTTTCGCCGCCCGATGCACGAAGTGGCTTCACTGTTGGTTCGCCACCTCACGCCGCTCTGCACGTCGCTGGTCAAGGCCACCATGCTCCACACCGCCATCGAAGCCATCCTTACGGTGCTCCCGTCGGAACTGGGCTTGGCGAGTCACGATCGCATCACCACTTGAGCTCTTTGGGTGCGCCGACTACGAGTGCTGCAAGGGCAACGATTAGACGTGGTCCTTCGTCCTCTGGTGGCGAGCGCAGCAATGGCGACCCCGACAGCAACGAGTCGACTCCTGCTGTCAGCTCTGCCACCTCTCCCATGCTGTCCAATGGTCGACCGCCGTTGTCGAGGAGCAACTCGAATTCATTCGGCGGAGGAACAAAGTCCACGAGCAGCCTCAGTCTCAGTGCCTATCACCTCACAGGCCCCACTTCGGACCAGGCAAGGCGACTTGTCAAGGAGCATGGCCCGTCGAGCGGCAGCAGGACCGCGTCTGACTCTTTCGCAGGCACGCGATCTGCCAATGCCTCGAGGACGCACTTGCCTTCCTTGGCTGCCGATGGATCGTCCAGGACTCTGCCTTCGCTCTTTCCCGACAGTGGAAGGCCAAGTGGCGGCAGCAGCCACCACGCGCAACCTCATCTGCACTCGGTAGCCAACGGCCACCACCAGCCTCTGCACTCCCACAGCTTCCATCCTTATGGACATAACAGTCACGGAGCGGGCAACAGCTCCAAGAGGTCAAAGTCGCGAAGTGCACCTGCCAGCCGAGCCACCAGCCCTCATACCTCGCCGTCGATGGCATTCAGCGCAGCACACCCTGTCCCTGTGAGCCACACCAGGCAGAGCTCCCACGGTCAAGGCGGTCAGCTGGCTGCTTCACCTCGCGATCAGGCGCCTTCCGCAGGCTCTAGTCCTCAGCACAGCTCTGGCTACCCTTCTCTAGGTCAAGGTCTGCTCAATGGACGTCGCACCTCGCAGCACTCTAGCCCCTCGAGCTCCTTCACTGGTGGTCCTTCGTCGATGATGATGATGCATCCCCAGTCTAGGCAGTCGTCTCCCGCGACCAGTGCTTCCGGACAGGGCAGTGGTGGACGAGGAAGCGTAGGCAGTATCAATCTGCCATCGATGGCAGGCAGCAGAGTTCACTCCAGTGGCGGAGGTTACAGCGGAAGCGCCAATAGTGGAAACGGTGGCAGTGGTGCCGGAGCAGGAGGAGCCAGCAGCGGTAGCGGTGCGCAATCTGGCAGCAGCGGCAGCAAGAAGAGCCTCTTTGCCCTCACGCCCATTCACGCCTCAGCGCCCCACTCCCCTTCACACCCGGCCCACTCAGAGGCAAAGATGACCCCTGCGGCATCCCCTGCCCTCGCTCACGCAACGAGCGGGATGACGCTCCCGCCCATCTCTAGCCTCAATGGAGGCGGAAGCGCTCGACAGGGAGAGGATGTGGAGATGTAACTGGCCACGCAGCGGATGGCAAAGGCAGGATCGTTGGACCACTTTTTTTTCTCTTCGAAGGTAGTAGTAGATGCGGACACTAGACAGAGGCAGGGCTCTCTCCGAGTCTCGGTCTCTCTTCCCTTTGAGTTCCCCCTCCTTTGTAATGTATGCAAAATCTCCCCCATCCCATCCCACCCCTTTTTTTTTGGTTCCTCATCTCCCTCCCCCCTCTCATTTTCCTTTTGGTTAGCTTCCCGCTCGCTCGCTCGCTTGTCTTCATGTACCCACCAGCCTCAGCCCCAAGCCCCAAGCCCTACGTCCCAGAGTTGGAACATGCGTTTATAGACCAAGCACCAATCATAGAGTTTCCTTCTTCTTTCCACTTCCAGTTTCGTCTCCGTCGGTGGGTTGATTAGGTGAAAGCCCTCTCGCTTCGATACGGTACTCTACGGTACGGTCCTGGCCTGGCCTCGAAATCGACCTCGACCTCGACCTTGACCTCGACCCTCGCTAAGGAGTGGGTGGACCTCGCTACTGACTTTCGGCGAATTTTCTTCAATCAATTGGCGGCGATTGTGGGCTCGTGGGCTCGTGGGCTCGTGGCTCGTGGCTGTTGGCTGAGGAGAAATGGGTCTCCACACCAGATGCAAGGCATTTGTGCATGCACTGCGTGTGAGCCGATCGGGTCGGGCGGGGAGAATGCAAATGCCGATCCGATGCCGGGGCCGGTGGGCTGGTGAGGTGGAGGCGGAGGCGGAGGTGCGGGAGGGTGATACCTGTACAGAGAGGGTCTGGAGTACCTTCTTCTTCTTCTTCTTCTTCTTGACGAGTTGTAGTAACAGTTCCAACATTGATTCTCTATCAAGAGCTGACTTGACAATCTTGAACGTCACACACGTACACAATGGCCCACCCGCGTCCCACCTCGCTCGCCCTCCTCATCGGCGCCGGTCCCACCTCGGGAGCAGGGATTGCCCGTCAGCTCGCCACACCCGTCTCTCAAGGTGGTGGAGGAATGGCCGTCGCTCTCCTAGCTCGTAATGCTGAGCGTTTGTCCACTCTTGCATCGAACTTGAAGGCTTCTGTGCCGGGAGCGGTCGTGGGCGCCTTCCCGACGGATACCTCGCCGGTGAATCTGAAGAAGGCGTTCGAGGCGATCAAGAAGCACAAGGACTTTGACGGATGTAGATTGCGTTTGGGCGTCTTCCACATTAAGCATTCAAGCAGAGAACCATTCCTCGAAACTACACCCGAGTCGTACGATGCGGCTTTCTCCGAGTACAACACCGGCGCGTTCGTCTTTGCGCAGGAGAGTCTCAAGAGGATGTACGAGGAGGCGGGCGGGATGAAGCCCCTGGACGAGACTGGGGGTGAGAAACTGGGCACGATCATCTTCACTGGGACACTCGGAGCCTTACGTACGAGTGCAATGTACTCGGCGTACGGCGGAACGAGGAGTGCTGCCCGTTCACTGGCACAAGCAGTCGCCAAGGAGCACTCCCAGTACGGCGTACACGTCGTTCACGCTATCGCCAATGGGTCCATCATCGACACGGACAACGAAGAGCACGAGAGTGCTAAAGAGGCTACAGAAAAGGGAAGGAAGATGAGCGCAAAGGCTGTTGCGGATACGTACCTTTGGTTGGCTAGGCAGGAGAGCACACTTTGGACGCACGAGCTCGATTTGCGGCCCGCACAGGAGAAGTTCTAAAAGGCGTGTATCAGTTCAAGAAGAGGCTCTCGCGCCATTCAGAGTGCAATGAGATCACAGCTGGCTTTGTCTGCAAAGAAGTTCTCATCTGTCTGCGATGCTCATCTTTCCCTCTTACCCATCTTTGGCCTCATCATCGGACCGCCTGAGGTGAGCGAACTTGCCGCAGTCCACTGACACCACGCCGGGCAATTTATCGCTCGGGCAGGCGTCTGGAGAGTGCCCTGCGAGCTCCTTCTGGCGACTTCTGCAGAGTAGAGGTTACTGCTGTCACACTTGCCCTTGACAGGGGTACTGCCTCATTCACCAGATTCGATTGCTATCACTCCGCGCTCTCAGGAACGGAGCCTTCCCGTACCTGGCCGCTTGAGTGGTCACAATCACATCGGAGCACACCGGAGCGGGTCACCTCGGCTCGCCAGCGCGCGACGCCCCTCGCTGCCCTGATATGCCCCTCCCTTTTTCTGCTGAGTCGCTGAGTAGCTCTTTCCTTCTTACCATCACCATCGAGGTGGTCCAACAGGAGCGATGCTTCCCTCCATCGCTCTCTGCTGCTCTTCGCAGCAAAGGTCCTAATACTTCTCTCTACAGGCTCTCTGTCGAAGGAGTGAAGCTTTGGCCACACGATAGATACGGGATTCAAGGCTCGATGGACAAGAAGCTTCGAAAGTCACACAAAGGAGGTGCGTATACGAGGAGGAGGAGGAGGTGTCGTGCTAAACAAACATTCTGACACATCGTCATCCCCCACACTTCTGTGTCCCTCGCCTCCAACAGCGAAAGGGCCATAAATCACATTCGACGCAAGCCTCTGTGGATCTCATCGACTTGGTGAATGGCTAAGCCAGCGCAATCCGCCCTTAGTGGGTGGGCGCGGCACTGCGTCTCTGACCTGCTTCTTCTGTGCTGCCATTTGCAGGAGAATCAGACCTACTGCTTCTCAAGTCCGAGGGAAGACTTATCTTGACACTGATCTGATGCGCATCAAGACGACAACAGGAAGCAGGCAAACCTTTGCCTGTCTCCTTCTCCCAAGTTCCATACGGACAGCCTCGATTGCGTGCCGGTTGGCCAAGATCCTGCGCAACACTGGAGGCTACAGCACATCGATACCAGCTAATACTTCTTCCGCGACAACGTACAACACGGCGAAGACATCTTCGAACCCCTACGAGGCTTAGTCAAGCTGAACAACCAGAATTGGCACACCTGGTTGCTCGACTTCAAGTCCAACTTCCAGATGGTGAGTACTCGAAATACTGGACGGTTGTGTTTGACAACATCAATCGCTTTACTGACTACAACACTACCGTCTGTGATCGTCGTCAGACGCCTGGGCGTACATTCAGCTGCAGGCGGCTGACAACAGTGCCCAGCGTGATCAAATGACCCTGGACCTGGCAGAAGCGATTGCCTTCTGCCGAGGTCTTGATGACGTAGCACAATGCCCAATCGTGGAAGAGCTGTGGGGTGAAGCTACACCCTTGGACCTGGCAACTGTCGCTGTCAGGTACATGTCAGACGCTTCCATTGAGTACGTGCAGGGCCTCGTCGGAGTTACGCATGTCGAGGGTGTGTGGTCACACAAGCCAGCAGGCGTATACGAGCTGCTGATCGACTGTGATGACACGCGAGGGGCAAGGTACATCGGCAAGTCGGACCATGGCGTCCGCAAGCGGATGATAAGTCACATGTCGGCTTGCAGACGTGGCAAGAAGAGTACTTTGTACAACGTGATGCGCGCATTCGAAGAGCGACCCTGCCATCAAGTCTTGCTCGTCGGTCTACCGATCTCAAATTGCGCGCTCAAAGACAGCCATATCGAGATACTCAGGCTCACACACAAGCCCGACGTTTACGAGCAATCAGTGTCGATCCCGCCCTAGTGTAAAGTACGAGGCGACGGGCACATTGAAAGCCTTGAAACATCATGTCATTAAACGTTAGAATTCTATCGTGTCTAGCTAGCCCATTGCCGCGCACTGTCTGCCATTTCCGTCCATTGTAAGCCACTAACAATTCTCTATCTACCCTGCCTTTCCTTCTACTTCTTCTGCTCCCTGCCCCTCTCTGCCTCGTCCACTGCCGCTTTCAGTCCAGCGAAATCTCCACTCTTCTCACACATGCTGTAGAAAGCGCCCTTGGTGTCCTCCAACAGCCGCTTGGGGCTGTCGAACTCTTCCACTCGTCCATCAGAGAGCACGAGCACCTTGTCCGCGTAAGCCACCGTGTGCAGCCGATGAGCAATGGTAATAACCGTAGCCGATGCGAACCCGTTGCGGATGGTCGACTGGATGAGGTTGTCCGTCGCAAAGTCCACCGCGGAAGAAGCTTCATCCATGAGAATCACCTGGGAGCGACGGAGCAGTGCGCGAGCCATAGCCAGGAGCTGTCGCTGCCCTTGGGAGAAGTTGCCTCCTTGCTCCGAGACGCGCGTGTCGAGGGTGACGTACGTCTGGCTCTCGTTGAGCGCTGATGGGCGCTCCTGCTCCTCGTCATTGTCGCTGTTCTCGACGGAAGCGTCTGCATTGATGGCAGAAAAGGGGCGTAGAAGCTTACGGCTGCTACCTTGGACGCCGCCCTTGATGGACGTCGCTCGACTGGCGGACCGACTTGGCTGGGCGGAAGGCACAGGAGTGGTGCGAATATTAACAGCTTCAAGCGCAGCGACGCACTCTTCATCGGTATGCTCATCGAAAGGATCGAGGTTGTTCCTGATTGTACCACTGAACAAGACGGAATTTTGCGGGATGATGGTGATCTTCGATCGCAAATCGTACAAGCCAATGGAGCTAATGTCCACACCATCAATGTGAATCGAGCCCTTGTCGAAGTCGACGAAGCGGAAGAACGCAAGCGCGGTGGTGGACTTACCGCTTCCCGTCCTGCCGACGATGCCCACCTTCTCCCCTGGCTGAATGGTAAAGTCGATGCCGTGCAAGACTGGAGGAAGATCGGGCGCGTAGCGCAGAACTAGATCCTTGACTTCGACACGACCCTTGTTAGGCCAGTCTGCAGGTGGACGGTTGCCTTCGATGATCGCAGGCGGCTCTTGTGGTACATCGTCGAGCGCCTCTCGAATGCGTTCGATCGAATTAGCATCCTGCTCTAGATTAGTGTAGAAGCGACTGAGCCAGTACATGGCTTGGATGACACCTTGCGCCTGCGTGAGAGCCAGTCCAGCAATACCAGCAGCGATGGACCCTCGGAGCGCAGCACAGGTGGCAAGGAAGACGGCGAGGGCTCCGAGGAGGTCGAGTCGGAAGAGCAACCAGCGGTTGGTCATCCAGAAGTACAGGAAGAACGAGTTTGCCAAGTCGATCCTCTCTGTGCACTCGCGCAGCATACGTTTCTCGCTGCCAAAGGCTCTCACCGTCGAGATGCCTTGCAAGAGCTCAGAAAAGGCGCTGAAAATTGGGGAGCGCGAAACGCTCTCGAGTCGACGGAGATCACGAGCAGCGCGAATGTAGCCCCTCGCGACGTAGTAGTTGGCTGCACCGAGGATCGCAGTCGGGATGATGAACGAAGGCAAGACAACCACAACCGTCACGACGGAGATGATTCCAGCGATGACGAATGAAATAAAGTAGCGGAGCGAGTTGCTGATGTTCGAGTCCAGCACCTCGATATCTCGGCTGAACTTGTTGACAATTCTACCCGTGGGGGTCGTGTCGAGCCACCTTGCCGTAGCGCCCATTGTCGATGTCAGCATTCTGGCGAAGAGAGCGCGAGAGGCACGCAAAGAGCCATAGTACGTCAACAGAGCAGAGGCGATGATCGTCCCAGCTGCCAGGAGCTGGATGCCGAAGAAGATGAAGATGTAAGGCAGAGGAGACTCGTGTGCCGGTGGCAGGAGCGAAGAGCTCATTACGCCTCCGTCGTTGAGATTTGCAGTCACAGCCACCTCGGGATGGACAAGGAGCATTGGTGACGTGAAGGCATTCGCCGCCCAGACATAGTCGTGGGAGAACGGAGGGCTAATGCTGCCATTGAAGAAGGACGAAGTGAAGTCTGCACCAGCCTTGTCTCTCATCGAAGACGAAGCTCCCCAGACGGCAAGCCATCCCTTTTCGGCTAGATCAGTGCCCTTGTAGGCGATGAGCGATAGGATCACCAATGCAGCGATGCCCCAGCCAACTCCATCGAGGTAGAGCTTGTAAACCTCTCTCTTGACTCCACCTTTAGCTCGATGCTCCTCTTGCACCAACTTGCGAGCGGTGCTCTCCTCTCCTCGCAGCTCTTCCGCTGCTTGTTGCTCAGCAGTATTCTCAATCGTCTCGACCTTGTCATCTTCATCTGGCGTTTCTTGATGAATATCCCTCTCGAGATTGCCGGAGGACTGCAGCTCTTCTGGCGTGCCTTGGGCTACTATGCGTCCCTCGGCGAGCTTGACGACCCATTGCGCTGCTTTTTCACCAAGCACGAGCTCACTGTGATGCGTCACCAGGACCACCGTTCGGCCCTTCATCAATGACCCACTGAGACATGCTCGTACCAAGTGACTGGCCGTGTGAGCATCGACAGCGGAGAGCGGGTCGTCCAGCAGCACCGTGGCTGCTCGAGAGTAGACGGCGCGGGCCAGTGCGACTCGAGCCTGCTGACCCCCACTTAGACTGACCCCCTTCTCACCGATCTCTGTCGAGTCGCCGCCTAGGATCTCCAGATCAGGTCGCAAAGCACAGCAGTCCAAGACAGCATTGTATCTAGACAGCTCAAAGGGAGAGCCGAAGAGGATGTTCGATCGGATTGAGGCATGTTGCAGCCAGGGCGATTGCGCGCAATACGCAATCGTCGAGCTGAAGCCGGTGGAAGGGTTGATCTGATTGGACTTGTGGAGGTGACTTGTGCCCTCGAGCAACTTCATCTCACCCAATAGAGCGGTCAAGAGCGCAGATTTGCCGCTGCCAGTCTGGCCAATGACCAAGGACAGTCGACCTGAGGGAGGAAGAAAGGTGATGTCCGACAGCTGAAATGGGGCTGCAGCGTGCGCAACACTCTCGGGGGTGTCAGTACCATCGACGCTGTGGTCTTGATCGTGCCCAAGGAGTGGCGAGCTGGCCGTCGGACCTTCACCGCCTTCATCTACTGGTCGCTTGAACATTCGCGACATGACCTTCTTCAGCGAAGCTGCACCTCGCGCCTTGATGCTTGGCTGAGCTCCTGGAGCAGCTGAGAGGAGGGAGACGGGCGCTTCTGGCCAGCCAAAGGTCGCATTTTCACAGCCAAAGGGTGGGGTGGACCCTGTTGACAGGCCCTCTCCACCGTCGAGGCAGAGAACGTTTTCGGGCACTTCGTCTGCATCGAGGAACTCCGCGATACGGTCCGAGGATACCTTGGCATTCAGCAGCTCATTAATCTGGACCGGCAATGTGTTGAGAGGGGCCTTCAAGAGACCGAAGAGGGCGATGCTTGTGAAAGCTGTGGGGACATCGAGATCCTTCTTAGCGATCAGCACGTAGCATGCAAAGCTGACCGTCGTGACACCGGCGGGGGTCAAGGTCCACAATGCCATGATGATTGCAGAATTGATCTGCCTCTTCTTCAGCCAAGCCAGCTCGACCTCTCTCAAATCAAGGACTCGCCGCCTCATCTCCTCTTCAAAGGCATAATACTTGACGAATTTCAGATTCGAGATGAGCTCGTTAAGGGAACTCAACCGCTTGTCCCTAGCTGCCGAGAGCGACTTGGAGATCCTGATCATGCGACGAGTCAGGGACGACTGGAGCGGCGAAGCAACGATGAGTACGAGATATCCTGCAAAGGCTGAAAGCCCCAACAGCTTGTAGAGGAAGAGAGATGCAATGACGAATTCGATGGGGGCGGAGTAGAGCATATACGCTCCGGCGCACTGTTGTCCGATACGAATAGCGTCTACAGCTGCCAGAGACACAATCCGTCCCACAGAGGCGTCGTTCGTGGCTTCTGAATCCTTGCTCTTCTGCTCGGGCGCAGACGTGGGAGCTTTGCCATTGCTCGGAGTCTTGGAACCGTCTTCCGGGCTCTTATCCTTCTGCTCTCCGAGTACGCCGGTCATATCCCTGGTCCTCAGCGCCTTTTCGTATACGGAGGCGATGAGTTGTCCCCTGATACGGATCGATCCCCTACGGCCATAGAAGAGATGTTGCAGATCAGCCTGCGACTTGAGCACGCCGGCAATGAGAGCCAGGAGAGCAAAGAGGTAGGCGGTGGACTTGGGCGTGGAGTTCGGAGGGGGATGAGGGGAAGAAGATGTCTCAATGGCATCCAGAATGCGCTTCAGGAAAAAGGGAGACGCGTAGGAGAGGAAGCTGGACACGAGGGTCAGGACCGCGTCGAGTACGACGTCGTGCTTGTTGGCCTTGATAATCTGCCATGCCAAGCTGGATGCTTTGAATTCCTTGAATTTGCGCAGGAGGAGGGAGCTGCGACATCCCTTACTCAGCTGCCATACGTCGCCCTTTTCAAGAGTCCGCTGTACTGCTACCGAGATCAGGGGAGTCATCCAGGAGAAGGTCATCCATTCCCAGAGGGTGCACTCGTCTTCGGCTGCAGAGGGCCGACCTAGGGCATCAACACTCTGGTCCTTGTGAGGATCGGCAAGGGGCATGGACACGATGATGGTGAGGGCGATCATCGTTAAGGCGAAGGATGCAAGCTGCGTGAGACCGGAGAGTTGCGTAAAGATGGCTGAGAGCCGCCTGCCTCCAGAGGCCCATGTGAGATGAAGCCCAAGGACGCTGCCCAGTGCTTGGACTGAGTAGAGGACGAAGAGATCGTAGGGTACGGTCACCTTGCGTAGAGTGAGAGGTCTTGCGACTGCATATACTGTGGCCAGTAGCTGGACGACGACGACTGCAGTGAAGCTGAGCTGTCTGAGGTTCTGGCTACCTTGGAGGCCATAGGTCAGAGCAGCTACCCAGCCACAGAATTGGAGCATCGCAATGATTGCCAAGGATGCCCGAGTGGCTAGATGGCCAGGTCGGGAGGACCGCACCCCTTGATCTTGGCCAGGTTTGACCAAGAGGGGCGTAGCTTCTGTAGCTGGACCATTCTGAGCTGCGTGCTGCTGCGAGGCCTGGTCTTCCCTCTGCCGCTGAAGAGGCGTGAGCTGACTCTTGCGCTTGTCTTCTTCCTTGTGTTCCTCCTCTTCAAGCCCGCGAATGTCTTCGTCGGAGATGACGTCTGTGAGTAAGATGGCAACCCACGAGGGGAGGATGTGGGACCATTTGCGATGTGATAGGATGGGTACGATGGCAGTGATGAAGTAGCTGATGAGGAGGACGAGGGGTAGGAGGCTTGCACATACAAGGTAGATGTCCAGCTCGAGCATAGTGGCGATGCAGTGGTGGGGTGGGCTGGTAATCTATAGAAGTGCGGTGCTACGACAGAGGAGGAGGAGGAAGTGCGGGAAGGAGGGAGGGGTGATATGACGAGAGGAGACAGAGCAGGGCGGCCGCAAGAGTATCACGACACGACTACGGCGATGTGACCCTTTGGCCCTGTCCGGTGCGCTGGGACGACTTCTTCTGGAAGGAATGGCGGGTGGATATCGATGCCATCTCATCTCATCTCATCTCATCCCCTCGCCTCCCATTTCCCCCCCTTTTTTACCCGCCTGGTGCTCAGCGATTGTCATCTCAGTCTTTCCGCCGAAATCTCAAAGTCCGACGCGGCAAAAGGCGTGGCACGCGTCGCTTGACAAAATCACTCACCCAAGGCCATACCTGGATTGCACAGGGCGCACCATGGCCGAATAGGGCCGACGTGGGCAGACAGTGGGCAGGAGGGGGGGGAGAGGAAGGATGAGCATGAGTAGACAAGACCAGTGATGGTCATGGTGCGATACCAAGTGTATCAGCGGCGCGATCATCACCATCTACCATCTGCCACCCCTCTCTGTGCTCCTCTGCCTTGGATTGCTCCTCCACCCGCCACGCGAGCGACGCCTGTTGCTGTGCCGCGCTTCGACTCCCGCCTGCTTCTGGCCTCGTGCCCCCCCCTGAATTTACCTTGCTCCTTCTTGGCCCGCTTCCCCTCGGTGCCACCACTTACGGGACCACCTCGTATCCCCTTCCATTACTCATCCCTAGCGTCGCCCGGCCCCCTCCACAGCATGGTTGGCACTCCATCTAAATCGCAGTCATCCTCCCGCTCCGTCAGCGGACAGAGTGGCGCACCCAGCGACGACGGCGGATACTTTGCCTCGGCACCTCAGGCCCCCTCCGTACCCAACATCCCACCCCGCGTCGGCTCACCATCCAATGCATCCGACTCACACGTCCACTCACGCTCTTCCTTCAGCAATGCCCGTGATGACGATGACGACGATGCTGGAGCAGCAGCGCAGAGGAGGGCCTGGAGGAGACAGAGAGAGGAATTGGGACTCGCACGTCACCACTCCGACTCGCGACCCAGCTCCACCGCGCCCATTGCTGACAGTGAAGTGGGCACACCAGCAAATCCAGGCGATCTGGATGGGATCCCCATCTCAGACGAGCAGAAGGCTAGGATCATTGATAGGCAGTGAGTATGAGAAGCTCAGAGTGCGCAGATTCCTAGCCGCATTCCCTCCGCCTGGCAGGCATCGCTCATCGCCTTGCTCACTTCGTTTCCTTCGCCTCCTTCCCTCAGTCTCGCATTGCCAGACGCCTCTGGCATCTCCCTTCCCGGCGTCAACGACGGTCAACGTCGTGGCGTGACATTCATGCACTCACCCGGTGGCGGTAGCAACGTAGAGACTCCCGACACCCATGGCGAAGCGGAAGAGTACTTTGCCCCACATCGCATGCAGGGAGGCGCCGTCACCGAAGACATCTACCGCTGGGCTCATCAAAATCGTAGGAAGACGGCTCGAAGGACTCGCTCGGAAAGCGTCAACTTGCCTCGGGCCAGCGTCATCGATCCCGACCTGGATGTAGAGGGTATCAAGCAGCCCGGAGGATTCAGGCGGTACTTTATGCTGAATCGAGCAGAGCAGAATGGCCAGCCTCCTCCCAGGGCGGTACGAAGCTTCGTCGACTTCTTGTCCCTCTATGGTCACTTTGCCGGGGAAGATCTAGACGACCTCGAACGAGACGATGACGACGAGACGGAGGATGAGGAAGACGTAGAGGAACAGTCCCCAGAGGCGACCACCAGCCGAGGCGCTACAGAAAGATCGGCACTGCTACGTCGACCCAGTGCCAGGAGACGAGGCACCAGCACCCGTGGCGGTGACAAGCCCCGCGGTGAAGCTTCCGTGACAGAGGCAGTGATGATGTTGCTCAAGTCCTTTGTTGGTACTGGTATCCTCTTCCTCGGCAAGGCGTTCCTCAACGGAGGACTGCTCTTCTCCAGTGTAGTCCTCTGCGCCGTGGCAATGATCTCCCTCTTCTCCTTCCTGCTATTGGTCAAGGCCAATCTCAAGGTCCCTGCATCCTTCGGAGACATGGGTGGCATCCTCTACGGCCCCAAGATGCGCATTGCCATCCTCACCTCGATCGTCTTTTCGCAGCTGGGTTTCGTGGCTGCCTACACCGTCTTTGTAGCTCAGAACCTGCAAGCCTTTGTTCTCGGAGTCACACACTGCAAGACGGAGATCCCCACGGTCTGGTTCATTCTGGCCCAGTGTGCCATCTTTGTGCCACTGTCTCTTGTCCGCCGAATCGCCAAGCTTTCTTCGACGGCTCTGATAGCCGATGCCTTCATTCTGTTTGGTATCGTGTATCTGTTCCAGTACGAGATCAAGGAGCTGGCAGAGCATGGCATCGCAGATGTGGTGCAGTTCAATTCGCACAGCTTCCCTCTGTTCATCGGAACAGCCGTCTTCACTTTCGAGGGTGTAGGACTGGTCATCCCTATCACTGAGAGCATGAAGCAGCCCGAGCGCTTCCCCAAGGCTCTCAGCGGTGTCATGGTCATTGTCATGATCCTCTTCACTGTCTCGGGAGCTCTCAGCTACGGGGCCTTTGGTTCCAAGACACAGACGGTAGTGATTACCAACCTGCCACAAGACTCCAAGTTTGTGCAAGCCATGCTCTTCCTCTACTCGATTGCTATCCTGCTCTCCACCCCACTGCAGCTGTTCCCGGCTGTGAGTGTGCTGGAGCGAGGTCTCTTTGGCTCAAAGAAGGGCAAGTACAACTGGAAGATCAAGCTAGAGAAGAATCTCTTCCGCTCTTCCATGGTACTCATCTCCTGCCTCGCCGCCTGGGCTGGGTCGAGCTCATTGGACGTCTTTGTCAGCTTCATCGGAGCCGTCTTCTGCGTTCCGCTCTGCTTCATCTTCCCCCCTCTGCTCTCGCTCAAGGCTATGCCTGACCGGCCATGGACGAGCAAGCTGCTGGACTATGGAATCTTCATCTTTGGATTGGGAGCAATGGGCTTTGCGGGAAGTCAGAGTGTGCGGACCCTCTTCTTTGGTGCTGGGGGAGAGGGTGGGGGAGATATGCCCATTTGCAGCCCGCCTGCTCGATAGGTCGTCCGTAGCCTGGTGGAAGCGAGGGGACTCTTGAGTGAAGGTATGACTGCAAGCAAGGAAGAGACAAGGAGTTGCACGACTGGGGACGTAGCTAATGACAAAGAGCCATGCTGTACTGCTTCCATCCAATCAATTGGGACATCTGATCTTCACCAACTTCGTCTCGGCCTGCATGGTTCTGAGTCCTCCTGTAGCAGTCCAACGACACTGCTGGGAGGAGACTTCCGCTCGAGACGACCCTGATGAGCTGACTGACGCCTATTGCCCCTGACGCACCGGAACGGAATTGTTGGTCGTTCGTTCAGAAGAAAGGTTTTGTCGGCAATGAGGAGCCGCTTTGCTCCCGCGAGGCGAAGAGGGCGCAAGGTGATGGATGTGATCAGTTTAGTGTCACTCGATAAGCGCCACCTTGCCTTGCTCTGCTCTTCGTTCGTACTGTCGCTACCACCACCACTCCATCTTCCAGCAGATCCTCCCCCAATCCCTCCTCCCACAGCTCAAGAGCTACAAATCTGTCTTTCACGCTTTCCACCAATACTGCACGCTGTGCAAGCCGCCTGGCTGCGGACTTGTGTCAGCAAAGACCACATTACTCAGGCTCAGGTCCGGACGTGTCCGGGTCGCCACCCAGACCTGCTCGGCCTACCGGCCCGTCGACTTGGCTTTTGTGTACAATGCGACGTCAGAACAAAGCACGGGAGAGGTCTCGTATGCTCTCGACCCTGCCCGTCCTCCTCGCCACCCTCTTCCTGCTCTTCGCAGCACTGTCCACCGCTACGGTAGCCGCTGCAACAACCACATCCAACGGCCTGCTGAACTACTCTCCCGAAGATCTCGCCCGCGTCTGGGCAGAAGAAGAGCAGCAGCTCCTGGAGCGTCGCATGCCCGAGGAAGAGCTCCAGGCGAGAGCTCCACCCGATGCGCTGCTTCTGACGAGACAGTGGAGTAGTGGTGCTGAAGAGGCTATGCAGGCGGGATGTACGACTCCAGCGAAGGGGTGGGCGGTGCGCTTTGAAGTCGGGGCGCCAAGTCAGGAGGTCGAGGCGATCCTCTCCACAAGTGAGTGCTTGCCGTGAGGGTTCGAGCAGGGCAAGAAGGAAGAGATCTGTCTGACACACTATCTCCCGTCTACTTCGCAGCTGTCGCTACCCTCCTCACCCCAGGCTTCAAGACCGACCACGCTCCCTACCGTCCCTGGCACTCCCACAACTCTCATCCTCTGACAGCTGCCGTGGCTGCACTGGGCGCACATCGTGCTGTACAGCTTGGCCTTGATCTAGGTATCGACTTGACTGATAGCAGAAAAGGGTCTGCGAGGGCTAGAAGGAGGGCGGGGGATAAGGAGGACGCGACGGGAGTGGACTTGTATCAGGATAGATTGACATTGGGAGGATTTGAGGCCGACGACGTTCTCATAGCGGTTCCGAGATCGATGGTGAGTGCGGCGATTGCATTCTAGTGACAGATGATCCGGGCTGAACACTCTCACCTTTCTGTTGCGGAATCGGTCCAGAATCCTTGCAACACGGCAGGTGGTCCCAACGGCATCCTCGGGCTAGGTGTCCCCATCCCGCATCACTCAAGACACTCTTCGGCTGGCGCAGACGGCGGCAATGCTCCCCTCTCTGCTCTCTCAGAAGCCAACGATGGCTTCGTCTTCACCCCAGTCCTACACCCCACGCACGGCCATCTAATCCTCGGTCGTCCACCCCGAGGACTCACAAACACCTTTTGGTCACCCTCTGCCTCGCCCGCACACTGGTCACTGAACGGATCTCTCAACAATGTCGCTCATTTCTCCTCCCTGGTCTTTGACCTGAATGAAGAAGAAGGGCTCGTAGGACCTGCAGCGGAAGTGAGGAAGCTCTTCGACTCTTTGGGCTTGCAGGCTACTAGAGACTCCAGTAGCGGGTTGCTCGTGGCCGAGCTGCCAGACTGCCAGCACGGCCCGCGCATTGAGCTATACCTGGGTACCAATGGCGTCGTCCTGGAAGGGTGGCTCAGTGTCTTCCGCCAGAAGAACAGAGGCGGGGGCTGTCACCTCCTCGTCAAGGGAGAAGAGGAGGACCAGCAGCGTCGCCATGGCAAGCCTGCCTGGAGGATTGGGTGGAGGTTCAACACGCGCTTCACGGTGAGCTACAAGTATCCGAAAGGAGCTCAGGACGGAGACGAAATGCCATTGATTGGTATCTCGCTCCCTCCCGGCGTCAAAGGTCGACACCGTAGCATGTAAGGATCTGCCGTTTCCCAGTCACATGAGGGCTCAGAGCGCACACTCGTCTCTCATCAAAGCCGCTTCTTTCCGGTCTATCCCCCTTGTCCCTGAGCTTCCATCGACCCAGACCGTCCGTCCTCGTGGTGCTGATGGTCCTGCAAGACCCTAATCACTACAATTTCACAGTGACCGAAGTGATTGGCGGAACCAGCCAGGATCGTTTGTGTGTGTGTGACTACTGTTGTTTGGCTATCCGTTGGCTCTTCCTTCTTGTGTCGGACTTTGCAGAGGACGCAGCACTCTCTGGTTTTGCCATCTTGGCCTTGCTCTGACGCCCTAGCGTAGAGCTCGTCTTCGGTGCTGCGGGCTTTGCTCCCTCGGCCTCCGCCTCTTCATCTACTTTCCTCCTCTTTGCAGCCACTTTGACGTGTCCATCACCCTCCGCCTTCTTCTCTTTACCCTGACTCCCAGGATTCCATTTCCCCTTCCACTCCCCCCATCCTCCCTTGTCCCCCATCAAGCTAAGCGCTGTCCAAGCCTCCTGGCTGACCGTCTGCACGCTCAGTCTGCCAAGACGGAGGAGGTCCATCTCGCCTATGGAGCGCAGCTGGGTGTCGGAGAGGTAGGAGAGATCTTGCCGTTGGTTGGGAGTAAGGGAGGAGGAAGTGAGGTGTTGCAGCAGGGAGAGAGGAAGGGAGTGCTTGAGTGGATAGGCATGCTTTACTGTTGGCTGCAGATGGAGGAGGACAGAGCGAGATCAGAGGTCAGAAGGGCTCACAGAGCGTTGGGAGCATGTTGACTGTCTCACCATGAACCAGCGTGGCTTCTCTCTCGATGACTTGGCATCATAGTATGGACTTGACTAGAGAGTAGGCAGGAAGAGAGCGTGTCGGGTGAGGCTCATGCCTTGCGCTGCCTCTTCCATTCCCCCGCTCACCTGCTCAAAAGCCGTCGTATCGGGCTGATTCTCCCCGTCCACAGTGACCTTGACTACCCCCACAATCTCGGGCAGCTTTGTATTACTGTGGTACCAAAATGCCTCATCGCCGACTTTCATGCCTTTGAGCGTCTTTCCTGCGCGTGGGTTGCGTACGCCGTCCCAGGTGGTGGACTGATCGGGCGAGGTGAGGAGGCGCGAAAAGGGGAAGGACACGTCCACGCCGTCCTCTAGGCGCGGCAGTGGCTCTGACTTGAGGAGATAGTGAGACATCATGGCAGCGAGAGCTGCTGTATCACCAAAGTAAGAATGAGGGAGAAGCCGTAGTAGTGTTGGTAGCATGCCATCCTTAGATGCCCTGAGTGAGGCAGAGCGGAAAGGGAAGGCGAGGCCGCCTGGCCCGTGCCACGCTCGATCCACCGCTGCTCCACCTCCTTCTTCCTCTTCCTCGTATCTCCCACCACCAGCTTCCACTTTCCGCCGCAGCGATCCCAACCCTTTGCCATTGCTACATTCGCTTCTTATGGCGTCCTACTACAATCGTTTCGGGGCCTTCTATGCGCGCTCCTTTGCTGCCCGGCCATGGGCAACGCTGGCAGTCACAAACGGTACCCTCTCCGTCGTAGCAGACTCCCTTGCCCAGTCCCTCGAGCGGTATCAATCACGTCCCACCCTGGACAATGCTACCTCGACTGGAACAGCAGATACCAGGGAAGCATGGAAATGGGACTGGTCGCGCACAGGAAGGTTCGCCTTCTTCGGTGTGGGCATGGCGCCCCTCTTGGCAGAATGGAACAAGTTCATCGAGTACCGCTTCCCACTTAGGACGGTAGGCGCAGCTCCTGCCGCTGGTGCTGCTGCTGCTGGAGGTAGCGCGGTATCTACGGGAGCACAAGCCGCTGCAAAAGGCAGCATGGCAGCGGGAGTAGCGGCAGGCGCAGCGGGTGGAGCGGCAAAGAGCATGAGTAGCGTAGGCAAAGTTAGCCTCGTGGCGCTGGGCAAGCGGGTAGCCTTTGATCAGATCCTCTTGTGAGTGTCAGACATCAGAGTCACAGTCCTTTGGACGAAGAGCTGACAACGCACTCTCCGCTCGCTGTATTGATCCTCTGCCCAGCGCTCCCTTCGGCCTGGTATGCTTCGTGGGGACAATGGGTCTCCTCGAGTACCGCAATTGGCAGGGCGTCAAGGGCAAATTCGAAGACGTGAGTGGCTTCGCAATCATCGCCCCCAGCGGATGCTAAGCCAGACTTTTTCTCGTTGCCTCTTCTACAGATGTACCTATCGGCACTCTTTGCCAACTGGCAGCTCTGGCCTATGATTCAGTTGGTCAACTTCCGCTTCGTTCCTCTGAGACTCAGGGTACCCTTCACCAGCGCTTGCGGCATTGCTTGGACACTCTGGCTCAGTCTACTCAGTGCAGCAAAGGGGGAAGGTGAAAAAGACGTGACATTGGAACATGAGGATGGCAAGAGGAGGGTGTAGGGGCTGAGGGTATCTGGTTGAGCAGGAGCACATTATAGAAGAAGAAGGCGCATCGAAGAGGCAGACGGACGGACTTGCAGATGTACAGTATGGGCTGGGCTGAATCCCCACCTCTAGACCTACAGAGCCAATTGATCGACCACCTTCGCCTATTGGAGAAGTACTTTCGCTCATTCCAAGGATGCCTTCACGACCTGGCTGAGTTTCCCCTCCCACGAGTGGAGTGTCAGGCCATCGACGGGGCCATTCTCGTCCGTGTTGCTCGCATGAAAGAAGGCAAGTCGACTGCCAACCAACCTCCAGCAATCATTGATCAGTGCAGAGTCCCTTGCCAAGGAGCATGGCTTGCCAAAGGTGCAGAGGGAGAGGAGGTAGTGGTATCCCACGTCTGCCTGACTATCAAACTTGCTCCCCATGCCGGATAGTCGCGGGCGGGGTACGCCAGCCAGGTCGACGACGCAGCCCCACAGCCCAGTCCAGGCTCCCTGCCTTGGCGTCAGGCAGGTCATCTGCTCGATCCAGGTGCACCTCCAGCTCGGCAGCATCAGGTCCAGAAAAGGAGTGTTGACTTCCCCTGGATGCAGAGAGAGTAGAAAAGGCGCGATCAGGGGGGTATGAGACTCGAGTGAGCTTTGGAGGGCTGCAACGAGAGAAGGGGAGATATCCCGCAGCTTGGTAAGTAGCAGAAGTTGCGTCAACTGTAGTAGCAGAGCAGTGGGAAGAGATATGTCACCGACGGCCTATCATCACATTGGCCTCCTCAAGCTCATGAAGCTCACTTTACTGAAGTTGTATCGCCCAGCAGCCCACCTCTTGCCACCATCGCCCCGCACGGTTTCCCAGCTGCGATACTGGGGTTCAACGGCAAGCGGAAGGGTGTTCCAAGCATTGGCAATGGAATTGGTGAGGACGATGCGGCCGTCCACGGGAGCTGCCTCCTTGGCAGCGGTCTCCTCAAATGGACGAGCGAGCAAGGGCCATACAAGGAGAGTAAAGATAAAGGGGTTGATGGCGTTGATACCCAGCTGGTATTCGATTCCGTCATCGTTCTCCGTGTAGCGGCTGACGAGCTCACCTTTAAGCGTAGGTCGGTCGAAGCCTACGCCCACTGTGCCAATATAGTGAGTGATGGCACCTACGACGCTCTTCTCGCCAGCGCCAGCTTGGTTGTGTTCGGCCACGATGCTCCAAACTTCTTGAGCTGCGCCGCGAGCCCCCACCATATCTGTGAAATCGCACTTGAAAGGAAGAGCTCGACCGACGTCATCCATTGAGGGGCCTGCCTTCCCATGGCCTGGGCTTGCGTTCAGCTTGTCACCTTTCTTCATGAGTTCATCGACAATGCGACAGTCGAGACGCTCCTGAACACGAGCCCAGTGGCCAGGTCGATCGAAGTCTCTGATCCCCATGAGTACATCACAACCGGCCAGGAGAAGTGCTAGAGCCGTCTCAAAACCTGAGACGGGTTTTTGAAGATGGTAAAGCAACGTGTCGTTAGCGACGCAGGGAGGTGTACGCTTGCTACGGTCTGTCACTAACCAACACCTCCATCCGCACCGGTGACAAGGACAAGTCTGTTGCCTGATTCAGAGGTGCAATGCAGCTTGACCAAGCCCTCTGGACCTTCCGGCGACCAGGCTGTCATCTTGAGGTGAGGTTTGAAGTGACCTGGTGCACTGATCCACAAGTCTTCGAGGGCATCTCTTGCTTTGCTCAAGCAGGGAAGCGCTAGCAACAGAGGACAAGCTGCAAGTAGACCCAGAGCCCACATTGGCTGGAGGGGCAGAACCATCAGAAAACAGATCAACACAGCATACGGCAAGTGAGCCACCCGTGGGGTGAGCGGAAGGGACGATGCGAGCGCCATCTTGCTGCAAAGGTGGTAGAGGAGGGAACCAAAGTCGAGGGGAAGCATGATGGATCATGCAGCGCTGCATTCATATGTAAGGTGAGAGCAACGTGTACCAATGCCTTCTTCCTGGCTGCCCCATCCCTTTATCTCCACCCATGAATGATGTCAGCATATTAGATGTACCTTGGACCTCACTGGACCTGACTGGCCCTGATAGAGCGGCTGTCGCCCACTTTGTTCCTGATCGAAACCCCTGAGGGGCCAGCAGGGCCAGGGACGGACAGGGAGGCCCTGAATAGGTACTAGTGCTATCAGATGTACACTGCTGAGAAGAACGAGCGTGATTCAGGGTCTTACAGGGTGTCTCTTGGTCGTCCTGATTACTGGTGGATCAGGGGTCCGAGCCACGACAGCGACCCGCAGGTGAAGAGAAGGCCGAGAGCGCGCTTCGCTTGTTGACCGTGCACTAATATACCGCTTATACATTGCTCTGGAATGTTCCGTGTGAATTTCTGCAACTCTTCCCACGTCTGACAGTATTGCTACCGATTGGTATTTCTTCCCTCTGCGTGTGAACTCCTCAGTACAGTACCCAGCACGCAGGGCATTTGTGGAGACGAAGAATCCGGATCGGCGGCGATTCGCACTCCGCTCCGCCCCGCAAGGAACCCCGTGGGCGAAGCGACAAGGCGGAGGGAAGGATCCACCTCGTGCCCTGTGATCAGGGGATGATCGCATACATCGCAGCAGTATTGGTAGCAGTAGAAGAAGCACAGCAGACTAGACGACCCACCGCAGCATCCTCGACTCCCCCCACGATCATCACCATGGCAGCAAGCGCGCCATCTCCAGAGCCCTCCTCGTCCTCGTCCTCGTCCTCGCTCTCAGCAGGCCCGGCAAGTTTGGGCCAGATGTCCTCCTTGTCCCCGGAGTGCACTCCGCTCAAGCATCGCTACGACCAGTGCTTCAATCGTTGGTTCGAGCACTATCTCCAGGTCACCACACCGGGTAGCAGCCTCTCGTCGACCTCAGGCAGCCAAGCAACAACAGCGGATGGCCAGAATGCTGCAGCGTCTGCACGCAAGAGGAGCTTCTGGAGCAGAGGAGGGGGCAGCAATACGGCTTCGAATGAAGAGGAAGGAGGACGCGGAGCAGCAGTAGTGGCAGGAGCGGCAGCGGGTCCAGAGGAGATGGAACGGCGGAGAAAGCTGAGGGATGATTTGGAGACGCAGTGTGGGGGACTCTTTGGCGAATACAAGGGTTGCGTAAAAGTGGGTACCCGAGTCGCCAGGAGAGAATCAGCAAAGGAGTTGGGCTGATCCGGACTCCTCCTTACTCACTCGTAGAAAGCACTACAAGAAAAGGATATCCTCCCTCTGCTCACAACCGCTCGCGAGCTCAACCCTTTCCCCTTCCCGGACGCCTCGCAAGAGACATCGAGAGGGCAACAAGGGGACAACGAGCCTTTCCCCTTTCCACAAGCCAGCAAGGAGCAAGTTCGAGATTGGGAGAAGCGGTCCGGGTGGTGAGGGAGAATACGCGGGCTATGGGGGCGAGGGAGCGATCTCAGGGGAGACAAAGCACACGATGGCCGTCGTTCAACAACGACCAAGCCCGATAGTACATACAATGATATCACAGTCACCGCTACCATGATCCTCACGACGAAGACGAGTTGAGTGCGATTGGTATTGACAGGTAAAAGTACACGGCTGGCGCTTGCGGAACAGATGCAGAGAACCCTGATCCCTTGCGATCACTCGTCCCATTCGATGCCCATGTAGAGCTGAGGGGTGGGAACGGCAGCGAAACAAAGTCAGCTTCTGATGCCACAACCACTTCGCATCCTCGCACACTCTACAACTCACCGACTTGATCATGGTCATCACCGCAACGGCAAATGCCTCCAAGTGGAAGATGGCCTTGTTGGACGACTTTGTCCTGCCCTCAAAGAAGGCCGCCTTCTCCACGATGCCAATTCGTAGACTTTCGTCCACCCTTGTGACCAGGTAGTCTACCATGGACTTGATGATCGTCTTAGGTGGAATTGCGTGGACAAGCAGCTCGTAGAGGTTGTTCCGAATGGCGAGGAGACGCTGAGGCGTTTGCTCGGACAGAAGCGAGTCGCACATCTTGTGGATATACAGCTCCCAGTCGGGTTGAGCAATAGAGATCGGTCCGGAGAGGTCAGGCCTGGCGGGGGAGGGGGCGGGGAGTCTCAGCAAGCCGCAACTCTGAGGGAGTCGGGGATCAGCTGTAGCGATTCACTCACGACTGCATCCTAAGCGCCTCCAGCACCAGCACTGCCTTTCTCAAATTGCCCCCAGAGTCGGCATAGATCTGAGCAGCTACGTTGTCCGGCAGATGGAACTTCTCTTTCTTTGCTACGTGATGGAGCACGCTCGTCATCTAGCGAATGATGGGGTACGATGCAGATTTAGGTCAACACTGTACAGTGGCCTGCAGATTCCGACACTTCTTGCACTCACCTGCTTCTCATTTGGCGCAGCGACGCGGATCAGGAGACATCGACTCCTGATGGGAGCGATGATCTTGCTGGTCGAGGTGGCGCAGAGTATCAGCCGCAGATTGCCCATGTACTTCTCCATCGTCCTACGCAGAGCAGACTGAGCATCGCGGGAAAGCGAGTCGGCTTCATTGATGACGACGACTGGTGGAGCAGAGGGGGGAATGGAGAGTATGTCAGGACCGAGGGTCAAGCCTAGAAGATGCACAATACCGAGCTGCTCTCACCTTTGAACCTATGCTTTGCGCTGACGTCGACCTGTTGTGTCTGTGCAATTTCCTTCAATACATCCTGGATGACCAGTCGATCATATCCTGCTGCGTCTCTGCGGAGGTGGAAGAGGCAGTCGCACGAGACTGCAAGTCAGCGACCATGTCAATGGACAATAAATTCTCCCGTAAGCTCCACGCACGATGGTGTGATCTCCTGATGATAAGTCGAGCTGATGATGTTGACGTCAATCTTTCTCTTGCTGGGATTCAAGAAGACTCGTTGGTCGATTTTGAGCTATCAGATGGCAAAGGTGTGGGGAGGAGGTCAGCAAGAGAAGCTCGCCGTTGATGTCCGTATGTCATCTTTCCCACCTTGTGAGCTCCAGGTCCAAAGAGCTCCTTGATCAATGCGTGGATTCTGGTCTTCTTGCCAGCGCCAGAGGGTCCGTAGAAGAGGAGGTGGGGCAGATCTTCACTGTCTGCCAGCCCGCGCAGTCGTTCGGAGAGGTCTTCGTGGTAGGAGAGATCTGCCAGCGACTTAGGCCGATGCTTGTCCACGAAGAGCATCGTGGTAAAGGATCACTGATATGGGCGAGGGGACAATGCTTGTGGTGATGATGGTGATGATATCAGCGTCAATGGGTGGGTCATGCTTCGATGTGCCTGTGCTTCCTGCGCCTGCCGCCCTTGCCGCTCCCGATCCGAGTCGCCCCACTTCCGTCGAAGAGGCGCGTCGCGGTGGGCCAAGCGTGTTTCGTAGCGGAAGTGGCTGCAGCGGGGCAAGAATGAACTTCAACTCTGACCTGCCTCTTCCACCACATCATACCACAACCTCTACCACGACATTGAGCCTGCGGCATCGTGTCTATAGTGTCTCTCACCCTCCTCCCCTATTACCTCAATGGAGGGCGGCTACGTAGACGACCTCGAGCTCCTCGAAGAGTATGACCTCGAACACGATGGTGACTCCGACGACTCGCGCTCAGACGGGCAACGTGGAGCCGGCGAGCTGTCCGACGACGAGGTGCAGTCACCCGAAGATGTAGAGGCAGTGTTTGCAGAACTCAAGACTATCACGGTAGAGATATTGAGCGCCCTCGGAGGACTGGAGGAGAGCGAGGGAGAGCAGGGGCTAGAGATGCACTACGTGGTTGGAGATGACTGTCTCCGTGAGTGACACGATAGCAGCCTAGATGTGGGCATGGTGGCGTATGCTGACTGGGGGTGTTCCGCCCTCTTTTCGGTCCACAGGATGTCTTCGCGACCTACGCAAGCTCTGGAGGGAAGGGGCCGAAGATCCTTACCGCACAATCGCCCACGTCTTTGCAGATGTAGGCGTACTCCAGAATCTGATCCCACTCCTGCTCAAGACGGCCGGCGGAGAGGAGCGGTCGCAGAAGATTGCACTCGCTTGCACAGACCTGCTCACTTCCATCACTTGGCCGGTCGACGCTAACGCCGAGGTCCGCGAGGCCCTCAAACGCGGTGAGAATACAGAAGAGCTTTCTCACCTCTTCTCTCTTGAGAGGGACATGGTCAAATACAAGGCTGCTGTCTTACGCCAGCGGTCTGGAGAGAGTAAAGAAAGGTCTGGCAGCCGCGAGATCCTCAACTGCATCATGCGCTACATCCTCCTGCCAGCTCTCTCCAAGCCTCGACATCATCGCAATGAGCGAGACGTGGGCACCATTAGCATGTCTCTGCACTTCTTCCGCAATCTACTGGCAATTCAGGATCCCGTCGCTACCACCTTGAGTAGCGTGGAGCAGATTTCGAATTCCACATTGCAGAGCGAGCTCATCTGCACAATGGCTCGGAGTCATGTGCTAGAGACTATACTCATGCTCGCCAATAGTGCAGAGAGCAGAGAGTTCGGGCAGTGGAATGCCATCACACTGGAATGCGTCTACGCTATCTTCGGAGGCGAGGAGGTAGCAGTCATTGCTGGCAGTTCGGCAGGTGCAACCAGCGATGCGTCGGCAGATACGGCTGCGAAAAAAGAGTCCGGCAAGGCCGTTGCTCCGCGTGCCATCTCCAAGAATGCTGCCTTGGCGTCTTCACTCAACTCGGAAGCTCATCAGCGTCGAGTAACTTTGGCGGCAAGTGGGTCATCTCGTCACTCGCGCTTCGGTACCTCAATCAACTTCTTCACCGCAGACGGCGATGTCAGAGTAGCACGTAATGCCGCGTCCTTGCGCAAGAGCGTCGAAGAGCTCCGTCAAGACAACGTGCTCAGAGCCAAGCGAAAGTTCAGACGCCGCAAGCGAGCCAGGGAGGAAGGGGCACCCAGAGTCAAGTCAGCGTGGACATCGGCTGCCAAGGAGGTGTTGAGAGGCTGGGCCGACCGATTCCTGCTTAGCAGCGGCTTCGAGACGTTGACTCGCAGCTGTCTCAATGACATTCGCAGCGAGAGGGAGAAGGTGGGCGATCTAGATCAGGCAAGAGTGAGGGTGATGACTGTAGGAGTCTTTTTCCTGGATTACTTCCTGGTCAGAAAGGCAGAGGAGAGCAATCGTGTCGCAGTCAAAGAGGCCAAGGCCAAACAAACCGATCACGCAAACGCTGGTCCGCTCACCCCTGTGCAAAGACAGCCGCAATCACAGGGGACACTGGCCTCCATCGAGCCATCGTTCGATAAAGGCAAGGCAAAGGCGACCGAGCCAACGGCAGGTCAGGAACAGCAAGAGCACTTCGGCGCTGATGACACCTACCATTCTGTAGCACCTGATGATTCCTTACGTGAGTCTGTCGCAGCCAACGTGGGAGAGGCCCAGCAGGTCATGAAAGCTCCTGCCACCGCCCCAGAAGAGGAAGCGTCTGGAACGGACTGGTCGTTCTCCCTCTTGTCCGACTGGTTTAAGCCTTGGGCGTTCAAGATGGTCCTTGTCAGAACAGACAGCGCACTCGACTCCAAGGGTTGGCTCGAGATGACCGCTTCATTGCAGCTCTGGATGTCGCTCCTGCGCCTGATCGATGCACTCTCGCAATCATCTGTCGAGGAGGAGAAGGATCTGGCCGAGAACCTACAAGCGAATCACTTCTACCACTCGGAGACGCTGGAACTCTGCGTTAAGATCTCTCGGTGCTTTACAACCCAAAGTTTCGAATTTTTGCGCTGTGTTGTTGCCTTCGCCTGCATCATGCCGAAGATGCTTGAAAGGTACTCGCTCAATAAGGAGCACATCTTCGTCAGGGCCAAAAGGCACGCCAGGAAAGCAAAGGAAAAGGCCAGCAACGTCACCGACGATGATCCTGATGCCGAAGAGCAAGACCCCGACGCCAAGGCGCAAGTCATCTATACTGAACGAAGGTTCAACTTTGACAGATTCCAGAACAAGCTCTGCTGCCGACCTCTGGTGGAGGCTTGCGTTGCCTACCTGGGGAGATGGAGGGACTATCAGCGTCCGGCCGATGAGCTAGCCAATGTAGTCGCCGTTATGCACCGGATCGCTATCAAGGCCAACGACGCTCGCAGCTTCTTCCCAGCTCACATCCGTGTAGCCTTCCAAGCCATCCTGAAGGGTCCGCTAGTGGCTGCTCTGCTGCCTTGCGCCCCTCGCGCAGTCAATGACACCAAGAAGCTCATTGAGTTCGTTCTCAAGAAATACGAGAAGCTGAGCAAGGAAGAGAAGGAGCTTTGGTCTTTCGGCAAGGCTCCTCCGCGACCTCAGAAAGCAGTCAAGCTACCCCGAGAGATCGAAGTCAAGCCCGGTATGAACCGCGACGACCAGGTCGGTATCGCTGTCGGACTCCTCGCCGAGAAGGGCATGATTGCAAGGATCATGTGGGTCAAGGGCGCTCTGGAGATCGCAAGTGCTGAGCGGCTGGGTACCGTTCTGAGCATCGATGGTAACAGAATGTGGTCAGCCGCAAAGAGGGGCTTGGAGGAGGCTGGTGATGATGCCGGCCCTAGTAGCGAGGAGCGAGACGCGATGAATGAGTCGCTGCTGTCTGCGATACCCTCCGATGAGGCGGTCAACAGCTTCGAGCCCTACGAGCTGCCATACGACGGCGACAGCGAATTGCAGAGCGATGCTAGCACCTCGCCCCCTTTGAAGCTTCTAGCCCGATTGATGGGCCTCGAGAGTGATGAAAGCGACGCAGAGCACTGGAGGTGGCGGGTCCCTGACAATATCCTGCCAACGCACCTGGATGCGGATATCCAGCTCATTGAAGACCGTCTCCAGAGCCCGCTCGAAATCAACGGCACGAGCTACGAGGATTACGTGCAGAACGCCAGGAAGAAGCGGGTCGCCAAAGCGAAGCAGCTCGCGCCTGCGGACCTCGCACAGAGCGACGACGGAGACAGTGACAGCGACTCTGATAGTGGCTCATCGGGATCGTCTAGCGCGCCTCGCAAGAGGAAGACCACTCGACGCCGGGATGACCTCAAAGGCGACGAGAGGAAGAAGAAGGCGTTCAAGAGGCGCAAGATTGAGACTGGACCGCTGTTCCTGCAAGACGATATCATCGACAGCGACGAAGACGAACAGGTGGATGCCTTGTGGAGAGCGCGCACAGGGGCAAAGAGCCCTTCGCCAGCCAGTCGCCCAAGAGCTAGGCCCAGGACGACTACATCGGACATCGACTCGGAGATGGACAGCGACGGCGACGTACGAGACCGGGCTAGTCCGCCTCGTGTCTCGAACGTCGATCACTTGCGCCGGGCAACGTCGGAGGCAAGTGACACTCCTCCTACGTCGCCGCCGGCTCACGCTGTGCCTCGCGACAAGTCGGTCAGATCTGCTCGCCGCTCGCAAGCTCTCTTCTTGTCAACCAGCGACGAGGATAGTAACGGCGCCAATGATGACATTGACGACGCTAGTGACCAAAACCATGCCAGTCCTGCAAAGCGGGGTTATGGGTATAATGCGGAGTCCCCTCGGAACGGCGGACATGATGATGTGACGCTTAAGCGTGCAAAGGCTAGGAACGCTCTACTCGCTGCAATGATGGATTCTGATGAGGATTGAATGGCAATCGATGGATGAATGGTAGGTGGGAGGGGTGTGCCATTTGTGTCCTTTCTTCATGTACGTAGTGTTCAATAACATAATCTCTCCAGACATGGCACGAAAGCCTTGACAATGCCGTCCACTACTCTCTGTCTGTGAAGAAGCTCCGCCTCTCTGTTTAAGATATGTACACCCTTCGCATCTGACCAGTGAAAAAGCGGTCTCTTGTCCTCGGGCAAGTCACAAATGCCTGCGAGGATTTGCCCTCGTTGCGTCTCTTGCGAGCGGCAGCCGAGGCATCATCTAGGCTGGCGGAGTAGGACTCGAGTGCCTGGTTGACAGAAGGGAACAAGGGCAACACTCGCCAAGTCAGAGATTGTCTGCTTCACTGTGTGCTTGACACCGCTGCACTCACCCTTTTACTATAGACCCTTCCATTCGGCAAAGCGACAGCCTGCCCTCCCTCTCCTTCCTCTGCGCCTTCGTCAATGACCCTGCCGCTGATCCGGCAGACGATCGTAGAATTGGAGTGATGACTCCATGGTATTTCCTTTGCCAGGGTGCCTAGTCCCAGCCCGTCGACCAGAGAATTGGACGCGTGACCATGAGATGTCTTCGTGAGCTTGATGGTCGCACAGACGGGACAATTGAGGTTGCGAGTCTCGTCGGTAGTATTCAAGCCTCCGTCATCTGCCTCTTCGCTGCTGACTGCAGAATGCACTTGTTGACGATGCTTGTCGTTCTCGGCGCGGACCTCCCTCCGCACATCTCTCATCAAGTCCTCATCTACCTCTCCTACTCCCGGTATTGATGGCGTACCGTTGGCCGCTGCTTCTCCGTTGCTATCGCCCAAGGCTGCCTGACCAGCGGCAAACGTAGAAGCATTCTTCGCCCCATGACTGTCCTTCCGCTCTCCGCCATAGCAAGCAGGCACTTTGAGGCTGCTGAGACCGGCAGAGAGAGCTATGTTTAGGACTGGCTGAGGGGAGAGAGAATAAATGCTCATAGCAGCAGTGAAGAGTTGACCGAATAACTTCGGTAAGCGGGCAGCGTTGTACAAGTCTTGATAGACCCAGCCTCCCGGAGGCGTGGCTAGCAGACCAAATGCTCGAGTCACATCCGCCACAATCTTCGCATTGTTGCGGAAGTCTTGCTCGCTATCTTCATCCTTCGCCGGTCCAAGCGTCTGAGCTGTGGATTTGACCGACGTGGTCTGAGCGGCTGTGCTCTCGAAGCTCTTGACTGCAGCCGTGGCCGTCTTGAACATGGGCAGAAGGTGCTTGCGTAGATAGGTGCGGGCGGCAAAGAGAGACTCTGGAGACCGGTGCCGACAGAGATCAATGAACTCCTGCAAGCGTAGGTCGAATTCCAATGTGGACTGGAACATCGACAGATGATGAATTAGGCACCGCGGTCAGCTGAAAGGGAACGGCTTAAGCTTCTAGCAAAAGATACTGTACCCACCTTGATCCTCCTCAGGGCTGCTTTGTTGTCTACACACCAGGCCAACGCCGATGAGCAACTGGCTTTCTGGCTCGAAGAGGGAGAAGGGGTCATCGAGTCGCGAATGATATAGAGTTCCTTGAACAGGGTGATATCGGTAAGGTACTGTGTGGGTCGGCGCGTGTCAGATCTGGAGCTCGAAACGATCACAAGAGTTCATCTCGGCGTGATCTCCAAAGGGCACACTCACTTGCAGTCCTGTATTATTGACAAGTCTCTCCGCACTGCCTACGAAGCCCATTCTGCAGAGCCAGTCTACGATCATCCTCTGCAGTCTGATATCTGTGAATTGCTGATAAGCAGACATTGCCGCCGCTTTGCCTTGGTCAGGTTCCTGAGTAGATTCCGTCGCCTCAGTATCCATTGCAGTCGTACGGTCGCGCAGGCTCTGGATTTGAGCCAAGTGAGACGTGCGACGCTGTACAGATGTCACGGAGCTGTCGAGGTCTCCAACAAGAGGACTCAGCTGTCACACCCTTTCCAAGGCGTCAGTCAGCTGCATTCCACATCGATGTGCGGGTCTGTCGGCTCACCTTCTCCTTCATCCCCCGTACCCTCTCGATGATAGATTCTACCCTCTCCAGCATCTCCTGCCTTCCATCTTGGCCACCTTTGATTGCCAGATCACTGACGAGAGTGTTGATGGAAGCAAAGTCGCGATCTGTGATACGCTGGTGTGTCCTGAGTCTCCTCCTCAGATCCTCGTACGGCGACCGGGCGAAGGGCGCTTCCAGAACCATCAACGAGTCCGGATCGGGGATGGGCATCGCGGATGATGAAGCAAAGGCGGAAGGTAGCGTCATCGTAATTGGTATGGATGATTTGACGGACGAGTAGCAGTGGAGCTCCCAGCTTACACTCACGGGCCCCCGTCGGGCCGCCCCTCCATGCGGGAAGGGGCGTCTGTGCGTCCATCGAAGCGAGGTCGGATCGGAAGCAGTGGAGAAATATACACAACGTGGCGCGGAAGAGCAGCCGCGTAGCCCTCACGGATCTTCGATCATTATTGCCTCCATCCAAGGCGACGAGTACCATCACCACCTCCTCTGCCCCTTCCTGTCGCTTGCCCACACCCGCAGTCCACTGCCTCACAGTCACTACAGAGGAAGTCTAGGTGTTGGATCTCGTACGCTCCATCTCTGTTTCGATCCGCTCCTCGAGTTCTTCCTCGTCTTTCCGATCTCTTCATACCCGAGCCACTTCCTTCTCGCAGACGCCATGGCTGACGTATCGGATCCGCCGCCGGCAATAGCCAACGCCATGAGACAAGCTCATCAAGCACAGATGAGGCTGCAGACTGCCATCGACAGGACAACGCCCTTCGCTGCTAGGAGATGGGCGGCAACTGGAGGTCTGCTGGCGCTATTCATGCTAAGGATCGTCCTCTCACAGGGGTGGTACATCGGTGAGTACGAAGACCAGAGATAGCTAATGCGGTCGCAAGCAACGCCTCTGGGGATACTGCGAGCATCACTCACCCGCAATGTCGTACTCTTTCCTCTCTTGCCTCGCCCAGTGTGTTACGCCCTCTTCATCTACCTCTTGAACCTCTTCCTAGCCTTCCTGCAACCGAAGTTCGATCCAGGGATGTATGACGATTTGGCATCGCAAGACATCGAGGAGGGCGAACCAGGCCTCCCCACGTCTGCTTCTGGAGCATCAAAACCAGCGGGATCAGGAGGGCTCATGAGCGGCGTCTTTGGTAACCCAGGCCCTCAGAACGGAGATGCGGCTGGTGGCGAGGATGAGTTCAGGCCGTTCATCAGGCGTCTACCAGAGTTCAAGGTGAGTAGCAGAAGCCTAGAACTGCGGAAGGAAGGCTGGGGTAAGCAGCAGAGGCTTTTCAAGGCGGAGCGGGAAGGCAACGGTAATGCACCGAGGAACGAGGGATGTCGAACCTTCACAGGTGACTTCACTGGAGAACAAGACCAAGCGAACCGTATCCATCGGGCTGTTATGGTAGAGTCTCGCTGCGACTTGACTACTTCGAGTTGATATGAGAGATGACTACTCCGCAGAGATTAACGCAGAGCTTGCGACGCTGCCTCGCAGACTGTCGTCCTCCTTGAAAACGAGACGTGGCTCACCCAACTTCCTTTCTCTATCGTTCTGCACAGTTCTGGCTCTCTGCCACTCAGGCCATCGTAATTTCGCTCCTCTGCACCATGACAAGACTCTGCGATGTACCTGTATACTGGCCCATCCTTCTGGTGTACTTCTTCATTCTCTTCGGCATTACCATGAAGCGGCAAATCAAGTGAGTATTTCCAGAGACTCTCATCGTCCTCCGCAAGGCCGTGTACGGACATGAACAATGTTACTGCAGGATCACAACAGATACTCAGTACTGACCGCTACGATCTCCGCCTTCTCTTGCAGGCACATGGTCAAGTACCGATATGTCCCCTTCGACTTGGGCAAGAAGGTTTACAAGTGAAGCGGTCGGTAGAGTCGCAACAAGTGCGGAGGGGAGAGACCATCAACCCTCGATATGTGGCTGCAAGGTGTTGTCGGTCGGGTAGGACAACAGAAGTAGACGTGGCTGGGTGTGATGCAATGACGAGCCTCTCGTACCCCTTGTTGCACCGTCGGGCTAAAGTCGCAGGTCGACATGCAATCGTACCTTCTGCGAGAGAGACACCATCTCCTCGCGGACATTTTCAGCAAGTGAGTCAGCGTGACAAGAGTACCAACACCAGCGCGACGAGGGCCTTGACAAGCGTCAGGGCATCGAAGCCTACCAGACTGGGCTTCCTGTAGATGGAATTGCATCGGCTTTGTGTGATGCGACAACGGGACTGGCGAGCATTCGGCGTTTGTTGCGACAAGTTCAGAAAGTGCCCATTGCCTGGCTTGCCTTTCAGCTGGCTTTTTGTTTGAGGGTTCAGAGAGTGCCCATTGCCTGGCTTGCCTTTCAGCTGGCTTTTTGTT